CGTGGAGGTTATCCCGCAAGCGGAGACCGACAGATAATTGCTGCATCAGGGCAGGCGGCGCATCTGAAAGTTCCTCGGCCACTCTGTGACGCGTGGGCCGGTGACCAGGGAATGGAGGGACCTCGTCGTCAATGGGGGGTGATCAAGGGAAAGTCTCCCATCAAATGGGAGGGGAAGAGCAAGCCTCTCTCCTTGGTACTCTAAGAAAAATTGACCTGTCCCAGGTTTGGCCTTCCTCGTTGTGCCGCCCCAATTGACCGACCTGAATGTCGGGCTTCCTCTGTCCAACCTTGGCTCCAGACTCTGCGTGTTCCATCCCCCTCCCCTAATAGGGCACGATTCGAATAGGGCCGAGTCATGGATGGGCTCGATGCGGGTTTACAAGGTTACAGTTATCCCTGCACTAAACATTGAAGGAAGTTCTGTCCATCATCCATGTCAAGAATTGACCAGGGTATTTTGGCAGAGGAAGGGGAACAGCCAACTCCTCCCATCGCCAAGATCTGGTTCTCTTATGGGGCGGGCGGCCTTCTTTGCCGGCAGACGGAGCCACCAGGGACAACCAACATGTTGCAGGGATGCGGCAAGGTCACATTTTTGAGGGCTTTATGAGGAGACCTCAACCCTAGAGCCCCAAAGAGGCAGCAGGTTGGCAGGTTCCAAACAGCCAGCTCCAGACCTGTGAAGAGGTTTGTTCATCGCCAGCTGCTTGTCGCTGCCTGAGTCCGAAGACCACAGTTGACAGGACAGGACCGAGGGCAGTATATTATCTTATCACAAAGCGGGAAGGAACAAAGAATGGGTCCTTTTCTCACCAGCCCTTGAATTGGGTTACGCTGAAGAGGAGGCTGTCAGCAAAGGACTTGATGAGTCGTCTCTCTCTTGAAAAGATGAGGAGACATGGATGGTGTCCGACATCTGGTGACCAACCGAAGCATCGACTTTCCAGCCACTCTTTCACTTACCCCTCACCGTCCCCTCACTCTCTCAGCAAATCGTGAAAGACCATGCCCCCATTTCAAACAGGCTGCGTTCGAAGTTGAGCGCACATCGATGTGGCGCCGTCCACAGACAGGACTATGATGCACGCACATACAGGATCATCGAGTAAGCCCTGTTCTAGGCCCTTGCATTGCCTCGCAATTTCCACGTCAGGCTTAGGTTCGACACCTCTGAGGAATCCTCTATTACAGGCCCGCACTGCACACTCACATCCTCACATATGATGCATTGCATGCTGCTGTGAAGGAGGTTGTATGATGGCGCAAAGCCTTGCCAGAGAGCACCTTTTTCTTTTCCTGGCCTTGTTTTAGACACCGAGTTACTGGCAGTTGTTGTGCACAGACTCGCCAGAGTTGAGCTCCGTTGAACGGATCATGGACAAGTATTAATTCCGTCCCAGGTCTTGAAGGAGGGGGGCGGGGCCTAACTTCGTGCAGGACAACGTCGCATTCACCATGCCTCCCACCCTAGAACGCTGATTGCATTTCACATGCCAACTTGAGCCGTTTTCTGGCGTTTGTGGCCATCCCCAGTCATGATGCAATCAATTGCCGAGGATCCATCAGACCATGTACATTTCTCTCCCATCATCAATGCTGCCTCTAGGCAGCTTGAACAAGGGAGGAACGGTGAACCAAGAGCTCAAGTGCTCACTCTCTTCGGGCCAATCCCACTGGTGTTTCCCCTTATCCCCTTGCGTATTTGTGTCTACACCTCAAGCCACGAGCCTTGAGCTGTTTTTCTCCCCTCTGTGTCTTGTTTTCTTTCCGCCCGCCCATCATGTCACAGCGCTAGCAGTCTTCATCGAGGGTGGTGCCAAGCCCGCCACTTTAAGCTCGATCAATGAACAGCATGCTTGGAGCATGAAGTCGCACGCTGGTTGGGCTGCCCTGTGGCGGGAATCATTTGACCACGGGCGTAGGCATGTCCTGTCCTGTCAATTATGAGCGATGTTGACAACCCACTTGTTAGTATCCCAATTATACCCTTTTGCACTCCAGGAAACCGTTTTCCGTCGGAGAAGCCGAATAGAAGGACCTAGAAAACAGGTCAACCACGGTACGTCTCCACGGCGAAGAACAATAAAAGCTGAAGAATCCTCGAGATCGATGGGGCTGAGATTATTCGCCGGAGCTCCGCTTCCTAGTTGTAGATCGAACCAGATTTTTTATGTGATAATTTCCAGAAGCCCTCAGAACTCAGTTCTCGCAGCAGGTCCCGGCATTTCGAGCTGCGGCTAGGGTTGCCCGCCCCGTGCTGGAGAGGTGCAACTACTTTCGCTAGCAAATATTACTTCAAGGGGGTACGGTATTTTCCCAGTTCCTGAGAAGGCTCGGGGTGGGAGAGTGGGGGAGGGGTGTGCACCAGGACATCAACGATCCACCTCAAAGAGAGAAATCAATCAATGTACGAAGTACCTGGTCAGAGGAGGTTGCGCCGCATGGACATTATTTCCCGCTGTTATTAGCTTGACGAGGGTTCACCATGCGATCATCTCGATTTTCGAAACCTGTGGCTCTTCCTGCTTCAAGACTGTGGCCTCGTGACCGTTAGCGCGTGGATGGCATCTAGAGCACACACCACTCAGGCTTTCGACAGGCGCCCCGCTCGGGTTGATCAAATCTCGAGGAGTTTTCCAGACTAGGAGGCTCGTATCAATTATCAACATAGTGTAGAAGCTCCTTTCTGTCCTCCAAGGCCGCGCGTCTGAGAGTGAGATTTCGATCTTGGAAAGCCCGCGCCTGTCTTGAACAAGTCGATGGATCCATTCGTTCTATCATTGGCGCCCATTCCCCATTCGCTCTGTGCAGCGCGCCTACGTAGATCCCGCCTGTTGCATCCCTCGTAGCTCTCGGGTTGATCTGGAGATCCAGGGCATTTATATCCCCTAGTCGAAGGTCAGCAAGAACAAAAGAGAATCCATTTATTATCTGATCTGAGAGGTAGTCGCCGAAGAGACCCGTAGCTGGTTCGGCGATCGAGCCTATCTCGACAACACGTTGGCCACCTCCGCGAATGAGCTTCCCAAGCTGCCGGGAATTTCTAGGTAGTGCAACGGTTGGGGAGTGTAGCGGCCTTCAATGGGGCCCCTCCCAGTGCAGCCATTCAAGACACATTGTCGTGGCACACTCCCCCATAGTTTATGTTTTCGGTACAGATTTGGGACAAGTGGAGAAAGGAACGCAACTTGGTTGCTTCCAGAAGTCTTCGAAGCAGGGATAGTAGAATTAAAGCAATTTCGATAAGTCAAGAAGAAAGAGACAAATTCCACATCACAACAATCTGCTCAAGATGAGATCATGCCTGGCTTGCTCGGACGTGGCTACCGCGGTAGGAGGCGAGGAGATATCTACTTCGCATCTTTCGGAGTACTTACTTGGTGCTTGTTGAGCGGGCTTCCCTCTCTTGGCCGAAAACTCGATTGGTTGGCCTTGTGACACAAGTAGCTATCAGGCAAGATCGCCGTCGCAAGTACAAGAAGCATTTCTGTCTGCTCCCTTTCAAGAGAAGCTTCAAGTCTACGCGAGAAGACAACTTGGCTTCCTATTTTCGTTGGAACCAATGGAGCCATAGCAAACGGATTGCATTCTCAGCGTGGCGGTACTATCGTACTGGAGCTTATTAGAGTAGTGTAGATTAATCTTCTGGGTGAGCTTTAACATGACGGTGGGAGTCGGTGCAATAATCACAATCATCACGGGCGAGGCGGAACATTGACAGGTGCCCACCCACGGTGAACGCCACTGATGTCGCCTCGAAGTACGACTGCTCCAATGCGTCTTCGAGATGAGCCACAACCGCCACCACCGATGCTTGAAAGTCCACGTCATCAGGTTGTATCGTATCCAACGGCTGGTACCAGGAAATGGAGTAGGGAAACGTTGAAAGGGACAAGGGAAAGGGGGCACCGGTCCTTGCCTTGCCCCCAAAGATGGAAAAAGAAAGAAAAAGAGCATGGGGCTCACACAAGTACACTGCTTAGAAGGAACGAGTTCCAAATATTCGTCTTCGTAAAAATTGATGCATTGGGAAGGGGGACGGGAAGGCGGGGTCGCTTCTGCGTGAAATACAAGGTCCAAATGCTCCTGCAAGATGGGAAAGCGCATTGAAAGGTGAGGGCAGCCGCAGTCCAGGAAATCAAGCTCTGAGGTCGCACAACTTTTGTGTTTGTACCTGTACTTGAAGAGAGCCTCCTCCAGCCCCAGCCGCTGAGGTTTAGAAGGGCCTCCAGTTCAGCTTAGCAATCCGATGCCCACGCTTGCCACGCCTTTGTGTCGAAACCTCGAGTCTCTTCCTTCTTCCTTGTCGTCAACCAACCCGTCAGAAACTTGCGAAGCGCCAAGACTCTACAACCCCTCTCACCCCCACCACATTATCAGACACAAAACGAGTCAGATTCGTGGTCAACACCGCCAGACCGCAGACAGCAAGCGTCCACGGTCCTTCACATCTGTCCAAGCTTGCATCTTCACCCACTTAGACGAACACAGGTTACCCCAGCTTCCTCCCAGCCTCAGACTGTCGACAGGACCCGTCAGGACTCCGCATATTACCGAGTAGCCTCCGTGATACACGCCGGGTTGACCCTCGTCGGCACCATCTCGGCAAGTCCTCTTTGCCACACATCACTTGAAGCCGCTGTCAGCTTGTCCCCCAACAAAGAATTAATAATTTTCGAACGTCCCTCACTTGGATGCGACCTTGTCATCCCATTGACCTCCATCTTCCTTCTTGTGTCCTCTTAACCCGAGCCAGCCGAACACTTCCGAGACAAGGAGGTCAGCAGCCGTGAACTGGCAGACAGGGAAGGGAGTAAAGGTCATTCATTTATTGCCCTCAATCCCGAATAAAAATTTGAACGCAGCCCTAGAAGACCGCAAAAGCAAACGAAGCGGGGACAAAAAGAATCCAAAAAAGAAGAAAAAAACCGAGAGAGAGAAAGAGAGAAAACGAGAAAGACAGAAATAAGGGGCAACCCAAGCACAAACTCTTCAGCCATGGACAAGGACAATGCCAACCCGACAATTCTGAACGTCTCGCAGCTTCCAACGCGACAGACGAAAAAGAAGGTTACCCTAACCGGGCCGGGCACAAAGTACTCTAGCTTTGTGTTTTCGCGCCCTGCCTATCTGTCATGCTCGTCGGCTTCGTTATTGTCGTCATCGCCTTCGTCGGCCTCGGATGAGAGTACATTCGATGACTGGGGTGGGGCAGGCGCACAGGGGTTGAGCGACGACGAGTTTGTCGAGGAGCCAATCGATGAACAAGAGATCTACGGTAAGATAATTCTCCATCTCGGACTTTTACTTTTGGGCCCGGGTTAGCTCGCCCCCTTATACTCCCCTCAACCACAACAGGCACAATACACCCACAGACACACCCACAGCCACAGACCGGTTCTTTTACTGCCTCCTTGTCCCTTACACATTCACACATTTTCACATTCTCGTTCTCCCCTTCACCGATACATAGGTGCTACCCGAACAACTCTCGAGGGAATTGCCAGGGGTGCGCTTGAAGATCATGCGTGCGGGGATCTGCTCTATACTTTCCATAGCCGCGCGGTGTAGCTGATGCCACACATGGCGCCTGATATGAGAGGACCCTAGTTGAATATCAGACAACTGACGTTTCATAGATCTGATATCGACAATTTCGGACCCTGAGCACCCTCTGTCCCTGGGCCAACTTGCCGTTGTTAACCTCCCAGATATCCACGTAACTCGTCCAGCATCGCAGGGATCTCCCTCTGGCTCGAACGCTCTCGTCAGCGTCTTGGTGGAGATTACGCCAACCATCACTCACTGTTCCCTTGCCACCATCATTGGTCTCGGGGTTCGGGTCCGGCTGGAGAAAGCCTTGCCGCCTAACTACAGGGTGGATGTACGTGTCAAAGAGAATACCCATGCACAAGATGAACAGGTCAACAAACAGCTGGCCGACAAGGAGCGCGTAGCGGCTGCCCTAGAGAACCAGGACTTGAAGAGGATGTTGGAATCGATGTTGTCAACCTGCACCTAAGGATGAGCCAAGTCGACACCACGAGCGAGGTTGAGTAGGTTCATCAAATTGAGCTAATCCATACACGAAGCTTGTTTTGTATGTTCACATGCTCGCTTTCTTGACTGCCAATGCCCGACGACTCAGTCCGGATGTTGCACCCGTGCCCACCACTTAAAAGAAGAGGAAAGGGTAACGATATACCCCGGGCATTTCCGGACCTAGGGCCGACAGGAAAGTGCTGAAAGAACTTGATGATGCTGGTGGCAGAGAACTAGGTTGCGAAAAGTGGAAAAATCTTAAAAGAACAGGTGCCAATGCTTCATGGCAGATTTTTTTCCCTTTAAACTAGACAGAAACCTAACCCGAGCCGGGGACAAGTTGCGAACCAAGCCAAGTGTAACGATAGGCAACAAAACCTAGGAGGCGTGCAGTAATAACACTGGTGGTGTTAGAGAGAGGCAGCATGCGCCCCTCCCTTCTCGAGGAGGATGCACTATTAACGCCTGGGTTCCATCCACTACCGTCTAGGTCTCAAGAGGGAAGTTCGCTGTAACTTAATATCCAAGAAGGCTACCCTTCCTGCGGGAAGGACAGGGATATTTTCCTCATTCCTTTCTAGGATAATAGTAATAGGTGGCAGGAACAATTGGAGAGTGTCCAATCGAAGAGTGAATGGTGACGAAGAAAATCGGACGAAGATGCCCAGGCTTAGAACTTGGGGCCCAAAAGAAAGAGAGGAAGAAAAGGAAAAGAAAAAAATACAAGAAAACTAGAGAAAAAGGTGTGATTCCCGGCATGTATCAAGCTCTAGGGGTTCGTTTCCCTTACAATGGCCTTGTTTATCTGATGCTGTCTGCAGACTGCCGTGATGCATTCACTACCCTTCGTTGTGGAAGTGGGCATTGACAAGGCAGGACTGGAATGAAATGGGCAAACTCGGCACGGGTTTCCGTTGCACATTAGGTAGAACCTGGCACACCCGCACGAGTGAGAAGACGGCCCCGGGCTCGGGTCCATGGCCTTGACCTTCTCAGAGGGGGATCTACCGAGAGCCAATCTTTCCCAAGAACGATATGCAGCACGCGACAATCAAGGATGAAGCGGAAGAGTGGGATATGAGAAACTGGCAGCGGCACCCACCAAGCTCACTCAGCTAGTGGATGTGCCTCGCTCCTCCGCTCGCGCAAGAGCGGGAAAAGAGATAGGATTCTAGACTCGCTCCAAGTACATTTATCAAGCCTCGCAACGCGTCTGTCTAGCCCAAGAATGGAATGGGACCCATACAGGCTCGAGCGTTTAGTATTTCCCGAACCTTCGCCAGTAATGATTCCTTCGGATTTATTATTTTTTTTTTTGTCCCTCGATAGGCCAATTCACCTCCCCTACATGGATCCTTCTTTAAGTTCTCAAACACCCTAAAAACGGGACACGGGGGAACCGAGTGATACGATATGAGGTTCCCGGCAGGCGATGCGATAGAGAGAAACGCATTCTCGCATAAGAGAGCAAAAGGCCTTGGTGATTTCCCATATGTTTCCAAAGCACCGAACAGGAGGGTTTCACGACATCTAGCAGCCATCAATAACAACTGCAATATTGACGGCCTCCCCGTATTCGAGGAACAATAAATCGACTTCATTATTGAAATCCACCCGCCCTGTGCCCCTGGCCGCAAACTTGCGGGTGCTGGCTCCACAAAGGAACATTCTAAGAAAGCCTCAAAGAGGGTAGAGGCTGTTCGTGCGCGAAATTGACAGCGCGGTGGACAGGTATTCGACTTGAATATTATTATGCGATGGACCACGTGGGGACGCGGGAGAGGGATCCCTTGTCTAATACGAAGCTCGGTATAGCCTTTTGAACGGGGAGCCAGGTCGATGGATACCTGGGTGTCATCTCGTCCAAGTACGAAATCGAACCTTGCCGGGCGTTCGATCCGCGCCGTGTAAGTGAGGCGAGAGAGGGGTGTGGCGGGCGGGCGGCGACGGGGCGGTGCTGAACAAGGGGATTCGGTTTTGGTTCATTAATTGAAGTCTGCAATGTCTTTCAACGGATCGAGACAGATTCAATGGGTACATAACCATCCTCCGAATACCTCAGCACGCTTCAGCTCAAGCCCGTCGACGGGACACGGGGCAGGTGTACATGTCACCACAGGCCTGCCTCAAGACACAGGTTGGAAGTATTCATGCGTGCTTTGCGTACTTGTCGTACTTGTAATCAGCATGAGCTGGATTACGGGCTGGTCAGCTCGAGCCAGCCTCGATGCCTTGGCGACTAGTCAGAAAATCAATCTTTGCATTGAACGCACGTCCTGCCGTGATGACCCTATCCCCTCCCTGGATCCCCACCCCAGTGGCCAATTTTTTTCTCGGGGAGTGGGAATTGTTAATTACAGCATGCGCAGTGCCGGCAGGTTTTCCAAGATTATTTCAAGAGAATGTGCGTGTGCGAGAGAAGGGAAAAAGAACAAAGCCCGCCCAGGTACCACGGTTTTGCAGACTGGGCAATGACGAAATTTGCAAAGGGAAATGAGAATGTCGACAGGGTCCGCACGTGCAAGATCGATCCATCTTGATAATGATCGGATCCCATGGACCCTTGGAGCGTTTTTTTCGCAAATGTGGCAACGAACAGGGACCGGGACGAAAGCACGAGGGTGAGAGGAAGGAAGCGGAGCCCGCCAGCGGGTTGGGTTGGAAGCCAGCCAACAAGCGCGTTCACGACTTCGTCCTCTTTGTCGATCTGCCCTGTTTTCCTTTTCCTGCTCTTTTCTCTTTATCTTTTAATTCGTTTTTCCTCCCTCTGAACCCTTGCCTTCCTCCCCCTTGAAGCTAAAAACAGGTTGCTTCCAACCGTCTGGCGTCGTTCCAAGCACAGAAGTCAGGCACATCTCGTATAAGACGGGCAACATGGCACGCCGCCCTCGTGAAAGAGTGCAAGCGGAGACGCCGTAGTATTCCACTATTCCTGGCGAGATTTACAATATCACGAAGCCGTATATTACCAATTTAATGATGGGCGAAGATAAAATCACTTGACGTTCTCCTTTCACCCCGAAGGGTAGACAGTCAAAGGGAGGGGGTGCCCGTTATGTCTGGGCGTGTCCTAAAGTCATGGAGTCTCTTTCTTTCTCTACCCGTGTAGTTTAATATGTGGTTTCTCGAGTCGAACCCTCCAAGAAGATCTGGATAACGCCCTAGAATGGGGGTTTAACATCCCGGGGAGGTGGGAAATGATTCTCATGCTAACCTGCATCATCGTCATCAAGCTGCTCTTGTACCCATGACATCAAGTCTTGTTTCTTTTCAACGGTCTTTGACAGCACCTCGCAACCCAATCCCTGGCCAAAGCCCCTTATCTAGTGCTTTTATTTCTTTCAACCTCTTTTTTGGGGGCCATGACTCTCATCTTAGACGCGTGACATGCATACACACACAACGACAAAGTGCCAAGCACGTCAAACACTCCCTCTCTAGCACGGTCAGGTCCGTTCTCCGGAATCTGAGATCGAGCCTTTCCACCTCTCCTTCCGGGCACCCCGGCCCACCAGCGAGAAACACGTTTATCAGGGGGAAAACGTGAAGCCGAGAAGTGGAACGGGGGCCAAAGCCTTCCCCCGTGTTGCATCCAGGACGGGGTCGACCTGTGAGGGCGAGGTGTCTCCCGCACCCGGTGGTAGGGTTCGGGGGTTGAGCAGAGGATGGGATGGGGTTTTCAATAGTTGATCTCGCAATCATACGAGTGAGCACGGTAATAAGACTAGGGGGCGAGGGGGGAGTAGCGGGGAAGGAAGAAGAAGAGTATGTCAGTCTTGGTATCCGGAAGAACTCCGGAGAAGACCTTCTAACGGGGGGGCAAGGGGAAAGCAAGGAGAGTCAAGAGAGAAGAGATGGGAAAATGCGACCAAGGCCCAGTGTTGACGTGTGGGTTCCAAAGGCTAGCAGGGACCAGGCTGGACGTGAGATTCCTACATCGTATCCGGCGGCGGGAACAGGCAGGATCACAACTCCCCACCGGCTCCTCAGGGTCTGATCAATCCAGTCCTCCTTGTTTTGCCGCGCCGCGGCCCTCCCACAAATAAGGGAAAAGGAAAAAAGGAAGGAGAAGGGGTTAAACCGGCCCCCTGGCGCTGAAGGAACAAAAGTACCGGGCTAGTCTAGCCAGTGGCATTTTTGGGGGAAGGGTGGGAGGAGGGGAGGGGTTCAGCCTGTAAGCCCAGAGGGAGGAAGAACAGGCTCTGGGTGTGTCTACTTGGAAGTCTGGGTCTGTTCTCGCCCACGACGATAGCTCCGAGCATCTCGGCACTTCACTGTGTCCAGGACGGAGACGCCCTCGGCGGAAGGAATGCCACAACCGCACTGGTACCACCAAGATCGACATGGAGCGTCACGGCGGACCTGGGTCTCTCCTACTTGTATTACTCTCTCTCACGCTTTTCCAGCCCGGTCCCTTGGGGGCCCTTGGGTAAACCCCAAGATCCCGGTCGAAGCTGGGTCGCCGGGGTGTCGGTTGGAAAGCCTTGCCCCCTGTCCCGAGGGTGAAGAGAAGGTGAAAACCGCTCACGGAAGCTTGCTGGCGCGCGGGCTTTCCAACACGACGTTGAGACGAGTTACGCCCTCGGTCAGACGTGCCCTCGGTGCCCTTTGCGAGGCCGGCATGGTATGTACGGGGTGGCTGGGAGGAGGAGGGCGCGGGTCGGGATACAAAAGAACATGAGGAAGAAACAACGGTTGTTTCCATTTTTTGTTGCCTTCGCTCCTGCAGTGCGCGCGCAATGACAACATTGAACTTTTTTCCTTCTTTTTCTCGTTTTTCCCTCGTTCTCCCTTCTTGCTCCCCAATCTTGGGGTCGGATTCTGGACATGGGTTCTATTACAAACCAATTGATCTTTCTCGCTGGCCTGGCATCGCTGCTACATCAATGGTAGTCTGCTACCATTTTCCGGCACCAACTCGCCACTGCAACTCTACATACTTTGCCCAGCGGGCCTTGTGCCGTGTTTCTGTGGTGTGATGGCTATGTGACAGAGGGCGAGAGAGAGAGGTAGACGGGGAGAGAAGGGGAGAGGAAAGAACGGCTCGTGTGTATATGTGAGCGAGGTGAGTGTGTGCGCGCATGTGCACATGTGCAAGTGTCTTGGTGGGAGAGTGAGATTATTGGAGTCCAGAGACATTCTTGCGAAGAGGGTGTGGCCCTGTACCCTGCTCGCTACACCAACTTACACACACACACCCACCCTATGCCCTTTCCAGCCTGTCATCTTACGCACATATACACACCATCCTATCGGCATCGCCAGGGTCATTTTCAAAAATCCATGGCTCCCGTGCTTGTGGTGTGGGAAAAGGACAGCAGAGCGTCTCTGCGTCTCTCTTCGAGTCTCTCGCGCTCGCGCGCGCTCGCGCGGCCACTCCTCTCGCAGCACCCGCCTATTCCGGACCCTTGTTCAGTGTATACAGTACGGGTTGATATGGAGGCTGAAGGGGGAGGGCGGGCGGGCGTCTCTCGACTCACGGGAATGGTAGAAGAGGGAAAGGAAATTCAAAAAATCGATGTGACGGTTTGTGCGAGGTTTCTGCCCCGGCATCCCTCCTTGTTTTGTTTTGCTGGTCCTTTCTTCTTTCGGCTTCCGATGGTCCTCTTTCCTGCTACAACAAGTTTCTCCCGTTCATCCAAGGCAGGTGGGAAATGACCACACTGGGCCTCCCTCATTTTCCTCAACTTCCTTTTCCTTCGATACTAACACTCCCCCTTCCCCCTTAACCGCGAGTCGATGGTGTTTTCCTCTCTTCCAACTTTCGTGTTCTCTTACCAGCCAATGTGGCACCTAGAATGTCACCTAACCCCCCTTTGCCTAGATATACGAGAACCACTACCCTTCCCCTAATCTTCTCTACACCTGGTCTAGGAACCCGCTCTCTTTGAGTTGATTATACTGCTCCGGTTCCAAGAATGTGGCGACCGATACGTCGTCGCTGAGGCCCTTCCTTCGTCGAGTCTTGAGCATGAAATCTCTTGCCGTAGCTTGTACGCTAGCCGCTTGTAGCGGCCTCACTACTACCGTCTTGTCGAGGGGGTCGCCCGGCACGATGCTCCAGTTGTCGAAGAGTAGGCTAATCATGGCTGCACCCTGCGTCTTGATACGGAGATCGGTCTCGAACCCGAAGCTGTCGATGACGGGTATCAGACCGTTGACCCGGCTCAGGGGCGTCCCGGCAATCTGGCCCTCCGTCAAGACATGCCCACGCCGTCTCGAAAGACACGTGTAGACTTCTGTAGTGTAGCTGTCGAGGCAGGTAACCGACACCTGGTACATGGGCTCCATCAGCCTGGGGGAGGCGAGGAGGAATGAAGAGTAGCATGTGCGTCGCGCCGTCGGGATGATCTGGCTTCCTCCTCGATAAATGGCCTCCGATGCTAATGTCACATCCGTCACTCTAAACTTTGTGTTGCGGATGGCTGTGATGTCCTTGACCATTAGCTAACTGAAGCCTTTTGAGCCCTGCCTGAAATGGGCAACAAGTCGGGGGCATCCACTTACGCTCATCCGTCAAAGGACCTTCTCTCGTAGCCCAGCTAAAGCCTTGCGTGATGGGTTGCCTGACTAACCTCAAAAGCTTCTTGTCAACCTATACAAAGTGTTAGATACTTAAAACCCCAAGATAGGCCGTTTTAGATAGAAAGAGAGAAAAGGGGAAAACAAAATCGGCCCGATGTTTGCTAATCGCATTCCAACTTACTTCGCCAGGTAGGGTGTCGTCCTGTAGGATACTGGTCCCGACCTCGTCTGGACCGAAAGCCCAAATGCTACGCGCGGCGAGCTTGTCCCAGCCATAGGTTGTCTCGAAAAAGTCTGCCGTCTTTCTGATGGGATCCTTGATTTTTACCGTACCATTTTCTATGTCTCGCGATATGCCATCGTCCAGCGGCTCTGCGATCATGGTGATTCGGTTCTTCTTGTTCGGCGATACTCCTAAGCATTTGGTCATGGACTGCTCTACCACGGTTTCACAGAAACCTGTCACCGGGTCTGAGACTTTGACTTCCATGTCGGAGTAGAGCTTCCTTAAGTCGTGAAGCACACAGTCCATGTACAACTCTCCGGTGCCCACGATGACGTGCTCTCCGGAGTCTTCTACCCTGGTGTCTACCAAGGGGTAGCTCTTCTTGATCTTTCGTAAGCCGTCCAGCATCTTGGGTAGCTCAGAAGGGTTTACCGGCTCCACCGCCACCTTGACGACCGACTGAGTGAAATGTGTAATGGGCTTGAAGATGTACGCATCCTCATCATCGTCAAGCTTAGGAGGCACCAAGGTCGCCGTTTTCACGATCGAATTGTCCACGCCGCTAATTAATACCCACTGGCCGGCGGGTACGCCATCCGTGGGAATGTTGTATCTTGTATTTGCGATGTACACGTCGTCGAGAGTAGCGGGAACCATGTCTTCTTCGTCGTCTATTGAGTAGCCTTCACCGAGAACGCGAACTTGCGCACCAGGCCGCGCTGTACCGCTGAGAACTCGGCCAAACGAGTAGAACCGTTTCGCGTCTGCCGTGTTGAACAACTTGCTGATGTGAACCACGAGGGGGCCTTCCTGATCGCACGCCTTCATCGAGGCCGCAACTTTGCTGTCGAGGGGACCGGTATAGTACTTTTCAAGGTACTTTTCCGCTGCCTCGGCGGGAGACGGAATATGCTTGACAATCATGTCGACAAAACCGGTGGAGGGTCCGAAGAATTGTTCGCAAGCCAACTTTAGTAGCACTTTGGCGTCGGACTTGTATTGGCTCGGCTTGAGGGTGATGCCCAGAGATTCTAGGACCGGCCGGAGGTCCTCGGCAGAATCGGTAATAGTATGGGTGAAGAGTTTATAGACGGGCTCGAGAACAAAGTGTAGGAATGACCGATTCGCACCAGGCTCGACTGCCTTCCTCGTGAAGGATCGCGCCTTGGGGTTGAAGTAGACATCTCCCCACAGTCTCTTGGCAAATTCATCGACGTCGATGCCGCCATAGGTATCGGTGTACATTTTCGCAAAGGATGGGAGGGTGAAGGACCATCCAAGTTCCGTGGACGCGAAAAGGACATTGCCCTTTTCGGGGCTTACTCTCTTCGCTGCGCCCTTTCCTGGGAGTGCCCTTTCGATCGCGCCGTTCACCTCCTCGATGACGTGGCGGATCTTGAAGTAAGCCTCCTTGGGTGGAAGCCGCAGCTCCAAAATGAGACGGTCCATCTTGTTGAGGACAAGAGTTAGCGGGATATCCTCGAGAACGGCGTGCTTAATAATTTGCTCCGTGTTGACTTGGACACCCTCCAAGACGTCCACAACTAGGGCCACGCCATCTACCAACCGCAGCGCGGCGGCTACCTCGTCCACAAAATTGACATGTCCCGGGGTATCGATGATGTTGACGAGATGGGATTTGCCCTTCGAAGTGGGCAGAACTAAGCTCATAGGCGCAGCCTTTGCCGAGAGGCCACGTTCCCGTTCTAGAACGCTAATATCGGTGTATCGTAGCTGCTCGTCCCTCTTCCTGCCTGTCCTCCGTTCGAGGCGCTCGCTGATGTCATGGGTTTCGAGGACAAGCATGTCCATGAAGGCCGTCTTTCCGTGATGCAAGTGTCCGGCCAGGGCAATGTTCCTAGTCTGCTCAGGGAAGTTCATCAGGCTCGTCATAAAATCCCTGTCAAAAAAACCTAGGTAGGTCCGCCTCCTCGATGTTGAACTTCTTTTGCTCGACAGGTGCGATGATGGGCTGTGATAGAGGTTGAGCATCCACCTCCTCCACCAGGGTCTCAACTTCGGCACCATATGTCTGCTCGGCGGTCGGGTAGTATTGCTTGTCTTCGTGTAATATTATCGCATTCGAAGGACCCTCGTCTGGTTTCCTTGTTAGCTAACTCCCAGGTCCCGAGCATGCGCTATGCCATGCGATGGGAGCGCACGTATCGGCCTTGGGGGTAAAAACGTACCATCAAGCTCCATCACACCTTGGCTCGCAGCCACACTCTCGTTCTCCTCATCGTAGACATATTTAGAAGCTTCGTTACCGCGCTCGGAACCTTGTTCGGACTCAACCTCCTCGCCAATAAAGTTGCCAAACCTAAGAACACATCATGGTTAGCCTGCAGGTTGGCGCAAGGGGAATAGGCGGGCATCGCGGTATCGGCGCACTCATCGTATAAATCATCCATGTTGACGATAGATCACTGCTCAATGTGGTTTCGCAGGTGGGCTAGGGGATGAATTGGCCGTCTTGGGTGTCGCGCGTCACCGACGCAAAAATTCCGTGTCGTTTGCGAGGCTGGGATCTAAAATCGCAAAAGAGCAATCACGTGGGGCTGCAAGGCTGCCACTACAGAGCCAGAATCCTGGTCAGGAAAAATTGGGCACAGGACCGTTTGTGTAATGAGCTTCAACAAGCTGTGGGTGCGTCGTGTGCCCGTCAACTCACTGCGAAGGGTTCAATGTTTGCACTGGGCCCAAAATCTTGCAAGTACAGGTACAGGTACAATTATTGAGTGCCAAACTCGGATACTAGAGGCAGCTAATTAGAGGGCCAGGCGCGTTCGTGCCCAGTTCAATGTTCTTTGTCAATCCGACTTGTTAGTATTGGCGCCGCCCCGCACCCCCGTTTCTGACCGACTATGTGGGGCGCCGTCTTCACCGACTCCTTGAAGATATGCCCATCTACTAACGGGGCAGGTGCGTACTTGCATCGTGCACAGGCTTGACAACGCATCTCTAGGTCTAGAAGGTATCATGCCCGCCACTTGATCAAGGATGATTTGGCCCGGTTCTCAAGGTTGGCATAATATCCATCGCTCACCTTGTAAAACGAGGTCCACGTCTTAGAATCTCCTGAATTGCAATCAAAAGGCAATTGGTTGAAATCAATGCAGGAATGGCTCTCGACGACGACCAACCCTCGGCATGCCGTATCGCGATGACTAGGGGCCACATAGAGGGCCATGCCACTGACATATGGATCGTTTACCTGAGCACTCTAAGAACCTTGAGGCTTCGTTGAACATGAGGCAATGTCTATATTTTTATTGAAGTGAGGCGTTGGCAGGTGGCAGTGGTCTTTGAGTTATGGGGCACCCATTGATACAGGTAAATAGACAATGTGATCGGGTGTCCATGAGTAGACCTGTCAATGGATATCAATCCATGTATTTGGCCTTCTCTGCTCGTCTCCTTCGGCCAGGGAAGGAGGAATGCTCCATGCAGCGGACTGCATCCGGTTTGACATGTGTGAGGATGCGGGGTCCGAGTCGAGAAGGCACAAAGGAGGAGGGAAACAGCAAACTGCTTGGCTTGGAGGAGGGGTAATAAACAAAACCCACAATGGGTGAGGGGCAATGGGCCCTGGTTCAGGTACAAGCGGGAACACGCCCCCACCAAAATACGGCGTCAATTGACGCAAGCCCAACTTTGGCCAGAGGCAAGCAGAGGCTACATTCCCTACGATAAAATCTCTACAAGCACTTGACGTTGAGGCGTAAGGTCTCAAAGACTGGAAGTAGATTTGATATGTTAACATCAAACGCCCCGCAAGCCATTCATCTAAAGCGAGCAAGGGATGGGGGTCTTTGTTGGGGGCCACCTAGCAACCAGGTTGGAAATATGGGAGCCTAGCTTCTTGTTGAACAGCTTTGGTCTCCGAAAGCGGATTGTAACGGAAAATACCGCCCTTCGGCCGATGTCGACGGTTGACGCAAAGGGCGCTTCTGCTTGGGCAATTGGGGAAAAATACTCTCCCTCTGGGCGTGTAACAAGGGGAAATTGTAGCAAGAGAGAAACTACTTTTTTACAAACATCCCCCTCTCTCTCTCTCGCCGAAAAAAAGAGGGCACTTATAGATCCCGCCGCTAGTCCTCCCAGCTTCCCTCCCTCTTTGCGCTTGTAACCCCTCCTTCTCCTCCATCCTCTCTTCCCCAAACAGAAAATACCTGTCACGATAAGTCAACATGTCGAACCTTCCTCCCGTATACATCGTTTCCGTTGCCAGAACACCTATCGGGTCGTTCCTAGGGTAGGCCTCGTGCGAATCCAAACTCACCCGAAACCATCTTGGTCTTTCTCCTCCAGAACCAGCCGGGATCGGGGCATAGCTGGAGCCTTTTACTGACTTTTGTCCCGCCTACAGCTCTCTGTCAAGCCTTTCCGCTATTCAATTGGGTGCTCATGCCATCAAGGGTAAGCTCTGCTCTTGTCGTACCAATATCTTCCATGTCCCATCTTCGCCTACCTCCTTCCTCTCTTCTCTACCGCGCACACGCTCTCCGGGGACGATGTACCACCCATAATACTAACACCTCTAGGTGCCGTTGAGCGCGTGCCTCAGATCAAGCCCGAGGATGTCGAGGAGGTTTTCTTCGGCAATGTCCTCTCCGCCAAGTAAGCCTCATATCGTTGCCTAGAAAGATGCATACCCCTGTGCCTTCTTCTACATGTCTAACATTAACTTCCCGCTCAACAGCCTAGGACAGGCCCCGGCTAGGCAATGCGCCCTCGGCGCCGGCCTTTCCAACACCGTCCCCTGCACCACCGTCGGAAAGGTCTGCGCCTCCGGTCTCAAGGCCATCATCATTGGCGCCCAGACCATCATGACCGGCAACGCCTCCATCGTCGTCGCCGGCGGTACCGAATCCATGTCCAACACCCCCACTACCTCCCCGTCCTCCGAAACGGTGCCAAGTACGGCGACCAGACCCTCGTTGACGGCGTGCTCAAGGACGGTCTCACCGACGCTTTCAAGAAGGAGCACATGGGTATCCAGGGCGAGCTCTGCTCCCAGGAACACGGTGTCTCCCGCGAGGAGCAGGACGAATACGCCATTAAGTCCTACCAGAAGGCCCAGGCCGCCACCGAGGCCGGCGTCTTCTCCTCTGAGATCTACCCCATCGAGGTTAGCGGCGGCAGGGGAAGCCCGCCATCAAGGTCGACCGTGACGACGAGGTCAAGAACCTTAACGTAGACAAGCTCAAGGCCATGCGTCCCGCCTTCAAGCCCAACGGCGGCACCATCACCGCCCCCAACGCTGCTCCTATCAACGACGGCGCTGCCGCCGTCGTCCTCATGTCCGAGGCCAAGGTCAAGGAGCTCGGCGTTCAGCCCATCGCCAAGATCCTTGGCTGGGGCGACGCTGCCCAGGAGCCCGAGCGCTTCACCACCGCCCCCGCCCTCGCCGTTCCCAAGGCCATTAAGCACGCCGGCATCTCCGAGAGCGACGTTGACTACTACGAGATCAACGAGGCTTTCTCCGTCGTCGCCCTCGCCAACATGAAGATCCTCGGCCTCGATGCCGAAAAGGTCAACATCTTTGGCGGCTCCGTTGCCATTGGCCACCCCTCGGCTGCTCCGGTGCCCGCATCGTCACCACCCTCACCACCGTCTTGCGCGAGAAGAAGGCCAAGATTGGTGTCGCCGGTATCTGCAACGGCGGCGGCGGCGCTTCTGCGCTCGTCATTGAGAACTTGCAATGAGGCCAGGGGACGCAGGCTGCTGAGCCTGTCGCCGCTGCACATCTGTAGCAGGTAAAGTCTAGGAATGGAGAAAACGAAAATCGGCTGATAGTCATGTAATCAATCATTGGTGAAAGGAAAAGGCGACAGAAGGAAGAAAAGCAAGCCGTTGGGCATATAAACACAAATATCGTACACCAATGCTCTCTAATGGACCAAACGGCCAAAATACCTGCAATAAACTCATACCCTAAATTCAACCATCTTCAAGCTTGATCATTGGGAGTCCTTTCGCCTTATTTTTCGCCCATAGGTGTGTACCAAGTTTCACATCGATATTTATTAGTCTTCACCGGAAGATGAACCGGAATCTTGTTCGACCATTAATTAGCGTAGAAAAGAGAAAATGTGATTTCATCCGATTTAGCTCCAACACAAAACTAGGAGAGGGCACAACTCCGACTAATATTACATAGGGGTGTGAGCTAAGCCTTTTTATACTTCGTGATCCCCTTTCTCGCTATCGACGCGTCCCGCTGCTCACTACCCACTTGCTATTCACCATGCGGCTCCTCTGCGCCAGCTATATCCTAGCTAGGCTGCTCACGACGTGAAGGGGAAACATGGTAACCGAAAAGAAAGAAAGAAGATAACAAAAGATTGGCTGCCGACGTTGAGACGCGAGTCGATATGCTAAACCCCGCAAAACCACCCCCTCCCTTCCTGCAGTCGTACGCTTTCTTGGCCGATACCCAAAGGTTCGGCTTTGAAAGAAAAGAAAAAGAGAATCTGGGATATGGAAACAAGGAATAAAAAAAAGCCGGATATAGATGTAAAGGTGAACCGGGAAGGAAAAGGATACGTGTCATGATAGTGAGCGATTAATCCGCCATCTCCACATCGCGCGTCTCGGTGGCAGCGTTGGCTGGCTCAACCTCACCCTCTGCCCACTTCTTGTAGTCCGCCTTGTGCTTTTCAACCTCTTCCTGACTCAAATCTTTCATCCACGAGTTGTTCAACACAAACTTCTCCCGGAGCCGGTAGTCACGGGCAAGGGTAGACATCTTGGTAGCTTTGTCGTGCTGCTCCTTATCTTCTTTGGTCGTAGGGGCTGAGCTGTACAAGAAGCTCTCCGAGGAGCCCGCACCCCAAACCATTTTGGAAGACCGGAGACAGATGCTGACCACTAGATTCTCATCATACGAGACTGGCTTGGGAATGCTTCCATCTTCAGGATCAGCGTCCGCCGAAGGCAGGTTGCGCGTGAGGACGACTTTGGAAAGCTTCGATCTAGGAACACCCTCGGTGGGCTCAACTCGGATATATGATGAGATGTAGTATTGCCATCGCTGCTGAAGCTTCATCTCATCCATATAGAATGTCGTTTCCTCACGCTGGAGCCACCTGACGCTCGCTTCCGACTTACTTGGCACCTGTAAAAATACCCAATGGTTAGCAAAGCTACGCGTAGCGGCAAGTGGAATAGACTGTTTTAAACTTACCCAGCAGAGCACGAACAACTCGCCGTCCTTAACGCACTTTTCAGCAAACTTGCGGGCGCTGATCTCGGTCTGGTAGCTGGTTTCCTCCCGTTCCCGGCTTGCTAGGAATTGTTTGATGAGGTCATACGTCTTCTCTTTGCCATCAACGCTGCTGCAGGTGAGGGCTAGTCTGCAGAGCGTTCTGATAAGATCTTGGATGGTGTATAGCTTCCAGCCGCTCGCGAGATAGAAGTGGCGTAGCACCTCTTGATAGCGCGCTTCGTCGATGTCGCCCACAATAAACTCTTCAATGAGCTCAAGGGTTTTGGGCCAGTAGATGTCCGGAGTATCGGTGGCCTCGAAATACAACTTGGGCTCTTCGGTAAGGCCAACCTCCATGGCAGGCCGGACGCGGTGTAGACGCGCGATAGATTTCGTTACACTCTGCTCCCCTCCTTCACCTCGCGCAATCGTTGATATAAGGTGTGGAAGATGCTGAAGAACACATAGATAGACTGATTGCAGAAGAAGTTGTACCAAGGACGCTGGAAGTATCCGTCCGCCTTCAGTTCATTATCCGAGGTGAGAAGGCCACCGTCATCACCGCTTTTTAAGATAGTCGGCTTGGGAATTGTTGGCATCCATCGATCATTCGAAACGTCGGCCACCCCATTTTCATCGGGAGCCTCTGGAGTCTCATCCTCGTTACCTGAGGCAACATCAGGAGTTGTCTCCTTGCTACCAGAAGCACTATCTTCCTTCGAGGCACGGGATTTGTTGGTATTGCGGCCGGGGTCGAGGACACCACGCAGAAGATCCCCTCTCTTACCATTGCGTCGGCCGCGACCGTTTGTGAGCTCAAGCGGTGTGGGCTCATCGCCGTCCTCCTCGCCGGAGTCTAGTTGAAATCTGGGAATGCGTTCTTGTACGGCAGCATCGTCAAGGTCAAAGAAAGTGGGGATAAAGTCAACGAAGAAGTCCCAAATCCGTTCTTTTTCTGAATTGCTGTGTTGGCTGTTGTGGATCGCGTAAAGAGCCATCAGGCGAAGCAGATCCAGGGTTACGTCCTTGTCAGAGAACGACCACTGGAACTGTTGGCGAGGAGCAGAGCCCTTTAGACTTCGTTCTCTGCGCTGCTCTTCGTGTTTGGTCTTGATGACGTCCACGAGGTGTTTAGCGGATAGTTGCCTTTTGTCGGTTTGCTTCACTAGCATGCCCATGTGGTCTAAGCTCTTAAGGTGCATGTTCTCGGTTTGCGAGTGCCAAACTTTCGACCACTCCCGCTGTCGTAACTGTTAGCACAAGGTTCCCGGGGGTTACATGGGAGTAGACTTGCCATGGAGAATCGCCATTCTTCGTCTTTTTGCTTCAGGCGAGCTAATAGGATGGGCACGACGCTAAAAGGGTGGCTGAAGAGGTCGTTTACTACGTCAATTCCCTTCTCGCCGTACAACTTTTTGCACACGCGCTTGAAGATGGATGTGGATTGTCCGGCCAGCGCGGCAGGCATCCGGAACTGCTCCTGCTCAGCGGTTGTCATGATGAGCATCTGTTGGGCGATAGGCTCAAGTAGCTGAATGCACTTGAGATTGGCCTCAATGTGAAAGTCATAGTCATGGCGTTCCTCTTCGATTCGATGTAGACCTTCCTCAAAGACGTTCTTGCGGTGAGCAACGAAGCCAGAGTCTTCTGAAGCCCAGGTTGGATGCGAGGCCCAGTCATCGTTCAGTACAGACATGCAGAGCTCGTCGCGGCCAGTGCATGGCTTGAGGCGCTCCTGTGGAACAAAGGTCAGTATCCTGTAATGAAAGATTATAAGTATGTAGGAGGGCACTTACTCGTCGTGGAAGTAATCGGTAACTTGGCCCGTGGGCGCGGCAGTTACTTAAGGAGACCTTTCCGGGAGGCGGAGCAGGGACATTATCAACCAAGACGTCCTGGGGATCGTACTGAAGAAATGCTTTCCAAAAGCTAAGAAGCTCTTGATTAGCCATCAAGTAAGTACATCCCTGGTGATATAGGGTATCGCGATCAATGATTTGTTGATTGAAAAGGTTGCAGAGCTTGAGGAACTCGTTCATAGTGGTCCGATTGCCAAGGTATTTCCTAACTCGATCGAAGAAAGCAAGTTCCTCTTGATTCGAGACGGCTGCCGATGGAGGGGAATAGGCTCTGGCATGACGGGCGTAAGAGTGGGCTCGATGGCTGCTACGTCGGAGGCCAAGGGCTTGTGGGCAAGCTTGGGCTTTTATGAGCATTTGCGGGAGGAATGCCGGCACGAGTGGCGGTAGGGGAAGTCTCTGGAGGTGGAGGTACCGGGGCAGGAGTTTGTTTGTCATTTCGAGGGCGTTTCTTAGTCTCTTTGCTTGCGCTCGGTGGGGGCAAAGCTCCCGAGAGGTGGCATCTTGGGCCCGCCGAGAGCAGGCTGTGGTGTGTGCATAGCTCCTGCGATCGCGGCAGCTTCTTCGCCCGCTCGTCCAGGCGTCGTCTTTTGGCCAGCAGACTCTGGAAGGAACTGCTTGAAGTCTTCTAGCAGGTCGGGCGCAGTATGGAAGAGAGCGGTGACTTGGGAGTAAACATCGGCGATGGCCTTGGACTCCCTCTGGTAGGTTTGAAGGATCTCAAGGAACTGCTTATAAATCTCGGGCTTATCCTGGAAACGATTCTATATCGCCATGTATTAGCGGCGAATTTAAGAGGCCCAACAGGAACATGACCCCCATTTGGGGGACGAGGACGAAGCCCAACATACCTTGATTTTATTAACGTAGCTGATCGCATGGTTAAACTCAACAGGACCTCGCTTCTCCTGGTTGGCTAACTGGGCAGCGCCGACTGCAGCGGCTCCAGCAGCAGCAGACGGGGTAGGGGTATGCACGTTTCGTGGCCCTGGAGGGCCAGGCGGCGCAGGCGCAGAGCTGTTGGGTGGCTGCGACTGTCGAAGCTGGCTGGGCGCATTAGGATCGAAAGGAGCTGCTTGGGTTTGGCCGTGGGCGTAACCCGTAGGGCCATTTGGTGTGGGACCGCCAAAAGATGGTTCGGGCCCTTCCGGAGCATGCGAAGCTTGTTGAGGCCAGTTACCAGGTCGGTGGTTGAAAAAGGGGGTACGGCCTGCGGCGGTTTGGTGGCCGTCACTTTGCGTGGCCCTTCCTGCAATCGACTGGACGGTGGTGCCCATGGGCGTGGTGACTCTAATTGTGTTCGGGTCATTTCCCGCACCACACTCAATCCTGTAACCAGGAGGGAGAAACGTGTTGAAGCCTTGGATAAGGTTTGGGTGTCCAGCGAAGAGTTCCGAAACCCGGTTTATGACCCCGGCGTATCAATCCTAAGAAAGGGAAACCCATTAGATTTTATCTCCAAAGAGAATACTAAAGGGATGTATAGCATACGATTGGCTCTTGAAGTCTTTCATAATATCCAAGAAGCGGTTATACACGTCCGGTTGGTCGTGAAACTGAACTTTTACTTGGTCGAGGTAGGTAAGCGCGTCCTATGAATAGCCGAATAATGGATTAGCCAAGCATTCAACCACTGAAAAAAGAGGAAAAAACAGGCCCTCGACTCGACACTCGCCGAAAATCGATTGGTCCATCACTATGGGAGCTGGAAGTTACCCTTTCCAGGAGGGGATGAGAGCGTAGGTAGGGGACGGCGTACATTCAAGATTGGCTGTTGACCCTGGGGAGCAGGACCTTGGCCGACTTGCGCCGGCGCAGATGCCTGCACCCCGCCGGCGACATGGCCTTGTTGAACTGGCGGCTGTCCTTCCTGGCCGGGAAGAGGGCCCCCAAAGATGGCTTGAGGGCCTGGAGGGGCTCCATGAGGGGGACCTTGGGGAGGACCTTGGGGCGGGCCCTGGGGTCCGCTCCGTGGGTCATAGGGCCAAACATTTGATGCTGTGGCCCAGGGTTATTTTGCGGACCATGTTGAGCTGGTGGCCTATTTCCCTGCTCGTGAAGAGGCCCACCAAAGGTAGCGACAGGTCCCGAAGGGGCGCCCAGGGGTATGGCCGATGTGGAGCCGTGGTTGGCGAGAAGGCCTCCGGGACTATGGATGGCACCCGGCAAGCGGGAGGCAACTGGTTGATGAATAGGGATCGAACCGGCCGTACTATGATGGGGAACGCTGGGATGGTACGGCTCACGGTGAGTCCGCTCGTTTTGTTCGCGCTCACGGTGAGCCATCTGATCGGCAGCGCGTTGGCGCTGGTCAATGATCTCGCGGTCTCGGTCGAAAGCTGAGCCTCGTGGAGGCTGATTATTCATACTGAAGAAAGACTGCTATTGAGGCGAGGGCACGTCAGCGCGAGGGCCGCTAAAATGTGCGATAGATGATGGTTGCGCGTGATGGCAGACAACGTAGGGGTCTTGAAGGGAGGTGCAAATGGCAAGCCAAGAATGGCCGACCAGGGCGAGGCGCCAGCTGTCTGGAGAAGCACTCACTTTATCGAACAGCGAGTGAAATTGACGCCTACATTAGTAGACCAGCGCCATCAAGTTCCAATGCAGTGCTTGTCTTCGAAGGGGTTGTGGGGAGGCGGGAGACGGAGAGGAACAAATTCTTGGTGTGTGGAAAATAAGTGGCAGCTCGGCTGGCTTCCTACGGCACGCTTGGGGGCGGGCGGAATCAAAAATGGCGCCGCACAGGTCGAGGCTGGAGAGGAAGGCTGTGGACCTGACCTCTAATTGGTCCAAAGGACCCTGTATCACGTGATGATAAGGATACTTATCAGCGCGATTCCTGGCTATTTTCACCGGCTGATTATCGGCTATTTATGTCACCCTCAAGGAAGTGGCCCATCTTAGATGCCACCCGTGGAAAACCCATCTGCTCGTCATCGAAAATGAAAGCTCCCTCAAAGCCTGCCCAATGATACCTAAACATGAAATGTCATATTCAAAGTCCAGAGGCAGTTCTCTAGATATCGCCTTCGGGAGGACATAGAAATGAGAAACATTTATCTATGAGTGCGACAGCAGCAGCGACCAGTAAGGGGCCAGAGGTCAGAAGTTTCCATGCCCTTGTTCGGGGCCTGACCTATTGGTTTGGTCCCTTCCAGGTAGCCATGACAAGATGACTGCAACTTAAAAGGAGGGAGTAGGGGTCTTTGGTTCGGTCTAAAATAAAATGAGAAGAAAGAAGAAAGACGGAACACGCAAAAATGCTGGCTTGGATGAGGCCGTAAAGAAATAGAAACGGGCCTACGGAGCAACCACAAGTACCAGATCATCATTAAGAGCCCCACTAGGCCTTCAGTCACGAATTTCATTTGGAGAGGATATTCCGGTCGAGAGGCGATCGTGAGAGGATGCCGTGTGGGTATCCAAAGGGAAGAAGGGCGATCCAGTACACAGTGCGAGGGGCATCCTGACGATTATTGTCACTGGTGTGGTTTTGCGGCTCGGCTGAAAACTTCTGGACCCTGCCCTGGCGCAGCAACTTCAGATCCTTTTCTTGGTCTTGAACATCCCAACTTGTCTCAGCATCTTCAAACGAGCGTCGCCAAACTCCCTATCTCTCACAACTTTTGCCTGGAGCAAAGTTGCCTCCCATCGTCTGTAACAATATCAGCGATAAAACCGTCCGCCCGTGGCTCCTGCTTCCGCCAGAACCAGAGATCGTCCGCTCTTGCTTCCTCATCGACTGGAATTGCCCAGTCAATCCTTACCCCACCACTTCCTCCTTCTTGTCCCTCAAGATTCGAGACCGCCTTCCTGTAACCGAGCAACTTCCAACAGATTCTATCTTTCGAAAGTATTTTGATATATTTTCTTCGCCATAGTCACCGAGTGGCGCTTTCAGTCTTTCCCGAGATTACTTCGCCTTTATTCCTCATCGCCACATCCAGAGCCTGCAGCCATGGCTTCTACGGCAGATTCTGCGGCCTCCAACATGGATCAGCAAGTCGATCTTTCTACCATTCCCATCTCTCCAGACGGCGATCGCAGTGGTGCCGAGTCCGCTAAGGATAGTGGCAAGCTCGTTACTATCTTCCACGACAAGGAGAACTTCAACGTAAAGCATCAGCTCCAGAACAAGTGGACTTTGTGGTTCACCAAGCCCCTAGCGGCAAGGTATGCGATGGCCGCTTCCAGGTGCCCTCAACTAGGCATCATCCATAATGCTGAGTCTAATGAAACTTGTGTGCAGGGCGAGAACTGGAATGACCTACTGAAGAAGGTCATCACTTTTGACTCCGTTGAAGAGTTCTGGGGCATCTACGTAAGTTTTCGGCTGGCTTGAATATTGGTCATCATCATGCGTACATACTGAGTCGAATTTTCGTTTTGCTAGAACAACATTGTCCCCGTGTCCGAGCTATCCCTCAAGGCGGATTACCACCTTTTCAAGGAGGGCGTTCGCCCAGAATGGGAGGACCCCCAAAACAAGCATGGTGGCAAGTGGTCATATCAGTACAAGGACAAGCGAAACATTGACATTGATTCGCTATGGCTTCACGTTATGCTGGCCGCCATCGGCGAAACTCTTGAGGACGAAGATGATGGTGAGGTGATGGGTGTCGTTGTCAACGTCCGAAAGGGCTTTTACCGTATCGGCGTCTGGACTCGTACAATCGGAAAGCACATTCCCAACCGTGGAGATGGAGACGTGGCCGGCGGCAAGGGTAGGACCCCAGCCAAGGGCCAGGAGGTTCTCTTGACCATTGGTCGCAAGTTCAAGGAAATCCTCAAGCTCCCCAACACTGAGGCGGTTGAGTTCTCTGGCCATACCGACAGCGCGCACAGTGGCAGTACTCGAGCCAAGTCCAAGTTCGTGGTCTAAAGCTTCCGTATCTAATTAATGAGAGTCTTCAAAACGATGGTAGTTTCGGGCGTTGTCTGGTAGAGGGTCGGAAACCGCGTGTTGCCTCGGATAGCCTTTTTTTCTTCCTTTTTATCTGCGAAAGGCCCCCATCAACTTTCCCGATCCCCAAAAGTTATCGTCTTTAGTTCTTTGTCTGGGCCAGCAGTGTCTCGTCAGATAGTTATACCTTGGGCTTGGGCCACAAGCAAAAATGTCTTATGACTAGCTATGGAATTGTCTCTCGTCAACGTCTATTTTGTTCACGCGATCACTTCTCTTCGCCGTGTTTTCTTCAAGCATCTTGGTTTTCTTAGAGCAACGGCCGCCCGGGACATAGACTAGCGCAAGGATCTGAATATTTTTTCCATACCCCTAGATCAAGGTGATCATTTATTGATTGAATTTATGGACCACGACCTAGGCCGGTACGGCAGATATCGTGAATGGCCATGATATGTCACGACTACCTAACTCACGGTGCAAAATAGCGCCAAAACAAAGTGCAAACGAGGTGATCGATGATGGTATATATAGAATTTAAGCTTACAGCCAGGCACAGGCTACTCCATTTTCTATAAGTGCGAACATGTACATAGATACATGGTATATAGACATCACATACATTTACATTTCGTCTCCGCTAAACTCTTCCGCAAACACCGCCTTCACCAGCTGTTTTTTGTTGATCTTACCCATGGCATTCCTAGGGATGTCATCCACCACCCTTAGGACCTGGGGAATCTTGTAATTCACGAGGCGGTCCCTGAGAGCGCGGCGCATGTCCATCGCCGACCACTTGGTGGCGTGGTCCTTGTCAAGAATGACGATGGCACCAACTTTTGGCCCCATTTGCCCGAGGGGATAGCCACGACGGCAGCCTCGGAGACCTCGGGGAGGGAGAGCAGCTCGCGCTCGACCTCGAGAGCGCTGACCTTTCGCCGCCGCTCTTGATGATGTCGGCACTCTTGCGGCCCTGGATGAAGTACATGTCGCCGCTGGCCCACTCATGGCCGCTGCCGCCTGCAGAAGGCACGGGCCTGCGGACTGCGACGTCGCCCGTCTTGAACCACTTGCCGAGGCCGTCCTCGCCCTCGACGAACTCGGAGGCGGTGGCGGTGGGGTTGCGCCAGTACTCGCGGAAGATGGTGGGCCCACGGAGTTGAATCTCTCCCGAGCGCTCGCGGCCCTGGGCGTCAATCTCCTGGCCGGGCTGGATGACGTCGCCAGAGTCGACGTCGACGAGGCGGGCCTGGACCGAAGGAAGAGGCCAGCCGACGCTGGCGTCGACCCTGTCGGCAAACCCGAGGCCGCAGCTGAGGGCCATGCCAACTTCAGTCATGCCGTAGCGTTCCAAGAGGATGTTGCCGCGGCTGAGATCTGCCCAGGCCTTCTTGACGGGGGTGGGAAGGGCGGCGGAGCCCGAGATGCTAACCCGCATATGGGCGGGGAGACGGCGTCGCGGGTGGGTTCCTGGAGCTCGGGGGTAGCGTCTTGTGCGTGGCGAGGAGTCTGCTGTACACGGTGGGGACGACGGTGAAGAAGGTGATCTTTTCCGGCAACGGCTTTCCCTCCTCGGCGGGGAGGAAGGGGGCGGCGAAACGGCGCCATACTTTGTCGGGGTTGAAGGGGAACATGAACTCGATGGAGCTGCCGGCGAAGAGCGGCGTGAGAATGGCGTTTACTGTGCCGTGAATGTGGTGGAGGGGTAGCACGTGGAGGAGGCGATCGGCGGGAGAATATTCCCACGCTTGCATCAGGGACTGGGACTGCGCTGTGAGGACGGACGAGGGGAGGAGAACGCCTTTCTGCGGTGGACGTTAGTTATGCAAGCCAATCTCGAAAGGGCAGGTTGAGGCAGGTGGTGCTAGCAAGGGCGTGCACTGTAGGATCGACTTACCGGTCGGTTCGTGGTCCCAGACGTATACAGCATCATGGCGGCATTTCCTGCGTCCTCGTTCTCCAAGGAAACCTGCTCATGCGCGGAACCGCCCTGGTGCTTCTCCAGCTGTAGGAACGCAGGCTTAACACTCAGCTCGGTGGCAAGCACCTCGGACGCCTTGCTCGCAAACTTGGCGGAAGATACTAGTAGCGAAGCCTCGGACTGATCTAGGATGTACTGCAGCTCCGCAGCCGGGAACCCCGGCGAGAGTGGGATAGCTATCGCGCGGGCGGCGAACGCAGCAAGAAGGGTGACTAGATGCGGGTGTCAGCCTACGGAACTGTTTTTGGGTCTACCTTGGATCGCTGGTCCTCGACAGCAATTTTGTTTTTATGGAGGAGAGGCGCATAGCTACTACGAGCGCGAGAATTGAGAATCTACACCGCGCTAGAGCTTAAAACACACGAACCTCTCTCCGAAAACAAAAGCCCAAAAGAAAAAGAAAAGAAAAAAACCAGTCACGCGCAACAACGTACCAACATAGTCGTAGCTGTTCTCAACTAGGAACGCGATTCGGTCGCCATTCAAGTCTTCCTTGCCAGCGGCTTGCTGGAACTTGTTCCTGGCCTTGCACACGTCGCCGAGGAGCTCGCCATACTTGAAGGTCCTTCCCGAGAGGGAGTGAACGGCGAGGGTAGAATCGGGATTGTGGCGGGCAATTGCGTCGAAGAGGGGTAGTTTCGGTAATGTGGACGCCATTCTGCAGAAAGAGGTGGAGCTAAGGTGGGAAATGGGAAGTCGTGTAAGTGAGCCGTGGAGCGAGGAAAATCTAATGAGGGAAGACTGTCGATTGACAGTCCGGAGACAAGGGGACCAATGCATGGTGAAAGGAAGGGGGAAAAGAGGGCCGGGAAAAAGAAGCAGCGCGATATTATAATAATACAGGGTCTAGCGGAACGGGGTTAATATGGGAATTAAGATCGGAGAAGCATCGGGGTGGAGGAGGAGCAGGCCAACGTCCAAGCCGGGCCTGGTTTCGTCGATTTTAGCATCTGCCGAATGTCGAACACAGGTGTTCCGACGGGTGAGGATGGGGTTTTGGTGGAGATTCCATGGACTGGTGACGAATAGAGAAATCAACATAAGGGGGTTGCTCCCTCCTTCTCTTTTCTCCCCTTTGCCCCGGGTTGTGCTAGTGGGATCAGCCACTCGGCAGAGCTTTACGCCTGGTCAACTGCTCCACTCCCCGTGTTTCTAGCCTAAACCTGCTGTGGCGCATGTGAAAAAGTGGAGGAGAAGCACTGACTTTGGAGTCTCCCGCGCCAACAATTGGGGCTTGCCCCAGGGGGACGGGACTTGTAGAGCCGTTACTCCGAGATTCTGGCTAGATTTCGCCCTATTGATGGGGAACCGGAAGGGTCAAATGACCAAGATGGTGCATCAATCACGGAGAACGCGGATATTCGTGAAGACGTCCAAGGGTAAGATATCACCGATCGGTATCAGCTACCAAGACAAAACAAAGGATCGATCTCATTACGATGGATTAGTAACTCGCGAGTTTTCCGTCGGACCTGCGCTTGACGGCCAGACTCGGAATATTCTTGGCCATGGGCTGGGGTTGGTTTCATTCAATATCTAGTGTCGTCGGTGAGAACCGGCTTGTTGTGGGCGAATATCAGCCCGATTCCAGCGTCAAGATCAATATCTTCTAACCTAGTCCGCTGGATAGGACAAGGAGACGCATCGGTATATCTATTGGTGGCGGAAGCTTTGACATCTAGCAACTGGGCACGTGGGAACAAGCCGTGAAGAGATGAATCGGCCAGGCTGTTTCCCAAAAGCATTGGAGAGAGAGGGCTATCCCTCGTGGATGACACTCTTACAAAATTGGGGGTGAAGTGCAAACTTGGTGCTAAAGTGCAATCGTTTCTGTTGCGTCTGCTGTCGTAATATGCTTCCAACACGAACACCATCCTCCTTGGCATTGGCCATCTCAAAGAGCCATATCTCCAGGTTTGGTACCAGTTTGGTATTCAAGGTTTCCACAAGTTCAGGGGTAGGTCATACGTCCATCAGGAGTAAAGGAAACAAGAGAGCTCCTTTGTGCCGACCAGGTGCTGGTGGGAGAGGAGAGGGAGAGGAACCGTTCGTAGTCGGGTGGGATCCGCGTGGCCACTCATTTTTCAATGGATGAAATTGATGCCATCTCCATCTCGAAGTGTGCGCCATACGGAACATGCTGCAGCCTGATTGAAATCGAACCGGTGTGAAAAAAGAAGAACACCGGGAACCACTCATGCAATGTGATTTATTGCCGTAACGGAAGTACAAGGATACTGTGCCGCGGAATCCCAAAATTGAGGCCTGAAAGGGAGGCTGTCTGCTGTGGAGAACTCGCGAAGGATTCTGCTCAACCAGGCATGTGCACTCTTCAAGGTTCAATGTTCCCTTTGCCCACTCGCGTTCCATTTACACTTCTGCGCACGACGCCCTGAATTCCGGGAAACTGACACCCTCTGCCCGGTTCGTCTTTCCCGACTGCGGGTGGCTGGCCTGCGAGGACTGTGGCCACTGGCTTCAACATTCCCGCGGTCGCCATGCAGCAGTGCCGGCGCATTCAACAAGTGTCATTAGATCGGGTCGCCGCGGGATTGGTTCACTCGGCCTTTGCGTCGGCCTGTCGATTCCGGCTGCCCGCAAGGGATGTGTGGCGCGCCGGCCCATTGCTGCCCATGCCAAAAGGATTGTCTGTCCCAGCCATGCAGCCATCCGTTATCCAATCGATCACCGCCAGAGGGGATGGTGAGTGACGGCGTCGAGGCCCAAGGCAAGCGGCGAGGGCACTAATGTGCTTCGTACCACTCTCGTGCAGGGGTTGTGCTGTCGCTGGACCCTTGGGGCCTGGTGCTCCAAGGAGAAATCACCTCTGGCGAACCCAGCCTATCGCGGGCTCGACAGTTTGCTAAATGCACCTCCCTGTTGTACTCCCCAGGCACTCATCTCGATCAATCATTGATTTGATCTCGCTGATCTTCGTGCCTTTCAAGGGGGTGACATCAGCGGGGGCCAAGAGACCCGTCAGGGGCTAGTCTCAATCCCGCTTCCGCCTCAGCGGCACCTATTTCTGTTCAAACGCGCCCAGAAATGGCGGGGAAGCCCAGCACAGTCTAACCACCCATCTCTGGATAGACCCCATCCATGGGTCAGACACCACTGGCCTGAGGACAATGTTCCAAGTACCAGTTGTCCCGTTGTCACCCTTTTGTTGACTGGGCTGGGCTTTGATCCACGCCAACTCCCGCCATGTTGTTGTCACGTCGCCCGAGGGCGGGAGAAGAAGAGGGAGAACGAGCAAAGATTGGACCAGATAAAAGCAGAGACGGAAGGGAAAAAAAGAACGAGACTGGAATGGACAAGAACAGAAAAAAGGCCCCACTATCCACCCATTGCCCCCCTTCCTCTTTTCCTTCCTTTTTCGACCTCTAAATTCTCGACACCCCGGTAATCCTTTCCCGCCAGTGCACTCTCGTTTTTTGTGACCCAAGCAATGCAGTCAACCTAAACCTTGCTTCTCATCACCGCCTCTTCTTCTTCCCCTCCTGGTCCATATGTGCTGTACCTGTATCTGCAGCGTCCGAGTGTGACAACCCCACCGCCCATACCCATCACTGCGTACCGCTACATGCAACCTGCCCGTCGAAAGCAACTCGAGCTTCTGTTTTTCACGACAACAGCGGTCTGGAGTTCCCTGATTGGGTGCCGTCGTGCTTTAGTCTGTTGTTGAAAATTCTCAGCTTTTCACCGACACACCGAATCTCTTTTTCTTGCTGCCCTGAGGTTGCGAGCGAGAGTGACAGAGAAAGTGAGAGAGTACTTGAAGAATCCCCATCCTCTCTTGTGCCTGGTTCGCCTCCCTTCTCTCTCCCTTCTTTCCCTTCCCTCCCTTTGCCAGATGGCTCTTAGCGCATCTCTTCGTCCCTTCCTCCCTCCCGCTCCTCCACGCCTCTTCACCTTACCCCATCCGGAAAGGATATCCAAGCTTGCCGTCCTGTTCTCAACCGCCGCGCATCCGCCTTCCCAACGCCCTTGCCTCCGTCTTGCTTCTAGTCCTCGGGTCGATACCTCGGCGAGCACTCCGCGCCCATCTCTAATCCCCAGTTCCGGAATGTTTCGCAGATACGCCTTTGGTTTTCCTCCCGCGAGGTCGTTGTCTACCATGTCGTCGGCAACATCTTCCAACACGCCCATCGAGGACGCGATCCGGTCCAAGGTAAGAATCTGTTGTTCCCTCCCCTCCCCTATGGGTTAAAAAGAAAAAGAAAAAGGAAGAAAAAAGAAAGGAAACCAGACCGCTTTTCACTACCCCGTTAGCCGTACGAGACACACCGGCGACCACATATCCCCAATCTCTAGTTGTCATTGCCATCTACGGACCAACTCATCGTGCTAACCTAGTGTGCTTTTGTGTGTCTTAGATCACGGCAGCTCTTGACCCGTCCACCTTCGAGGTGCACAATGATTCCCACCTGCACTCACATCACAAGGCCATGGTTGGCAACACGTCCAAGGAAACTCACTTTAGGTAGGGCTCTCTTTTGCCAACCTCTGGGTCTATTCTTCGCACTAGGAATCTTATCCAAGGACCCCTCTCCTCTTTCTCCAACGCTAACGTACTTCAAGGCTTGTCATCACCTCCAAGGCTTTTAACCAAAAGCTGCAATCCGCTCGCCACCGCATGATCTACGCCCTTCTAAGAGAAGAGATGGCTCGAGACGATGGTATCCATGCCCTCCAACTACGCACTCTGACTCCCGACGAGGAGGAGAGGCAAAACAACAAGGCAGCCGAGCAAGAAAGCCAGAAGAAGGAAGCCCAGCGAACGGAGGCCGAATAGACGACCCACCAAATCGCCCTCTCAGCTTCATCACCCCTCACCTCCCCCAAGTGTCAACATGCTTCTTGGTTTTTCTTCCCCTCCGCCTTTTTCTTCACACGTTTCCTCTCGTTCTTTGCTTTTTCACTCACCGTAGACTTTTTCACACCTTCTCAGGGTTTTCAAGATCTTCTGTTTCCTTGCTTTTCTTTTCTCTCGCTCTTCGCGGCTTTCTCGGGTTCTTTTTGGCCATTCGAACAATCCCTCACGGGCCTCTTCAAGCTTTGTACGCAATCTTGCTCTGTTCACATCATGACACATTTGCTTCCTGTACCGGATATACAAACCACTAGATCGATATCATACATCGCCCCTGGGCTCAAAAGGGGCTGTTTGGCGCCTAAAACAAACTGGAATCCCCTCTCCCCATGGTTCCCCTACTTGTTTGCCTCTCTTTTCCTTTTTCTTTCTTTTCGATTTTTCTTCTGCCCTCTTTGCGACCATGTGGTCCATTTCTTTTCACTATACCTACATATCATTTCCCCGCTCTGCCACTACTACTGCCATGGCCGCTCAAGAATCTTCTTTGGACTAGAACGTCTGCTCAAGCAAAACAATAACGAAGGGGAGAAGGCACCTGTTTTAGGGAAAGGATGGTTTACCAAGTTGAACTGGGTTAAGAGCTGGGTATCCCACAGTACCACTCATAGTATCATCGTCTTACGCGGCGACGAAAAAGTCTGCCCAAGTAGTCTCATAAAAACATTTTTTTGATCATATTCATTTATTGTCTTTGGGGTGCATTTTGCCTCCCAGGGTATCTAATATAGTGTTGCCTAAAACTACGGTGCAGTGACTCCCTTATCGCCAGCGGAGAAGATGGAAAAGAAAAATGATAAACTAAACGGTGAACCGTTATCATAATTAGACTGTGGCGGTTCCCGAGCATCACTTCCGTGGAGTTGGAGCTGGGGATGAACCAGCCCTCTCCGCCTTTTTCTCAGGAGGTGTAATCTGAGGGCATGTTCCCTTGACACTGATGCACTTGTACCCCTGTCTCCACCCAGTGATCTTCTTCCTGTTGGCTTTTGTACTTTGTCTTGGGTCAAGGAGGCTAGCGGACCCTTGGATGTCGCCTGCTTGGAAGACCTAGGCGCCCCTATCGAATGGCGAGTTGGACGTGCGGAAGTAGGCTTGACTGATGAAGAAACAGCAGTTGGGCTAGATTCTTGAGGGGAACGCGACATGGTGGGCCGGGTTACAGGAGGTAGTGTAGCCTGACGAACTGGGCTCGCCTCGCTTGGGGGCGCGGCAAAGCGGAGGGAACGTGAATTGGAGGAAGCTGTTCCGCGAGTGCTTGGGGTTCCTTGCCTGCCATTGTTACCCGGAACCTTCTCAAAAGGCGTGGGAGAGGACTCTTGTGGGTTGTTGAGAACGGCTTCGGGGCTATACAGAGGGGTCGTGGGGCTGAAATTCTTGAGGCGAAGGGGGTCTCAGCCACCGTTGGGTCCCAGGCTGGGGAGGGATTGAGACTCTGGCGGTGGTTAACCGCCTGCGCTAATGCAAACGGACTTGCCGCGCTGCGGTGGCGAGACGCTGGAGAGAATCTAGGCTCGGAAGCGGATTGTGATCCCGTAGATTCCACAGGGGATTGGTCTTCTGGAATCTGGGATCCCCGCGCAGACCTCGCTCGCCATTCAAGAGCTTGGCCACCCCTGACGCGGGATTCGATGGAGTGCGCCAAACAACCTGCGTTGAGCGAGGACTTTCTGATGATGGAGTCGAGGTCTGAGTGGGTGTAGCCGCGGAGCTCTTGTGCTGCTGCGACTCTCGGACATTATGGTTTGACGACTCTCGATAGGGTGTTTCTATATCGTGTCCATCTTCGGACCGGCCTTGTTTGAGGGGAGATGCCAGAGAAGAGCCAATAGAGTCGTTAGCTTCTCTCGCTACATCGGTATATACCTCAAATACGCGACTAAGAGTCTCTCTCGTGATGACCATCTTATCAAAAGCCGGCTTACCCCCGATGCTGTTGTACCACTGATGAGCGGGGAGTGGATTCGCGCACGAGTCTACATAGTCAACATAAGACCCTGAAAAGACTCGAATGAAATCGTCATATAGGTACTCGCTCAAAAGATTCTGGCTCTGCATGAACCTGAGGCATATAGCAGCTCTCACGAAGTTGTCCAAGGAGTCTGCGTATTGGGGGTAGGCTTGCCTGAACATGTCAAAAGGCGCCATTTCCTTTATGACTTTATCAGAACCTGAGGCAGTCAAAGATGGCGGGGCACCGCTTGCTGGATGTCTTTGACTTTGTGGTAATGTGGAGGCATCGGCACTGGACCCTTCGCCAGATACACACAACTGCTGTTTCTTCAGCGAGGGGCTTGCTTCAGACGCAAAGCTTGAGCGTTTGCAAGGAGAATCCTCCCGCTTGTCAGAAGAGATCTGGGTTAATTCTGGGGTGTTGCCTAGTAGAGCTTCAGCCGTGGATGTAGGCGATTGCTGAAGAGCGGGCCTAAGCTGCCCTGCCGAAAGACCCCTGCTGGTCAGGGCCGGTTCTGGCGTGATTTGGCTAAACGATGGTGCTTCCATCCGTCGGCGTCGTCGTCGTAGAGGCTCATTTTCAGGCATATTAGGGCTATGAGATGCCAAAGTAGAAGCGGACTGAGAGGTGGCAACTATGGTACTGTGCTTTGGCGAGGAGGCATTGGCCTGGCCACATGGCCAAGGTAGGTCGAAGGCCTTGGGTGACTCAAGAGTTGGTGAAGGGTCTGCGAGTTGGCGCACGGAAAGCTTATTAACGGGCTTCGACGTCACCTTCACGGCGTTCGGAACCATGACTTCCATCTCTTCCTCCTCATCCTGACTGCTGGCTAACCTTGCAGCGGGACTACTTCGCGTCGGAGTGCTTAAGGCCTCTGTTGGCCCATGAGGTGAAGTTGTTGCTGTAGCGAGACCATGGCGGGCTACATCGCCTTTGAGAGCTGGCAAAATGTGCTTGCTCGAGTTCAAGGATGCCTCGGGACTGGACCTGGCGTCGGCGCTATCATCGACGGTTGGCGAATTTATCTCCCGTGCTCTCACAGGTGTTTGAGAAGTGGATGGAGGAGTGCCCCTAAACCTTTCATTTCCCGGCCTGGAGGGACTTGATCTACCAGGCTGCGCTTGGTTAGGTGTGCGTTTATTCACCTCTGAGCTAGTCACAGGTGTGGCACCGCTGGATTGGACGCTGCCGCCATGACGGCGTCGATGAAATTCAATAAAATAATGAAGAACATCGGGGGAAGATTGATAACGCCAAGGCTGCTGTTGTCTGACTGGAGGCTTGTTATCCAGGAATCAGGTCGCTGAAGAAGACGATTCTGCTCCTTCGGAATTCTAATCGTCCGAGAACGATCAGAGAGCCTCGCTCTTTGTGAAAATGGAAACGTATCGTCCGTCATATCTGTCTCCGGGCATGCTTGCGCACGAGCGATTCTCCGCAAGAGAAATGGAAGGGAGTTGCGGATTTCTTGTTCAAGGTAGCCACACAAAGAATCTAAATTTGAATGGAGGAGTATAGAAGAGTTTCTTGAAAACCCATGGTGTTGAGCTATGCTAGACCACGGCCCTCCACACCCTGACGCAAAACCTGGCTGTCGTTAAGCATTGTGGTGGAAGGTGCAAACGCGTCTGCCCACGCGTAATGAATGCACCGATAAATGCATACCATCTTTACATAAGGAAAGCTCGCTCGAACGTTGTGAGTTGGCGGGGCTGGCTCCTAAACTATTTAGTGGACTGACCTGAGATTAATCAGCGGGCCTACCATCCCACTTGATGCAGTGTTTCGTGTAATACAGCCAGCACAGCGCCCGCTTCAGACCATCCTTGGTCAGCAGCGCTCAATTTCGGCAGGAAGACCAGTCGAGACTCCTACGGAAGGTACACCCCACACACGCATGGGAGCGGCACCCCAAACTTCTGCCTTGGAGGAGAGCGCTGTGATGCGCGCAACCCACGCAGGCTTGCTAGGGTCCACATCGATCAATTACAATCGGTCACGGTGGTTGTTCACGGTCATCCTTCTAAATTAAATAGCCAATCACATTGAAAGCTTCATTCCACTGCACTCACCACGCCCGTCTTCTCGCCCAGGCGATGACATAACTCGACAACCGAGACTTGATCTTCTCTTTACTGTATTCATTGGGCTTCGCACCAGCCGGGTAACCCTGCCTCACTGCTTCACCAACGGAACCTCTGTGGCTACATAGTCAATAGAGTCGTGAAAGCGAAGTTGCCAACCTGAACCAAACCAGGGTTCCACGAGTTCTTTCACCTGCAGCTCTCTCGACACGACTTGCCCGTCGCCGCTTGTCCTCCTACATTACGCTCCTTGATGTTCGTCCAGCCAACTCGCAAACGGAATAGCTGATCTCGCACATATAAAGCTCTAACCTCTTTCCTCTGCAACCGCGCGCTCACATTCCAACTCTATTTTCGATTTTTCTTTTTGAATCGGGTCACCGGTTTCACAACCTCATCCACCATAGCCGTTGTGCCCTGCGCTACCGAGAGTCTCCCGTAGGCTGCGATATTGAACCTAGAAACCTCGTCCGCTGCCCCTACGCATGGATGTGCCTTAACCATCCTGTGTAGGGCATTGTCCCTCGACCTCCCCAGATCGTCGTTTATCCAATACCATTCCTCTCGCCTCGCCGCCATGGCCCCGGCCGCTACCAACCTTCAACCATCGAACTCTCCCCGGCACTTCCAGAGACGCCGACCACTGATACGGCATCTAGGCCACGTCGAGCTTCCGCTACGTCCAACGCCCCTTCGGTGGCGACTTCTGGCACTGGTAGGGATCGGGAGCAACGCGCCCAAGCTCTTGACCTAATTCATACATCTGCAAGTCGTACCGATGCCCTCACCACCTTTAATGACTTCACTGCGCCACCTCGAAAGCCGACACCGGTCACGGAGAGCAGAGGATTGGCTGGTGATCTAGTCCAGCAGGGTCTAAGCAGCCTCTACACAAGATTCAAGGAAGCTGTTGGCGGGGGTGCCTCCAAGCCTAGCTATGAGACGGACGACTCTATATTGCAAGAGCCCGGTTCAAGACGGAACTCTGCGATCTCGAACGTAGACCTCAGCATTGCTATACCTTCTCCGTATGCCAGCACGGGGCATGCTTCCTCCACCCTCGCTGCTGAAATGTCCCCAACCGGCGTGCTTGCGAATCAAAATCACCTAGGCCCAGCCGGTACAGCTTCCGGCGCAAAAGTCTCCTCTTCCGGTCGCGCGAGCATATCAGGCGCCACACATGTTCTCGCAAGTATGGGTGCAGACGGCTCCGGTATAGCCCCTTCCGCTCCTCAGGAGACACCTCGAACAAATGTCCCGAGCGAGGACGGACTGAGTCGCTTATCTGGCAGTCGGAGAAGTTTATCAAAAACCGAGTTGGCGACGATCTCACCCCCTGTATCTGAACTATTGCCAAATATTTATGACGTAACAGAACAGACTAGCCTACCAACTGAACGGGCCCCCAGCTCTGCTCGCATTACGCGAGACGAGACGACTGGCGCTGATCTCGTCGGCGAATTACCGCTTAGCCCTGTCAAGTCCACCGCGGCATCTTCGATTCAATCACATGATCGTCGTCCTTCTTCCGTGACTCCGGGAGCCTTGGGACGGACGCCTGTCGTCATTGAGCGCATTGCCAGGCCGCGCTCACCGACTCATGGGCGGTCTCACTCACACTCCTCATCAATGGCCGCCAGCGTTGTCGATACCGCCCAGGTCAACACTGCAGCGCAAATCTCCCGTTATCGCGAGCCAAAGGCCAACGACAATCGCCAACCAGCACTTCATCCCAACGACCTTCGTGTGCCGGGTGTGGAGGGGGTCAGCGAGCAAGTCAATGTCAGGCTTGAAAAATGAAGAAACAAGTCCTCAGCAAGGAGTTTTGGATGGCTGATGAAACTTGTAAAGAATGCTTTCTTTGTGGGAGCGTCTTCAATGTGGTGAGGCGGAAGCACCACTGCCGAACATGCGGCTGCATTTTCGATTCGAAATGCACCTCAATCATTTCAGGCCAGAAATTTGGAGTGTCTGGCAGCATTCGCGTTTGCAAGACTTGCTTAGGGGTCATCAATCGTCGATATGACACAAGCGGTTCTGACGACTCTGCGGATGACTCCTATCTCCCGGCGATCTTTCGCTCCAACCCCGAACACTCTAATACGGGACACAAGGTAACCAGGTTCGTCGAGCCTAGGCCTACTGTTCCTGAGGACGGACCCTCATCTTCTTCACAAGCTTTGGAGAGGGGTGAAAAGCAATACGATCGCTCAGGTGCGACGCCAATGATGGCGATCCCAGCCACACGAAGAATGGGCGAGTCCAATCGAAACTCTGCCATTCTCGAAATTGACGCGCCTGAATTGACCCGACCGGCCTCTTCGCGATCCCTTAGGTCATTGGCATCCTCACGCCCACAATCCGCAGGCCACAAGCGTCATCACTCGAAGCATACAACTCACGGAAAGTTCAAAACTCTGACATCTGACCAACGAGCCCCATTTCGTAAGGGCCTGCACGATGAGTTACACCGCAAACATCATTTCCCTGCTTTCCACGAAGACAATATCATCGACCCAGACCTGGCAGCCTACATGTCAGATGAATCCAGTGCTGATGAACAAATGGGCATTTTCGCTACCATGTCTAGCGCAGACCTCCATTCCACAAGCTTTGACGAAAAGGCAAACTTTGGCCCCCTTTACGCGGCGGGGAAGAGGCACCGCGCTCGTGACAAGAGTATCAGCGGAATGAGCTTCACGAGCCGAGGTCTTGACGACACGATTGGTATCGGCGGCCATTTTGGCCACCGTGCTTCGAGAAGAAGGAATCTGAGCAACGTGAGCAACAGCGTGCACCATATGCGCTCCCCACGACCGAAGTCGGGAATTTTCAAGGGGCCCTCCACATCAAACGACATGGTCTCCTCCTTTGAGAACCCGTCTCAAGAAACCACCAAGCTGACGAGAAGTGAATCTCTACGGGGCGAAAAAGCGCCGCAGATGGAGTTGAACCCTTCTAGTAAACGACACGTGCAGAAGCTGCTTCGCCAGCTGCTTGAAGACGCTAGTGTACCTAATCCTGCTGCTTGGGAAAAGGCTCTAATCCCTATTCTTATACAATGCACCGACGATGTTACTCCTGACGTCCGGCGGGGAGATGACATGGACATCCGCCACTACGTTAAATTCAAAAGATACCAGGCGGAAAGCCAGGGGATACGAGTTACGTATCAGGACTCATCTTTACCAAGAACCTTGCGCTCAAAAGTATGCCTCGTCGAATCATCCGGCCTCGCATTGTTATAGTCTCTTTCCCTATAGAGTACCAGAGACACCAGCAGCATTTTATGAGCTTGCAGCCCGTAATCGAGCAAGAAAAGGAATATCTGCGCGTCGTGGTGAACAGGATTGTCAAGCTCAATCCCCAGGTCCTTTTATCTGAGAAAGGGGTCTCTGGTATGGCGCTGGAAATGTTATCGGCTGCTAACATTGCTGTCGCATACAATGTCAAGCCATCCGTGATCGAGGCTGTTGCGAGGTGTGCTGAAACGGACGTTATCTCGTCTCTGGACATGCTCGCGCTGCACGTTAGAGTCGGGCAGTGCGACGGCTTCGAAGTGAAGACTTATGTCAACAACAGCTATCGCAACAGGAAAAAGTCGTACATCTTCTTATCCGGTTGTAATCCGAGCCTCGGTTGCACGATTGCCTTGCGGGGCGCCCCTACTGCAATCCTTTCGAGCGTGAAAAACATCACGGATTTCATGGTGTACGTGGTGTACAACCTTAAGCTTGAGACTTGCCTCATGAGGGACGAGTTCATACACCTACCAACCGAGGAATTCGACTTTTCTCTACCGTCAACGATGAGGCAGACGACGGATGGTAGTTTTAGCACCTCCATTCAAACCAGGCAATCTGATCACACCGGGCCCGGTCCCACTGTGGTCATCAATGCACCAGAGAGCGAGCCGCCTTCGCAAACAGCTATGGATACGGGGAGCGACGGTGAGACTGCCATCGTCCCCCGGCGATGCGACTAGTGCTCAGGATAGTCAGTCCATCAGTAGCCTGCCTCCTCCTTCTGATGCGTCCCCGCACCTCACCATGCCCCAGTCCCCGAAGATATCCCAATGCCTACCTATTATAGCGATATGGTCGCGAGGTACGAGACGAAGATCCTCTCAGCTTCGCCATTTGTGAAGTTCGCCCAACCGTACCTACTGATGCGGGCTCGGGAGCAAGAGAGACGTCTAGTTTATCTCAAGCGGTTGAGAGACCAAGATCTAACTGAGAAACCTGACGACCCGGAAGCGTCAGAAGTGCAGCCCTTCCAGCTCATTAAGCCAGAGACGGTCCATTCCCTTGGCCAAAAGGCTCCAGGCCAGCTCAAGGAGATCATCCATGCTGTCCACGATGCCGAGTATGACAAGGCACTCCACAATTACCAGACCCATAAGCGACAATGGGAGAATTACATCCAGGGGAACATCAATCTATTTGATCCTTACTCCCATCAAAACATCGTTGTGCTGTATTCTGTCATCTGCACAGAGACTAAAATTCCATGCGTCGAACCCGGTTTGATCACCATTGGTTTCTATGACGAGCAGCACATGGATACCGGAATGGACCCCGACTGCACGTTGGGGCAGTATATCGAGGACCTGTGTATCTCGAAAGAATCTGTTTGCGCGTCCAACGGCTGTGATAAGCCAATGCTAGAGCATCATCGCACGTATGTCCACGACGAATCCCGAATTACAATCTTTCTGGAGGCCGCGCCTGAGGCGCCATCACCACAGACGTTCGAGGATATCACTATGTGGAGTTACTGCAAAGTTTGCGAAAAGGATTCTCCTGCTATGCCCATGTGTGAGAGCACTTGGAAGTACTCTTTTGGGAAATATCTTGAGCTTCTATTCTGGAGCAGAGGCCTACGTCTAAACGAAAAGGCGAACTGCCCCCATGACCACCACAAGGATCACATTCGGTACTTCGCATGGCACAACACGCGGGTTAGGATCCATTATGATCCGATTGATCTGTTGGAGATTGTTGTACCTCGCTCACGCATCACGTGGAAGGTTGAGAACGATTTAAACTTGAAGAATGACATTTACACGAAGACGGAGGAGAGATGGAACCGTTTTATGGTGTCTGTGACATCACGCCTCAAGAATATTCGCATAGACGTCGTCCTTCCAGAAAAGGCCGAAGCGTGCAAGGCGGAAGTTGACAAGCTAACGAAGAAGGCAGCCGATGACCACGCACGGCTCATCCGCCGGATGCAGCAGATCTATGTTAACTCCAAGTACTATGAGGTTATCCCCTTCAACTCGGCCATTCGCGAAATGCTTGGAGTCGCCGGGGAGTGGGATACTGCCTTCGCGCAATTTGAAGCCGACTTCCTCCCAGATAAGGACGTGCGCCAGTTGACCGTGTTGCAGTTGAAGAAAATGTTCACGGATAACGAATCGCGTGAATCACTTCCCACGCCCGAGAGCATGCTATCCTCCACTACAGAAACCCTTGACACCACGCCAACCGTTGATGGCGACGAGCGCGGCTCGCAAACCTTCACCGACTCTGAACCGAAATCTTCCCAGCCTACAGAATATACTGACCCAAGCCTCTCTAGTAGTCGGGCCTTAGTCAAGGGGAAGACCCGACAACGCCGGTGCAGCTCCCCAAGGCGTTGACGGAGGCTGACGAAATCATGGAGCGTGTTGAGCCTCTGGATCTTGCTACCCCCGCACCGATCACGCCGCATCATGCGGCGTTCATCTCCCCGTCGCCAGCAAACCCTGCAACGCCTGGCTTCTCAGTTGATGAGAATCCCGGTCTGCAGTCAGAGGCTGGCCCCCACGACCTTGCCCTCCTGAGAGGCCCGCTATCTCCGAGGGCGGCAGCAATAATTTTAGGCAACTCATCCTCAGACAAGTCTTTAAAGGAGAAGGTTGAGCAACTGAAGCGCAGAAATCAAATGCTACAGGATGAGCCAGGACCCATTGTTCGTCAAGCGACCGCAGAAACAGTGAAAAGCATGATTCCAGAGCGCATCTCTTCGCGCAAGCTTGGTGCAAGCATTTCGCCGCCGATGATTAGATCTCTGACGCAGCCCAATGTTCGACAACTGCCCAAGGCACATGGACTGCGACTGATCGAGGCCCCCACGATTGAAGAGGGCGCACTTAAAGTCGAAAGAAAACTATCCGATCGGATTGCCGGAGCCTTGAAGTCTCGTAAAACGGGACCGCCGTCGTCGATCCCTAGGCTTGTGCAGAAAAAGAGTCAAAAGTCAGCACGCTGGCCAAGCATTTTGAGCAACTCAGCCGCGAATTCGAGAACCAGCGGATCCGCGATCGAAAGAAGAGGGCAGAGAAGATGAAGCAACGCCAGCCTCGAACGGTGCTACCCCGAACCTCTACTGCTGCTATCGTCGAAGTGTACGAAGATGTCGACGAAGCGGTCCAGGAACACGGTCAGATCGAGATAGAGCGACAGCCTAGCCCAGACGTGTTAGAGATGGCTCCGGCTAGAGGCAGAGGTAAAGGCAAAGAGCCGCAGGCCTTACCAAGGAGCGACACGGTCACGCCGACAGCCACGCCCCAAAGTGAGATTCCACCCCAGGGACCTACCGACGGTTTAGGTTCCGCCCACGCGGAAAAAGAGGCGAGCAGGTCAGCGATCGAAACCGGGGCGGACACCGAGGCGGACACCGAGGCAGACACTGAGGCGGACACTGAGGCAGAGACCGATGCAGTCGAACCCAGCCGAAACGGTTCTGATGAAGAAAACGGCAGCGATGGCGAGCGGTCTCAGGATGACGATCTCTTGCGAAACGTCAAGGAGATTGCGGACTCTCTTGAACCATCAACAGAAGAGCTTCCGAAGCATCAGAAAACGAGCTTGCTCAAAATGCTTACCAACTTCTGGGCCGAGCGGTCATCGAGTGGATGGCAGCCGCTAGACTATCCCGTGGGCATGGGAGACCACGTCTTTATGGACTCAGATGTGGTGGTGCGCGAGGACGAGCCTAGCTCTCTCATCGCGTTTGCGCTCAGCTCGGAGGATTATCAAGCGAAGCTTGCCAATATTCGCCACCAGTGGCACCTACAAATTCATCGGAGCGGCGACGAGGACATGGCCGAACCTAGGTCTGTGTCTACGTCGGGCAGTGGCCTGTTCCTGCCAGAGTCTCACGACGAGGACCTGGAGAAGGGTCTCCTGCGGTCGACTGGTACTCACCTCAAGTATCAGTTTACCGAAGGCTCGGCTCGGATGACGTGTAAAATATTCTACGCAGAGCAATTTGACGCTCTTCGGCGAAAATGCGGGGTTGCGGACCGCTTCGTGGAGTCCATGTCGCGCTGTCTCAAGTGGGACTCCCGGGGTGGAAAGACTAGGGCGGTGTTTTTGAAGACCCTGGATGACCGGTTTGTTCTTAAATCTCTCTCGTCGGTGGAGACGGCGGCGTTCCTCCGCTTTGCCCCCTCATACTTTGGCATCATGGCGGAAGCGCTCTTCCACGACCTACCATCAGTCATCGCCAAGATGGTTGGGTTCTTCCAGCTCTTTATTAAGAATCCAATGACCAGCACGGATATTCGCCTCGATCTACTTGTCATGGAAAATCTCTTTTACGACAGGTCACCAGGCAAGATATTCGACCTCAAGGGTTCCATGAGAAACCGCAAAATCCAATCGACTGGCGAGCAGAATGAGGTCCTCCTTGACGAGAATATGGTGGAATATATCTACGAGTCGCCACTCTTTGCCCGAGAACATTCAAAGAAGCTCCTGAGAGCATCTGTAGGGCCCCCTCTAAATGATGTGAAGTGGAAGAAGATTACAGTTACTAACAAGCAATGCCTTAGGTCTGGAACGATACGCTCTTCTTAGCTAGACAGAATGTCATGGACTACTCCCTCATGATCGCGATCGAGGATGAGAGGAAAGAGCTCGTCGTCGGCATCGTTGATTGCATCCGGACGTATACTCTAGACAAGAAGTTGGAGAGCTGGATCAAGGATCGAGGATTTGCGGGCGGAGGCCGCAACCGACCGACAATCACCAGCCCAAAGGAATATAAGTCTCGGTTCCGAGAGGCAATGGCAAGGTACTTACTATACATCTCCCCCTCTCAAGAGAGCCCTAAGGCCTGGATAGCCCTCGCTAACACCTCTCTCCCTTGAAGATATATTCTACAAGCACCCAACTGCTGGCATCAATTCGGCGGCGTCTCTACGGGACTCAAGCCGCGGTTCGAAACTGACATCCATCACGAGTAATGCGGATCCTTTTTTGTTTCCACCAGCATGCGTAGGACATGGCGACTGCTGGTGTAATCGCTCTGTGTATTTACACGTTCCCCGTTCATTCCGGGGTATACGGAGTTGTCGAGATGCATAAATCCCCTTCTTTTTCTCCTCCACCCGTCATTTTCTCATTCTTTTCTACAGCAGCGGGCAAGGTGTAAGGAACTAAGAAATCATTGTATACATGTGTTGATAGACTGGGCAACCAAGGGTCCGTTTGGCCCAACCTTTGATAGTCTCGTTGCTTTACTCTTCGATTTTAATTTATAATGCGACGCATAGACCCGAAGTTTTAAGGGAGTCTTGTCAAACCGTCACGTCGCCCAGAATCTCAGTAGTTGGGTTCAACTTCTCTTATTAGCAGCGGGTTGAGGGAAGCGCGCTGTTTGCCCCCTCGGCCTCTACTAGTTGAGATCAACTCCAACATCTATCGAAGTATTGGCTCTACCCGTTCCTCTGTGCTTTCCCTCTTTATCCAATTTTATAAGATACATGTGGTCGGCGACGCCCTTTCGTAGCCCGTACACACATCATACGTTGACATTTGCATGGCTAACAAGGGTAGTGGGAACATATACAATGCTTCTGTGGGTGGAGGGGCATCTTTGTCATCGTGAATGGAGATTGACTTTCGCTATGAAAAATCCGGGCTAGTTTGCAGCACTAATTGATCTGTTGGATTTCAAAAGATTCATAGATGCTGCCGACTTGAAACGAGAGGAAGGAAACATCACAAAGCACCAAAAAAGCAGGGTATGCAAGTGACGCTGGATGTTTGGGGGTGGAAGATCAACACTGGGGATTAATTGCAACAAGTACGGCAGAAATGCGCTAAAGCCATCACCGTTGAGGCTTCATTCTCGCTCTCACCCACTGACACTCTGCCATTTCCCGAGGGGCCTCCCTTTGCAGACTAAAAAATGTCCATCGACCTGAACTGGGAGACTCTGACGACGGGGCCCGATGGCGACGCCTTGGCCCTTCGCATCCGGGATTTCATCCACGATAAATTCCAAACGATAAAATTGCCCCGTTTCCTGAAATCCGTCACCGTCCACGCCTTCGAGTTTGGCTCCGTTCCGCCGGAGCTGGAATTGAAGGACATTACGGATCCTCTGCCCGACTTTTACGAGGCGGAGATGGAGGACGACGAAGAGGACGAGGAGGATTACTTGCGGGGGCTCGGGGCTGGCGACGAGCTCTACAGAAGACCTGGGCCCCCTGTCGCAGGAGAGGCGTAGGCGAGACGAGGCCGCCCAGCGAGCGGCCGTTCCCCTGCCGCGCCTCAACTTGGCGGGGCGGTCGATGCCCGACCTCTCCAGCCCGTTTCTCGGCGTTGGCACCCCGGGTATCATGGGGGCGCCAACCGGCACTACTTTCAGTCACACATCACCTCGGGCTGGTCGGGGACCCAGACGCCGCTCGCGGCCGTGGCGGGGGTCACTTGGGCAACGCGAGCTGGCTTGAGAACCTGCCCACGACCATGTCGGCTTCCCGGTACGAGGACGTGACGCCGAGCCATAGCCGGAACGCGTCGCAGAGCTCTGTGTCGGAGCCGGATTTTGTGTCGTCTCTCGCGCCGCCGGCGGGGCCCTGCGCGAGAAGTCGAGCGTGTCCACGCTGGCGCCGACGTCGGCGGGGCAGTCTAGGCCGCCGACCAGAGATGCTATGCTGTCCGGGTCGGCCATTGCGGAAGAGGACGACGAGGAGGAGGAGGAGGAAGGCGACGACGTCGACAACCGGGGACCGCAGGAGTCGCCGCCCATTGCGGAGACGCGCACCTTGAGGGAGCCGAGGGTGGAGGATATGCAGGCTGTGTTCCGCATCAAGTACGCGGGCGACATCAAGCTGCGGCTAACGGCCGTGATTTTGCTCGATTACCCGATGCCCAACTTTGTCGGCATCCCGTCAAGCTCAACATTACGGGGCTCACGTTTGACGGGGTGGGCGTGCTCGCCTACATACGCAAGAGGGTGCACTTTTGCTTCCTGAGCCCCGAGGACGCGCTGACGGCCGTGGGGCTCGAGGCGGGCGAGGAGGAAGGCGAGGGGAGAAAGGCCAAGTTTGGCGGCTTGCTGCAGGAGGTCAAGGTGGAGAGCGAGATTGGGGAGAGGGAGGCGGGGAGGCAGAGCCTGAAGAACGTGGGCAAGGTGGAACGGTTTGTTCTGGAGCAGGTGAGGAGGATATTCGAGGAAGAGTTTGTGTACCCGAGTTTTTGGACCTTTTTAGTTTGAGTAGGCATGATCAAAGGAAGGGAAAAATTAAAGAAAAAAATATCATCACACATTTACTGCTACAGTTATCACACCATCATCTGCCAATCCTACGCCGACGAGGCGCTCACGACAACGTCCTCTTGAAACCCCCATAGGCCTGCTGGATATCGAGCTCGAGCTCCCTCGCTTGGTCCTCGCTCAGTTCATCCGTCGCCTTCATCTGGTTCAGGGTGATGAGCCACTGCACAATCTTGCCCCTGTTTTCAAAGTCCTTGTCGGTCACCCGGTTGACCGACTGTATCACGTCCGACAGGAGCGGGTGGAGCTGGTCCTTGGAGAGCAAGCCCAACTTGACGGCGTCCAGGAAAGTAATAAACTCCTGCGTCGCCTCGGCGATCAGTACGCCGTTGGCCGCTCCCACGCCTGGTGCTGGTGCGGCCGCAGCCGTAGAAGAAGCCTGGACGGTCGTGGCGGGCATGCCCACGCGGATGCGCTCTGTTGCGCGGGGACCTCGAGCTATAGTTTGGCAGCGCCTTAGCCCATGAAGTAGATGGTGGGCCGGGTCGTGCGGGCGACAGGCGAGGAGGGGCTCAGAAGGGTTTACTCACATCCCACTTGGCTTTAAAGTCCTCTAGGCTCACAAATGCCTTGCTTACGGTATCGTCGGCCAGAATCGATTTATACTGCTTCAGCGACCGGTCGCATATCTCGGCGTACTCGCCCTCGGGAATGGCATCTTTGAGAAAGGCCTTTTCAAGCTCGTCGAGGGTCACCAGGATGCTAAAGATTTCGGCGAGGGAGTCGTGGAGGTCTCGCTCGGCGCGGTTCTCTGCTAGTTTTACTTCCTGCAAGATATGGGTGGAATCACCAGCCGGTTAGAATGGGCGGGGCGAAGCTCTGAAGTTGGTGGGGTAGTCGATCACTGCGGACGAGGGCATAGAGGGCATAGGGAGCATAAGAAACGAACCTCGTCGAGGTTGATTGTGGCAGATAGTGTGGTATTTGGCACATAGCTATGGGGAGTCGGGGCATAGGGCTGTCGTGACATCATGATGGACAAACGCCGTAGCAGGGAGAGCTCACATCTCGGTGCCTTGAAGCTTCGTCTGTCGCTCAATCAATTAATAGAGCGCTAACAAATGGAGGGGGAAAATGCCATGGCCGTATTACCTCAGGTGCTCTCCCGAGTTACATGGTACATCGTTAGGCGGCAGAATGACACCTGCGCCCACCGCCTCCCGTTTTGGAATAGCGTACTCTCCGATAAGGTGCCCCGATAAGCCCCACCGCAAAATTTTTGGGAAAGCGAAGGTTGATATTTTTTGGGGGCAAGCGATTCGTCCTTTGGCTGCGCGGGTCCTGCCAAAAACTTTTTACAACCAAGACCAGACCGCCTGACAACGTTCCCGAGTCCAGGCAGACCAAGCCCTTGCGCCGTTCCAATTGAGCTGCCCATCATGCCTGTAACCAAAAAGAACCTCAAGGCGACCAGGAAGTTCGAGAAGAACCACCTCAAGGGGTGCTCGACAAGCGCAAGGCCGGCGCCAAGATCAAGCAGCGGAACCAGCTCATCGAGAAGCGCAAAGCCAAAAGTCCAAGGATGCCGAGTTCTACAAGAAGGACAAGCCCGGTGACGATATCAGGACGACGGGGTCAAGAAGAATGCCAAGGTCAGCGAGATGAGCGTCGACGACTTTTCAAGGGCGGCTTCGAGTTCGTCGATGACAAGAAGGCCGCCGATAAGGCCTCTAAGCTGGGCAAGAGGAAACGACCCGAGCCCGCTAAGAAGTCCGAGGACAAGGGCGATGAGTTGGACGAAGAAGATGAACAGGAGGGGACGACGACGACGATGCATTCTCTGACCTTTCTGCCGACGACCCCATCATGAGCGACGGTGATGACGAGGGCGATGAAGACGACGACGATATGGGCATGTCGAAAAAGGCCATGGATGACCTTGCGACAAAAGATCCAGAATTTTACAAGTTCCTGAAGGAGACCGATCCCGAGGCCCTCGACTTTGACGAAAACGCCGACCTTGCCGAAGTCGATGCCCTGTCCGCCAGCGAGGACGAGGGCGAAGATGAGGACGAGCAGCCCAAGAAGAAGCAGAAGAAGGAAAAGAAGGCCAAGCCCGAGAAGCAGGCGAACAACCGCACGGAACTGACCGTTGAGGCCGTGGCCAAGTGGAAGCAATCCATGATCGACAACCACTCCCTCAAGGCCGCTCGGCAAATCGTGCTGGCCTTCCGCAGCGCCGCCCACGTCAACGAGGCGGACGACGAGGACGACAAGAGGAACAAGAACAACTTTATCATTTCTAGCCCCCAGGTCTTCAATGACGTCCTGGTGGCGGCACTGAGGCATATCCCCGCCGTGTTAAATCACCACCTACCCATCAAGGAGTCTGCGGCCGGCAAGCTCTACGTGCAGACCGAGTCCAAGAAGTTCAAGACCCTCTCCCTTCTCCTCAAGACCTACACTGCCTCCGTCATCCACCTCCTCAGCTCCTTGTCCGACGACAAGACGCTCAAGCTCACGATATCTTCTCTCGAGCCCATCCTCCCCTACCTCCTTACTTTCCGCAAACTGCTCAAGGGCCTGATCAAAACCGTTGTCCACTTCTGGTCCCAGGTCGCCAGCTCCGAGTCCACCAAGATCACATCCTTCCTCGTCCTCCGGAGGCTCGTCGTCATCGGTGACAAGGGCGTCAGGGAATCGGTGCTCAAGATGGCCTACCAGGGTCTCATCCAGGGCTGCCGCGTCACCAACTCCAACACGATACAAGGCATCAACCTACTCAAGAACTCGGGCGCCGAGCTGTGGGGCATCGACCAGAACGTTGGCTATACAACGGCCTTCCTGTACATCAGGCAGCTGGCGCTCCACCTCCGCAACAGCATCGTCCAGAAGAAGAAGGACTCGCATCGCATCATCTACAACTGGCAATACGTCCACTCGCTCGACTTCTGGTCCGTCGTCCTTTCGGAGCACTGCAGCCCCCTCAAAGAGGCCGAGGCTGGCAAAGAGAGCCAGCTCAAGATGCTCATCTACCCCTTGGTCCAGGTGACCCTCGGTGCCATGCGCCTCATCCCCTCCGCCACCTTCTTCCCCTCCGCTTTCACCTCATCCGCTCCATCCTCCGCCTATCGCGCTCCACGGGCACCTACATCCCCGTCGCTGCCGCCCTCCTCGAAGTCCTCAACGCCGCCGAGATGAAGAAGCCCTCCAAGTCATCCACCCTGAAACCCCTCGACTTCAGCGTCAATTACAAGTGCCCCAAGTCCTACCTACGCACCCGCACCTACCAGGATGGCGTCGGCGACCAGGTCGTCGAGCTCATGAGCGAGTACTTCCTCCTCTGGGCCACCAACATCGCCTTCCCCGAATTCTCCCTCCCCGTCGTCATCCAGCTCAAGCGCTGGCTCAAGCAGACCCGCCGCAAGTTTGTCGGCAACAAGAACACCAAGCTCACGTCCTCCCTCATCACCCTCGTTCAGAAGATCGAGGCCAACGCCACCTTTGTCGAGGGCAAGCGCGCCAACGTTGACTTTGCCCCCAAGGACAGGGCCCAGGTCGACGCCTTCCTGCGCGACTTCGACTGGGAAAAGACCCCGCTCGGCGCCTACGTCTCCGCCCAGCGCAAGATGCGCGCCGAAAAGGCCAAGCTCATGGAGGAGGCCCGCAAGGACGACGAGAAGAGGAGGAAGGAGGACGAGGCTAATGCGGTCAACGGCGCCAACGAGTTCGACGATGCGGAGGAGTACGATGACGAGGATGAGGAGGTGGATTTCCTAGGCGAGGATGACGAGGATCTGGATGGCGAGGATGATGGAGATGATTTGGATGATGAGTAAATCTGGCCGGTTGCTGTGTGTCCTCGGCAAAGAACCAATTCTTTTTCTATATCAACTATTTGGTGTTTTTCTCCTTTCTCTTTTGTGTGTAGTCATAATGGGCATTTAAAAAAGCATGACGACAAGTGGTGGTGCTGTTTATATCCATCATCTGACATCATTTTGGGCTAATAGCCTTTGTTTTTAACAGTGTTCTTGACAACGGAATCATCCCTTCCACGCATGTGCAAAACCCCTGGAGAACAGTTTCGCAGAGAGCGAGAGCTTTGATTCCCTGCCAATTTGATATGAAAAATCCCATTCGTCCATTCATTAAGTGGTGAAAGTAACTAAAAATCCCAAAGGGTTCCTCACGCGATAGCGCATCAGAATCTCCGCTCGCGAACGGAAACAAGTAAAAAAGAGTCTGATATGATACAGGAGAAATGCTATACTCTGCCCCTCTACCGGATGCTTTTGGACATTGTTATCTTTTCGTGTTCAGCAAACGGATGAAGCAGAAGTCCCACTCGAGATGCTTTTGTTTGTAAAGGCACGCTTCCAGCAAGCATGGAACATAGATATATGATGGGGGAAAAAGAAAACACTCGAGTATGCCCGATAAACGCCCAAAGAAACAACATGAGAAAAGCACTGGTAAAACATACTCCCTAGTACACCCGATACGATGCCTCCAATGTGTCATTCTGGACAAGAGATAGCCACCACACTCGCACAAAACCCCGTACTCCAACCCGCCCGGCCACCGCGGGCTCTCTCTCCCGATCCTCCTTTGATCCATTACAACAGTGAACATGGGGCGGGCCTCCACTACCTCTCTCCCCTCAGCCTTCAATACCGTTCCAGGTGATGTTGTCCGTGACCTCCTGACCGTCATGCCGGTGATGCTATAGATTGTCATCTCGAGCTCGTTCTCGCTCATCTCCTGGCCTGCTTGTTTCTGGCCCTCGAGAACATCGTAGAGGGCATAGATTTGATCATTCTTGACCTCGAGCTTCTTTAGCATGCTCTGGATATCAGCAGCGAGCTCGCGACGGTCCCGCTTGCCGTGGGACTTGTCGCTGAGGTTGTACAGCGCTTGAAGCTTCGTCAGTTCCATACTCAAGTGGGCAGCCTCATCCTCGAGACCCTTGATGACAAGAGCCAGAGCCTGGCCAGGCGGCTGCGAAGGACGCATGGTTGGATCTTCCGAGACCTCGTTCATACGATCCGTCACAGCGATGGGTCGGGGCACCACAATCCTCTTCTTGCCCTCCGCCATCTCAGCAGCGGACACGGTTCCCTGATGCCCGACGATGCGGCTGCAGACAACGCAGTTGCGGCAGCTGTGGTCGCAAAGGTTATCAAGGATGCGGCGGGCCTTTTCAGAAAGGGCGGGACAGGGCTTCCTACCCAGTCCGCTTGCTACACTATTCATCGTGTTTTCCATCGTAGCTTGGGCAGCTGAAGCAGCCGGTCGACGGGGCGTGCCCGACGCAGATGCCTGGTTGTTGATGTTGATGGTGCGCCTGCTACTCCGCTGCGTCTTCGTCGTTGAGTGCACAGTCTGCGACCTGGTGTTATTTTGAGACAGGGGTTGAGTATGAGTCAACTCGGTGGACTGGTAGCCGGTGCTCTCCTGGTCCAGGGGAAATTGATAGGGATGGCAAAGTCGTTCTTAGCGGCTTCGCGAGCGGGTATGTTGCGCCTCTTGGCCGCGCTGTTGGACTTGGCCTTGGTCTCGGAGCGTACGGCGTCCGGAACAGAGAAGGCTACCCGCTGCGAGGTGTTGTCGCGGGCATTCCTTGTCTTCTTGCGGTCCTTGGCCTGAGTTTCGGTAACCACAACGCTGTCGTCCTTCTCGATAGTTTCGCGAATATCCATTGACCTGTCGCCCTGCTCATGGTCACCCGTGGCATCCTGGGTCTGCGCCGTCACGTCGGCAGGAGGGAGCATATCGGTCTCCGTTGCGCCATCTTCGGCAACCTCAGTCTCCTTCCTCTGCAGGGTGATATCGGGCACAGTGAACCCGGACGTCATGTTATCATCCTCGTGCCTCGAGAAATTTCCACTTAGATCGTCTCTGCCGGTAGGTCGGACATGGTCAAGTTGCTGCTTGAGGAACTCGACCTCTTCCTTGAGCTGGAGGTTCTCATCGTGAAGGTCGTGGAGGCTTCGCTCGAAGCCCGAGTTCTCACGGCGAAGAAACTTATTCTCGCTAAAGTACTTCTCGTTGTGCCGAACGAGGCTGTCATTGTCCTCTTTGAAGGTCGCCTTTTCCTGCTCGAGGACTTGGACCTCCTGTTGGAGGCTCTCCATCTCCTCCCGAACCGCTTCCATGTCGTTTTGGGCGCCCTCCGAGGTCTGGCGGAGGCCCTCGATTTCGGACATCAAGGAGCGCGCGTTGGAGCGGAGGGATCGATTCTCGGTCATCAGCGACTCTTGCTCGCGACGAAGGGAGATGTTGTCAGTTCGGAGGGACTCCGTCTCCGTCTGCTGGCTTCTTTGCTCCTCCTGGAGCTGCTTGATGGTCTCCTTCAGAGAGGAGACCTCGCGAACCGAGCTCTCATGCGCGCGTTTTGTGTTTTCCAGCTCCTCTCGAAGCGTGCTATTGACGTCCTTGGAGCTGAGAGTAACATCCAGTTGCTTTTGGGTGTCGCGCAACTCCTGTTCCCTCGAGTCGAGGCGGTCCATCAGGTCACCAATGTTGTGGCATGCATCCTGGAGCTTCTTAAGAGCTCGATCCCGCTCAAGGGACAAGGTGTCGTTATTCTTTCCCTCATCATTGAGCTGGCTATTCGCCTCCAACAGGAACCTCTCGAGTTCCGTTACTCTCTCCTCCAGTTCTGCAAATCTAGGGTTAGCACGCTGGGCCCATCGGACGTCAAGGGTATACATCTAGAACAACGTACTCTTTTTCAGAAAGCAAATGTTCGTACATCGCACCATCGGGCTCTGAGCCAAATCCACTATCAACAGACCGCCTCATCTTGAGCTGCGCAAGCTGGCTTTGGAGCTGTTCTACTTGACCTTGCAATTCCTCAGCATGCTTCTGAATATTATCGTGGTGACCCTGAAGAGTGATGATTTCGTCTCGGATCATATCCATGGAGACAAAGATACGCTCCTCATCTTCAGGAATCTCATAGCCGTCCACTTCCACATGATTGCTAGGCGTTTGCTTCGAGCTAAGATCGATCACTTTGCCATGCTTCACGAGGATAGGCACGCCATTCTTGACCTTTCCGTTGAAGCGAAGGGTGCCAGAAACAAAGTCGCCGAGATAGGAAATATCGGGCATGCAAAACGAGCGCGCCGTGGTATTGTTTTGGCCAGGGCTGGACATGGGAAGCTGCCTATCAAGGGACTTTTGGACGGCGGGCGAAAACCTGGGAAGGTGGTTTCCCAGCGAGGCTCTCTGGGAGGCTCGCTGGTGCTGGAGGTACGGCGATGTTCCGGGCTCGTCGTAGCGGCGCGGTGCTTTCCGAGAAGGATATCGACTGAAGTACGGCCGTTGGCGACGCCAGCAACGATATGAGGGCTCGAAGGGCTTCGATAGTGCGCCTGATTGGGGGAAGGGGCGTGTTTTGGAACTGGTCGTGGTCGAAATGTGTGGACGCGGATCGAATGTGGTGAAGCTTGCCGGAGAGGATGGTGGACGTGTCGGACTCGTTCTGCACACTGGGCTGCATCTGGGCACGCGTCCTATTGGAGCCCCTCCACGCGTCTTGTGTAGAATCGTCGTCGTCGTCAAAATTGAGCTGAGAAGGGTAGGTGGGAGGCTTGTTGTCCCGAGAAGAGGATGAGACGCGTTTTGAGGGCAGGTCATAGAAATCGGGCCATTTGCGATGAGCAGCCTCCCAATTGACCTGGAACTTCTTTCCGGTTATCCTAGCAATATCCGCGTTGAGCTTGCGGGTAGATTCGCCGTCGATATCAGAGAGAACTGAGGTAAGAGTCGGGCTCACGGTGCCGTGAGAGCCGGTAGAGGAGGGTGGGGAGTTGAAGGGATTGTCGCGGTTGGCGTTCATCTCTCGCATGATTCGCGATCGATACCGCGAGGAAACGTCAGCGTCCATAGTTGTGCTAGGTGTCGCTACGGCAGCAACTGTGAGAGAGGGAAGATTGGGGAGGAGCAAGGGGGAAAGGTATGGGCGACTCCAAGTCGAAGATGGACGGCGCACCCGCGACGAAAAGGACGCGAGGTGACCAGGATGCGATGTTGACTGTAAAGGTACGGGAGGGTACGAGATGCTTGCGAGGGCGTTGACGAGTGCTATTTGGGATTAAAGTTATGCCAGCAGTATGTACTCGTAAAGGAAGAAAGAGACGCGTGGAAACGGAAGTCCGAGTCCAGACAAAAAAGCGTTGCTCGTGAGGTTATGGATTGTTGGCGGTGAAAGGTGATGCAGCAAACTATTTTGGAGGTGAGTAAAGAGGCTCTGCAGGTCATCGACCGAGCTTGGTTCAGCGTGTCCTGGCTTCTGTTGTTTTCTGGCGTGTCGTTCCTCTTTTTGGGGAAAAGAAAGTAAACAAACCGGGTGTGGGTGGGGCAAAGTTAACAGTGACTAGCATGGTACCCCATCGCCCTCATCCCATCGCGTGCTCGACTATGTATCGCTGAGGTACTGGGTATCCCGCTTTCAGAACTCAATCGCTGGCTCCGAGCTGCCAAATTATAGGGCAGAACTGACACCAAGTGGCGCACTAAAGGAAAAATGCCTTGGGTCGGTCCCGGCTCAAGTTCTTCAATTGCTTATCGATAATAATAATAGCTCTCCCAAATGAGGTGCTGTTGGTGGATCAAGATCAAGCTATCCTCGAATCGAGAGCGCTGAGTGTGCCTGCTTCATGAAATGTGCGAATTCCTCCTAAAACAGGGCCTATATCTATTTCCCTTCCACAGCACTCATAGGGAACATCAATTGTTCAAAATGGCTCAGTGAGTGCCTACTCCACCTCACCCATAAGCGTTAAAAAGGGAGCACAAAGGACAACGTGGAGCGGTGAGGCCACATCCGCCAGCGTTGTTAGGCTGATACGTGGCACAACCCGTATTGTCCGCGTACATCACTTTATTGTCCGCATTCTTGCGTTTTATTGCTCGCCTTGCAAGGGGCCGGGGAGAGGGAAGAGGGGTTGGGCAAGTAGCTTGGCGGGCCGTTGATGATAGGTGACCTAAAGTATTATATCATGAACGGATAGACCTGGGTTTTTCTCTTTAATTCACCAAGGTCTAATGTTGCGCAGCTCGCATGCCGCTCTCCGCGGACCGTCATGCAGTGAGCTTGGTATTGAGTGGGCTATATGTACGAATCGATGTATGAAGTGGAATGAGTGGTTTGCTCGAGAGGAGTGGTAGCCCCCTCGCTCAGGCACGCAAGTCAGTCCTCCTTGTCGTCCAGCTGTCGGACAGGGAGGCAGGGCAAGGTGGACGGCAAGATGTATGCCGCGAACTACACGGGGAAAGGTCGCAGAACATGGCAGATGATCTCATTCGACCAGGTGTAGCTTAGGGCGCCCGGTTTTGTTTACAAGAAAATACCCCTTGGGCTTGGGAGTAGAGTCTAAGTGTTAGGCAAACCGAACTCCTATTCAACCTTGCATCCGCTTCTGCTATTGTCTCTGGCTATCATCGGCTAACCGGGACCTCGACCACCACGAGCCGTAGGTCCTAAACTTTTGCGCAGATTTTCGGAAGTGAAGGAAATCTCGTGGTTCGGTTTAGAGCCATGGTTATTCGTCGAGAAGCGACCTCTCGCGTTTTACGCTTGCTTTGCTCTCTAGCAAACATTTCCGACGTTAAATATCACGCGCGTCCCTCTTCTAGACCAGATGACCGAAGCCGAGATGTGACATGGGTGTGGAGGTGCATTTTGAACTTTTCCACTTCCTGCTAGACACTTTCAGCGGGTGCGGGGTTTTGCGGGGCATCATGGCTCCCACGCGGCATCTTTGATGAACGACTGCTTCTTTCTTCGACTTTGCGAGCCCTTTCTCGCATCACCTTCCCCTCTTTCCCCGTCTAGACAGGCACAGGCAGATGAAATATCTAGACAGATCGTGCTTGCGCTCTATCGTGGTGTAAAGGGAGGAGGAGGAATTGAAGGGCCTGGGGCAGAGTGAAACGAACAGATACCCACACATCCCGTGGCTCGCACATCCACACTGGCTTCCCGACAGGATGGTGCATAGAATCCCGGGATGCACGCGGGGTCGGGCGACGAGGTCACGCGAATGTCCGAAACAAGCGAACGGGATCGGATTCTAGTAGCGACAAATCAATCTCGGCACTCTCTTCAACCATGAGCGAGCCCTTTTTGTGGAGGGAAAGGTGGGGTCCCTGCATCGCTTCTAGGGTGATGCTCGACTTTTCGATCCATCCAGGGATCAATGGATGCATCAACGGACTCCAAAGGGGCGGCGTTTGTGCGCCGAGGGTGGCCAGACGTTGCCGACAGCTAGTAATACTCCATCCTATATTTATTGAAGCTTGCGAGCAGACTTGACCCAAGTGTTGTACTTGAATGCGCCTTCCTTCTTTTGCTCGGTCAGCTGCCTCCACTTTGGGTCTCAGGATTGACTTTTGGTTCGTCCGAGAGAAGGTGCGCTTATGCCGTCGAAACATCATCCACGCCCTCTAAGCCTGTTCGTCCAGTCAAGCCCGATCCACCTCCCCACGGAATCTGGGGGCTTGGCTCCCATCCTCCAATGCATCTCTAACAAAGGTGGCGCCGTGTGCCCAGGTTCCGGAACCCCTCCCCCTCACCGATGATCGTCTGCCCTTTTTCGGGTGGGGGTTTTTTTCTCTGGTTCTTATTATTCCCTCGACTTATAGCCAAGCAACCCGCCCTCTTTCTTCCTGGTTTCGCCTCAATCCTTCTGTTGCCTTATGACTTCATTTCCGCGACACACCCAGTTCCGTCCACAACTCCCTCGAGGCATTGGCCGAGCGCCGGTCAGCTCAACCTAGATCTCCGAGTCGCAATTCTTGACGTCGATGCCTTGAAACCTTCATTTTCATTTTCCCACTTCACGAACCAGGCGTGAAGAAAAGGAAGAAGTGTGCCCAACTCCTTCGCTATTCACATGCATCTTACAGGCAACACTTGACCAACTTATTTTAGAGGGTCTTGATGACCGTCGTTTATTGATATCTTTACCCTGGCCTTGCGTGCGACCGCCTCTTGCGCACAAACGCCTTCTGGGAAGGCTTGGTGCGCATATCACCGTTACGATTGTCTCAGAGCAACGATGAAGCCGTTGACTACTGCCTCCCTCTTGTCTGCACTTGCAGACGCGAGCCTCGCCTTTGGCTCTGGCCCAACCGGTACTTGTCGGTCTTACTGCACCATATTCAAGCGACCGGCCTTTTACCATCAGAATTGCCGCCCCGATATCCCTTACACCTTTGTTCAAGATGGGTTACCGGACGACAACACCCTCTACTAGCCAATAGCTCGCTCTTGGAGCAAACTTACATCTCCGTTGCCACGCTGCAGGGCGAGTTCTTTGAGCGCCATCGGGGCACATGGCCTCGTGCGATTGACTGGACGGCGGCCTTTATTCACACCTCCTTATCCGCCACGACCAACTCGCTCTCTAAGGCCCTCGGCGAGTCCCATGCCCGGGACGTTGAGACTGGCATGGTTTGGAACATGGTCGACACCTACTTTTCGCAAATTGTGGGCTTCTACTTTGGCCAGGACTACAGGGCGATCAAGCATCAGGTATGTAGTGGGACAATTCAAGTTGCCGAGCAGCTACGCTGGTCGCTCATGACCCCTTCTCCCAAAAAAAAAAAAAAAAAAGGAAAGAAAAGAAGCACCCTGCTAACTAACTCAATTTTCCTCCCCTGGCACAGGCCTTTGACGATATTCTTTGGGTCGTGTTAGGCTGGCTTGAATCTACCAACTTCATTCAATCGCACTCCGAGCTGCATTATCCGCGCGATGGAAAGTGGGATGCGGATGCTCCTCCGAACCTACGCGATACATTACTGAACCAGCCCTGGCATGGAAATCACTGGGTGGAGGCATTTGCCTACCGCCAGCGCACTTTTGGGAGTTGGCCACTAATGGGTGGGGGAGGACTTGTGCAACGGCGGCATGAATTGGAATCCCCGTCACTGGACCTACAAGAACGCCATTACAAACGAGCTATGGATTGCGGCCTCGGCAAAAATGTACCTGGATTATCCGGGAGATGGGATCGCAGGCACCTGGTCCGAGGAAAACCATCATGCCGGCCGGAACCGAACGTTCCTGGAGGCTGCCATGAAGGGATATGAGTGGCTGATGAATGTCAACATGACGAATGATGCCGGTCTTTTCGTCGACGGCTTTCACATCTCTAATCAGGACAAGAACAACACCAAGTGCGACGTGCGCGACGAAATGGTCTTTACCTACAACCAAGGAGTCCTTCTCACGGGCCAGCGTGCTCTTTGGGAGGCCACCGGAGGTGTTGCATTCCTCAAGGACGGCCACCACCTTATCCAGTCCGTCATCAAGGCGACCGGATGGGATCTCAAACAGGGCGGGCCAGTCGACAAGGTTTCGCGCGGCAAGCTCCCCCATGGCGTGGTCTAGGACGGGGAGGCATCATCGAGGAAGCGTGCGACGTCACCGCGCGTTGCTCTCAAAACGGGCACACCTTCAAAGGCATCTACTTCCACCATTTGACATACTTCTGCGCTCCTCTCAAGGAGCCTTTGGAGGATGTAGACACAGAAGCCTTTGGCGTAGTCTCGCGTGCCCATGCACAGGCGTGTAAGCAATATGTGCCTTGGGTGGGCTACAATGCCGAGGCGGCCCTGAGCACCCGCGATGCGAAGGGGATCATTGGCATGTGGTGGGGCGCAGAGAAGTTTGGAAGCGCCCCGAGATATGGAACTCTAAGCAGAGCGACTCAAATAGCCCGGATGCTGTGGACTACAGAAACTTTGGTATCCCTTCTGACGGTATTTGGTCAGAACTAGGGGGCCTCCCAAGGCGATACCTGGGGTGGAGTTGGATGGGGACACCGAGGGGACTGATGAGCGGGTTGTTGACGCCACTGATGCGCAGTATCGCATGGGCGGTGGCTCGTCCAAGAAACCCGGCTCCCGGGACCCCAACACGCGGGGTAGAGGTCGAACAGTAGAGACGCATAACTCGGGCATGGAGGTGGTGAGGGCATGGTACGAACTTTCCAAGGCATACAGCGACAAGGAGGCCAGTCGTGGTTGGCGTTTTGGCATACATTGGTTATTCTCGAACTTTTGGAGGATGACGAGCACATGGAACAGCTTCTTCTTTTTCTTCTAAAGGACGCATTACGACCTCTATATCTTTCTTCCTTCTTTCTTGTGAAGGGCTGGGTTTATCATGGGGTTATTATTTGGTGTTCGCAGCAATCAGGCATCGGCTTACGGCGCATCGCATCGGGTTTCTGGATCAACACTTTTATCATATATCTTTCATTTTATGTTTTCTGACATTCCCATCATTACATGCGCGATTGTGTGAACCGATGTCAATACCTGGTTGTGATGTTGACGAGGGCAGCTTGCTTGACTCTAATGTTGGCTTGACTTGAACTACTATGCACAGATATTGCCTTCTCACAATTGATGGGCTCAGGTTGAACATGAAATTCAGGATGATGGCTGGCCCTAGGCTGCTTACTCTAATCCCTCCCTCTTCCCCTTTCCAAGGTGAAGCTAAGCAGAAGGGGCGGGATTTCACTTGTGATAACCCCTTTACCGATGGGAGTTGGGTAAAAAGCCTGGTGCGTCCGTTGGATGGCCGATTAATAAACTGGATGGATCAATAGACGGTCGACAGGGGCCTTTTGGGTGGCGGTCGACTTTGGGGAAACCCTCAGCTCCAACAGTTGAACCGTTTTGGGTCTCATTGCATTGGTTATCATTGGTCCAATGTTGCGACCAGTTGGGCCCGAGGTCGAAGTGGGAGTGGGCGAAGTCGCGGCGAACCTGCGCAAGCTCCACTAGAACCGAGCGTACATCAAATGGAACATTGGGATAATAACCCACAAAGTACACTCTAGTAATAGCGGGCTGCCCACATGCGCCTCTTCCAGCGGAATTGATTTCAGGGGCATCGCGTGTCAAGATCAGATCGCGTGGGAGCAGGACACCGAGCCAGTTTTTTTTCATGCAAAATCCCCCTCACCCCCTTTCAATCGGGCCTGACATCGACATTCCTTGCTGTCTCTCTCCCCTTCCTCGTCGATGGCCAACCTTTGCTCTCGGTATTGACGAAATTCCGCAGAGCTATTCAGTCCCGACGGCCTGAGCTGTCAATTTTCCGCAGCAGCCGAGAATGTGGTAAACCGGAGCCTCACTCTCCTTCTCTATCTCTCTGCTTCCCTCGCAGAACCGACTCTCCTTCAACGCTGGCTTCATTTGCCTCTCTATCTCTCCTTTTAATTAATCACTCCCCGCCCGGAGCTGGGTCCCGTCGCCATGGTCCTGCTTGGCTTCCTCCGGTCCGTCTACGATGTCTCGACATTAGATACGAGATTTACGACGCCGTCTTCAGTGCCCTATAAAACGGTGATCGAATCGCGGCACGACCCTCTCGCCAAGGATTACACGGCCGGCGTCAAGGCCAAGGCGCAACGGTCGAAATGGAAGACACCCGAGTTTTTCTTGTACTTTTTTATCCTCCTCGTCGTCATTCCTACGATGATATGGATACCCTTCAATGTTTCGAGGCGTGCGTGCCCCTCCACATCTGCCCCTTTACCCCCTTTCTTTCCAAGCGCCTCGGCCCAGCTCTCCTCCAGAGCGAAAGAGAGGGAACATGGAGAGACACAGCTTGCCATGCGCATGTGCTCCCCGTCTTCGTGTTGTCATTGATACTAACAGTCAACCTGAACAGCTTCACACCCACAATGGAACAAATTTCGAACAGTCTTGGAGAAGGGATGGGTACCGGGCCGCCAGATTGTACGCTCAACAACCCTTCCCTTAACCTCGCCCCCTCCTGAAGCTAGATAGTGTAGAGGGACCAGTCTTTTGTAGGCTTTGCCAACGAGACCGCTGCTAACGCTGGCGCAACAGGATAACTCCGACATGCAATATCGCACCTTCCGAAAGAACCTTCCCTTCATGGCCCTGCTCCTCATTTTCCACCCGCTTCTCCGCAAGGTTTGGAACCTCGTCTTCCCGGTCAAGGTGAACAAGTACGAGGGAAACCACATTGCCGCCCAGGGTTCGGCACGTCTCAACCAACGCGCCTCGTTCGATTTCGTCTTTGCCCTCCTCTTCCTCGTCGCGCTGCACGGCTTCTCCGCTATCAAGGTGCTTGCGATCCTTACCGCCAACTACCGACTCACGACCATGCTCCCGCGAAAGTACGTCCCCGCTGCGACCTGGATATTCAACGTCGGCATTCTGTTTGCCAACGAGCTATGCGGCGGGTATCCCTTCAAGAAGATGGCGGCCTTCATTACCCCGCCGTCAGGCGATGTCGATCTCGGCGCTGTCGACCCTTTCCTAGTCCGCTGGGGAACCTGGTTCGACAAGCGTAGCGGCCTTCTCACCCGTTGGGAGGTGCTCTTTAACATTACCATTCTGCGCCTCATTAGCTTCAACTTGGATAGATATTGGAGTCTGGATGCTGGCCAGTCGAGCCCAATTGAGGTAGGTTCTGTTTTTCTCTTATTCCCCCGGCCACATCTCCATTCCCGCCCCGTGGGTATAAGCTATTAGAGAGCAGAGCTGATTTCCAAAAGAAGAAACAACTTGACCCTTCGAACCTGTCAGAGCGAGACCGGATTTCCATTCCCGCCGAACCTCGAGATTATTCGTACCGGAACTACGTCGCATACGCGATCTACGGCCCTCTCTACCTTGCCGGCCCGATCCTCACCTTCAACGAGTACATTTCCCAGTCCAAGTACCGCTCCGCCACGATAGAAACGGGCCGGACCATTCGTTACGCCTTCCGATTCCTCGTCGTCCTCCTTACTATGGAGCTGATCCTACACTTTATTTACGTCGGCGCCATCAGCCTCGCGTATCCTAGATGGAGCGATTATACTGCCGCTCAGCTTTCGCTGCTTTCCTACTTTAATCTCATGATCATCTGGCTCAAGCTGCTGCTCCTGGCGCCTCTTTAGGCTCTGGTCCCTGATTGACGGCATCGACCCCCGGAGAACATGGTTCGCTGCGTGAGCAACAACTTCAGCACCCTCCACTTTTGGCGCGCGTGGCACCGCTCGTATAACCGCTGGCTCATCCGCTACATCTACATTCCCTGGGCGGCGCCAAATTCACGAGCCTCAAATCGGCCGTGCGCTCCATCATCACCTATCTTCTCGTCTTCACCTTTGTCGCCTTGTGGCACGACATCCAGCTGAGGCTGCTCATCTGGGGCTGGCTCATTGTCATCTTCTTCCTCCCCGAGATCCTCGCGTCTAAACTTTTCCCCGCAAGCAGGTTCGAGGGCCGTGAGATGACGTACCGGATGCTATGCTGCGTCGGGGGTGTGCTCAATGTGATTATGATGATGGCGGCGAACTTGGTTGGGTTTGCCGTGGGGTTGGATGGCTTGAAAAGCATCGTTTCTGGCATTTTCCAGGATCGACATGGTGAGTTTTACGTCCCTCCCCCATCTTCCAGAATGATTTGCCATTTCGCTTTGCTAACCATTGTTTCTCTCCTTCTCCCCGTGTCGTAGGCTTCACCTTTTTCGTCACGGCTTGCATCTCGCTTTTCGTCGGCATTCAAATCATGTTTGAGATTCGCGAGTCGGAGAAGCGAAAGGGGGTCAACCTCCGTTGTTAAACATGTTGGAAACAGCATTTTTGCTTTTGGTTCCTTGCTATATATATATCTCCATTTTCCTCATCCCTTCCCTTCCCTCTTCTCCCATCTCCGTTGGTGCTTTTCCCCGCGATCATGGTGTTACGGTGGAATGTGCGTGCGTACCATCACGTACTGGTGCTGTTTATATTGTTCGTTCCCCCTCCTTTGAGTCACGCAGTGTATGATCTAAAGGCGGTGTTTTATTTCACCCATTGTATGTTTTATAGACAACGGCCTGGTAATGCATCCTTACGGCACTTCAGGATAGCTTTGATGTGTAATTATTATTTATTATGAGAGGTCCAGCTTTCCGGGTCCATTACTCAACGTTCATGCCTTTGTACATGCTAAAAGTTTTGTGGATGCGAACGCTAGCAGTACATGTACCACATGGAAAGGAACAAAGCAGAAAGCGTTTGGCGAAAGCTGGGAGGGACACTAAAAACGACTCAACTCCGACCAGCATTCATCTCCAAGCCAGCCAACATTTGGAATTCAGCCTCTTGCATGGTATCTTCAAACATGATATTCAAAACAAAACACAAGGCGCCGCCGGTGATATCGCTCTCGTCTTATTACAGACCTGCAAAGGCAGGGGAGAAAGACGTAACGGGGAAGAGAAAAGAAGAGGCATTAAAAGAACACGCTTCGTGACAGATTTGCACCACAGCGTTTACTTTTGCACGGTCGCCATCTCGGCGTCGGGATCGGCGTGGCGGCGCTGATTCGTAAACTTGCCGTCCATGTGCATCCTGCCTTCAGTGACCCAGACCCTGAACCAGATGATGGCCTTGATGACGACGTAGATGACGATGACGGCGACGAGGATGCAGATGATGTAAACGGCGACCCAGCCGCGACCACCGGGGCCGTCCGGGCCGGGATCGAGGAAGCTGTACGGGTAGAAGCCCTTGGTGGCGTGGGTGATGAAGGCGAGGGCGAGGTAGAGGGCGAGGATGACGATGAGCCAGAGGACGTGGATCCAGGGGAAGGGATTCGTGCGGGGGAAGATGACCTCGAAGAGGGCGAAGACGGCGTTGAGACCGTGCTGGGAGAGGTTCCGCCAGCCCTCAAAGACGTTGGCGGGCCAGGGTCCTTCGTACAGGATGGCCCAGTAGACGATGGTGACGAGGAAAGGGTAGGTGGTGACGGTGGTGTAGTAGAGGCTGTGGAGGGCCTGGAGGGGTCGCGGGAAGCGGTCGAGCAAGGGCCGGGCCGTGAGGGCGTAGGTGAGGGTGTGGGCGGCGGCGATGAGGAAGTAGAAACCGAGGCCCCAGTACGTGAGGACGGTGAAGTAGGAGAACTCTTGGCGGACGAGGGCGCAGCCTTCGTCGCTGCAGGTTTTGCCGATGATGAGGAGGCGCGTGATGAGGATGTAGAGACCCTACGGGTTTGCGCGCGGACAAGTTAGTAACGCATGGTTTTTCTTGACTTGTCCCTCGAGGGAGCGGAGCGGATAGTTGGCCGGCGTCGGCCGGGAGGCGAGATGAAGAATAGGACAAAAAAGGATTAAAAAAAAAAAAAAGACACTACTTACAATGGCTGCGCGGATCGCAAAGAGAAGGAAGGGCGGTAGGAGCCATGAGGTCTCGAACCTCGAGGATGGATCCCAGAGGTCGGTTCCAAACTGGAACGATTTGCGCACCCTGGCGAGCATGGTGATCGCGGTGGCTGGCCGCCTTTAGAACTGCGCGACGAGGAGGACGACGAAAACGATGAACGATGCTGCTGCTGCTGTTCGCAAATAGAGGAACAGATAAACAAGATGCAGAGGGGCTCAAGGCGAAGAGCAGAGGGCAGAATCCATCAACGGAAGTAAATGAGGAGGGGAGGGTCGAGGTTCGTGGGCTTCTTGGAAGGCATGAACGCTTAATCAAGGGCAAGAAACCTCGATCGGGGCGCGGCACAGCGCCGCGCGCACAAGCACGGAGCATCCCAGGATGGATCATTGATGTACACTACGCGGCCAAACGGTATTACGCCCTGGGTGCTGTTCTCGGAAGCTCGCTGGTGACGATGTCACTCTGGACGGGTCAACAGACCAAAGCAAGCTGCGGTCCCCAGCCAATGGTGGGTCTCAGGGAGGAACCCTAGGGGCGGGGGCGGACAAGGGAGGAAAAACGGGAAAGGGGGTGTGCGCTAAGGAGCTGCAAACCCCATTTCGAGGGCCGCCTCGAGGCCATTTTCACGCTCGCAGCCACCGATCAATCTTTTTAGTGCAGTTTTTTCCAGTCTTGCTAACGCCGACCGCCGCTGACCGCATAGCAACGGTGCGACTGCTGATGATGCTCGGGAATTTCGTGGTCTTGGTGTGCATGGAGGAGTACACTAGTGTAGCGCATCTGATCTCACAAAAGGGCGCCAACAATGCTATTGTTACGATCGATGGATCCATGATCCATATCCATCAGAATTGATCAACCCGGGATCAACTGGACGGCGAACTTGGCCCTAACGGACAGCGTCAGCAATACTGCAATATTAGTTGTGCTTTTCCATCACGGCCCATGAATTCTACTTCGTACCTGTAATCATCATTGATCGCGGCTTGCGCTCTCCCCACAGCCCCAGTGGCCGAATTATTAGCTTTTCTGCAAATCTTGGATCCTTCACGTATCGGTTCATAGGGCGGCCGACGATCAAGGGAGCGGTCCAGCGGTTAGAGTTTTCTTTTCTTCTTTAACCTACACACAACTTCGTAGACAAACTTCTCAAGTGAGCCGCCAGAAGGGTTTGACTTGACACTTGGTCGTCACCACCCCGATCTGGGCTTGGTTTGTTAGTGCTACCGTCACATCCCTTGAATAATACTCGAACGACATCTCGCCCCCTGTTGGTCCTGTTCCTGCAGCTCAAGGTCGAGACGGACGGCGGTCTCTGATCGTCTCAGGTTGCAGGTTGTGGGCTCAATGAAAAGGGCACGGATAAATCCTTCATGGGATGGGCCCTAAGTGCATCCATCACCTTCGGGCCAGTTTCCCTTCGAGCCTCAACATCTTCCCTCCTCCTCTGCGCTTGGGGGTTATTTCAGCTTGTCCCATTGACAGTAATCTGAGGTGTCTGTGAGTAATTTCTTCTCTGGACAAGACTGGAGCGCAGAGCGGCACATGTGATGATGCCGTAATAATCACCAAGCTGGAAGCTGCGGGAGCCGCTCATGAACGGAATCGCCTCCAGCGCCGTTGATTAGTGTCAAAATTGAGCACAACGGATCCATTCGCTCGAATGCTGCACCTCACCCACCATTCTTCACTGTAATGGCCTTCGTCGAAGATGGCGGCAAACCGGCTGGCAGCAGACCGGCTGGCAGCAGAGATGTCGGCTTGGCAGAGGCTTTCCAATCGGGAAATTACCAAAAATTCATGAAGCTAGCGTCATCATCAGTCGACGCATACTGAGCTCCTACTAAAAGGGCCTTGAACCATCCACCCCTCTTCAGATGGATGGCCCTGTCTACCAAATGCGAAAATGGCGAGATCAGATACCAAGTCTTTGGCTTTATGCACTATCCTACCCGTGCGACTTTGAAGTTTGGACGGGCGTCACAAGATGCACGGCACGTCGATGCTCGAATTGAAGGAGATCTTCAGCAAAAGACTAGACACACTACAGCCAATGGGATACGAGATGCTGAACACACGCAGCGATGCGCATCCTCACCGTCCTGTATCCACTTGGCTTTCCTGTATTCCCCTGTGTGGCTGATGAGCCTCCGCCGCCGCCAGCTTTGGTGGGGAGAGGGATGCGCAGTATTGGGCGGATGGAGTAAGGAATGCGTCCGCCATTGTTTTGGCTGGCTGGCCATGGCTGGCCGTGGCTGGCCACTTGATGGCGGGGCACGTTGGGCTGATGAAGCTGGATACGAGCACTCAGCGATGCAGCCCCAGCCAAGACCCCTGGTTTCTTGCTAGCACGGCATCGAGGGATCCAATTGATCCGCAGCCTGTCCTTCCTCTCCAGTGCTTGTTAGCTGTGCCCCTCCACTTCCAAGAAATCAGAGATTCGAAGCTTCCAGCCCCAAAAGTAGCCAGCCGAAGCTGAGCTGACGCCTCCTCAACAACACAACAGCCACCCCTCTCTCTCCTCTCGTAATACCTAGATCCAACTCGGACTTGTTCTCGTCCTTGATCTCATCGTGATTCTTATTTTTCCCCTTTCCTCTTCCTCACTCTGTTCAAAATAAAAACCATATACAATTTCTTTAGTTTTTCGTCCCTCGCACGGCCTCTGCTCTCCATCACTACACTAGATAATACCCCTCCATCCAAATTGATCCCATTGCAGCCCCGCCGAGCTGCTGCCCTTCCCCCGCCATTTTCCGCCACTCGCTCTAGGAAATTTCCGTCATCATGGCCGCCCCTTCCGCCGAGAGGCTCAACGAGCTCAAGAAGCAATACACCGAAGCGGGACAGGAGCAGGTGTTTACATTCTACGATGACCTCTCCGCCTCGGAACAGGTTACGCTCTTTGAGCAGCTCGAGAAGTTCAAGCCTAGCTACATCAACGAGATCACCGATAGGGCGCTGAACCCCCAAGCCCGAGCATGAAGAGACCAAGACGGGCCTGGAGCCCCTCCCCCAGACCGCCACCGCGAGCATCCTCGACTCCGCCAAGGAAGACATTGCGACGTGGTACGACTTGGGTCTCGACCTCATCTCTCAAAATAAGGTGGCCGTTGTCCTCATGGCCGGCGGCCAGGGAACCAGGTTGGGAAGCTCCGCCCCCAAGGGCTGCTTCGATATCGGCCTGCCCTCGCACAAGAGTCTGTTCCAGATCCAAGCCGAGCGTATCCGCAAGGTCGAGGAGCTTGCTGCCAAGAAGTCGGGTAGCACCGCCGTCGTGCCCTGGTACGTCATGACGAGTGGCCCGACCCGGGGCCCCACCGAGGCCTTTTTCAAGGAGAACAACTACTTTGGTCTCAAGGCTGCCAACGTCTTCATCTTCGAGCAGGGTGTTCTCCCTTGCATCTCCAACGACGGCAAGATCTTGCTCGAGTCCAAGTCCAAGGTGGCCGTGGCCCCCGACGGCAACGGTGGAATCTACCAGGCCCTCGTCGTCCAGGGTGTTCTTGACGACATGCGCAAGCGAGGCATCGAGCACATTCACGCCTACTGCGTTGATAACTGCCTAGTCAAGGTGGCCGATCCCGTCTTTGTCGGCTTCTCCGCCTCCAAGAAGGTCGACATCGCCACCAAGGTCGTGCGTAAGCGAAGCGCCACCGAGTCCGTCGGTCTTATCCTCCTGAAAAATGGACGCCCCGATGTTGTAGAGTACTCCGAAATTGACGAGCAGACCGCCTCCGCCGAGGACCCCAGCAGCCTGGCGTCCTCAAGTTCCGCGCTGCCAACATCGTCAACCACTACTACTCGTTCAGCTTCCTCGAGACCATCCCCCTCTGGGCTCACAAGCTCCCCCACCACATCGCCCGCAAGAAGATTCCCTGCGTCGATGTCGCCACCGGAGAGGGTGTCAAGCCCGCCAAGCCCAACGGTATCAAGCTTGAGCAATTCGTCTTCGACGTCTTCCCCATGCTCGAGCTCAGCAAGTTTGCCTCCTTGGAGGTCAAGCGCGAGGACGAGTTCTCGCCTCTCAAGAACGCGAGCGGCACTGGTGAGGATGACCCCGAGACTAGCAAGCACGACATCATGGACCAAGGGAAGCGCTGGGTGGAAGCTTCTGGTGCCATTGTCGAGGGAGAAACCGCCGATATTGGCGTCGAGGTGTCGCCACTTTTCAGCTATGTAAGTCTTTCACAATACCTCACACATGGCTTTGGACGCATGCCGTCAATATTCCTTCAAGCGACCCACTAACAACGTACTTCACAGGGTGGTGAGGGTCTGGAGAAACTCAGTGGCAGGACCATTCGCGCTCCTGCAGTCCTCGAGATCGAGTAACCATCTCGACAGGATCGGGTGGGGTAGGGGGTAGGAGTTAATCAAGGATACCGAAATCGATATGATAACGTGCTGGCATCAACATCAAGAAAGGAATACTCTGTGCGAGTTGTCTTGGCTTAAAAACGGCAACCACTAGGTGTTGAATTTGAATAAAAGTAGCTATTTTATTTCTTGTCTAAATTCTGTGATTTATTGGCAAGCTGCTCTGTTAGTCTCTGTGATCTATATCGCGCTGAAAGCTTCAGAGCTTGGTTGTGTCGGGCTCCGGTGTGGTGGGAAAAGAAAGCTGTGTCACCCGCAAGCAGATGTCGCCACTCATTCCGATAAGACGCGATAAGGCCCATGATTTCTTCTCCAGCAATTCAAAATGAGGGGCACCCCAAACAACCCCGCGTCGCAAGCATCTTTGAGAAGTAAGGAATTGGAATTGGAATTGATTTCTGTATAGCCTTGAGTGATGGGCTTAGCAGGTCAACCGGTTGGATCCAAACCTTTTGAGACACCTTCAACGAAAAGGTCAATGGCCCTGCCGGTGGAACGCGGGTTTGTGTCATGAAACTTGTCTATCGTCGTGGGGTGGTATAATTGTCGAGGAACAATTGTCGAGGAACAAAAGACCACCTCTCATCGGTAGTCGTAAGAGGGATGCTACTATTGTGCAGCACGAGAGGCGCGCATGATCAAACATATAGTAGTGGCGTAAAGCTTCCATGTGCTCTCTCGCCGCTCTTGCCCCCGGCCTGCTGCACCAGCTCCTGGTTTACGAGCTATCAGTCGGCTCGGGCTCTCCTCTAGAGTGGCGTTTTGGGCGACCAAAATGGTGTGAGTCACTTGATCCTCAAAATCCCCCTCCCGTACCTGCACAGTAGCATAGCGTTGCTCGAGAGTCTCTCTGTTTCAAAAACGAACGGAGCTCGAGTACTCGCCTCCCTTGCCCGTATTTATGCCCTGTTCCCGCTTGCCCAATACCAGTGCTCTCTCCGACAAGTGCTGATGTGAACGTGTGTTTTACTGTAGCGTCCCTATTGAAACCAGAACTACCTGCCCCACATCCACCATCTCCCTTACAATTCCCCTGGCCGTCAAGTCTCGTGAAAACCTAGTCCTCACCACACACCTCGCGGGCGTTTTTCTTCATCCCTCCAAACCCAATCTCCGTCCACTCCCCTCCCCGTCCGCTAGAACTCCCACATCACCAAGCCCACCATGGCCGAAGGAGCCAAATCGCAGAACCCGATCCTGCCTCAGCCGGGGAAGAGGAATGTGCTGATTACGAGTGCGCTGCCCTACGTCAACAATGTCCCCCACCTTGGCAACATCATCGGGTCCGTCTTGTCCGCCGATGTCTTTGCGCGATACAGCAGAGGGAGAGGACACAACACCCTCTACGTGTGCGGTATGTAAAATGAAGCCTATTCTTGCCCCCCGGCTCCATCACCACCTGCGCTTCTCCTTGATCTCTCTAGCCCCGGTGGTCCCTAGACCTGCATCATTGGCCTAACATGTCTTCATCTTGTCAGGCACCGACGAGTACGGGACCACGACCGAGGCGCGAGCTCTAGTTGAGGGCGTTAGCCCCAAGGAGCTTTGCGACAAGTATCACACGATCCACGCCGGCATCTACAAGTGGTTCAACCTGAGCTTCGATATCTTTGGCCGAACCACGACCGAACCGCAGACTGTCATCACGCAGGAAATCTTTCTCAAGCTCAAGGAGAATGGGTTCCTCGAGGAGCGAAACACGACTCAACTTTACTGCGAACAGCACCACTCCTTCCTTGCCGACCGATTCGTCGAGGGCGAATGCCCCAAGTGCGGTTACGGTGATGCTCGCGGCGACCAGTGTGACGGGTGCGGACAGCTCTTGGACCCGCTCGACCTCAAGAAGCCTCGCTGCAAGGTCGAAGGCTCTACCCCGTGACAAAGGACACCAACCACATCTTCTTCAAGCTTGACAAGCTCCAGCCCGAGATCGACGCCTGGTATCAAGACTCCGCGGCGAAAGGAGGCTGGTCTAGCAACGGTAAGCAGATCACCGCCGCTTGGTTGAAGCAGGGCCTCGATGCGCGCAGCATCACCAGAGACATGAAGTGGGGAACCCTGTTCCCCTCCCCGGCTATGAGCAAAAGGTCATTTACCCCTGGTTCGATGCTTGCATCGGCTACGTTTCCATCACCGCGTGCTACACCGACGAGTGGAAGAAGTGGTGGTATAGCCCCGACGACGTCAAGCTTTACCAGTTCCTCGGAAAGGACAACGTTGTCTTCCACTCCGTCATCTTCCCCGGAACCCAAATTGGCACCCGCGACAACTGGACCAAGCTTCACCATCTTGCCGCCACCGAGTATCTTACCTACGAAGGAGGCAAGTTCTCCAAGTCTCGAGGTATCGGCGTGTTTGGAGACTCGGCCCAAAAGACGGGCGTTGGCCCGGACGTATTCCGATACTACCTTCTCTCCCACAGGCCCGAAGCCAGTGATAGCGAGTTCAACTGGGACGAGTTCATCAGCTGCAACAACAACCTGCTGCTGAAGAACCTCGGCAACTTTGTCAGCCGAGTCGTCAAGTTTGTCAACGGAAAGAACTACAACAACGTTGTCCCCGAGTCTTCCGGTTTCCAGGATGCCTCCATTGACGAGTTCAAGGCTGAAGTCAACAAGCTCCTCAAGCAGTACGTCGAGGAGATGGACGCGGTCAAGGTCAAGGCTGGTCTTTCTACCGTTCTTCTCATCTCCCAGGCCGGCAATGCCTTCCTGCAAAACAACAAGCTTGACAACAAGCTGGCCGAGACCGAGCCCGCAAAGTGCGGTGCTGTCGTTAGTCTCGCTCTCAACCTCATCCATCTCATCTCCTCCATCATCACCCCCTTCATGCCCGAGACGGCGACTGGAATTCTCGCTCAACTCAACGCCGAGCCCATCCTCATCCCCGACACGTGGACTGCCGACAGCATCAAGACCGGCCACGAGATCGGCAAGGCTGCCTATTTGTTCAGCAATATCAAGCCCGAGAAGGGAGCTGAGTGGCGCGACAGCTTTGGTGGCGACGAGGTGAAGAAGGCCAAGGAGGAGGCCGCCGCCAAGAAGGCAAAGAAGAAGGCAGCCATGAAGAAGCCCAAGGGCCAGAAGAACGTTGGCGGCGACAAGGCCGCCCAGCCTGCTGCTGCCCCGTCTGCTACGGATGACGAGCTCGCCAAGAAGGCTGCCGAGGTTACGCTTGACGCGACCCCCAATGTTTAAGCAGTGGGCGATGTAGCAGGAGCCCATGCCGTGGGCTCCTGGGCAAGGGGTGAGAAATGGGAGGAAAATGCCCTGTGTGATGGCATCCGATCTCCGGCAGCTGCTACTGCCCTTCGGCACCAAGTGGATACCCGGCGAAGCGGCATTGTTACTGTAGAGTAAAGGGTTGATATAGAGTATTGAATTGATGAGTTACGAAGGGACATGAGTATGCCTCTTGGCCATTGCGTCTCCCTGTGTTCTGTGCCTTGGACTGCATCCATTGCAATGAGGCGGTATCATAGATGATGGGATAGGAAGAAAAGACAAGACGGACGATGGTTTACGTGATCCGCTGGAGAGAGTAGCAAGACGTTGTGAGAAGGGCAATGATGTGATGTGGTTCTTCCCGCTCCTTGAAGCCTCGAGGGTAGAGGCGCTATTCATCTTCGCCTGGCGGAACGTGCAAGTAGATGCGTGTGCTTTCGTTTCCCTCGTCCGTTTTCTTTTCACTTTGATGTACCTAGGCCCCGTGTCTCCCGTTGGCTGAGATGGCATCGACGGCAAAGATCCCCTTGCTCACTCATGTGCGAGCTACTCTACTTGTAGACGAACCATGCCTCTGGACCTCTGGGCTTTCACATCATACTTCTTCATGAGTAAAATGCGCGGCCTGGGATAGAGGTTTTATTCCTCGGTCGAGAAGAGAGCTGCGACGGAGCAAATGCTCCTCAGAATCGCCATGTCTCTTGCGCGCCAACTGCGAACTAGAGGGAAACGACCGAGTCCCCTTGTGCCTTTGGCGTTTACTCCAACCTGTTTACAATAGTCCGGTCTATCGGACAATAACTTCTTTACGGAAAACCCCACCATGTCGCGTGGGAGGGCCGACACCCGTGACACGACGTGTTCTGTTGTGGAGGAACCTTTAATACTTCGTACTTCGTAGGTCGTTGAAAAAGTGCCGATGCGTCGCTCGGCTGAGGTGACCAGGAGAACATCAGCCCGCCACTGTGCATAGTGCATTCGCCCAGAGCCAAAAAAGAGCACAGCTTCTTCTAGCCCACATGCTGCGCGGGTTGTTTGACCATGCCATTCTTTCAGCACGGGCGATGAATAAAAAGCGGGAAGACCGCGCGGCAGGGCCGGTACCGTCGAGTCCCAACCGAAAGACTGAAGGGCATTATTTCGGGAAGAGGAAGAGGGGTCATTTTACAAAGAGGTAGAGAGGAGGGGCATGGGGTCGCTCTCGAGATTGGGGTTCAGAAAAGGGACATGGAAAGGAGGAGGGAAGAAAAAAAGAAAAAGAAAAGGAAGGGAAAAAGGATCCTCCCGCACAAAAACCAATCAAAGAAGACGAAAAAGAAAAAAGAGAAAAAGAGCCCCCAAGTCCATGATTGCGCATCTCGGGACGAGGAGCCAGGCGAGGCACTGACTCGGGATTGGGTACTTGGCAAGGCCCGGATCGGGGCTGAAGGGGAAGGCGGTCAAGCTTAGTTCCCAAAGAAGAAGATATTGGATGGCCCAGTGAAATGCGTGCAGATCCGGAGGGAGATCTAAGCACGCTGATTTGCTTGAGCTCGGGGATTGCATGAATAGCACACGCCCTATTGAACGGGTGACAATAGGATCTAATTACTTTCCTTTGTGGTCAGCCGCGATCAAGTTGGGCTTGCTCGAGACGCTTGAATGGATCGATCTAGGATCGGTCCATCTCCTCTCACCCCTCCATATCCCCCACCACGCGTATTTATAAAATTCGAGATCTCCTGCGGCCTCTGAGACGTCTCGAGTCTCGACGATGCCATCTTTGAAAGAGCGGGCTCGATGGGTATTGGTGAAACGTTGGAAATTAAGACTGATGGGCGATTGCTGAAAACAATTGGAATGCTGAAGCTGGATGCGACTGGCCAGCCAATTTTGGAGTGAAGGAAACGGTGCACATGATGTCCTTGATGGCCTTGCGCGTTTGCAACCGCGGCATCCAAGTTTAGAATGGGTGCCATGGCCAGCCTGGGATCACAGATGACGTCCGAACCTAGCTAGGCTCAGGGCCTTGGTCTAGCGTGGCGCTCACCTTTGCTCTGTTTCTTTGTTGATGCGGGGCCAGGCTGGTGGTGGGTTAATGAATGGCGTTCGATTCTTGGCTAGGTCGCCTCCATCAATCATTTCTTTGCTTCAGCGCCGAGCGCAGGCAGCCCTCCGAACATGTCGTGTACCCAACTATTATTATGATGGAGTGTACAAGTACGATCATGTTCCTTGTTCCTCCTCAGGCACCGCTTCTGAGCTGGAAACGCTGGTGTCCTGTAAGTCATTGATCAATGCTTTGAAGCCTCTGGCAACTTTTTAGACTGCGTCCTTGTCATAGTGTACTCGTTCGTTTTTATGTCGTGTACTAAACGCCTATCCAAAGTACAAGTTATGTTGCCTGGCTCCTTCGAAAGAGTCAGAAAGGAGCGAGTGACCCATCACCTTTTTCGGATTGCAGTAGCGCCCTCCGCTTTCCTGCAATGTAATGTCCATCTTGTTCGCTGATGGCAGAGGTCATCTTTTGGTGCAGGCTGGATGGTGGCCAAGGCTGTCTTGGGATGGGAAGCTCCGTCCATGCAACCTGGACTGTGCTTGAATATGAAAGAGAAAAGTAATCTCCGTTCGATTCTTCTTCTTTTTTGGGTGGTCAGCAAACTCGGTTCCGGCCATGTGTGGTAATAATGCTCCATTCTTCCCTTTTAAGGAGTTAAGATGATGGAAAACCAGCGAGACTGGCTTCACGAAACCGTGCCCCGCCCCTTTCCACCTTGCGGCCGTCGGCAAACCTGGCAGGGGGACCAGGCGACAAAGGCCGGTGGAAAGACCCATGGGAATATCCGGGGTCCTGGTCGAACCTTCCCCATTCTGCCCCTCACCGATGCGAGGGTGGGAAGGAACCTTCCTGGGGGTCGGAAAAAGGACGAGGAATAATACTTGGACGAAGTACTTGTATGCATGGGAAGACAATGTTAACCAGGGTCGCAACCTTGACCAGGTGTAGGTCTTATTACGTTGCGTTGCACACTTGAAAGCGAGGGGAAGGACCAGTGCGTTGGAGCGCTTACGCAGCCGTGGTGAGTACTTCATCATGACTTGAATTGAGAAGTAGGATCTGAGCATGACTCCCACCAACGCCTATTTGACCAAAACTATTTTTAATCAGCACCCCTTTCCCTTCCTCCACCCATCACTCTTATCCGGCCTGGTCAGGAAGCAGGGACGTGGCCGAGGCTTCCAACTTGGGAAGGATTGAACCACTTCCAGGAGGAGTACTTCGGGAGAGAAACCCGAATCTCAAATCGACAAGAGGAAGGGAGATGAAGCTCTCGCTATCAAAGAAATTGACCAATATCTCCTGTCGGCTTCACTGAAAGACCAAAAATTCTCTTCAGTTGCACTTCTGATTATTTTGTTGTGAGGGCCGACTGCGCCAGGCCGCAATGCCAAGTTTATTTGATGGCTTGTATGCTAAGGTTACCTCGGGCAAGTGACAGGGCCGCGTATGCACACAGCAAAAGGAACTGGTGTTGTTTTGCTAACTTCCGCTCGATTTTGGAGCGGCCGCTTAGTATTTCGTACCTCGATCAAAGACGGGCCAGTGGGGTGACAAAAGTTTGAACACACCCACTTTTTCAAGACAATAACTTCAAACTAACATTATAATGGCTATTATAGATGAAAAAATCCCCAAAATATCTTAAAAATTCCTTCCTAATATCCAATTGGTCCACCACCTGACTTCCGTAGCAAACGCATGCGTTGTGGGAGGGTTTTCGCATACTTTTCAAAGAGTTCAGGCGGCAAAGAGAGCCACGTTTCCCAGATGGCTTAGATCAGATCGTCCCTCTTAGTAAACCTATGCTTCAGATTCCGTATTCGGAGCTTCATTTCGCGCCAGATATTCTCAATTAGGCTAAGATCTAGGCTCTGTGGCGGCCATTCTAGCTGCCAGACCCCCATGTTGCCTTCCATTCCTTGATGACCTTTCGTTTGTGATAACTAGCATTATCCTCCTGTAATAGGACCTCATCTCCATAGCGTGCCCTCATTGCCACATAGAAAGGTAGAAAGTGGCTCGCAAATACCTCCTAGAAGTATAGTTGCCCATCTATAGTGCGGCCTGCAGGGAAGAAAACCAAAGGCCCACGTTAGGAGCCCATAAAACAAGCCCACACGCCCACACTAAACTGGCCACTAATATATAAGTGATAGAGGCAGTCAGGGGCATATTCTTCCTTAGAGCAACGTGTGACCCAAAGAGATCCAGGTGCCTGCCCACTATAGAAGTGGGATTCGTCAGACCAGCAAACTAGGTCCCAATTAGTGAAAATATTGCGTAGACGAAAGGCGCGACGTTTCTTCCTGTTCACTACTGATATCCCAGGCTTTTGCGGGCTTTCCGCCGGCCATAGCCTACCTTTTTCAGGTAGCGGCTAACTGTACGGGCTGCTAGTCGGTGGGTCGATTTTGATGGTGTTGCTAGTGCTGCTAAGGTTGCAGTTCGTTGCCGAATACTGGAACGCTTCAGTTGCCTTAGTGAGCGAACTGATACCTTAATAGGCCGCCCAGACCGGGCAAGTGTTTCAAATGGATGCGGGCTGCCGCTGCGGATACGGTCCTTGACCCGCCGAAGGCATGTAAGGACGGTATTGCGGGGTACCGCTTGAGGACTGATATTTCACGTGCCGTGTGCCCAGCTTCTGAAAGGCTCCAGATAGCATATCGGGCCGCAGCTGATAGTTCGAAGCCTCGCATTTCTGATGATAGTAGTGGTTTGTAGGATGAAAAAGGGAAGTTGGTGTTTGTTGGGATAGAAGTTGGGATATCCTTCCTGACGTGTGGTTTGTTTGTGGCGTTTTTCGCGTCAAGTGTGTTCAAACTTTTGTCACCCCACTGGCCTCTCAAGAGGATGGCACATATAACAGATCTAATTTATTGCCTGCCATTTCGTGGTTGAGGTGGGGGCGAAATAGACAATCGGATATTAAAGACATCGGACGGGAGATGGGAGAAGGGGAAAAAGTTTTCCGTCGCCATGGCACAGCTGAATGCGGTGGGGGAATGGGCGGTACCGAGCGACAGAATCCGCTTCGAGAAGCAATCTGATAACCCGCCAGCACTATACCTTAAAATGTTTGACCAGGAAACAGGGAAACTCAGTATTATATTGTTGTGCATATCGTTTATCGTCAAGCCTCTGCAGTAGAAAGTGGCGGGTAAAACGACCATTAACTATCAAAGAGGTTCAGGCCCACCAGCCTGCCTTTGCTGGCCACTGAACCAGTTAAAGTATCAACCCAGAGAGCACGCAGATTCACACAGGAGATATCGGGAGATCCACCGTCTTCTTCCCACAATCAGGAGACGGGAGAAAAGGAAAGAAGCGGAGCCTTCAATCCCTCTGTACCTGACCTGTAGAGGTACAGTATCCCGTCGTCCGTGCCCTCCTTGTTCCTGGGCCCTGGTCTAGCGTGGCTTGCCTCTGGACAAACCCCCACCCCTTTCCTTCCTGACCCGTTCCTCCTGACTTTGGTCGACGTCTTCGTGAGGCATCTGTGACCTTGAGAAACTGTCGGCTGGAGCTTCTCGGTCAAGGATGGAATAGATCAATGGTATCTGCGATCCGTTGGCCTGATCCTTCTTTGTGGGCATCTCTCCTTTGTCATGGCTGGCCTCGACCGACTTGCTTGTGCTTGAGTCGCGTTCAGCCTGTCTGTCTCGCTCGCTATAGTCGCAATGGTGTTATTACACCTGGCCCCCTCCATCCCCTTTTCGGTGGACGTGCTCTTGACTTAAAAGTGGGCAGGGTGGTATTATTGCTCACGTCGCCCAGGCCACCCCATCCAACAACCGCCAGTCTCCTCGCCCACCCACCAACAGGAAAACGAGATCCGGGTCCGATGCGCCAAGCCGAAGCCAGCGTTGGCCTCGTTCACAAAATGATCGATTCGTGGACTCACAGAAGGAGTTGTTTAGTGGCTGCACAATGCGAGGAGCGAAACGACTCATTGAGCAACGGCACACCCGCCCTAGGTCCTTGTACTATTTAATGTACTTGTGTACGGCAGTATTCTTAGCGGCGATTGGATCATGAATTCGCTGCAAAGGCGATGAGAACAAGAAGCTTGGATTGGTCTGGAGGGTATTGACTGAGTTCCTCCATGCTGGTTCGACCCAACGGAAAGGTTGCTTCTTCGTGCGCGTGCTGATAAGATTCTGCGTCTTTTATAGTCCGCATGTTCTTTTCGCATGCACACTATGGTCGCATCGTCACAGTTAAGACGAGGTGACTGAAGGCTTTGGCTCACTCCTCCTCATACCTCATTTTAGGGTAATAATAGTACTCTTGTACTCTTGACTATTGACGGAAGCTACCCCCTAAACACATGCACATGTGCTGTGGGCTTAGGACGGTACGGATTCCGGTCGCTCGCGCTCGCGGACATTGCGCTCCACAGCGACGACGTCTTTCCTTCACTTCCTTTGTCTGTATCTGTACCATTTCCCCCTTTCTTCATTTTTGTATGAACGAAAGTCGCGCGAGGGCGTTGCACCCTTTTTCGAGCTGTTGGTCCTTTGGAGCGTCCGTACAATTGCTTTCTCGCCCAAGTTCAGAATAACTCTCACCTTGTACCTACCCTACCCCTGATCGAGGAAGGCATAGCCTCCCTTTGGCTTGAAACCGACTACACACCTACCCCCAGTCGATCGAGGGAAAGACCTCCGTGCTCACAGTTCAAGACTTTCCACCCCTGGGCTCTAGATTTATCGGTTGACTATCACACCCCATACTGAACCACGCCGGCCGGATTGCCCTTTTCCCTTCCCCTTGGCCTGAGCTTGAAAGCAGAGCACAAGCCATTCTTACCCTTTGTTGAACGAGCTCCTGTGCCAGACCAGGATTTACCACCTCCACCCGACACCTTGGCCCTCTCATCCCCGACATCGATTAGTCCCTCTTTGACGGACCTGAAACTTCTTCCCAAAGAAATACGAATTCGATCTGACCCTCACCAAACAACGACGACCTCAGCTTGATGTTTACGATTGTGACGGAACCTACGAACATCTGTTTATTTTTCTGCCTGAACGACGTGTACCCTCTTTCGGCGTTGCCATACCTTCTCGAGGCTCTTGGCTGTGAAGCGCGACCGTCCCCTCGACAGTAGTGAGTTTTGGGAGTTGGAAACCAACCCTGTGAAGAGTTTCGCATGTCATCCTGCATTGCGGTTGCTGCCTCTTCGCTGAACACTTGAACCTGAACCCGAGCTTTCCCGCCAGCTCTGCGAACTGTGGTGCCTTTCTTAGCCGTCGAAACAGCGCGGTGGACGGATCGTCGCAGCGAACAAGGCGCATCGAAAGGAATTCTAGAATGGACGGATAGGCCAACTTCGAACCAGCACCATCACTTTTATCTTCTTGATCGCGACCCCAGCGTTGGCCGCTTGGTTTGCAACGCGGAAAACGCACGGCGATCCGATCGGCGTCTCAGCGATCCCAGCACCGGGTCAATCTTTTTCTGGAGGGCCTTTTCAAATGCTTTGCGTTTTCATTGACATTATTCCTCACAAGTCGACCTAAAATTACGAGTGTCTCTGACGGCAACTCATCCGAGACAAATCTGCCATCGCGGTGGCAGGGTGCGCCATTGTCTAGTTGATGTAGGACTGAAAGCATCCAACCCCCTCACTTATACGCCGCTCCTCCTACTTTGGACGGAACAATCGCTCCATCATGGCTACCGCGCGCCTCCCTGTCCTCAGGGTAGACACCTACGAGGATGCCTTACCTATTGTCTTGATCCCACCTTCCGACGATGCCCCCACTGCCTCGCCCCGCGCCGGCACACCCTCGGAGGCCGAGGCAAAGATGCTGAGGGCGCGGAACCGCTCGCCCAAATCACCTGCCTTGCATCCGATCCGATCTATGCAGGAGGCGTTCAACGAGTCTTTAATAGAAGCTACCAAGGATGCGTCACTGAATAAGCCGAAACTTCGACACCTCGATGCAAAAGCCCGACGAGAGCACCTAATTGCCCAGGAAAAGGGCGAGGAGTTGTATGGCATGCGTTGGCGGTACCGACCGGGTCAGACACAGCATGAGCTATGCAAGCTCATGTCCCAGATTTCATTTGGCATGAACTTGCTTTTGACTGGCAAGGCAAACAGCGACGACCAGGTCGTGTCAATTATCCAGGGCCACATTGACGAGATCGACGAATTCCTAGACGTCGCCCTCGAGGATTTCCAGCAGGCCACCGCGGACCTCACTGAACGAATAAAATATTTGCGGCTCCCCCTGGAGCATCTCGACGTTTTCGAGAAGCTCCTAGAGGACCGAAACTACCGTGCAGAGCTCCTCCATAACAACGAGAATATCGATCACATCCTTAGCCGGACTATGTCGATGTTGACGCAATACGAATCTGATTTTGCCAAGGGTCTTCGCTCAACCAAGGACTTCATTACCTATCTTGCCGAGCAACGAGACAGCCCTCGACGGACTCAGTACCCCGATATTGATGATATCTATAAGGCGATGAAGGGCAACACCGACGGTTGGCGCATTGCATTCTTGGACCTGCAGCAGCAAGGCATCAACCTGGATGGTCTCTCGACCAAGCTTTCGACAATGGTTGCCACAATCCAAAGCAAGGCTGGAGAGGTCAGTCGACGGACGTGGGTAAGTTCCCTTCTTGGGTCGCCCTTAATCACTCCTTCCTTCCTATCCCTCTTGTCTCAGAATGATCACACAGCCCAGTCCCCAGCCCCTCGCTCCTCACCCGCTAGTGCCTTTGCTGACATTGCTCACCTTTTAAGACCAAGATTGAACCCTTTAGCCTTCCTCGTGTCAACAGCATACGCGCGAGCCAGCAAACATCGCCGGCATCGAGCACCTCTCCATCCGTCATGTCTACCAGAAGCCCTACGTCATCTAATAGCATAAGCGAATCGATCACGCCAACCCACGCACCGCTCGATGCCATCCGCTTCAACCGACTCACGATCAGCGCCGCGCTCGGACCTGCGCTCGAGAACCCCTTTGAGGATCTCAAATTCATTACTCACCAAGACAACGACGCGATTGCGGACAACTTGGTCCCTGATGATGGTGATGTAACGGTAGATCATGGAGAAGATATTTTGAGCATCAGCCTCGGTGAGGCGCGAGGTGCCGCAACCAACGACCACGGGGGCGTGCATGACCGGGACCAAGATCTTGGGGTGCAGAGCGAGGTTGGGGTTCACATGTACCAAACGGTGGAGGGTATGACCGGGCAGGAGTCGGCTAAAGGTGTCAAGAATGAGCCTCTGCTCTGCGAAATCGAAGAGGAGCAGGAAGGCGTAGAGGAGGAGGTGAGGGCAGAGGTGAAGGAGGAGACAAAGGACGATGCGTATGGCGATCTTTACCTTTTGCAGCCTCGAACATATACGCCCAGGCTGCCGGCACCACTTCCATCTCCAGCGGTCAAAGAGTATAAGCCACCGGTTACGTCGCAAACGGCCTCGACGATTACGATATCCCCGTTCCTTTGCAAGCTACGGCCGTGGCTTCGGCCGAGCCACAACCTTCCTCCATCCCCGATTTCCCCAAACGGTCATCTCTTCGCCAGAGGGTCTCACTCAAAGGCAACGCGCCGCCGGAGTCGATCAAGATCCCCGCCCATGCGATCCACGCCGCAACTCCGACCATCGCCAAACCTAGCAACCCTGCCGGATTCGGCCTATGGATCGGACAATGATTTACGGCATCGCGCGAGTGCCATCCACCTCCCAGAGCCCTCCCCGCCAATCCTCAACCGCACAATGCCGTCTCCTCTCTCTGACAGGCAAGTTTACCACCCTGTTCAGGCGAGCCCCCATTCTCCCCTCCAGCAGAGGCCGCACACTTCCTACAATGCCTTCCCTACTCCTCCCCGTACGAGCCACACTTTTCAACCCGGCCACACAAGAAATGCGCCATCGCGCCTGGGCGGCGCCAGCACGCTCAGCAAGGTCACCACACTTACCTACGATACTGCAACCTCAAAAGGTGGTAGTGGCGACAAGCGGCTCAAAAGAAAAAGAGCGCGTTTGGTTGGCTCAAGAAGGCCTTTGCGCTAGATGAAGACGAGAAAGCGGCATTTGAGGCACGTAAAGTGACGCAAGACCAGAACTTGTACTACCAGGAGCGCAGCAAAAAGTTCCTCGATGGCAGGAGGGTTCGAACGCCCAACCAGCAAGGCCGTGATAGCCCGGCTTCGACGTATCAGGGATCAATGTACCAGGCCTCGAACTACGAGGCTTCTGCATACCAAACCTCGATGTATCGCCCCCAATCACCCTACCAACACTCACCTCACCAGCAATCCCTCTATCACGGCTCCACGGGATACCAGAGTCCAGGGTACCAAGGACACCAGTGAACAACGCGACGATGGTAGGGGAAGAAAGAAGGAGGCCAATGTTTCAAACCAATACCAGCACAATCGACCTCTCTTTGTCACGTTTCTGTTGTATACTTGTCGCCAAGTCCCGATATCTCTTCGACGAGCATGGACGCCTTCACTCGCCGACCCATCTCTCCACTTCTCCCGAGTACGAGGCCTTTTCGTTTCCTCTCGTTTTCCGTTGTTGCCCTCGAGATGGCAAATGCCTTGCCTCTTTTCTTTTTGTGTCTAAAAATACCCGTGTCACTGGCACATATCACAGCATATACCCACGCCGTCGGTGGCCGTAATTTCTTTTTTGTTTCTCTTGAATCACCAACCGTTGAACGGTTCTCGAAACTACTACAATAGTGCGACCCTTCGAACAAAACGATGGATGCTCGGCCTGTCGAAACCCTCCATCTATGGGTGTATTTATTGCGATACTCCCTATCTAACCTGCGTATTATACCTCGACCTCTTCCTATTACTTGTTACGCCTCGATGTTGGGCGCCCTGCTAAAGCCCTGAACCATCACCCATCTACCCAAACCGTTTTTCTTTTTCGGAGTTTCCTGGTGACAGCAGCATTTTTTCTTTGGCTTTTGATGTCTCACGAATACTATTACACTAATACACCTAATCAACTACCCTTACCTATTTCCTTGAGTCGTGGTGTGTACGGGATCATGGATCTGCATAGCGGGATGATGTATTTGGGAATGCAGCGAGCTCGCACAGCGTCCGGGGATCTTTCTTCCTTCAAGGTAGCCTTCGGCGAGAGCGCCTGGGGAAGAATGGAGGAAGAGAACAAGGAGGGGGCGATTATCCTGTGGAGTTGTGCGCAGTCATCCCGTCGTTGCCGAGTTTTGCTCGCCGCTCCCGTGCTGTTATTCAAATTTTTGTTTTTTTACTGTGAACCAACCATCGTCCGAGCAAGGAGTCATATGGATATATAGCATAGGCGGAATTGTTATTTCGAAATGTGAAATGTTCTTTTTCTAAAGTCTTTATCCCTGTTTCTTACAATGCAGGCGTCTTATGGACCCATTTGCTTTCGCGCTATCTTCCCTAGGCCCCGAGGCCGTAGCTTCTCACGCGGCTAAAGAAGAAGGGCTTGTCGTTCTTGAGTTCGAATATGGCCCAGTCGTCAGTCAATTTATTGTAGCTGTGGAAGCCGCGCCAGACAAGTTTGTTGTTTCTCGAGGCAGGCTTGCCCGCGCTGCGCAAGGATAGGTCTAGCCGGTAGACGTATTTTTCGCCCACAACGCCCTCGGTCTCGACGACAAGGTCGCCTTCGGGGTTCTCGTCGGGGACGGGGGCGGGGGCGGCGGGGGTGGCCAGGAGGATGAGGAGGAGGCGGGGAGACGAGCTTCCAGCGGCCGGGGAGGGCCTTTTCGACGACGATGGAGGGCAGGTGGGGGCGGCGCCGCCGCGGTGGGTCTCGACGAGGTCCTTGGTGAGGTAGGGGACGACGTCGGCGGGCTCGGTGGTGGTGAGGAGGCTGATGACGGTGCCGTCGCGGAAGAAGCGGAGGTAGCGGTAGTAGGTGACGATGTGGACGGGGCTGTTCCAGGAGATGTAGTTGACGTTGGCGAGGCCGGAGCGGATGTAGTTGGCGGTGGCGATGTAGGCGCCGTTGAAGCGGATGCGGGGGCGGGTGCGCCACATGGTCTTCCACGAGGAGGCGTAGAAGAGGGGAGGAGGGCTAACGTGGTTTGCTCGCTCCGGTGGGCGTCGCGGGCGGCGCGCTCTTCGGGGTGAGCCAGAGTACCGGGGTGGCGACGACGTCCGGGCCAGAGCCCTCCACTCGGTCCTGGTCCTGGTCCTGGTCGTCGTCTTCGTCGCCCGCGCCGGGCGGCAAGGTCTTCCCGTACAGGTCGGTGCGGAAGCGGTAGTGCATGCCGGCGAAGCCGAATTCGGGGCCGAGGCAGACGCGGCGCCAGATGCGGTCCTCGGTGGCGACGAGGTAGGCGAAGCGCTTGCAGACGCGGGAGAGGCGGGCAAAGTCGGCGACGTCGAGGACGGCGACGTCGCGCAGGATGTGGGCGAGCAGCTCCTCGGGGAGGTTGGCGATGGGGCAGGGGGCGGCGGGGGTGCCTTCGACTTCGGGGGGCTGGGGTGATGCCGAGGGCTTGAAAGCTGGAGATGAGGTCGCTGACGGATTGGGAGGGAGCGCCGCGGGTGGGGGCTGTTGTCGTTGTCGTCGTCGTTGGTGTTGGTGTTGTTGTTGCTGCTGGTGGAGCGACTGAGGGCGTCGTCTTTGGGGTAGAGGGTGACCCGGCGGTGCCTGCTGCGGAGGGAGGGGAGGGCGTGATGTTGGCACGCTAAAATGCTTCTTGCGGTAGACTTGGTCTACGCGGCTATCCATCTAGAGGGCGGGTTGTTAGCGTGAAGGGGCCCTTTTCTAGTTAGAAGGACATGCTCTAATTTTTCTTACATACCCGGAACGCCTTGCGGTAGAGATTCAGACTGTCGCCCAGATTACCCTGTGCCTCTCTCATGACGGCAGCCTCGAAGTGGTCGAGGGCGGATTCGAGCGTCTTCTCACCGTCCGCGGCAGACTGGCCCGCCGCCAGGGCGTCCTTGCCCTGGCCCTCGCCAAATAGCTCATCAAAGGCTTGGGTCTGCACGTAGTCGTCATTCCCGTGCGCCGCGTGGGTGGCCGGAGTGGCGGGGGCCTTTGTCCCCTCGCGGCGCGGGTTACGCTGGAGATGGGGACGGAGGGTCCGGCGCCAGAGGAGGAGGCGGTGGCGGTGGGGGCGGCGGGGCGCTTGGAGTGGACTTCGGAGAGCCATTCCTTTCGGAAGGCGTCGAGCTCGGAGATGAGCTCGTTGGAGGGGCGGCTGGTCATCTTGGGGGACTAGCTAAACCGGTGTCGAGGAAGGGGGAGTGGGCTGTAGATGTGTGGTGGGGTCAAGTTTTGTCTCAGGAGGAAGGGGACTTGATGGAGAGATGGGGCAGGCTATCAAGGGAGGATAAAAACTGGTAGGATTGGAGGCGGAGGCGGGTTGACGTTCGTCGCAGATGGGACATTGGGGTTTAGGAGTGAGTGCAGTTACAAGTTGGAAGGGGAGGTTATGGCGGCACGCTTGACCGTGGGGAGGCGTGAGCTAGGGGTGTTCCAGAGATGGATATATATTGAGGATAAAGCTGTTAAAAGAAGCACGATTGATAGGTTTTAGAGGGTCTTTAGAGAAGATTGATATCAAGGCAGGAAATTACAAGAAAGTGCAGACTCGTTGGTGTAATTGCCTCTCAGCACTCAAGGTGGCGGTGATAAGAGTAGTTTTTGAGGATGCTTGATAATAGGCAAGCACGACGTGAGGAGCAGCGCCTTCGGAGCTTCGTCGACGCTGATTACTCATTCGGCGAAGAGCGTCGCCAGTCGGAGCCATCTCCGCCATTTCGCGCTGCACGTCAGCGGCGGTCACCAGCTTTTGATAGGCTGCATGTAGGCTGAGGACGGCCTGGCCAGCGCCATTCCTTGACTGTTCGGTCGGGTTAGCTTTTGGTTGGAATACTGTTGAGCTTTTACTCTCGCTCGTTGTGTCCCTGGTCTAGGCAGCCTCTCAGGGTTAATCCTCCCTTCACCCAGGCATGGCGATAATTGCTGGACTGACTGTCTCTCTCCTTTTCCTTTTCATGAAATGCCAGTCTTCTTTTATTTTGCAAGTCCCCTGCCGTGCTGTTTGACTCGACGGCTGCTCCGCAATTAGGTCACTCATTCTTTCTATAGTAAATATTGCATGTAGTGTGGAAGGCGGTCTATGCTTGTGCGTCGACGGAGAGAAGGTCAATCACTTCACTTGCACGGGTCCGGCCTCTGAGACTGCTAAAGGTTATACAGCATATATCGTATCCATAAATCGCTGTTCATTAGATATAATTTTCAGCCACCCCAAGTTCTGCGGATTTCGCAGGACAACATCGAATGCTGGCCGCTTTGAAGGTGCTCTAGCTTGGCGCTTGGCCCTCCTTCCACGCGCAACTTTCAAGGGCGATGGCGTGCCAGTCCCCTCCGTCGTGGAGGGGCTGAACCTGCCGTTTCTCTATGACTGTAGCGCGCTCTCCCACCATTCAAGTCAAGCCAAGAGTCAAGCCACAGTCTCGATGCTCAATTTTTTTTTCCCTTTCTTTTCTTTCCCATTAGAAAGGGGGTAGGTAGCATTTACTTGAAGGAAGAAACTACACGCATATAACGAGAAAGCGAGTGAGTGGCTTCCTAGCAACTGGCTCGGAACTATCGGTGGCTCCGATCGTCTGCACGCCCACATTTGCGCTGCCCTTCCTCCTCCCCCACAGTCTCCTAGAAACACACGGCGCCGGAGCGGAGCGGAAGCCAGTCGCATCAAACACGCAGGCCACCTTCACAGGGCCGGCGGACTATAGACAGACCCCGCAATGGCGATTCAACAATCCTACCTGGGCCACATAAGTCCGCTGAAAGTTGTCAAGCGGCTCAAGAACACCTTTCGCCAATGCTGGCACTTAGGAATCACCGCCTTTGGCGGGCCACCCGTCCATTTCCAGCTTGTGCGTAATGCGTACCGTTTGATACCCTGGCCCTACCCGCCCTAGCCCTGCGCGCGAGGTAGTCGCTGCCATCTTGAGATGGATATGCTAACATAAAAATGGTTCCACGGTTAATAGTTCCATACCAAATTCGTCACCAAGGCTCAGTGGATAAACGAAGAAGTGGTACGGAACATAGCCTTGCTTTCCATATACGAACCCCCATCCCCAGCACTGCTCTTACTCGTGGCGTCCCATCTCCAGTTTGTTTTCACTAACACGTCTTTAGTATCAAGAGCTCTTCAGCGTGACACAAGCATGTTCGGGCCCTGCCAGCACCAAGATGCTCTATTGTATCAACTTGATGCATGATGGCTTCCCCGCTGCCCTGTTTGGCCTGCTTTTGTGGAGGTATGTTACCCCTACTACTTTTCTTGTCTTTAGCCAACACTCCCTCCGACTCTTGTTCCAACTAACAGCCCATCTTCACAGTCTTCCCGGCGCGCTAGTCATGTACGGCCTCTCAATCGGGGTATCCAGCATCGGCGACAGCCTCCCCGCCCCGGTATACGCCCTCCTCTCCGGTCTCAACTCCGCCACCGTCGGCATCATCGCCCTAGCAGGGGTCCAGCTCGCCGAGAAAACCATCACCGACGTCCCCAGCCGGCTCCTCGTCTTTTTCGGCGCCTCTGCCGGCCTGCTGTACAACGCCCTGTGGTACTTTCCCGCCATCATGGCCGTGTCCGGGTTCGCCACCGTCGTCTACGATTTTCGCTGGCTCCATCCGCCCGTCAAGGCCGTCAGCAGCCTGATCAAAGCTCCCCTACGCTACCTGCGCCGTAAACGGGAGCCCCCGTCCGACCCGCCCGTCGAGGATGGCGGCGACGGCGGCGGCGGTGACGACTCATTTGTCCGGCTCAGCAGCAACGTGGCGCGGACAGCCTCGCAGCGCAGGCACGATGCCGCCTCTGGCGCGTCTTCGACGCTCCCGGTAACGGAGCAGGACGCCGAGGAGAGCCGATCCGACACCGAGACGGAACCGCGCGTGATCCCCGTCGAGCGCCGCCTCAGCTTCACGTGGAAGTTTGGACTCGCCGTCATCGTCGGCTTCTTCCTCTCCTTCGCCGCCATCATGGTCGTGCGCGGCGTCGTCAAGAGCAAGCCGCCCCTCTACGACGTCTTTGCCAATTTCTTCCTCGCGGGCACCATCATCTTTGGGGGCGGCCCCGTGGTCATCCCTCTCCTGCGCGAGTACGTTGTCACCGAGGGCTGGGTCCGACCGCGCGATTTCCTCATCGGCGTCGCCATCATCCAGAGCCTGCCCGGCCCCAACTTCAACGTCGCCGTGTACTTGGGAAGCCTGGCGGCCATCACTCTGGGGTATCCGTCCATCGTCGGTGCTCTCCTCGGGTACGTTGGCCTCTTTTTCCCGGGCATCATCATCGTCCACGGCACCATGGGTGTGTGGGGCTCCATTCGTGGCCTGCGCTCCGTCAAGTCCGCCATCCGGGGCGTCAACGCCGCGGCCGTGGGCCTCATGTACACCGCCGTGTATCGGCTCTGGCAGATTGGCTACATCGACGCGGGGTTCCAGCAGGGCACCAGCTTGGCGAACGAGCCCTGGTGGGTTGTCGTTACGGCTACGAGCTACGTGGGTGGGTATTGGTTTGGCGTGAGCCCGCCCGTTGCGATTGTTACCGGCGCAATCATGGGAATGATCTACTACGGAGTGACAACAGCGTGACGATAGTAGACTGAGATCAAGTAAGGGTTGGGACTGAAGCGCGGTAGGACCAACTGTTGTTAGGGGACGCTTGGCACCCAGGCCGCCGTTTGGTGCGGGAGTGATATTAACCCATGCAAAAGCACGTAGAAATCGATACGAGAGGTGAGGTTAATAAAATCTATTTGGATCTGGCCCTATCGGGATTCTTTTCTATTGTACAAGTATAGCCATACATATCTTGCTCATGCATACATTGATTCGAACACAGCCCCGTGTTTCCGTAGGGCACTCTATCCTTTCTTGTCGCCGTAGCTCAAAGGTTGACAGCGCGAGCATTCACCTTTTCGACAATAGCGTCCCAGATCCAGCCTTCCTTGACGCCCTTGTTGCTCCCCTGGACGTTGAAGCCCCCGACGGCCCTGAACATCCACCACCTCCGCGCCGCATTCTCCCGCGCGGTGTCGCGCTCAAAGTTGACGATGCCCATGCGCTTCTTGGCGGGGTCATGTCGCCGACGGTGAAGTAGCTCATGCGGGGCTTGGAGATGACGCTGAGGGTGGTGACCTCGAGCCGGGTCTGCGCGGGCAGGGACGACACGAAGCGCTGGAGGGAAGGGCGGGAGTGCCGGGCGGCGGGGGCAGGTGGATGGCGATGTGGCTGACGAAAGGACCCGTCGTGAAGGCTACAAAGGCAAAGGGGATGACGCCGCAGGCGACGACTAAGGGGGATGATGGGTTAGAGCTAGGCGGGAGAGGGGCAGGCTTGATGGGAGAGAGGCGAGTAGGGAAATAGGTTACGCAGCACAAGGTTGAAGAAGATTAACTGATGAGCGGAGACTTACGGGCTGCGGTTTGTGGCCAGGGCTTATCGTCCATGATGTAAGAGGGGACGAAGATGCCACAGAAGAGGACGGAGAGAAAGATGGTTGTGAGCTTGAGGACTCCTAGGTATAGAACCCGACCGGTCCCGGCATGGTAGATGACCACTCTTTCAGGGAACGCTATTGTACGTGATGATTTTTTCTCTCTTGTTAGCGGAAAGCGCGCTTCTCACAGGGTGACAGCCCCGAGGACCGAGAGAAGGGAAGGGGGTGAGGACCGACATACCATATCGCTTATTAGGATCCGGCGCGGTGTAGATGTCCGGTACTGTTTGCCTCGAGCTCCGTGACGCGCCAATGGTGGACTTCGTCTGCCGGACAGGGTGCCGGGAGCTTGGGAGTAGGACCGAAGCAGTATGGCTTTGTGAGGGTGAGTGTGAGTGAGAGTGAGTGAGCGGAGCGGCCGTAGGTAGAGGGTTGATGAGAGAGGCCTGAGGGGCACAAGTTGCCGTACTCCCTGCAGGGAAGCCCTACAGCAAGCCATTTTTTATATGTGTTTTTAGGGTCCTCGGACGGGGGAGGGCGCCGGAAACGGGGTGGTGGTGGTGAGGGAGGATGGGAGTTTGCTTGATAAAATGAAGTTTCGCGACTGGTCGTGCAGACTTGCGATTTGTCCGTGAGATCAATCGCAATCGCTTTTCTTGCCATGAGCTTGCGCACGGACCAAGTGGACGTTTTGGCCCTGAAGCCGCCCAAAGTGACAAGTGGAGTTGGACTTCAGCGGCGTCGCGTGCGCTCAATAAATCACTGTCGAGGATATTAAAAGATGGGTGTCAATTGAGAGAATCAAATGGATTGACAGAAATATCGATTTCAAGGTTGAAGAATATAGTATATAATAGTAGCTTGATAGATACTCTTCCTTTCTTCCACCATTCTGTCTCTGGTTCCAGCTTAGACAACATTCTTCTCCAGCCACTCCTTCCACTGCTGCTCCCCCACCCCGAGCTCACATCGTTCTGCACCACCCCGTCAAAAATCACCGTAGGACTCACGTGAACGCCCGTCAACCTCGCCATCTTGACTAGCAGCTTCAAGTCGTTGGTGGCCTTGTTGCCCCCGTTCAGCTGGCCCTCCACGGGCTCCGAGGGGATCTGCAGCGCCTCGAGCACCCTCGTCTCGTCCAGCCCCACGCCGGCCGCGAGCTTGGCCAGCCGGGCGTACGTCTGGTTGCGCGTCTCGTGGACCACGTTGACGTCGTAGAACTCGGTCGCCCGCGCGAAGAGCGCCTCGTTATAGTCCCAGAATTTTTCGGGCGCCTGCTGGTTCACCACGACGGCCGATTCGTGCAGTAGCGTGCTGGACGGGTGCCAGGGCTGCACCTGGTGGCGGAAGATGATTTCGAGGTTGGACGAGGCGCCGCCCGCGCTGCTTCGGATTAGGGGAAGACTGTCCCCGTTAAGTTCTTGAAGATCTTGGCAGAGAAGGGACACTAGGGGCGGGCAAAGAAGAGAGTGCAAGATCCCCAAAAGGGGCGGCGATTCTCCTGTTAGCTGTGTTTTTTTCCTTTCTTATTTTCTCATTGTGTTCTCGTCGCCGGGTCTTTTGTAGAGACTTACACAGTAGTCTAGAAACACTTCTAGGACATGGGCGGCAGGGGGCACCGAGGTGTGAGGCGCGACGGGCCTCCCGAAGATGACTCGGTGGGCGGCAAACTTTGGAGGGAGGGCCATGATGTTTGATGTGTGGGTGATATCCAGATGTGGTGAGCGTTGAAGTGTGGATGAAGTTGAGAGATGTAAAGGCTACAAGGGTCGGCTGAGGACTTGTTGGTATATTTATCAACTAGAACCCTTTCTACGTTGAAAAATCACGGTGGTTGATCTTTCGTTTTGGGTGGTTGCGGGTTAGGTTGGGGTTGTGAGCTACATATACCGGCGATGACCGAGTGAGGGGTCAATCGAAGCTTCCTCCTACGCGTGTGGGACAGTGACAGCTCTCGCAGCTTCGGGAACTACATTAGCATTGTACCTGGTCATCCTTTTCAATCACCTAAAAATCCATCGCATGTGCATGTCCTGATCGCCCGGCCCCGATTGGACCAGCAGTGGGGAGCTCGGCTTCTGCCATGCCGACGTAATGATGCAATTGCTCGGTGATAATTGCCATTGGCACGCAACTCAAGCTTTCGTCAGCACTCTCCTATATGGACGAGTTTTGATTGACGCACACCGTGGAGTTCAACAAAGGAAGACGGCGCACTCGTTGAAATACAATTAAAGCACACCGTGAGAGCTACAGCTTGTGTCTAGTTTCCCAGCGAGGGCGATGACCCTTGAGCGAGCGAGTGGGGCAAATGAAGTCTTATGTCGCGCACTCTGGGCAAGTGCCTGTCGTGCGATCCCAGCGCCGGCCCCTGGCCCGGTCTCTACGCCGGCTGCAAGCGTCACTCGGGGCCCGGGCCCGAACCCGAACCTACGGCCGGGGTGTAAAACTGGAGGCTCGATTCATTTCCCATTTCTCTCAATGTCATACAGCTAATGTCCCACAAAACCATGGCGTGCTTATCGGGGCGAAACGGATACAATTTCAAAAACGAGGCAAGAATTAGAACTGTCGAGTGGAAAAAATCTTGTGCAGGTCCAACTATATAAACCTAAGGGCGGTGGCAGTCGATGCATCTCATTCCGCAATACAACGAAACCCATTTCTACGAGACAGTATTCTTCGCCACGACTCCCCTCGCAAATTCCCCAAACGTTATGTGCTGCGCAATGTCCACCTCCTCCCCAAGGTTCGGCTGCGTAAACACCGCCAACGTGTTGCGCGCCACCCTCCCACCCCCAGCCGAGGGCGCCGCCCCTCGGACAAAGTGCGGCACCGCTTTGAACCGTCCCGCCGTAATCTTCTCCAGCGCCTCGCCGGTCTGGAAGGCGATGCAGTCCCGAGGAATCTTGACCTGCACCGTTTCGCCCGCCCGAGACTTGATATACAGCCCCGCCGCCGGGTCGGGCGAGGCGGGGAGCTCCTCGAGCGTGGGGAGCTGGCCCGTCGCGCCCTCGGGAACGACGGGGTCGCTCGCGCTCTCGTCGATGAACATGGCGGATGTGAGGCCCGTCAAGCAGCCGTGGTCCAGGTGGGTGGCGCACCAGTCGTCCCCGTCCCCGCCGTCTTGCTCTTGCGCCGTGTCCTCCGTCTGTGGGAAATAATGCAAGAGGCGGGCCTTGGTCGTGTTGGAAGTGCTCACGACGTGCTCGAGGTATCCTTTGGGATAGTCCTGGATCTCCTTTTCCGCGAATCGGTCGCACGCCCGCGCCACGAGAACGGCGACGTCGATAATCAGCCTGCACAGGTTTTCCAAGCTGGGCTTGAAGCCGGGGAGCGTCTCCTCGCTCGGCCACAGATTGGGCGAGAGGTATTCCGGAAATGTTGCCTCGGAGAACTCTGGCGTGGGTTTGGCGCAGTCTAGCGAGGGATCAACGTAGAAGGCGCAGTTGGCGTAATACGAGCCCTTGAACGTGTCAACCTGGCCATTTTTGAGCGTCTCCTTGCCCAGGGACCAGCCCGTTAGATATTTGGCCTTGGAGTTTTCGAGTTGCTCTTATCATGGATATGGATTAGTAGTAGTCGCTTCGCTTCGTACAGGAGGTGGCGAAGACACATACCGAGAGCTTTAGGCGATAAATTGCCCAAGTAAGACGAGTAAGAAAGAGCCTGGAGTCTCAGCTGGGCAAAATTCTCAGGAAGCCCCCACCACCAAAATCCCGAGGGATTGTGGCCCAAAGGCCTCTTGGAGGGTCTCGAACGACACGTTGCCTGGGGACGGCGAGCTCCGTGTTAGTGAGTGTTAGTGAAAGGTACCTGCGCTTTCACAGTGCTCAAGACATGTAGCGCAACTCACCATTCTTCAAATCTTCGAGAGAAACGGAAACCGCTTGAGCAATAGGGGCCGCCATATTGAGAGAGGCAAGGAAAAATTCAAGTTGCCCTAAAAACCCTGAAATTGTTGCGAAGAAGGGGAGAGAGGGAAACGCGTGAGCCAGAAGGCGAGTCTGAAGCCGTCACCTTCCTATCCTGCTGCTTGTGTCGCATTGTGGTGGGGGAGGGGCAGGTGTTCTGCTTACTAACCGTCGGACGTGGCCGTGACGGGAGTTCTGCGTGGAGCTGCCACTTCCCAGCGAATTAGCGTGGTCAATATTCGGATGCTTGAGCTCTTCCCACACCGCACCGTGAACATTGATCACATCAATCGATCCAGCTGACCACAATTCGGCCCACCCTTATCGGCCACACCAACCTCCTGGACCCCTCCCCTCCATTACACCAAGCTAGAAAGCCGAAAGAAAGACGAAACTCAACATGGTGAAGCCCCTCGTCTTCAAGGGCGACAAGAAGCCCAAGAAGCGGAAGCGCACCGATGACTCGCGCGATGGCGACCCTTCGACCAAGAACTCCCGCCAAGAGGATGCCTCTGCCCCCGGCGCCGAAGGCGTCGAAAACGACGATAGCTGGGTCTCGGCCGAGGCCGTCGCTGACGTCTCCGGCCCCGTTATGATTGTTCTACCGACAAGCCCCCATCAGCCTTGGCCTGTGATGCCAACGGCAAGGTGTTTGCCGTCGATATCGAGAATATTGTAGATGGTAATCCCGCGAGCGCGGAACCGCATGATGTTCGCCAAGTTTGGGTTGCGAACAAGATTGTGGGGACGGAGCATTATCGGTTCAAGGGACATCACGGAAAGTGTGTATTTCCCCCGCCACCAATCTCTAGCCAATTCTCCCCTTCAGGGTAGAGTGGGCCACAGTGGATGCTGACAGCGGACAGGTTCTTGAGCTGCGATAAGCACGGGGTTCTCTCTGCAACAACGGAAGCCGTGTCCCCTCTGGAATCCTTCATCCTCGTTGTGACGGAGAGCGCCGAGTTCCAGATCCAGACGCTTGCGGGCAAGCTCCTCTCCGCGAATCCTCCGCCGGCCTCCAAGCCCAACGCCCAAGCCGAACTCCGAGGCGATGCTGAAACGGACGCGCCAAACACGACGATGCGCATACGCATGCAGGCGCGCTTTAAGCCGCGCATAAAAGAGTTGAAGGCCGGCAAGGCCAAGGAGAAGATTTCTAGGCAGGAGCTCGAGGCGGCCGTGGGTAGGAGATTGGAAGAGGATGAGGTGAAGAGGTTGAAGCGGGCGAGGAGGGAAGGGGACTACCACGAGCAGCTCCTCGTGCTCAAGGTGAAAGGAAAGCACGACAAATACAGCTAAAACCCTCCACTCTACGGACTCTGAAAGGCGGGGAAAGCAAAAGCAGCTTTTATTGGGTATTATCAACATCCTCTGTAAAACTGTCCAGATACTCTCTGCCCTCAGCTTCCTGGGTGCCAGGCGTTTACTTTACCATCTTCGCCGCAGGTATACACCACCTGTTCTTCGTCAAAGAAGCCGAATCCCCGAACAATCTCCTCGCCATGGGCGCCAGGGAGGTTCACCCGCGCATCGGCGTTCAGCTCCCATGAAGATCCATTCTTAGAGAGATGGATGAGGCTGAATAGGTGTTGGCTAAAAGGCACTGGCGGTCAGTAGAGGGCGGTACAGCGGGCAAGACTGGGGGCGTGGGGAAACGAAAGCAAACTTACTCTTGAGCGCCCACACCCATGATTGCGCCACTCCCGTCCATCTTTGCGGAGACGTTTGCCACATACTGGCACCCAACCTTTTCCCTCACGTTTCCGAAATCGGCGATCGCCACGCCTTTCTCCTGCTCTTCGGCCATGGAGTATATGGCAAACCGCTCGTCATGAGAAAGCGCAAACACATCCGTCTCGTTTAGGAAGCCCGCGCGGTGGATGGAGGCGTCGTGGTTGAAGGTCTGGATGACGACTTCGTCCTCATCGCTGATTCGCGTATCGCAGAGGTTGATTAGACCGTCCGTCGAGCCGGATAATAAGATGTTCGCATCCGTGGGGTGGAATTTGAGCTAGTCAAGTACCGTAAGAATGGGGTGTTGCGCCAATTCATCTAGGTGCGTGCAAGGGGTCTCACCTCTGTGATATCGTCGCTGTGGACTTCCGTGTACACCCTCTTCTGCGAGGGCTCGCTCTTACGTCCCTACGCTTCCACCGTTAGACTGCGACTACGTCTACAGATTACTTATGAAGACTTCTTTTCGTTTTTTGTCTTCTTCTTTTCTTTCGGGGCAGTGAACTACTAGTCGGGAATCACGCACCAGAGTACTATAGAAGCGTTGTGATCTTGAAGCTCCGTACCAACAGCGATTGTATGGGAGCCAGCATCGCACGCCAGCGCCGTGATGGGAGCTTGGGCCGCTAGATCACGCAGGTGTAAGTGATGGTGTACGACGCTACACCCTCCCTCTCCCTTTCTCACTTCCCCTTCTATGCCAAGACGAAAAAAATAAAATAAGAAGCGGACCGCGCAACCACTCACCTTGGAACCTCGCGACATGTGCATCCCTATTTCTCGTGTCCCAGACTGACACGCTCCCGTCCTCGCCCGCCGTGCAGATCGTCCCCGCCCCAGCGTCCACGACCCGGAGCAACGTCAGGTTTCCGTGCCTAGGCCCCAGTGCGGCGCGCGCCTCCGTCTTCAGATCCGGCGTCAAGAGGGCGAGACGCTGCGAGGTCGTGATGCAGGCTACGGCCCCGGCGCCGGGGAGGTGCGCCACGTCGAGGACATAGGTGTCTGGTGGGAAGGAGAAGCTGGACGCTAGCTGAAGGGTGTACATTTTTCTTGTGGGGATTTGAAGATAGTGGGGGTTTGAATTGATCTCTCTTTCTCTCTCTCTCTCTGCTCTTTACCACCGTATGAGTGGGTTTCCCTTTTTGCGTGTGTGCGTAAGGAGGGTTTTTGTCTTATTCAAATGCCCCAATGCTTCTTTTCTGGTTCGAGGAGGGGCACTCAATGAAGCTTTTTGCTATGCGTGCCTGGGTGCTTGGAAAAAGGCTTGCGGGAGGTGGGGTGGAAAATTACTAAGCTAGGGACATATGGACTCGCTTGAAGACTTGGAAGTTACCACTCATGGTGCGCATCGTAGACCGATTCGAAGCCTCCAACCATTCAAGGAACAAATATAGTGGACGAATACGCTGTCTGAAGAATATACGAGAGTGGAACTTCCTGCTTCTATCATGTACAATACCCTAACCAGGTCAATGTGGCGATCTAACGACGAGTATTCAAGTGCCGTGTATGACGAAAAGAAAACAGCAAGTAAATTGAGACAGAAAGGCAACCCCGGGACGCCACCGCTGATGCTACTCAAACGTACATACAGTACTAAGAAAAAAGAAAGGGAGTCTGCGAGAAGAGCAGACCCAACGGCTCTGCGACGCCACACGCTCATCAACGAAATCCAAGGAATGTGCGCTATGTACAATTATGTGCAAGAGTCTTCCAGCTTCGTTTCTCCGTTTCTTCTTCTTGTTTCTTCATTTCTTCTCCACAAGACTCTCCCTAGTGGCCGATCCCCCGGCTGCCCAGTTAGCAAATTCGGGATCGTTACCGCCGGGGAAAAGCCCGTTATCACGGATGGGCTGGGCTGGAGGAGCGGCGGCGGCGGCAAGGGGACGCCTGCTCCGTTGGGCCGTCTGCGTTGGTCATCTTGTTGTCGACGCTCTTGTTGCTGGCGATACTGTCGATAATACAACAGTCCCACGAGCGCCATAGAAATGCCAAAGATGAAGAGAATCTCGAGACCGCTGTCGTCGTCGAGGCCGCCTTCACGGTCACCAATCGTGTCGTCAAAGATGTCATCGTAAAGGCTATCTTCGTAATAGTCTGTGCCGTCCTTGATAAAGTTGCTGATCCATTCGGAGAGCGACCAATCCTTCTTCGGTTCTGAAGATAAGGGTTAGTCATTGTACAACGTTAGAAAAAGCTAGGAATAGGGTTACGTACTGGGATCGTCCTGGATCGAGTGGATGGGGCCATGGGTAAAGGTGTTCCACGCGCTCTTGAGTCGGAGCTTAAGAAGACTGAGCGTGACTGGCAGGTAGGCCTCCTCGTTGACTTCGAGGGCCTGATCGTAGTATCGCTTAGCAAGGTGATAGTCTTGCGTCAGACCGATACCATTCTCATGCATCCAGCCCAGATTGTAGAGCGCCTGCGCGCTTTGCGAGTACGACGCAGCGCCTGTGTAGCATTGCACGGCGCGGGGAGACTAGACTCCGTACCGATGCCGTAGAAGTAGTAGTCGCCCATCTTGACCAGCGAGTCAATGTTGCCCTGGCGCGACGATCGGGTCCAGTACACGAGCGCCATGGACGGATCTTCCATGAGTGGCGAAGACGACAAGGGACGGCCGGCGAGCAGAGGCATGTGTAGAGACTGGGCAAGGCTAGGAGCAAGGGACACTCGGGACTGATCGGGGTCTAGGAGGTGCGCGACATTGTTCTGGGCCTTCTCGTAACCCTGCTCCGCCATGATGAGGTAGTGCAAGAGCGCAGTTTCGTAGTCGCCGTCCTCGTAGGCCTGGTTGGCCTCGCCCCAAGAGGAAACCAAAGGCTCCGCCTTTTCCGCAACGCCCTTGTAGTATTGCGTGGCCAGCCCGCAGTTCTTGTCGCGGCCGACGCCTTGGAACACTAGCTCGGCGAGATAGTAATGGGCTTCGATAAGGCCGTAGCGGGCAGCCAGCTCAAAATAGCTGTTCGCTACGCGAACGTCTTCGGCGCCGCCTTGGTCAAGATACAGAACCGCAAGCTCTATCTGCGCGGGTGCGTAATCCTTATCGGCGGCCGTCCGGAACAGCTCCGTGGCGAGCGCGACGTTTTTCTTTACCCCGAAGCCGTTCATGAGCATGATAGCCAGGCCGTGCATGGAGGAGGAATCGCCTAGGGACCTCCCTCGCTCAAACCACATCTTGGCCTTGTCGAAGCTCTGCTCTAACCCTTCGCCGCGTAGGTACATGCGGCCAATATAGGCAGCTGCTTTGGCCGCCGTCTTCTCGATGCCGATCTTGTAGTTGTCAAGCACACGTCCGTCGTTCTTCCAGTACCTTTTCGCGACCGTGAAGAAGTACCTCTTGGCATCCTCCATGCTTCGCTCCTGGCCACGCTGGCCTTCATAATAAATCCTCCCGAGGTTGAGGGAGGCCTTGGAGTCGCCCTTCTTTGAGAGCAGATCGAGGTATTCGATAACATCGTCGATAGCGGCGTTCGTATCCGAGTGGATGTTGACCTTGATAGCGTTGAGACCGGAGCTTGCGGCGCTAGCACCCCGACCGTAGGCGCCACCGTTATCGTCCGCTATCCGCCAGGATTCGTGGACCCAGGACATTCCCATCGGAGGCCCGGCCCTGTACCAATCGATAGCCTTCTCAGCGACCCTCTTGTAGTGTTTCACCGCCAATTCGCAATTCTTGGGCGTGCCGATAGCAGCGTGGTGTCGGAAGCCCACGGCCATATCCGCTCGTGCATCCCCCTTTGCGGCAGCAAATGTATAATAAAGCATGGCCTTGGCCTGGTTCCTAGGGACAACGCTCCCGATGCCTGTCGAGTAGTAGAACCCCAACATAAACTGAGCGGTCGAGTTTCCGTGGTCCGACGCCAACTGTTGGTAGTAGGAAAAAGCCCGGCCGAGATCTCGAGGGTGAGAGTAGTTGCCGTAGAAGTTCATGTCGGCTAAGAGATAGAGGGCATCGGAATTGTTGCGCTGGGCCGCCTGTTGGAGAAGGTCGACTGCATCGTAAAGCGGCCCACGAGCTGACGTTGGAGGTGACTTTGAAGACGATTGTGGTGACGCGGGAACAGACCAGGTAAAGATGAGCTGGTATACGAGGTCGATGAGCTGATGTACAAGGCCAGGGGCTTGGTTTCGTCGACGGTGCTTCGCGTCGGGAATCTTGTTCAGGTGCACCAAGGCATCGTCAACGAGGTCGGCGGCTGTCAAGGCACACATAATGTTAGTAGGAGTCAAATTACCGACCAAAGGCTGGGACAAATAAGAAACAAGAGGCAGAGGAGCCTGCGGCGCACTCGTACCTGGTTGCCGAATAGGCGGAGGAGTGTCGTCGACAACCCATGCGGACTTTGAGCGCTCGGTACTACCGGTATTGATCGATTCGGGACTCTTTTTGTCGGAGAGGACTTTTTGATCGTGAGATGCGAGCACCGCAACGCCCTGCAAAAGCACTATTTGGAGAGAGGAGTATTAGTTACAGTTCGGTAGAGCAAGCGAGCAGCGGTAGCTGCCACACGCGGAACAAGGTTCGGCTTACGGAGGAAGACGGTTGAACGTCTCATGGCTTGGAGGGTTTACGCTGTTCTAGCCGAAACGATCGAAACCATCCTTGAATGGGGGATGGGATTGAGAAAACAAGGTTCAAAATGCTGGCCGACGTGGTGGTCGTATGGTCGTGGAATGCGGGACCGTGCCGATGCGAGGAGGCAATGCAAGGTGTCAAATTGCGATGATGACAGAGCTGTTACCCACAATGCTACAATTCCGGAACCAGGCCAGGTACGTCGAAAGCTTCCCATGTTCATACCGTGTCTGTGTGGGTGCGGGAGCTCCATGGATAGTGTGCTTAGTCACACAGTCCATCAGGCCCATCGATTCACGCCATTGTACGCTAAGTGTTGTTAGTCAGCCAATCGTCAAGCCGCTCTCCGTAGGTCCCACTTCGAACCTCCTATGCAGTAGTTGAGCTCCAATTGATGGGCACAAGGCGGCCGGAGAGCAAACTCATGTTAAGTTCAAGTCCTACCTACATCTTTCAACAATTTTTCCAAAATTTTATTCTATTGATTGCCCCTATCATCAATGACTCTTCTACTTCATATCCAGTATTGTATCCATATTCAATAATTTGATTGCACAGGCTGCGAAGACATAGAGGGTGGTGGGTACTCTAGGTGTCACTCCCAAGAAAGCATGTCGGAGCTGTGGCCCTGCCTGTTCAATCGTTTTCCTGGCCTTGTTAGTATCTTCCTGAAAACAGGCTCGGCCTTTCTATCATCCCAACTAAGTTCGTCACCTGGTCTTAAGCTGAGGTAGTCCATGGATTCTCAGAGAAGAAGAACCCAGGAGTTTTTAAAGATCAAAAGCGGCACACAACATCCAACCGTCATTTTGTACCTAATGAAGATGTGCCATCTGGCATTTTATGAGTGATGACCAGACGACGAAAACGTTGACAGTACAAACGTTTTAAATTCTACCAAGATGTCTCGACCGAGCCAAGATGGATTAGAATGGGAAGAGACCCTGTTTGACCTTGTGCCGCATTGGACGCGAGAGCCATCGATCGCTGTGATTGAAAGGGTATGTCGTGAGTGGTTGACTATCCCCCGAGGACCCCTGCACAGTCAACTTTCACGCATTTGGCCTATTCAATAAGATCTACATTGTCAAATGTGCCAGAGGCCCTCTCGTAATGCGTGTCTCGCTGCCGGTATATCCACATCACAAGACCCGCGCTGAGGTAGCCACCTTGCGATGGGTGCGCCAAAATACCAATATCCCGGTCCCCGAGGTGTTCAGTTTTGACGACAGCAACGCCAATGAGATTGGCTACGAGTGGATATTGATGGAATTTTTACAGGGCACATCAGCACGGAAATGTTGGCGGACCATGTCAATGGAGCAGAAGATTGCACTCACGAAGCAGATGGCGACATTCCAGGCGGAGTTGTTGGAATATGGGAAGCCAGGGTTCATGTTCAAGAACATAGGGACGTTGGATGTGCGGGAGATCGGCCAAGAAAGCAACGCTGAGGACTTGAAAAAGATTGCTCCTGGCCGACTAGTATCCCACGGGTTCTTTATGGGCGATCACGTCCAATATGACATTCCGCGAGGCCCCTTCCGCTCTAGTCATGACTGGCTGAGCGCGGAGTTGAACATCATCCTACTACATCACACAGCAGTCCTCAAAAGACACAGGACGAAGATGACAAAGAGGACGCCGAGGAGGTCTTGTTCACAGCGCGAGAACTACTGGCTCTTCTCCCTAAAGTCTTCCCCCAATCTTGGACGAGCGGGAGACGACAGGACTATATCACCATGACCTCCATCTGAACAACATTCTGGTAAACGAAGAGGGAGAAATCACGGCCGTTCTGGACTGGGAATGCGTCTCGGCACTTCCCCTCTGGATGTTAGCCAAGGTTCCCAAGTTCCTTGACGGGCCAGTTCGGGAGGAAGAGCCGCAGCGAGATCTATATGCGGATGAGGCGCCTGATGTGGAAGCTGAGAACAATGACCCGGAGTACTTGGACAATGAGGGCAAGAATGAGCTGTACTTCATTCACAGGATGGAGTACGAGACAACGCAACTACGAAAAGTCCACGTGGCTAGATTGAGGGAACTGTGGCCAGAGTTGTCTCTTGAGGAAAGCGCTGTGAAGATTGATTTCTTCGAAGCAGTCTCACAATGCGACGGAATATGGGTGAAAAAGGCGCGTCGATGGGCTGATTGTATGCAGAAGGGTGAGGTTGTAAGGTGGGATGATGCCTAGGGAGAGTGAATGTGTTGCCAGCTCGTAGATCTCCCATATCATGAAATGGAGACTGTTGAACCTTTCTACGGTGCGATTCGGAAGAGCGTTAACATAACTGGCGAGGAGATGAATGTCCACTATCGCCGCGCATCATTTAGTGAGGGGCAGAGGAAGATTGAATGTGACTCAAAGTATTAGGAGCCCAACTCAACACCAGTACTAGCCCGGATGCTATTATCATCATCGTCTTGTCAACGCCCTGCTGTGTTTTTTTCTTTTTTTTTCTTTATTTTCCGGCTAGCGCCATGAGCCGCCAAGAATGTACATGTAGCCTTGGGGTCGGGGAAACAAAAAGCTTGAATGTCAGTTCTAGAGGCGTTATGCGGGCTAGAGGTCCCAGGAGAGTTGGCAATAAGGTCGGAGAACGGACAACCGAGAGGCAAGGGCATTGTCTCGGCCATTGATCAATCAGTCGCAATTATGTGGCCACATTCGGTGCAGTGAATGCTCCCCAGCGGAGGAGGCATGGGGTCGATGCGACATGGATTTCAGCCGACAGCATTACCTGTGTACTGCGAGAGCCGATGATGTCCGCTTGATGTAACGAGCCTGTGTCGTGGGCTAGTCCCCCTGATTTCTTGATTATTGAGGGTGGGACCTGAGGATTATTTGAGAAGGCCATCATTACATATATATAGAGAGACGGTGCCTTGAATCCATCAATTGGGTATCTTGTCTCGGCATGCTCTATTTATTCACTAAACAGTGGAAGCCACCATCTTGTGCTGCCTTTTCGTTGTTATATAAACTTGGTAAGTCCTTCGCAGAAAAGGAGGTGATGTTGGGTCTACATGTAATGGTTGATCCGGATCCATAAATATTCAAGTACAGTGCAAACATACTGGATCCAGAGCAGGAGCCTTCAAATCGCTAGGAAATTGGTAGGAGGAGCTTTGTTGGGGGATTGAGAAAAAACTTATCGCCCCCATGAGCCCGAAATCAATCGTCAAAATTTGGCCCATTCCAAATCATTGGGCTCCCCAATTCGGACCCTGAAGGGTCGTGGCGCTAACAAACCAAATATCTCTTTTCCCAACCGTTTAGTGTTCCAGCTCCGGTCACACGACCCTGGCCTCCGGGTATATCTCTTTCCTTCGCCATCAACCTCGCCCTTCTTCACCACGGCATCAACGACGCAAATCACGACAAGCAATCGCTCAGGCTCAGGTTAGCCAGCGACCCGCATCCTCGACCAGCCAAACTCTTCCCCCGCTCTGCAGACGGCGACGTTGAAAAGATCGGCGGCCAAATCGCCACTGGGAGGAAGACCACTTGGCAGAACAAACAAAAAAACTCTGTCCGCAAGAAACGGGGAAAAGGGCGCACACGCCGGCCGTCCATGGCCGAATGGCGTCCGCGATAAATTCACGACAAATTGCAGATACACGAGGAGCCCACAGGAATGGAGGAGATTTGAGCCGCACGATCCCTACGTCACCGAGGAGCACAGACTCCGCGACCCAAGATCCTCCGTCGATGGCTAGCAGAGCCGGCGCAAATGGGGACACCCGAGCTCACGGCGAAGACGGCGAGGGTGTAGAGACGGAGACGCATCAACCGACGACACCGTCCGTGTCATCCCCAAGTTCTGCGACATCGCCGCCGTATTGGCTCGTTCATCATTCGCAGAGCAATATGTCTGCGTCCGTCGATTCGCAGGCTTTCTTGGAGGGCGGTGGTATCACCATGAGGGATAATGAGTCGGAGGACTGGGGAGGGCGCAATAGCGCATGTTGGGCGAGAAGCGTGGAAATTCCGAATTACGTCGTTGTCAACGGGAGCGCGACCAACATCGGCGCTTTCGTAGTTTTCAACGTCCGGGTGGAAACCATGAATGTTCGTTTGCAAAGCCTTCCGCTCCATCCGAAAACATCCCCCTTCTTCTTCTTGGCCTATATTTGCCCAGCAATGGGTGGATGTGAAAAGCAACCGTCAAGTCTTGGCACGAACGTGAGTGCGCTAACGTGCGATCTTTTTTTACTTTGCAGGGTAGCCACATGAATATTCGCAAGCGATATTCCGAATTCGACGATTTACGGCGCAGACTGATCCGAACGTTCCCCAACTTCGAGGCGGCTGTCCCGCCCTTGCCGCCCAAAAGCGTCATATCCAAATTCCGCCGGCCGTTTCTTGAGAAACGGAGATCAGCCCTTCAATATTTCCTCAAGTGAGTCTGAGTGTGATCCAGTTCTGTGGCGTGCTGTGATATGCTGCAGTGTGTTGTGGTGCCTCGGAACCCGCGTGCCTGCCCAATACCCGCCCTCTGCCCTCTCCCAAGTCCCTTGGCTCCCTTGGCTCGCTTGGCTTCCGGCCAAAGCTTGGCGGGGCCTTGCTACAGAAGTTCTCGACATGATGAAGTTGTGATATCGGACCCAGTGCTGACGCAAGCTCCTAGCTGCATCTTATTGAACCCAGAGTTTTCTGCATCGCCGGTTTTGAAGGAGTTCCTCTTTGCATAAGCCTCTACCTTTGGACTGTTTATACTGCCCATACATTCACTTGTACATTTTCCTTGAGGATTTATCTGCTCACAGCTTCTTAACGCTTTTATGAACATCTTTCTCTCTCTTTTTCTTTCTTCTATTTTCTGAGCGCACAAGCGGTCTAGGAAGCGTTGCCACCAATGATTAATGATAATAAGATTTCAGTGCGAATCTCTGACCTGTGGGCTTATCATCGCTTTGCTAGACTGATCAAGGGTTGTCGGGCGGAGAAGAGATTGAGAGCTTGTGCTCCTCTCCCCGCTAAATCCTCTATTCCTCCAGACTGGGTATCATTGTTTTGTTTTCGCCGTTAAGTGTTTAGAAACGAACTTGTTTCAATGCCGATGTAGTCCGTGCATGCCATTTTTATCCAGAAGGAATGATCCTGAATGGTGTCTATGATGCGAGTATATTGAAGGCCTCGAATAGACTAGCATAAAATGGATCCATCAATGTATTGACGGATCGTCCAGATGATGCATCCCTGGCTCACAAGCGCATGTTGAGTTGGGGTCAGACGTCAGATGAGGGGTGAAAGCGTCCAGGACAGGCCCCTCCATCCATGATCCATCATCAATGGCTGCACGGCCCATGCATCAATCATGGACCCAACAATTGATGGATCTTGGTGGACTAGCGGCAGCGGTCACACCCACGCGGCGTCGCCGTGAGCTTAGCCGCTAAAAAGGTCCCAGCCGCAATCATTCGATGAATTGTGAGACAGTCAGGCCCAAAAGGTTAACTAACGTGGTCAGGGTACTTGCCTCAGAGGCTTCGACTGTAGCGTATGTCCACGCGTATTACACCGAGGCTCAGACGAACCGCAGTTAAGAATGGTAAACAGGATTTGCGATGAGGATTGACGATCTTAGCTCAAGTCTATGCTTTTCTTCTTTTCTTTAATTTTTCTTTGTCTTCATTATCTCCTTTCGCCTTGAAATAACGGAAGAAATGCAGGTAAATAGAGCATCTGGATGGTGCAATACGACGTGTCTAGATATACAACCAACGATGCCCCCGCCAAATAAGCGGCCTCCAACGGCGCAAGAGGACCTTTTGGTGGGTGACTTGACGTTGCAGAGGCACAAATCTCGGCTCGGACGGCATTTCGCAAGGGCCCCAAGAACATTGAACGCTCCCTGGTAAGATTCTTATTATTAGCCTCTCGAGCTGACTGGGCTTCTTTTCGACTCCGTCATTCCGGGCTGCAGCCGCGCTCTTGGGTAGCGCTACCTGGTTGGCGCAGAGCATACTGGATTGATTGCGCACACCGTGGCTGGCTCGTCAGCCCCATCGCTACGACAGTCTCCTTGCTGCGTCCTGCTTCCTGCTTCCTCTGGACCCCTCCCCGTTTCTCTCCCCACACGTAACCTAACTTCGGGAGTTTAATTCAGCTTGGCGGCTTGGTCTTGCTGGGCAGAAGACATGGGTCATTGCCGTGAAAGGAAGTAGGGTAGATTGGACTGGGGAGACTTTGCGAGAGACAAGTGTTGCGCGTCTACATGTAAGATATTAAAACCGGCCCTTCAGACCACTTTCCGCCATCCCGACTTTGAACCCTTTTTCCTCCTCGTATATGAAATTGGGATTTTCCCCTTCCTTCTTAGTTCAAGTGCGCGATCTATCGCTAGTGTTCCATCGTCCTTTCCCATTTCGGGTCTACCTACATCTAGAGGCATTTTCCCGACCGATTTCTCTTTGGGGTTTCGATACTCTTTTTTTTTTTTCCCCCGGAGGAGACTCAATGGCCGCCATCAGCCCTACAGGCACGGAAGAAACGGCATCCCAGGCCCGTTTTCAACCGCCAACGCGTACACTGACAATCGGCACAGCCGATTCTGAGAGCACTGACGTCACCCCACTTTCGGAGGTAGATGCGCAGGATCTGAGCAAACAACATAAAGTCCACGTCGAGTACCTGGAATCTCTCGTGCCCCCTTCCCCTTCCCAGTTTCATAAAATCTCCTTCATCCAAGAAGAGCGTGAGCTGGAGCACCGACGACAGCGAAAAGAATCACGCAGACGCAGCCAAGGACACTCATCTCTCAATAGCCCCTCGCTGTGGTCCCAGGCAACGATTGCAGACGACCCCACGCAAGACCCCACTATAATCATAGCCGCCGCCGACACTGCCCCCGGGAACGCTCCGACCATGTCTCAGGAACCGCCCCCAGCCGACCAAGAGTCGTCTGAAGCCGCGGCCAAATTGATCCAGAGGACCTACCGAGGTTACCGCACCCGACGAGAACTTGAAGGCATCAACTTAAACGCATCGACGAGGTGGGTCTCCGCTATTCGGGAGGCCCAATGGAGGAAGCAACCAAGCCCAGGGCGAGAAGGGCGGGTTCATCCAATGGCCCCCGGCCCTCCTCATCCGCGAGTAAAGAAGAGGTCAACCAGGCTGCGCGGGAGCACTGGAAGAAGGCTGCTGCCGTTCTTCGGCGTGCCGGCCATGACATCGACGCCGACCCGGACACGAGCGACTCCTCATCCATCTCTTCTTCGTCGTTATCCTCACTCTCAGATGACGAGGATGGCAATGGCCTCGCCGCGCGGCACCGCAAGAAGAAGCGTGAGCAGCTCAAGCAGGGGAAACACACTCGCATGATGGCGCTTCAGTATTTCCTCGAAATGGTCGATCAGAAACACCGGTACGGCACCAACCTCAAGGTATATCATGAGGTGTGGCTCGACGCCGAGACCCACGACAATTTCTTCCACTGGCTAGACCACGGAGAAGGTAGATCTCTGGACATCCCCGCCTGTCCGCGCGATCGCCTTGAGCGCGAACGAGTGCGGTACCTCTCCCGCGAGGAGCGCCAGTACTACCTCGTCGAGGTGGATAGCGAAGGGCGGCTTTGCTGGGCCAAGAACGGCAATCGGATTGATACAACGACGGATTTCAAGGATAGCTTGTTCGGCATTGTCCCCAAGGACGACCCGGCCCCGACCTTCAACCCTGAGTCTTTGGACTCGCAAGACCACCCCGTGAGCCTCGATTCCTCTGACGAATCGGCTGAAGAAGCTGATCGAGCTGCCAAGTACGCGACGCCTGAGTTTGACAAAGCCAAGGGCCCCAAGAAGTTTTCCCATTTGTCTACTACTACCATTACCAATAAACTTCTTCGCAAGACTGTTCGCAAAAACACCTGGATCTTCGTCGCCGATGGTCACTACCGGCTCTACGTCGGCATCAAGGACTCAGGCAGCTTCCAACATTCTTCTTTCCTACAAGGGAGCCGCATCCGTGCTGCTGGTCTCATCAAAATCAAGGATGGCCGGTTAAGGGCTCTCAGTCCCCTGAGCGGACATTACCGGCCCCCGGCCTCCAACTTTCGCACCTTTGTGAAGAACCTCAAGGAATCGGGAGTTGACATGGGCCGCGTCTCCATTTCCAAGTCGTACATGATTCTGACCGGTCTGGAGATGTACGTAAAGACGAGCACCAAGGGCAAGAAAATGATGAACAAGCTCCTTCATCACAAGGAGCAGATCGTTGACCCGACCAAGGCCGCTCAAAAGGAAGAAAACCAAAAGGACCAGAGCAAGAGCGCGAGGCGAGAGCGCGAGGTCCTGGAGGAGGAGAAGCGCGAGAAGGAGGGGCGGGCCGAACTCGAAAAGGCCGAGCAGGGTGGCCGGCGACCGAGTCTGGGCGACCTGGCTAAGAAACTTCACATTTCACACGAGAAGCGGGATGGGCAGGTGCATAATGGTGTAGTTGATGGGAGCCAGGGGTGAGCCGGGAACGAGTTGACTTGGGTGGCGGGGTAGTCCTTGTTCTTATCTGAAAGAGGCGGAATTTTGTTGGAATATACCCATTGGTACAGTTGAGGCGTTGGAACGGATCCTTCAATGCTCTTATTTTGGTAGCCTTCTCCCATTTAGTTGGTTTTTCGTTTCACTCTTGAGTAATACTCCACCCCTTCACACTCTTGACGCTTTTGGACGGACTCAAAGGACAAGTACTGGATCGTGTGACTTGGATCTTGTAAACAGGTCTATTGATGGTTGATTTGTACAAATGAGCTCCCTCGTCTTTCCCTAAAACAATGCCGTTTGAGGCTTTTGTGTCCGAAAATCTTCTCCAACCTCAAGCCCGTGAATTCGCCGAAACACGATTCTACAAGGTGCCGAAGCAATGCTGATGTTTGTTTGATCTCCAAATCCAGCGAGGGGGCACAATTAATAAAAGAAAAAAAGAGACAAAAGAAGGATGCCAACTTCAATCTATGTGTGCCCTCACATCCCCACTACCCACGTAGTTTTTCCCCACTTGCGCCATTCCGGTAGTTGTTGATGCGTTTACGCCTTCCACACCCTCTTGATGGCCTCCGTGACACCAACATCGTTCGTCTCGAACTCGTAGAGACCGACACCGGCGAGGAGAGTAGCAGCGCCGAGGGCGATGTTGCAGGCCTTGCGGGACTTGGGGTAGGTTCGGCTGGGGACGTAGTCCTCGACGATGTTCTGGAAGCCGAGGTGGCTGTGGACGAGGACGGTGGCGCAGAGGACGGCATCGAGGCCGGGGTTGAGAGAGCCGGCGGCGAAGGGCGCGACGGTCAGAGGAACGAGGCCGAGAGCGAGGAGACGGTCGAAGGTCCAGTGGTAGGAGCCGTGGGCCGGGTCTCCATCACGCCACGAGGTGGGGTCGTTGACTGTTTAATAAATAGTTAGTTGATGTTCCCATGCTGCTGGGTGAGTGCCATCGCCGAGCTTGCACTAGGTGGCTTTTTGCGCGCGTACCTGTCTTGTTGATGACCTCTGTATGAGAGAAAACGAAGTTAGTAGAGTAAAAGAGAAGAAAAATTGCGCATGCTCATGGCAAATCGGAGAGCCAATAGAGAGCAGGAAAAAGGAGAGAGGGCTATCAACGTACGAGGACCGACAGGCAAGAGAGCCTTCTTGCTGGTGGTGTGGAAGGAAGCAACCCTTAACGCCGCATTTTGCTGGAGGGCGGACTGGCGGAGGGTGGACGCAATCGGCCGGCAAGAGCGTGCGAGGGAGGCCATGGCGATCGGTAGTTGGACGAAAAACTTCAAAGAAACTGTTTCCTGGATTTGTTCGTTCGTGGTGGTTGCGTCGCGACTTTCGAATGGCGGGCAAACGGGGACAAAGGAAACGGGTTGGTTCTCTTGCGGGAGAGGTTTGAATTCGAGGTGACGGAACTTCGTGCTTCCCGGAATCTTGACGTTCAGATTGCCGAGGATGTGGAGTGGACGTAATTGGAAGTTGTGCTATTGGCTGGGCTTGACGGCTTTGCTGACTTAGCGTTCAGAGACTTGGCCGAGCCCGCGGCCTTCTCGAGCAGGCACGTGATAAGGTGGGACTCTCCGACTTGCTTGTCGAGAACTTTGAACTTTCCTGACGCTGTACCCTATCTTTGCATCGTAGAGGAAGCCGATGACCATCATGATTGTATTTGAAGCCTAACGATTCCCGTATCTTGGGGGTTTCTTGATGGTACCATTGATGTAATTCCCACATGGAAATCTACACATAGTTTGGTGGCTCCTCTGGGAAGTAGCTACTTGATGAGAGCTCGACCAAGGACTACCTACGTTCATTGAATGAGGCGATTATAACTTTCGCATACAGCTGGCACTAACACTCTCCCTTCGATTGGGCCGATTGAAAGGGTCTTCAATGTCATTGTCGCCAAGGAGGCATTGTGACGCGAGTGACACTCACCAACGGGGAATGAAGGTCCGGAGGTGGGGCCGGACCACGTGCGCACGTGACACCGGGTCAAAAAATAATTTGAAAGAAAATCGATGGAGAGCTTGACACAGCTTCCCTGTACCTCGAGATTCCCAAAGATTGGTGACCATGACAGATTAGCGTGTCTAATTCAAATTCTCCTTTATTTCACGTCGCGGAGTGAATCGGATCGACTTTCATCCCCTAATACCGCCCGACAATGCCGCTACGGCCTCTACCCGCGATGGCCTTCCTGCAGGCCTGCGAACCCTTTCCCTTCGAGGAGCTGCGTGTCGAGTGCAGGCGTCTGGTCCCGCCAATGGACAGCAACGCCGTGGAATCGCGGGGTCGTGGAAGGAAAAGGTAGCTTCCGCAGAGAAGGACTGGGCCGCAAGGGCAAAGGATATCTCCGCAGGGCGACGACAGCACGTGTGGGACATTTTTGACGAGCGTGGCTTCATCAAGGACGTCGCGGGGTACGTTTGACCTAGCTACGTGATTACTTGGGGCGCGATCGCAAGAGAAAGTGAAGGCGAATGACGCGTGCTAACTTGGGCTTTTCTTTTGCACCTCCTTTTAGACGACCAGAACTCATCAAGGAGCTCATCCTCAAGAAGCGCATCGGCGCCTACGTCGGTATCGACCCCACCGCCGAATCGCTCCACATCGGCCATCTGCTTCCTCTTATGCCACTCTTCTGGCTCTACTTCAACGGCCTCCCCACAACGACACTCATTGGCGGCGCGACGGCGAGAGTGGGCGACCCCACTGGCCGGTTACAGAGCCGCGAGACGCTGTCCAACGCCGACGTCGCGAAGAACATCACCAAGATACACTACCAGCTCAAGAAAATTTGGGCCAACGTGCAGTCCATCGGCCGAAAATATGGCCATGAAGGCGAATGGGCCGGCCGTCCTTATCTTAAGAACAACAACATGTGGCTCAACTCCTTGCCTCTCTACGATTTCCTGAAGCGGCTTGGGAGGCATACCCGGATTGGGCCCATGTTGAGTCGAGAAACGTGAGTTGGAGTGCCCCTTTACCAATAGGGAAAAAGAATGCATATAGCCTAAGAAGTGCTTTGAGTGGAGATAGGCTAACTCGTTTGTAGTGTCAAGAGGAAGATGAACGAGGGCGACGGCATGTCATTCGCCGAGTTCACGTACCCTCTGCTCCAGGGCTGGGACTTTTGGCACCTCTACTCCAAGAACAGTGTGCAGATGCAGATCGGCGGTTCAGACCAGTACGGCAACATTGTGGCTGGCATCGATATTGTTAAGACGTGTCGCGATACCGAGACGGCCGAATACCTCAAGTTCCCCAGCGACTGGTCTCACGACCCCATCGGCTTCACCGTCCCGCTCTTGACCGACTCGTCCGGCGCCAAGTTCGGCAAGAGCGCCGGCAACGCCGTCTGGCTCGATAACACCCTGACCGCCCCCTTTGAGCTTTACGGCTACTTTGTCCGCCGGCCCGACGAGGACGTTGAGAACCTATTGAAGCTCTTCACTTTCCTACCCCTGCCCGATATTTCGAGGCTCATGGCGCTCCACGGAGAAAATGTGGCGCGCAGGATTGCGCAGCACGTTTTGGCCTTTGAGGTTACCTCCCTCATCCACGGCCCCGAGGTCGCTCTCCGAGAGCAGATGCAGCACCAGCTCATGTTTGGCAAGTCCCCATCGAGCTCCCCGAGGGCATGGTCACCTCGGCCAAGGGTGTGAAACTGCCCGAGGTTTCCCCACCGACGGCCTTCGCACGACCGCCAACGACGCGACGCAGGAGACCATCAAGCTCCCCGAGTCCCTCGTCAACGGCAAGTCGATGGCCCGTATCCTCTACGCCTGTGGTCTCGCCTCGTCCACCAGCGACGGCACCCGCCTTGTCCAGAATAGCGGTGCCTACGTCGCCGCCTCTCCCGGTCCTCACAAGCAGAGACTCATCCCCGGCAGTCTTGACTGGACTCCTATCAAGACCTGGTACCCCTCCGATACTGCCCGCTTCCTGATTGACGGCCGCATCCTTATCCTGCGAAAGGGCAAGTACAACGTCCGCATCATCGAGGTGATTTCCGACGAGGAGTGGAAAGAGTCGGGTATGACTTACCCCGGCGAGCCTTACACGGGCAAGCTGAGGCAGGTTCTCAAGGCGTTGAAGGAGGAGAAGGCGCTAGACGAAGAGGGCGCCCTGGAGCACGACGAGGAGTTTAGCGAGGGTTCGGAAGAAGGCAAGAACGGCACCAACTCGCCACCTTCCCCGTCCGAACTGTCCACAACAATCCCGATATCCACTTCCCTCTGGGTCCCAGGAAAGGCAAATCCAATTAAGGGAGCCACATAGAGGATGCGCACTGGAGAGGATGAACCTGTATAATTCCCATGTATCATAGAAAAGATTCACGCGGACTTTCTTCATTTTTTTGTTCCAGTCTTGTTTGGAGTAAGACTTGCTTGTAGGATTAAGCTAGAGCATATATAGACGGCGAGCGGATATCACGATGGTGATCTTAAACAGAAAAAAAAGATACTCCCACCACCAAGGATAAAGCAACAACCAAGTGAGCCCAGAGTGAACAATCCGAAAAAGCAAAGAATTCATGTCTAGGAGAAAAGGCCTCCCCAAACGTAACCATCTACCTGTAAAACACCGTCAGATCGCCAGCCGGTAAAGGCAAGGATTTGAGCTTCTCGGTAATCTCCTCATCCGTCAAATTGAGCTCGGTAATGATTTGGTCGAAGCAGTGGTTTCCATCCGTGTACTTTTGCAGCGGGTCACCGCCGGGCCGGGAAGCGGACTGCCCCGAGGCGAGGGCGGCGACGTACTGCTTGGAGACGACGTACTTGTGGACCCTGTAGAGGCAGCCCTTGATGACGCCGAACTGGACGAAGCGGCGAACGTCGACGTAGCGCAGGACGTCGAGGCCGGCATCGTGGTGGGCCTTGAGCCACTCGATGACGGACTTGCCGACGCAGAAGGAGGTCATGAGGCGGACGAGGTGGAACGTGCTGAGGCGCTGACGGGAGTGGATGCAGGCGTAGGCGGCGCACTCGTCGACCATGCCGTCGACGTTGGCGACGAAGTCGGCGATGCCAGGCCGCGGGGCATAGCACGAGGAGAAGAAGAACATGTCGAGCAGGAGAATGGTGTCGTAGTAGAGGAGGTGGCGGAGGGCCGTCTTGGCCAGGTCGATGGACACGTCGGCGAGGAAGGCGATGCGGCGGACGTCGGAGGCGCCGTCGATTTGGGCAATGATTTTTGCATCGTCAGGTCCCATGTGGCGTCGACGATGTCGGAGAGCTTCATCTTGGCGACGGGGACGTGCCAGCCTTTGACTTCGGAAGGCTGCTTGTAGTGCGGGAACAGTTTCATGTTGATGGTGTTGGCGTCGTCTGGGGAAGTTCTTGTTAGGCTAGCTATTCCAACAAGGCCGAGCTTTACCCCATCACACTCGGTCCTCTCCCAGGATGGGAGAAAACCGGCGAGAACGAGAGGGGCAAACAGGAAGAAAAGGACGTATGGGGGAGGGGGAAGGAGTTTATGGCGATCCCATCTTGAGTAACTCACCCACGGGAATCATGCACTCGCCATAGTTGTTCAAATCCTCTCTCACAATCTCCAGCAGCCCCGATACGGTCCGCCGGCCCTTTGTCTCGACGACACCCCAGCCGCCATCGATCTCGACCTCCTGACCGCTCAGGTAGCCGTCCTGGACCTCCATCTCGGCAAAAGTAACGGCGAGACGCCTGACGACCCTCTCGTAGGGAACGCGGTCGACGTCGGCATCCAGCACGACGCCAAAATTAAAAATGAACTCATTGCGCACGTATTTGTCGTGCGCGATGAGCACCGGTGGCCGAGGATGACGTACTTGCCCTCGGCGTCGGTGGCGGACACGAGGCGGTTGACAAAGGGCTTGCGGGGATGATGTAGGCGCGCAGGACGTCGAAGTCGAGGGTCGACGTCTTGGGGTTGCCCATGAGGCCCGCGGGGGACTGCGAGACAATGGTAGGTCCTGGAACGGTAGCCCCTGGTTAGTCTAAATGTGCCGGGTGAATAAGACGCCGGCGATAAGGGCGTTGGGGAGGGATGGGAGCGATGCGCCGCTCTCCCATACATACCCTCCTTGGGGAAGAACCTTGCATAAAAGATACCCTGAATCATGATGGAGGCCTACATCGTCCGAACCTATGTGCAAGCTTGAGTCTCTCGTGAACCGTACCAATAAATTGTTGGACCAGAGTCGCGAGGCTGAAGGGTGAGTGTGAGTGAGGATGTGTGAGTTTGAATTGTCGGTGGTGGGTACGAGTTTTGGTACATTGATCGCCCGTCGGTTCGCTAAGGTGGGGAGTTCAGCGTCTGCAGCGTGTGCAGTGATGCAGGTGGTGTGGCGGGTCGGTGATGGTGGGGTGGGATGGCGGGGAAGGAGCTCTCAAAGCTAGCAGCTATTAACAGCTAGCTCCCCTGCTGTTGGGCTGTCTCAGAATGCCCATCCGAACAGGAGGGCTTGGCCATCTAGAATATGCAGCCTAGTCAAAGATCCATGTCGCCCTCACTCAAATATTTATTAGATACGTTTACTTCTGGCGCTACTGAGCCTCTGGGAGACAAGAGAGCTGAGCATAATTGCAAGAATGGCCTGCTAGGTGAAGGCACTGCAGTCGAGATTCGTCAAACCAAGACTACATGTACCTTGATAGATGTCACGGTTTTACAGAGTCACTATGTGTTAATGCGAAGAAAAAAAACACCCTTTGAGATCAGATTGCATTTAGTTCATGGCATCTTATGAATAGTTCACATTGGGCGTCGTGTTTTCAACGCCACTTCTTCGTCAAGTCACTGGTCTGAGTGAGTATGAAAGAAGAGGATAAAAGAAAAAAGCAAGCCGCGCTCACTTTTGTCAACCGCAATGTTCTCCCTCCTTGTTCCCTCTCCAATGTATCAATCAGAAGGGCGCGCTTCTTATCCGCCCACCGCATCGGTCATCTTCCATCTTCACGCTCAGCTTCCACCGAGGAGGTGCTCGACGGCGCCCTGCACACTGCCTCCGCTGCGACGCAAAGCAGCAACGTTCCTGTCAAAGTCGTAGAAGCCCATATCGTTGAGCTGTCGAAGTTGATCGGCGTATCGCTCTTCGGGAGGTCGATTATCTACGGGTGCTGGGGGCGAGCCAGCTCCCATCCCTTGAAGTAGCTCCTGGAGAGACCGCTGGAGATCAGGGTTTCCCGCGGCTCCCGCGCCGGGAAGTTGGGGCCGAGGAAAGAAAGGAAAGGGTTAGCGGCCGCTTGATCAGCGCCAGCGCCAGCACCGGCGCCAGCGCCTGCTCCCGGCTGGTTGGCATCCTGGCCGGCGGCGGCGTTGCCAGCCGCACCCGGCGCGGGAGGGAAGCCGGGGAAGGGAGGCATGAACATGAACGGGGAGAAAGGATTTTGAGCATTCGCGCCGGCACCGGGGGTGGCGTTGGCGTTGGCGTCGCCCTGGGGGTTCTCGGACGAAGGCGCACCCGTGGGAGTGTTATCCGTGGCACCTGGGGCGGGGAAAGCAGGCATGCCACCTTGTCCTTCCATGCCGTGCATCTGGCCCGCCATTCTGAGCATTTCTGGATTTGTCATCATCTGGCGCATAAAGGGGGACTGGAGCATCTCGCGGGCGTTGGGGAGGTTTCGGAGGGTGGGGTTGGAGTTGATGAGCATGTTGATGAAGTCGGGGTTATCGAGAGCCGCGTTCATGGACTGCTGGACCACGGGGTCGGACATCATGCGCGCGATTTCGTCGGTGCTAGGAGGAGCGCCCATCTATTAACCGCACACGAGCAGAGAGCAAATAAGTCAGCCATCTTCGCACGCACACACACGCACAAACACAACATGTCGATCACCACAGATCAAATGGGGAGAGGAGGGGTTGGAGGAGGGAGGAAAACAGCGCAGGCGCATCTGCAGGGACCTGCATGTCTCATCCTTGGGGGCAGATTCGTTACTTACTCCGCCATCAGCGCCAAACATGGACCGGCTAGGCAACGGGACATGGCCGGCAAAGCGAGCCCCGTCAGGCCGGCGAGGGTTGTTGGCGGTCCCGGCGGCCATGTTGGTAGGTACTGCGGGGACGGCGGGGGTAGTGGCGGAGGAGGCTGCGGTGGAGGGTGTGGGGTTGCTGGCGGCACTCTTGACGAGGTGGACAGTGTTGTTGGGCTTGATCTTGTAGGTGCTGAGAGGGTCGTCGTTCTTGAGGACCCGGCCCGAGTAGATGAGGCGTTGGCGGTCGGCGGGGATGTTCTCGTACTCCTCGGCGGAGAGTTTCGTCTTCAGGTCTAGAACGGTGGCGGACTCGGGCATGGTGATGGTGTGGACTTTGTCGTTGGACGACTTGACCTTGAAGGTAACTTCCTGGGGCTGTCGCCTCCCTCCGCGTTGTCGGCCATTTTTGGGTTGTGATCAGGGGGTTGGTGGAGAGGTCGGAGCAGAGTGAGGGAGACGGGGGAGGGGGAGGGGTTATCGTGATGTTGAGGAGGGAGGGGAGGGCCAGACAAGTTAAAACTTGTAGACGAGAAAAGGATGGGGGAAATGGTAAGAGGGAAAATTGCGCTTCGACCACGAGAAAGCAGCGAGGCAGGTAGGAAAAGGGTCTGAGGTGATAACGGAGATGCGTCGTGGGGTGACTAAGAAAGAGTGGTTGGGAAGTATGTGGAAGGGTGTCGGGAAAGGGTCGCGAGAAAGAAGGTTAGTTGGCAGCGTGGCCAAGATTAATGGGTCCGTTGACGAGGGTGAAGGGGGAGGAAACGCTCAAATCAGAAAGCTTGGTTTATTGTTTTGCGGTGCGATGAGATCGAATGCGTCGAATGGCGGGGTGCTGCTCATCGGCTTCTGGTAGATGGGGGCAGGCTGCCTGGGCCGTGAACGTGAATGGCTGGCCTAGGAGGATTGATGGAGCTGGCTCGGCTTCTTCCACTTGAAGCGAATTGATCAAATGGGATTTGGATTGCTAGGCGGGCCCTGTGAGGTCAGGTTGAGGTATTCCGACTTAGTGGACACATGCGGCAGATGGGGAGGCACAAGGTATTGATACGTCAGGCGAGAAGTCTAGGCCCTTGTGCAAACCTCAGGTTGGTGCTGGGCTTGATCAATTGATGACGGAAGGAGCTGGCACAGTCAACGTTGAACATCGAACTGTCCTGTCCAGTATTGATCCACTGGAACGAAGACCCAACATCGGCGGGCTCGGTATTGGTTTAGCGCCAACCAGAAAGTTTGGCCACTATTAGCATGAAGTAATCCGACACCCCTAGACTTCGTTGATGTTCTTCAGAGCTTCCCATGGAACCACATGGAACATATGTAATTGTCGAAGCCAGACATCCAGCGATAGAGAACTGCCCCTTGTCCATTGACCCCTTTTCTTTCCATTTCAGTAACAAAAGGATTAAAGTGATCAACACGATCCTTTTACTTCAAAGTGTTTTGCAAGGCCACAAGTTGGTTCGCTCAGAGATCTAATAATCAATCTTTTCTGTCTTGTGCTTGGTGACATCGACCACTATTTTATCTCCATTCATCAACTTGTATGCTCAAGGTCTGCTTGTCAGCCCTCATAAAAAAAAGAATTGGTGAAATATGTAGGTATAATCCATCGCTAGTCATCTATCTCGTGATCCTCTTCAAGATACGTTTAAATGTTTGGCCCCATGTTTCCTCCTCCCACCACCCGCCCTGGATAGCACCATCGCAGAGACGAGGACTCGATACACGCTTGCCCTCTTTTGCAAAGAAATAACCCTATTTCCCCTTGCTGGCCATAAACTGGCTAAGCTGCTGGAACCTATCCATGACATCCCGGTCCACATTCGCTACCCAGTCCTCCTGGAACCTCTGCTCCCCACCAACCCGTTGCACAACGTCTGCGATTCTGGCCTTGACGAACTCGAATGCGTGAACGCTATGCACGGGGTCTTTGAGCATCAACTCGTTTTCTCTCGTGTTCTTGGGACAATGCCACTCTTCCGGGGAAGCTCCGTCGTGATAAGGCAGTCCGTCTCTTCTCCGTCCTGGAGGTCCGAGATGATGTTGGTCCACATAGTCAGGTAGTCCTGGAGCTTGTTGAGCACCAACGGCTGTATAGGTTCTCCAAGTTCCAGGAACCGGGTGAGCCCGAGGAGGTATAGCTTTTGCCTAGCCGCAAAATCCATCGCTCCGAGATGCGAGAACCACTCACCCACAAGCCAGCTCCATACCCCATCGACCGGGCCGAACCGTGAGAGCACTTGGGCAAACGCGTTTGGCTCTGCTAGGGCTAACCGGGACAAAATTGCAAAGTAGTCACCTTCCGTGACCGTGTTCAACTTGCTGACCCGCCGGTTCGACCCGTCGTTTGATGCGCATCCCACGCGTCGTGAAGCGCTTCGATGATGGCTCCGAGTAGGCCAATCTCCATCAAGTCCTGCAACACAACGGTAACGCCGCTGACACCCCCGAGCTCCGTCGCAGAGCGGATCACGTACTCAATGCAAACCGTAGCCTGACGGACTCTTTCGCGACTCTGCGACTTCAGAAGCTCACCGAGACCAATCAGTGTAGGCCGTCGGAAACGATCCTCCAGTATGGCCTCCGGGGCCATGAGAATGTAAGACTCGACAAGGTCGAGGGACGCAGACGCAGTCTCCGTCTCATACTCCAACAGAGGTATGGCTAATTCATAGATATTGACAAGTTCGCCGGATAAAGGTGGATTACTCTGCATGACGACAGAGTTCCAAAGCTCCAGGGATTCATCAATCAAGTGCCCGTGAAGACCGGAACCAGGACGTGCCGATTCGGCGATGAGCGGGACTATGTGATGCTGATATCTCTGAGATTCGGGACCCATGGACATGACGAGCGCGCTAAAGATGGCAATCACTGCCTGCTTGATCATGAATTCCTCGGTGCCCGACGCCTCCCATATCTGGGGCAGGGCCGACATGAGGAAGTCTGCAAAATGCGTGGCGTGGTTCTCTATCCTCGTCACGAGCAGCCTCATCGTCTCCAAGATGGCCAGTTTTGACTCATCCACGTCGATTGTAGACACGAGATCGGCCAGCTGCGACATGACATCCGTCGCAAACGGCAGGAACTTGTCCACGTCAAAGTACATCTCGTCCACAACCCATCGAAGTTGCCTGGCCGCCGTGATCCGGACAACTAGGTCGTTGCACTCGTCGTTGGGGTTCATGAAATGCGTAAATAGCTGATAGATAACAGGCCGGTTCCGTTCCGTGCTCTGGACCGTGACCCACTGGCTCAGGAGAATACCGATACGCCGCCGGAGGACCTTGGCGAGTGGTCCCTGCTGTTGGGAATCTCTAACCAGGGTTGTCTCCAGGAAGCTGTCAAAATCTATATTCTGGCGCCCTTCCGACTCTGGTTTGTTGTTATGGAAGTACGTGGAGAGGTGAGCTGCCGCCAAGCCCATTGCCGTGTAAACCGCCTCTTTCGTGGTTAGGTCTGCGTTGGGGTCCGTCGAAGCATTGAAGTAGCCGAGGAGCGGTGGGATCAAGAGATCCTTGTAACTGGTCAAGAAATCAAGGAATAGCTTCTCTGCGCAAGGGCGGACTTCGAACTCGTACGCGTTGCCTTCACCCTGCTCCCTTTGCTCCCATTCTTCAGGATCTTGCTCCCACGCGTCCAGGTCTGATTTGCGGAACAAGAAGAGCCGCGTAATCAGAGTATTCGTGATTTGGGTCACGAAGTCGTTTGTAAGCCATTGTGTTTTGAGCAGCTCCACGGCCGTCTCGCGGTCCTTCTTCTCATCGTCGGATCGGTATCGAAACGATTGGAACGGGCGATGGGCAATTTTCACGCAAATTCTGAGAAGGGTGAGAGCCATCAGAGTTAGTCTTTCCAAGAGAGGGCCTTCTTCCTCATATTTCGCCTGTCCCCCTTTGTGGTGGATTGGGGAATGCCAGCAGAGGAATCAAACACTTCCGCAAACTTCATGACGAGGTCCCAGTAGCCATGAATCAGCAGCAGCGAGTTAGGAAGTGCAGTGAAGCTTGCCGGATGTGAGTCCGCCATCGTGACATGCAACTTTGCAAACTGAAGCAGGTGCTTTCCCACGAGGTTACGGTAGTTTGCAGGAATGGATGCTTGGCCAATGAAGCCAAAAAGTGACTAAAGTGAGTTTGGGTTATCGACCAGAAGTTGGACACCGTCTCGTCTTTATACGGACTCTCGTAACCGGTTGTAAATAGGCGGCGCAAGATGCGCACGCAGGACAGACTGTTGTGCATCGCAAGCTCGACGGCTCCAGGATCAGTCGTTCCCTTGGTTAGCGAATCGACCCATACTGCCGCTCTCTCTGCATACATTTCTCCGAGGATATGTGAAAGCTCTGGCGTAATGCCTTGAAGAGCCGTCTGCGAAGTCCGTAGGCGAGCGGTTGACATCTCCTTCACGACGCGGAGAACAACTTGCAGAGAACCGTGTACTTTATTTTCGTCCCCATTTTTATAGGTCCGCAGCAGAGCAATGAGACTTGGTAGAGCTTCCGGCCACGCCTTTTGGTAGTCGATCCTAACAACCTTAGCCACCGCGAGAGCGTTCTGTAGCGCAAGGGCCTTGTTATCTTCTTCAACGGTGCCTTGGAACAGCCTTGAACGTATGGCGGCCTTCTCCGGCTCAGTCAACCCTCCCTTGACATGATTGAATAGTCTCCAGTGGCGGTCAATTCCATTCTTCAGCTGTATAATGGCTAGTAATCTGACCTCATTGGGTAAACTTTTGTCGAGGAACACGGACTGGCGCGGGGTAGGTTAGTGACGAGAGTTACCGCCAAGAGGAAATTGGAAAGGAAGAAAACAAGAAATAAAAAGAAAAAAGCAACATGCGATGAGAAGTGGGCTCGGAGACCTACCTGAAGCGATGAATAATAGCCTTGCTGGGACTCCCAAGATGTCAATTGCTGGCCCACGGCTTGCCTCCTAGGAGCTGGTGTTGAAGATGCTGCCGCGTCTCGAAGGGCGACAAAGAGCTCCGCTGGGGTGAGCGGTTGGGCCTCGCCAGGGGCTTCAATGGCAAAGCTCATGGTGAAATTTTAGGTGAGGGTGAACACAGAAAAACCAACATTGGGAAGGTCTCACAAGAATTCTCCCATGCACAAGCCCGCAAGGAAGATAAAAGAGGGAACTTGGGTCCAGGAACGATGTGAACTTAAGGTTCGGAGGCAAAGTACCTGTCGCGTAGGCAGTGCTAGGCAGTGGTCGACAGGGGCAAGGCAGAAGACTTGGAGGGGTTGTTGAAGGGATTGCGGGGTGTGAATGCATCTACCCAAGTTTACCCTTGTATGAGTATAGCCGTTACCACAGCTGGCACGAGAGGCCGTGCCACTTGGCAACCTGGCAATGCAGCACAGGTCAAAGCAGCAGCTTTTTTAGGTGCGGATTGCCGAACCTCGGCTGCCATCTGACCTCATCAGCTTGGCCGATGTTTCTTAGCCTCCCTAGCTTGGCTGGCTAACCGCAAAGACAAAACCTGGCGTGAGGTCGCCTGCACCATGATACGAGCGATCTCAGTCGTGTAATTCACCTTTACTCCTCACATTTATCGTCGCCAGCATGACTTCGAATAGCTTTGCAGATGCCTTGAATCGCTTATCCGAGCGCCAACAGGAACGAGAACGGGCAGCTCTCGTCGCCCGCCGCGCCAATGCCGACACGCCACGCTCACGAACCCGCGCCCGCTTCAGCAAGCTCCCGTACCCCCTCAATCAATTACCAGTAGCCTGGGACACGATATCCGACCCAGACGGCACGCGTCCCTCTTTTCGAGTCGGCCAGCTCGATGCCGAGCTTCTTGACGAGGAGCTCCTCGATCTCTTCAAGGGTCAGGTCGGGGACGCTCTTAAGTACATCGCCGGCGGCCACCTCAAAGACGACTGGTCAGACGAGATACAATTAGTCTTGCGAGCGATCCTCTTCAAGCTTACAATATGGGATCACGATGCGAGCTACGGGGCTGCGCTCCAGAATCTCAAGTATACCGATGCCCGCAAAATCGGCGCAGTCTTGTCGCCGCCAACAAAGTGGCAGAAGAGCATGTATGGGCTGTTTACAGTAACGGGGAAATACGCCTGGTCTAAGTGGGAGGATTGGTTGGTCAATCAAGACGACGGCTACAATGAGCTGAGCCCGCGCGTCGAGCAGCTCTCTAGAATCACAACGGCCCTTTCAACGACGCACTCTGCGGCAGCGCTTGCCTCCTTTTTAGTTTTCCTAGTCCAAGGTCGATATAGGACTCTCTTGGACCGCATCCTACGAATGCGCCTCGCACCACCCACTAGCCAAGTCAGCAGAGATATATCATTCGAGTATCAGAACCGGCAGCTCGTCTGGCATGCCTTCACAGAGTTCCTGCTATTCATCCTGCCGCTCATTGGCATCAACCGTTGGAGGCGCTGGCTATCTCGGACATGGAGGAAGACAAAGGCGGTTATCCGCTCCGGAAGCGACGTCGAGTCCACCATGGCTAACGGCGAACTCTCTTTCCTTCCAGAGAGAACCTGCGCTATCTGCTACCAAGACCAAAACGCCGCGTTAGCATCCGAGGCCGAGGTACTCGCAGCCGCGACGTCCAGCGGAGTAATTGGATCCGCCCAAACCGACATTACTAATCCCTACGAAACGATTCCCTGCGGATGCATCTACTGCTTCGTGTGCATAGCTACGAGGCTGGAAAGGGAAGAAGGTGAGGGTTGGACCTGCCTCCGCTGTGGCGAAACGGTCAAGGAGTGCAAACCATGGAACGGGGATGTCCTCGAGCCCGCCAAGCCCGCACCAAAGACGGTCGCCTTCTCAGACGATTTGCATGACGTGAGGCTGCTCGAATCGGTTGAAGAGATACAAAACCTGCCGTCTTCCATCTCTTCTCTATCATCCCCATCTCTGTCTGACGTTGAAGAAGAGAAGGAGCCGGTAGAGGATGACTATAGTTCAGAAAACAGGAGCGAGGACGAGATTGACGAGGATGAGGAGGAAGACGCGGCGGAGGAGGAGTTGGATTTGTCTGATTATGACGAGGGTTTCTGATTCACAGAAGCCTAGTCTCCACGCAATATCTCTGCGATGGAGGTCATGGCTGGGAATTTTATGGTTAGATGGGAATAGGGCGTTCTGGGCATCACGGCATATTGGGGCCATCGATGGGCTTTGCTTTTAGATTTGGCGCCGTCAATATAATACTTGTATCAAACATAAGACTACCTCGGTACAGCAAGGGCAAGATTTCCCCAGTGATATTGGTGCGTCTGTCAGTCGGTTGGGAGTCGGTGTTTTTCTCGAAGAGATCACCCGACCTTGACCAGCTGGTTATCGATGTACAACATTCGAGTAGCGCATTAATCGCTCTTTGCCCGACGAAAATGGATCTAGAATTGATCAGTGTTGCAGTGTGAGCGCGTCACTAATCACGTCTAAATGTTCTCGAGGGCCCCCATGACCCGCATTGATACCCCCAAAGTTGGACCAAGCTCTGGCCCCCACTATATTATCTCGCATATGTCGACCATTTCGAGAAACAGGTACTTGCCCCTGCACCAAGCGTAGGTGGGGTACACAAACACGTAATTAAGGTACACACTGCGCCAAACAATGGTTCGAAAATTACGGTGTGTTTGGTGGACCCTTTGTTTCTCCAGATGGTCCAGGGTCGCTTTGCTTGACGTGCACTTGCGGTAACACAAGAGGGCCGGCGATAGCGGAGTACTTCCTGGCTCGAGGCTTGAATAATTTGTTGCCATCGTGAGAGCCACCCGCAGCAACTTTGAGAATCGCACATCACCACACCCGAGCCGACCTTACGACATCGCCGTGACACCGCCCGCGACGGTTGCCCTCGCGTCGCGCTCCCCCGCCTCCCTCGATAGGAAATTTCCTTCCAGGCCGCGCATCCACCGACTCTCTCTCTCTCTCTGTCTCTCTCTCGGCGATTCCTCTCCCCAGCCTCCATGCCGCGACCGATCTTGTCGATAGTGAAATGCCCACCTTCTTCCAATTTACACAGGGCACCGAATCCCGCGCTCGCTTCAATCCCGATAGCTCTCCCCTTCTAGGCCGTTTTCGCGCCGTCCCCCGCGCCCTGGGATCGGCCGGGGCCGCTCGCCGGGGAACCAGGCGAACCCCTTTGCCTCCGCCCGTGGGAGCGTGCACATCGGATACGGCTCGATCTTGTCTGCGGCGGGCCTCGACGCAGATGACTCGGACTCGGATTCGGACTTTGAGGATGAGCTGGCCGCGATAGAAGGGATAGGTCCTGTTCGACGGATATGGCGGAGGAATATGAGGAAGGTCTCTGACCTCTGGGTCGAGCCGAAGCAGGCGGCTGTGAAAAGAGTCGTCGACCGTTGGTGGAGTCGATATTTCACCTTGATTGTGTTGCCAGCACTTCTAGTAAGATGCCCATTGTCAAGGAACTGGTGACCAGCGCCGGGAAAACTTTAGCTAACCTCCGCCCCGCCTTGCTAGGCTATTGCGTGGTGTTCCATGCCCTTCCCCAAGTATGCATTAAATGATGAGCATGGGCGGCCGACCGATCCAGGAAGCAAGATCCCCGGTCACGGTGCTGCGAGAGTGCGAGTCAACTTTTGGTTTTTCTCTTCTTCTTCTATGGCTTCTACAACCTCACGGCCCTCATGTGGATCACCAAGGTCTTCAATCTTTATAGCTTGAACTGGTTAGTACGAGCCCTTACTCTCCCACTAGACGAGCTTCTTCCTTCCCTCTTTTCCCGCTCTCTCTCTCTCTCGGCGACTTTGCTAACAGCCCGTTCTAGGTGGCCGCAATCCTTGGGGTTTCCTCACCGTTTGTCTCATTGCAATAGTCTCGATAGCTGTTCCGGTACCCATCTATCTTCGCGAGGAGACTCGGTTCCTCACAATCCATAACACAGCATGGATTTCTTGGACATTCATCATCATGGCAATGCCGGTAGCGATTGCCTGTATCATTCTCTTGATCAACGAGCGTCATCTCAGCCTACGATACACCCTCTCTGAAACCCAGCGCCTCTTCACTACCTCGTGGTGGACCGGCGAGGATGATACAGTGTCGAGGAGAGATCGGCGGAGGCCTGTCCTGCAACCAGATTCGTTCGATCCAGACTCATTCCAGGTTACCGAGCAGCCCGCTCCGCGGCGCAGGGGCGTACCCACCATCGATCGGCGGTGGCTGCCCGCTAGCTTTGTCCGCTTCATCTGGTTTTGCCTCGCCCTCTTCGTCGGCCTCATGGCATATGTAATCGGAGAAGCTTATGCCGAGATCTATCTCCGAACCCTGCCGCACGACAACTTCGAAACGGTTGTCTATGTCTATAGCTGGGTAGCGACGATCCACATCCTTGATGGTCTAACCGCCTGGATTCTGGGTGTACGTGAGGGTGAGCGGGTTGGGAGTTACCCCTTGAGTTGGGCGTTTAAACTGTAAGTGACCCTTCCCTTGTTCGTATTTGTGCCTAGAGCCATGCCTCGAGGCCTACCCATACGAGTTGGATAATTGAGCCGCTCGCTGACCTGCCCTCTTTATAGCTACTTTATGTTGACGTACCAGACATACGTTCGAGCCTTGTATGCGCGTCTACGCTCCCCTGCCCAGTTCATCACCCTTCAAGCCCTATCCAGCGCCGGCCTCATCATCTTTTACCCCACACTCATGTCGCCCATCTTCCACCGCATCCTTACCATTTTAGGCATCAGCACCCTGTCCTACCCTTCCTACCAGAAGCTGTGTGTCCGTAACGTCTTTATCCGTTTCATTGCCGAAAATGTCTCCATGGCCGCATTTCTCGGCTCCGTCCTTATTCTCCACTTTGGGGCGAACAAGGACGTCTACCCCTACTTCGCCTTTGATGACCCCACGGAACCCTACGATTTCGATCTCACCTTTTATGCCTCGTCGGTGACGTGGGCTTGCGAGCTTGCTGCCGCCTTCTGCGTCCGGATTGTGATACGTTGGTTTTTCAAGCTCGATGTCGACATGGAGGGCAAGCTTGACCTAGCTGTGTGGCCGGAGCTGCTGCCGACTAGCGCAGCCGTGATCCTACACGTTCTACAGAATATGCTCTTTTCCATCATTCGTCTGCAATTCCGCTGATACAAAACCCGCGCCGGATGGTGTGAATGGAGGGTTCTTTTTTTTTTTCTTCCCACCTCTTCTCTCTCATCGCGTGGGGGCTTGCGCCTATCAACGGACTGGCCTTGGTATCGCATCGCTTGTTTTCTTTTTTTTTTTCTTTTTCCCTTTGGTTCTATATACCCACCCCACCATCGTTTTTGAGCCGATTCTGGCCTATCGTGGACGGCTTCCATATCGGTGTGGCCTTGCTTCCATGTATGCTTTCCCCATGCTTATGTTTTTCTCGGGTAGAGCTACCACTAGACGAGGGAAAGAGGGTGTATGAGACGGGGCAAAAAACTAGTCATCTTCGAGGGGATGCAAGGGTTTTTATCATGATAGTGGTGGGGAGCAGGTGGGTGGTTCCATGGCCTGGTGGTATATTGGTCTTACTGGAGCGAGCTGCGCCTTGTGTGTGGGCGGGCCACTTTGGATATCCTGCGTCTTGTCGTCTTTGTTCTGTTTGCATTTGGCGGGATTGTCCCCTGCCTGCGCGGCTTGCCTTTTGTTTATCACCGTCTTGGCCGCTTTCTCAGCCCTCTTGTTTTGCGCTGCTTGTTTCTGTATTACACTGCCGTTTTGCATTGCATCAGGCTGATACCCCTTCACTGAGCTTCTCATCTTCAACTCACACCGGGGTTTCTACCCTTTGGATTCCTCATTCTCGTTTCTGCCATTTAACTATAGAACCTGCATTGGTAGTACATATAATCATAATTCAACATACGTTCATCTCCCAGATTCCATCGCGTCCCCCCTCGTCTATCAGGGGAGTTGTGCCTGCACCCGATTCCAAGACACCCTGATACGAGCGGACAGTGATTCAATACGGCTACCAATCGAGGGCTGGTGCTATCTCCTCACAGTTGCCAAAGGGCCAGCCCACCTGCCGCAATCTCCAGCCCCTCCCACCGGCAGTGGAGTTGGGATCGCGAGAGAAAGGAGGCGCGCCGGGGGTCAAGACCAAGCGTTCCTCTACCCCTTCTTTGCATGGAAAATGGCCCGATCCAGCTTCTCGCAGTTCCTGGCGCTCCCGTCTGCCACCCATCTTCAACTTGCGACAGCTCGACCTGATCGGTGGCCGCGCGGGATAGATTCGATAAAATCGGTGAAGGAGGGGCGTGCGCGAGGCCAAAAGCAAGCACTGGAGAGAAAACGGCCCGGGGAAGTCAATCAGCGCGAGGGGGAGAAGAGAGGCCAGGAAAAGGGGAGAAAAAGAAATCGAGCGCAGTACACACGTCTTCACTTCAGCGACCTCTTTTTTTCTTTCCAAAGCACTAGGCTGTGGAAGTATTGGAGAGGATATGCAGGCTCCCACATCCCACATACGCCTCCTCCCTCCACCGGCCTGCATAACCCCTCCATGACGGAGGAGGCGGGTGAGTGGCAGAGAGACGTGTGCATCCTACGGTGTTGTGCGTCTACCCCTCCATGAGCTTTTTGACTAGAAGAGAATGTCAGGCAAACCAAAAGTAAAAAGCGCGAATGAACCGTGTCGAAGGGCGGTATGCAGTCTCAACCGCCCCTCCACCGACTGGCCATTTTTTACCCTTTTACTTTTTTCCCCGCAAGATCTTTGGCAAAGAGAAAGCGCATCCCTCCTAGGACACAAAGGCTTCTGCAGCCAGGCTGTGTGGAGGGGTAAAGCAAGTAACAGCAGGAGTTCAAAGGTGTACGAAGAGTTGACCTGTTGCGTCGCTGTGAAATGTCCCCTTTTCACTCCCTCCCCCGCGTTGTACAGCAGCTAGGCACGAATGGCTTGATAGGGAAATATTCTAAGGGGGATCCCAGCCAAGGTAGAGAGTGTACGCTTGCGATGCTCCCGGGCATCTCGCTGTTCAATACGAGACATTGAACCATCACACCAGTTAGCCCCCTCAAGAAATAGACGGGAAGTGGATCTATTCGGTGACGCGAATCGAACCTACTTTTGTCAAGGCAGACGCCCCTTTACTGGTGCAGGGGATAGAGTGACAGCGCGAATTCCGCATTGTCACACTGAGTATAGGGCTAGGAATCGCTAATGCACCGGATCTCAATGTCTCCCTGCCGCTCTCTATGCTTTCAGCTCAGAAGCTGGAATACTCTGCAGTGAATGGTCAAGGCCGCAGGTGCGACGACAGGAATATGTGGGTTGAGGGATCCGGAATGGAAAGCTGCATCAGAGTTGACATTAACAAGCCACCCATGAGGCGGTAAGCCCAGGCTCTCCTTGTACCCCGATGATGGCGGCGGGGGAGGGGACGGGGCCGGCGGGGTGAGCTGGCGACGTTGAATGGATTAACAATTCGCTAACTCCGCCTATACTCTCCCAGCGAAGGGCCGGCACGGCCTAGTCAGTTCGGCCTTCCGCAATTTACACTTTGCTGGATACATGTATACTATGGAGACTTGAGTACCGAGGTATGAGCATCGGAACAGCCATCACTGTGCCTTTGGCGATTTAAGATTCCAATGGTACATACACTTTTCATTAGATATCAAATAGAATAAGCTTTGGCGTGGGGCTGCTTACAATGGTTCTCGCTATCTGAGCCCAGCTTGCCGTTGCCACCAGCCTGAATCAGCGCGAGGTGCCCCATCCCGTAGGCTCGGTAAGGATCCAAGATGCCGTGGCACCGCACCGAACCCCCAGTTCAGGGTGGTCAAGAAAGCTAACATAACGGCGTCGCAACATAGTGAAGTGCTTATGCTTAGCAGCGATGCCAGCATCACAACCACAGTGAAAATGCGCCTCTGATTATCTCTTTTTCCCCAAAGTAGCTACGCCCTAGAAATCGGTTTGGGGTGGGACATTGGGGGCGGGAACGAGCTAAAGCGCTAGATCCGCCTTCCGGACACAGTCTCGTCTGTCGCTCCCCAAAGGCTCCACAAGCCGGGAGTGAACGTTGATGTGGACAGACGAGGTGGTGGAACCATGGCCTTGGGGTTACAATAACAACATTGAAGAGCAAGCCGGGTAGGGGCAGCTTGACAATTCTCTGGGTCTTTGAAAGGAGGGTTTGACATATTATCAAAGGTCCCGCCCGCCTATGCTGCCAACCTGCTCGTATTAGCTGCTGGGTTGCGTAAGACATGTGGGAATTCTGATCGGATCCCCTCATTGCTCCAAGGCAGCTTAGCGGGAGGCCGAGAAAATGGTTACGCGCGTGTTGCTCACCGCTAGCCCACGTTGCGATATATAGCGAGATATTGGTCTTGCCGAAGCCACCCTCGACAACTGGTAGCCAACGAGTTCCGATGCCATTGGGCCAACCAAGACCACCAGAGCAGAAAAACCGATTCGCCCTCAAATTTCAGTCGGGACAGATCGGCCAAATCGGAAGGGGAAAACCACGCAGGATCAAGCGATAGAGCTTTGTCTGCCTTGTCATCATCGGTTAATTGATGCTGGATGAGAACTCGCTCTGCCCACACTCGTGGAGGGGTAAACAACTAGGCCTCAGTAACATCAAAATGGTATGCTTACGCTTTAAATGTGCCGAATACCTATCGAGATTTGGCGTCTTGTTTCCTCTTTCACTGTCGTCTCCTCGGTTCTTTGATCCATCCGGCTGGAAACTCCAACCTCCAAAAAGACGACTTCGAGCCCCATCGGCCAGAATACACTATGAATTGACGGCTTCTGCAGCGGGACCGGAGCAGGGAGGTACACCTCAGGACATCACTTCCCAATGTAATGTAGCTCCACTCTCAAGCCAGGAAAGTGGTATCAACGATGGATGCTTGTTCAAGGGCGACAAATGGTGGAAAGCATGAAAAAGGGCCACTGTCGTGAGGAGCCATGATAATAATCCATGCTCGGATTCAAGTACTCTTTCAATAAAAGTGGAGTAGTCTAGGATTGTGATTTTACATCAAGAAGACGCCAGGAACAAGTCGGCTCGCTGCTCATTGGGCCCCTGCGACTTGAATTGATTTCATTCCTGTTGAGTTTGCTCCATCGAAGTGATGGTGTTTACCTGCCGTTTCATGAAAGTAAGTTTTCGCGGATTCATTAGTCCTCACAGCCGCCAGCTTTAGAAGGGGCCTAGAAGCTAGAGATGCGAGATGCAGGCTACAAGCTACACTCAATTGATAGTAGATGCGACTGGCTTCGAAGTGGGCTGTTTTGACAAGGGGTGCGGTGTGCATTTCACATGCATGTTCCGTGCACGCCATGTGCTTGAGGACCTGCCTTTTCAACAGGCGTGCGGCAAGTTGGCCGGAGAAATATTTGACTCATTGGGCGGACCCTATGGAAGGGGAAAGGAACCGACCTTCCGCGTAATAAATTCGCAAAACACGGCGCCCACTGGAGGAGCCCCGTCCTCAACTTGCGGATGATTTGAAAGAAAACATATTAGAGGCGTGACGTGGAGATACTTGTACTTCCTGCTGCCTCCACCCTGAACGAAACAACCTATGGAATCCACCTCGAATTTTCCTCAAGTAGCAAATCTCAGTCGATCTCAGTGTGAGATACTCGGTGGCTCTGGTTGATGATAAGAGTGACGTTGGATGTACTCTATACACCAATGTTGGACTACTTCATCCTTTCCGCCCTGTCCAGGGGAACTAGAGATATTTGCTGAGTTGGCTAGTATCAATCCAAGCCTGTTCATTACCGTTCCTTCCCGCTTTAGGCAGAGACCCAGCTCTCTCCACATACTCAAGTTGCATCGCCCGGGCCGGAGAGGATCTCTGAGTTGTTCAACCACCTCACCTGTGAATACCATAGCCGTAAAGTAGTCAAGGAAAGATTGTTCTGACAAGTTGAGGAGATATATTTGAGGTCCAGCCAAAGTTGTGCATCACGCACTTGTTTCCCTCACGTCGATTCCTTCAATATTCCTGTCTAACGGGCGAATTCGTTCTCATTTCGTATTATCTTACTAACACATCGGTCTAACGCACCTTGCGCACCTACCAAGGTCGATGATAATAACTAGATCCCCAAAAGTACCAGCCCAAAGTACAAGTAGCCAGCAAGCGCAGTTGAAGGAGCTTGAGGGGGAAGGTCTAATCAAGATAGGTACGCGAGGCCAGGTACCTTGGCTGGGATGTAGCTTCCGTTCCCTCCTTTGCTCTTTCTCATTATTTATGGGGTCGGTCGACTGATACGTTGTCGTGCCTGCCTAAAAACAAATAGAAAGACAGAAACAGAAGGAAGCAACGGCGTCCTGGACGAAAAGAATGTATTGATACGGTTCGAGCTCTGCCGGGGAGAATCGGCTCACACCACCCCGGGTGATTCTTCGCATCTCCAAATTTACTGTTTGCTGCCGAGGCGATGTGCGCCGGTTACTTGCTCCGCTGCCTGTGAGGCCATTCCGCCGAGACAAGCGGCATCCGTGCTTGCTCCAGACCAGACTTTTCGCGGTTTTGGACTTGGTGTACTAGGGTGCCAGGCGTGAGAAGAACGTCTGATGTTTGCACTCAACGGGATCCAGCCCGATTGAGCATCTCACTTCCACCCGTGTCTTAATTACGGCAATATCGCAGCCCTTCGTAACAATTTCCCTTATATATCCCGTACACTAAGAGCAGAATGGTTTACGATGGCACGGCTGGCTGGCTGGCTGGCTGGTTGGAACTCTGGAAGTCTCCGCGGTACAGCCTGGAGTAAGTCGCTCGTCCTCACTCCATGCCCAAGGAATGGATCCCTGCCCTATGTATCGGATATTGTTTCTGTCGCTGGGGGCGATGTTGTCCATCTCTCGATTTCTGTTTGCGCAAAGCGACTATCATCGAGGGTGCAAATGTGCGCGCGCAGGTCCACCACAAGAGGGAGGGTGCTCTTCAGACTCCCCACCATTCAACATGACATCTCCACAGGCGGCTTAATTCGCGCAAGTTGCCTAGCGGGCATGTATCAGGTTCGACTCCGCTGATGCTTCCAACTCTATCTTTTAATAGGCAGGAAAAGCATATCCACTTTTGAAAGGTTTTTTTCCTTCTATTTTTCCTTCTCAGGTTTCCATTTCCATTTCCAGAGTAATTTTCTTTTTCCGGCTCTCATCTTATTATTGCGAATACTACGGAAAGGCGGCCTCGGAACACTGGCCGAGCAAAGGCTGCAAGCGCAAGACGACGGAGGAAACAAGACGAGGTGCATACTACATTCCCAATACATTGATATCTTGTCCAGATTTCTGTGACTCCAGGCTTCGACATTCGGTCCCTCTTGGTTAGTCTCGGCACCACACCGCCAGGAAAGGATCTTGAGTAAGTTTCGCGCTTCCTTTCCCTTCGTCCCCTCCCCCTCGGCGCTCGCTCCGCGCCCACCTCAACCACCCTGGCCTGGTCTGGTTTGTTGGAGCTGCATTTACAGCTCGCCATCTTCCAAGGCCATTATCCCATTCCCAACCGACTACGCGCCCACCCCAATGCGCGACTTGACACCATCGTTTTGACATCCCTCACTTCCTCCCTCCATCCCTAGTCACCGGTCACAATACCACATCAGACTTGGCTTGGGCTGACAAGAGACCTCTAGCCCCGTACCTGTCGGTTTCTTTTTTGTCCTCTTTTGGCGTGGTACCAAGTTCACGACACTTTTGATTCTCTCCCGTTCGCACTCCCTTGCATTCACCCCTCCGGGCTCTGTTCCCGACACACCCTCCCCTCTCTGGTATCACCCGTGTGGGAAAATACAACAAAGAGGATAAAAAAATTCTTTAGTTAAGATACAACCACCTTTCCTCTCAGCCCTCTTTTGAACCCGTTCCTGGCCTTCTTTTTCCTTCTCTCTTCTCTCCTTTTCTACCAACATGCAGTCTCCGGAAGAGGTCAAGGCTGCTTCTTCTCAAACCGGTGCATCCTCCGCCGCTCAGCCAGTCTTGAACCCCCTCGCTGCCCACCCGGTTGACGCCAATCCGGCTGCCACCGCCCAAGATGCCTCGCGAGGACAGTCCGCCTCCGCCTCCGCCGCCTCCGCCGAACTCGCCAGTGCAAAGATAACTCTCAAGTCGGCTTTGCGCCACTTCATGGACTTCCCTATCAAGGGAATCGACTTTGTCGACATTATGCCGCTTTTCGTGGACCCCGTCGTCCACCGCACCTTGCACACCGCGCTTGACCTGCAGGTTCAGGAAAGCTTTACGTCCAAGCCCGATATCGTCGTGGGCCTGGATGCCCGAGGTTTCCTTTTCGGTCCCGGTCTCGCCCTTCGCCTTGGCGTCAGCTTTGCCCCGGTCCGAAAGAAGGGCAAGCTCCCCGGCCCGTGCGTAACCGCCGCGTACGAGAAGGAGTATGGCACGGATTTCTTCCAGATGCAATCTGATGCGATTAAGCCTGGCCAAAAGGTCTTGATTGTCGATGACATTATTGCGACTGGTGAGTGGCACTATGGATAGCGACCGCTTGTCCTCAAGCTTTCTTCCTCCCCCCCGCCTCCCGTTCACTTCTCAGCTTGTTGGCCGTAAACTAACGTGTGTGTTTGCGCGTGTAAAGGTGGTTCTGCGGCCGCTGCGGCCGACCTTGTAAAGCAGATGCAAGGTGAAGTAATCGGTTACTTGTTCCTGCTTCAGATTGAGGGTTTGAACGGCAGGGAGAAGCTCGGCAATATTCCCTCTCACATCATGCTGGAGGGTGCGTAGTCATACCAAAGCCTTGATACGCAACATCTTAATATGGGGGTTGTGGCGGCCACGCAATCTTGTAACCGGATACCAGGAGCAAGACAGCACTGCTTCCCGGATTGCCTTTTGTCCCGCGATCCATGTCTCATCAACTACACTACGAGCGATTTGCAACCGGCCCCCTATATCTCGGTCCCGGGTCCTGGAAAAGGATACGTTAGACATAATACGTTGGTGGCTGAAGCCGAAAATATCTCAACAGGTGGTTGTAAGTGATGCGTGGCCCAATCAAAAGGGCACCATCGTAATGGCGTCGAAGGCTCGTTACACTTCAAATTAGTGCCTGCATTTTGTTCTGCATTTTTCCTTTTTCCTCATGGTGTCTTTAAGCTCTCCACATTTCGCGACGTCTTCTTTATTTACGCCTTGTTCTTTTTTTTTCCTTCTCACTTTTAGCATCTCCTTGGTAGTGATAGATTCATTTAGGTGTTTTCACGAAATCGAGGACCTTGAGAAAAGCGGTCCCGTATTGAAAATCGAAATAGTCAAACAAACAGTGCGTGCAGTAGAGGACCTACCTACTTGTGCCTTGTAATCAAACCAAAAGATGTGAAAATGGGTATTCCTTGGATAGGGACGAAGGGCCGGAACGTTCAGGAGATTTATGAATGGTAGCTATGCAAACATCCATTGCCATCATTTCTAATTCTTTGCTTTATAGATCCGTATCCCGTTCTCCTTTTATTTCGGCTGCTCTCTTTTGTTTCCCGACCATGGCCTCCTGTTTTGGCCCCTAGCAGGGCATCAATGCGCCGGCCTTAATGGATGTTTCGTTGATATGAACACCGTAGCTGCCGTGATGCGGCAACACATAATTTATACCGAGGTACTCGAAGAGTGAAACCTCTCCTAAGCTATATAGACCGCTAAGCTGTACAGACCGCCCATGGCACTAGAGAAAGAGAGAAAAGGGAAAAGCATATGCCGTATGTACATTTGGATTGGTATGAGGTTTACAAAAAAAACCCCCAAAATAAAAAAGACGTGATAATCATTTCGTCAAACGTGGCCATAGGTAGACATCTATATTCTTCAAGCCACGTGCGGGAGGGGAAGTTGGGACGTCCCGTAGATGGTAGGCTTCGTTAGTGCTGCGCTGCTGGGAGGGAGACCCAGCAAAAGATTCACCGCCTACCGCACCCGTAGGTTCGCGATACGCGTACCTCTCGACTGGACATGGTACAGCCTACGGATACCGATGCTGGTGGCCTCGGCGAATTTCTCGTAGCCACCCGGCGGGGTGCGCACGAGGACGAGAGGGATGGGGTTATACCGAGGGAGGCCGGAGGAGGTGAACTGCATGTGCTCGAGGTTCGGGCTGACGAGGCCGTCCTCGCTAGGGTCCCCTTCGTCATCCACGACGACGACGAGGGCGAGGGAGGAGGCGGAGGGGTAAAAGTTTGGTATGCTGGACAGCTTCTCGCTAAACGTGCAGGCGCCGCGGCGGACCACGATGACCTGGTGGCTGCGCGGGGCGTCGAGGGGCAAGGGTTCGCAGGCTTGGTCGGTCATGTAGATGGAGGTCCAGGGCAGGTGGATCTCGGATTCGGGATCGGCGGAGGAGACGTACTTGGCGAGCGGGGCGTCCGGGACCAGTTGGGCTCCCTTGCCGACGGGCGTGGCGGCGAAGAAGGAGTCGATGCTTTCGTGGACGAGGTCGAGGTTGTCCAGGTCTACGTCTAGGTCGAGGCCGAGGTCGTACATGTCCTCGTCTTCGTTGTCGTCGCGGAAGGCGGCGGCGGCGGCAGCCGCAGCAGCAGCAGCGGAGGCCCTGCCGACTTCCGGGACGGGGGTCCTGGTGGCTTGGAAGCGCGGGAATACAAGGCTCACGCGGTCCTTGACCGTGCGCATGGCGGCCTTGTACGCGGAGACAAAGGAGTTGGGCCCGCCCTTGACCGCCTCCGGCGTAGGTCAAAGGGATCGTGGGAGAGGATGAGCTCGACGGCCGACTGGTCGCGCACGCGGTGGAAGAGCGGGTCGGTCATGTCGGAGATGATGTCGGCGTCGATGATGGCGCTCTCGTCGCGGCCGAGGGGCACGTTGTTGACGGAAACGATGCGCCAGATGGAGGACAGGCCGTAAGAGTCAGTCTCGAGGACCATTTGCAGCTTGAGATCGTCCAGGGACGCGATGAAGAGGCCCTCGTCGGGCATCTTGAGGACCGGCTGGGGCCACTGCGGAGTTTCGGAGCGGCCCGAGGCGCGGCGGGGAACTGGAGGGTGAGCTGGCGACCCTCGGGGAGGCGGTGGCAGGAGCCGTTGGTGGGTATATAGGTGGGAGGGAGGGTCCACGGGAAGTAGGTGTAGTTGGACTTGGGGCGCACGAGGGCGATGGGACCGGCGTCGGTCTCTTCGACGCCGACATGTTCCACCTCGCCGTGGATGTTGGGTGTCGCGTGCAGGCCCGTGATGCCGGCGGCGTGGTATAGATCCGTGCGGGCGGCGACTGCTGATCCCGTTAGCGGCGCTAGGGCTGGGCTGACGGGGCATTCGTTGGTATATTCGGGGTCGAAGTAGGGGCGGCTGGGGCGGACGGGTTCCTGGGCTTGGCACGCCCGGCGGAGGAGCGGGAGCTGCCCGTCTTCTCGCGGGGAATGAGGAGCGGGTGGCCCTCGGTGGAGAAGACAAAGGGGGCGTCGAGCTTGTTGAGTACGTGGTCGGGGTCGAAGAGGAGGTACAGGTACTTGGTCGTTTCGCCGAGGAAGAAGCTCTCCATGCGGTCCGACTTCTCGCCGGTGCGGACGTCTTGGAGACCGGCCCAGCCGCAGTCGGTGCGGCACCGGGCGGTGACGTCCTTTAGGACCATTTCGCCCACGTAGAGGTACCAGGGGTCCTGGGTAGCTCGGTACAGGTGGTAGGTCGACTCAATGAACTCGGGCCGGCCGGGCCACCAGCCTAGGTTCGACTCGACTTGGCCGTCGCGGAGGGACCACCGCTCGGGCAAGGCGCGGAAGCGGGTCCAGAGGGCGGCGTAGAGCAGGTGGGCCTCGACGGCTTCCTCGAGCTCGCCGGCGAGGGTGAGGAGACCGGGGTAGAAGGCGCTCAGGCTGTCGATCCAGAGGGAGGCGACGGCGCCGGTCTGGTAGTTGCCGTTCATGTAGCTGGGGTGGTGGAAGTCGTCGTTGGGGTTCTGCCAGCTGTTATACAGGTGGCGCTTGATCGCGGCGTGGGCCTGGTGCCACGTCTTGAGGAAGGCGTCCGAGGAGTGCTCTTCGGGGTGATGGGCCGCTGGATGAGGTTGGGGTCGAGCCACTGGGGCTTGTACTCGTTGCGGCGGGTAAAGGACACGGCGGTCTCGTTGGGGGTGTCGAGGCCGGAAAGCAGGATGTGGGCCTTCATGGCGTACTCGAAGAAGCTGTCGATGCCGGCGCCGATGCCAGAAGCGGTGCTGATCCAGGTGGCGCGCTCGGCGTCGATGCCGCCTCCAATGAGATCGAGCGGGCTCCGCTCTTCCCAAATGGCCCAAAACGCACGCTTGGCGACTTCCTCGAAACGGGGGTCGCCGGATAGCCTACTCAGAACCGTGAATTCGAGAACGAGCGTGCCCGCGCCGGCGCTGCAGGTCTCGGTGATGTCTCTCCCGTAGGTGCCCCGGGCCGCAGCGGATTGGTAGTTGAGGGGAGTTTGGGTAAAAGGGATGCCGTCGCGGAGGTTCACGCGGGGGTATGGTATGCCCGTGTTGGTGTAAAAGGCCGGAAGGAGGCGCTGGGCGAGGTCTAGGGCGAGCCGCAGCAATTGGCCGTCGTAGACAAACCCGCCGGGCCATTCGATGGGCGGCGTCTCGAGACGATTGGGGTTGCTCCAGCCGGGGGCGGCGCCGGCTCGTATCCCGGGATGGGCAGGTCGCCATTGGCGAAGAGGTGGGCGCTCAGGAGCCCGCCGACGCCGCGAATGACCGTTTCGAACACCTGGACCTTGCTGTCTAGGTCGAAGCCCTTGGATCGAGCACCGTGGCCGGAGAAGCCGCGACGGCCGTCGCCGTAGAGCTTCACAATCTCCGATACGCCGCTCTGGAAGTCTTCGAGGGCCGGTCGGCCGGTATAAGGATCTTCTTCGGGCCCGCCAGCGAGGATGGCGAGGGTAGAGAGGCTGTCGATCAAGGTGAGGGAGTAGTTCCCCAGGACATCGTTCAGGCCAATGTTGGCGGGGTTCTCTCGATCGCGGGTGAGTGGGGCGCAAGTGACTGGTCGCAGCTATCAAGATGAAAAGGGACAAGACATTAGCAATTAGGCACGGATATTCCTAGAGATGGAAAGGGGCCGAAGCTAAAGAGCTAGCTATGTCAAAAGGTTGGGGGCGGCGAACTTCATCTTCGGGGAAGGCATGTTCCATGTAGTTATCGAAGCCGTGTCGGAACATGCGAACAGTCTCTTGGCGCAGCTGCTGCATGTAACCCGGGCCCATGGCCATTGAGAGCCACGGGCCCAGGACCAGAGCTATCAGGCAAAAGGTGAGGTGGCGGGAAGCCATGGCGGATGCTGGACAAGGTCAAAGGGGAAGGACTCGGCCGGGGGTGGCCCAAGGGATTACACCGAGGGCAAAGGGTCGGCCAGAAGAGTAACGTGGTCGGAGGGAGAGGGGTGGCTCCCGCATATGGGAGCTATAAATAAGCAGTAGTCTGAATCGTCATCTCGACCGCCGACCCAACAAGAACCAACAAAAAGAGCGTTTGGGGCACAAAGGGTGAGCTGAGCGTATTCGAGAAAAGTTGTGGTGTCGCGTGTGGCCCTCGTGTCTGATTGATGGAAGGGAGAGCGAAGCAAGCCGGGCCCATTCGTCGCAAAGTGTCCAGAATCACAAAATGGGGCTTGAACGCAGCTTCGAATAGCGGGAACCTTGATCTGACCAGCATCGGGCGATACTATTGGCTCGTGCACGTGCAAGGTTCATGGCATGGGCAAATAGGCTTTGTGCTTTGGTGGGGACGCCACAGCCATGCGTTGACCATGCACTCGACATGTGTGGCTGGGGCAGGGGTCCTGGACGGCGTCTTGATAATCCGTTGTTCGTGATCATATTAGCCGGCCTCACTACGCTACAGTTTATTCACGTCCGGAATGGTTGTTTTTTCTTCTCTCGTCTTGGCAGAATTGGACTTATCTTGCTTCTTTGTTTGCCCTTCAAGAAACTCAAGCTCACCTCAAAATGCTAAAAGCCGGGCTTGGATATTGACTTAATACCCCCTCTTCACAAAGCACACAAGAATTGACCCGGGCCACATCCGACAGTCTACATTTCTTGGCCAAGAAAGCCACGCGCTTTACCCACTGCCGTCCCTTGGCGAGCATCGTTGATCTTCTTGAGGGGATTGCGTATACCTTGCCAAATTTTCGGCACTCAATGTTGGTCTTAGGATTGCGTCTGGACAAGGTTGAGCCAACACATTGAATCTTGCAAAGCCCATGGGGACAACTCTACACGTATGGTTCGGTAGGGGTTTCGGCTTTTTGCGTGATGATATGAGCTCCCTAAGATTGAGGCTCTTCAGGCTCCATTACTTTAAGTATGGAATGGCTATAGAACTGGAGGCTCTGGTTCTGGTCATTTGTTCTACTGTGCGAGGTGTCCCCAGTTACTGGGTCTTTGACGACGAGCGTCTCTTTCACTATGAGACTCGACCTCTACTGTAAAGAACAAGGGCTTGGGTGGAGTCTAGGGTGCATCAAAATATTCTTGATTGGCACTTTTCTGTTCCAAACTGACTTACTTAAGAGGTTCCTTAAACAGAAGTTACAGTCGTCGAGAATGAACTTTGAGCGATGGGCTTGTCCCTGCGCTGGCCAAGGAGAGATTGAGACATCCACAAGGTCCGAGTGTGTGTACATCAGTCTATAAACATCGGTATCCATTCGGAAACTTGTGCTTTGCGGAGAGAATATCAATATTGATCCATTGATCCATCCATTAGATGTATCAGCGGGGCTGGGGCATCTCTCCCAACAGACCGTTCCTACCTGTCGCGGGTGTTAGTGGGCCTGGGCGACATGCCAAACGACGGGCACAACGGGGAAGCATGCTCGAAAATCTCCGAACGAGACCCGCAAACAACCAGATTGTACGTTCTCGCATCGCTGCGAATCGTTTCGTTGATCTCCTCGTAGATAGTATTTTCTAATCTCGAAATGAAAATATACAAAAGAAGAAAAAATATTTCGGGCTACGAATCTCAAATCAAAAACGAAAAGGAAGAAAGAGAAATATCGTAAAAGAATTTTCCAACATTACTGCAAGTCAACTCTATCGTATCCGTCTCTTCTGCACAATCAATCTCTGATTTTCTTCTTCCGAGCCAGCAGCGCCAACCCGCGGGGAGCCCCGGCCAAGATCGACCCCATATACCCGGAATATAATTAAATTAACACAAGACTTGCTACTCACTCCAGAGCCCCATTTTCAACACTGATACACCAGCGCATTGGCTCTCTCATGTTATTGCCACGACCTATATCAGACCTATATCACATCTTCTAAAGCCTTCTTCTTGGACTCATCACCGTTTCCATCTGCCCTAGCCTCAGACTGATCCGGGACAATGAGTCGGCAAATCTTGAGAACCCACCTGGCCCACCCCCACGGGCCTTGGCTCGTAAGAATAATTGATGGTGCCCAGAAAAAAATAAAGCGAGGGGAGTCTAGATTATGAGGGTTAAACCTGATGCATGGGAGGGAGGACAAAGCAGACGTCTTGGGTAGCCATGAGGCAACTAGGAACGTATAAAGCCGGCTCTCCTGGCCAAGGGCGCGGCCTACGGCAACCCTGTCTGCTCTCCTTTCGCTGCCATCTCCCCTATAAACCGCCTGCCTACCCCGGATTTCGGTCTCCGTCGCACGTAGTTCACCCACCCCATCACTTGCGCTTACACACAAGCGGGCACCAACATGCAACTCCCCGTGGTCGCCGCCGCCCTCCTCGGGCTCGCCCAGCAGGCCCGTGGCCAGGCCATGATGCGCTTCGGCTGCTCGCAGCTCGTCGTCGAGCGCACCGACCCCCTCGTCAACCCTGGCCAGGTGTACACGCCCCACGTCCACCAGATCGTGGGAGGCAACTCGTTCAACGTGTCCATGGACCCGGCCGACCATGACCCGGCCGCGCTGTCCACCTGCACCACTTGCACGTACTCTCAGGACATGTCCAACTACTGGACCGCCGTGCTTTACTACAAGGCTCGCAACGGCACCTTTAAGCGCGTGGCCCAAGAAGCCAACATGGGTCTGATTCAGAATGGGGGCATTACCGTCTACTACATTCCCCCTATGATGGCAGGACCACCGTCACGGCGTTCCCCAAGGTATGACTATCCCTATACTATAGGCCGATACCAACAAACGTTGGGAGAGGTATTTTCGTCGCGATTTCACTCCAAACACCTGACTAACAAGAGGGTCGGAACGTAGGGCTTCCGCATGATTGCCGGTGACCCGGGCCAAGAAGGCTCCGAGGGCATGCAACCCGGCATCTGCCACCGATGCTTCGGCAGGAACCAGCAGCCCTTCGGCGGCGCCCCGTGCACCGGAGCCGACACGGCGGCTCTTCCCAAGGAGATGTGCCTGGGCGGCATCCGAACCACCGTCACCTTCCCTACCTGCTGGGACGGCAAGAACACGGACAGCGCCGACCACAAGTCCCACATCGCTTATCCCACTCCGGCTTTCGAGGCCAACGGCCAGTGCCCCGAATCTCACCCCATCAAGCTGCCCCAGGTCATGTACGAGATTATGTGGGATACCAAGCCCTACAACGACCCTGAGCTCTGGCCCGAGGACGGCTCGCAGCCTTTCGTTTACAGCTTCGGCGACAAGTAAGTTTTCGCTTTGTTTGGATTTTGTGTCTCACTCTGCCTCTGACCTATGGCATTTCTAACCCCTCCTTGTAGGCTCGGCTACGGTCAACACGGCGACTACCTCTTTGGCTGGAAGGAGGACTCCCTTCAAAAGGCGCTCGATGCCCGGTGCAACCTCGACAGGTGCGCTAGCCTCGATTACCAGACCCCCAGGAAGCCATGCAGTGCAATGTCCCCCAGACGGCTACCGAGGAGGTCGACGGCTGGCTCAGCGCTCTTCCTGGAAACTGGCCCAACGCCTAAGATTAGGCACGGAAAGCCCGGGATATATCTCCTGTATGAGCTGAACGCCTCCTTTGGACTATAAAGACCATACGTATTGAAGCCCTAGCTATACTGGTAGTTGCTCATATATAAAAGAATACTTTATTGATTGGACAGAAAAATGGGAGAATCACTTTTGAACACGTCATCTTTGCAAATAAGTCGTAGAATTCGTCTCAGCTAAACATTAAACCCTAGTACCAGGCCACGGTACGCCCCGTCTGATGAGACTCCCTCGCCAGTTCAATCACCCGCAAACCGTCCCTCGCGAGCTCTGGCTTGATCCGGGGCTCGCACTTGCCGTTGATAGCATCCGCCACGTTCCGGTAGTAGTCCCTATACGAGCCATCGAGGCTGGGATACTGTCCGATGTAGAGCTTGCTCGCCTCGTCGTACTTCTGGGAGGCGGCGTCAATCTCGCTCTTGGTGGAGAGCGTGCCCCAGATGCTCGGGTCCTCCTTGCCAAAGTTCGGGTCGTCCGCCGGCTGGCCGAGCTGGCCAATGGCTCTCGCTTCCTGGGGATCGTAACCGTACTAAAGATGCGCGAAAACAAAACACTGTTAGCCACAAGAATATCTCTTCTGTGCCTTCCTTTCCTAGCTGGCTCCGAGTAGAGAGTGCCTGCAGGTGTTAGGTTTCCTGAAAACTTACCTTGATGTAGCTTCCCTCGGTACCTCTAACAAAGTACTTGAGCTGCTCCTTGAGGGGGTGACGATGGCCGTCTTCACCGTGACAGTCAAGTCCTTTTGCGCGCCGTCGTACTGAAGGAAAATGGTGAACGTGTCGTCGATCTCGCTGTCCACGCCCCGGACGGCGCGGAAGAACCCCGTGACGGACGCGGGGCGGCCGAAGAGCGCGAGGGCCTGGTCCAGCGTGTGGGTGCCAAGGCCAAAAGCCATGCCGTCGCCCGGGGCGTACTCTTTACGGTTCCAGTGGTGCAGCCAGCCGGGATCGCGGAAATCATAGTGGATCACGGCGTCCTTGATGTCGCCGAGAGCATTGAGGGAGATGAGCTTTTCTAGGGTACGGAAGTCGCTGTCGTACCTTCGGTCTATGGAACAAAAGCAGAGTGGAAAACGGGATCCACGGCCTCCATGTGAGCGTTGGGTCCTTGGGAGTGGGGAAAAGTAGGAAGGAAAGGAGAGGGTGAAGGGTGAAACTGACTCTGGAATACGGTCAGGACCTTGCCCTTTTCCTTGGCGAGCTGGATGAGCTCGTCCGCCTTGGCGCTTGTCTTGAGGAACGGCTTTTCGACAACAACTATGGCTTATGAGTTAGCAACGCCCAAGCTGCATCTTCTCTTCCTTTTTCTCCTGCAGGAATCGTACCGTGCTTTCCGGCGTTTAGTGCCGCCTCGACAAACTGGTCGTGCTCGTGCGTGCAGACGATGACGAGGTCAATCGCGGCATCCGCGAAGAAGTCGTCGGCCGTCCGGTAGTGCTTCGCCTCGGGGAAGTCCACCGTGCAGTGGCCCATCCTCAGCTCGACACCGGGGTTCTCCGAGGGTGGCGCCGCGCGCTGGAGGAAGGCGTATACTTGGAGCTCTGGGTTGGGCAGGATGTATGGCAGGTGGAAGCATTTTGTGGAGAAGCCGTAGCCTACGATTCCGACCTTGATGGGCGCCATGTCGTTCTTGGCTGTGTTCGTCTTGAGCTTTCTACTCTCTCTTTTTTTCTCTCTTTTGGTGACCACAAAGTTGATTTATGTAGCCCTTTTTACAAAGCTTTTTCTTTTTCTGAAATACGTTGACGAGCTTAGAACGGGGAAAGAGAGTCGGGCGCGTGGGATAGAAATGTAAAGAGGGGCATGAGAGGAGGGTATAAGTAATGGTTTCGGGGAGAAGCTACGATCTGCGCCGGCCCGCTTTAGCCGGAGTACATGAATTAGTCAAGGCGGGCGGCCGTCGAACTGCTCGAGGTCGAGACGAGTAGTAGATCTCGTCGCCCGCTCGCTTGTTTGAAGGAGTGCGGGGGCGGGGGTTTCTTCGTCAAGGGCGTACATGTAGGCATTGGCTGTTGTTCTCCTTTATTTCCAGACCTTCTTTTTCCCACGTTATCTGCCCCGAGATTCCGCGGATACGGGGTTTCCTCTTTCCTTTTCTGTCCTCATCACCGAGTCTCGAGGAAACGCCTTGCTCTTCTTGTCCTTCTTGTCCCCTCTCTCGGCCATCCAAGGGGTCGGAACACTGGCTAAACAGCGGTTCTTCTATTTAGCTCCGGGTTCCGGGGCCCCACGACGTGGGATTTCGGTGGAGGTGTCGTTGTGTGATTCGTCCCACGCTGCCCCATTCCGGATGCGAAAGCAAGCTACCCCTCGCCTGTCGAGTATCAAAACTTCAAGTTTAGCTTCGTTTGGCCCTGAAATTCATCCAGGGATGGACCGTACCTCCTCCCTTTGAAAGCGCTAATCCCTTGCATTGAAAGATCTGCCGGAAAATTGCCGCCATCAATGCTTGGCTAGACCCCGACCCCGTGTGGAGGGCGACGGGGCGGATCCCTGTTAGTTCTCCCAAGAGGATCTATTCTTGGGGAGTCCTCGGGGTTGAGACTTTTGTTTCTTATGTCGGGGAGAAGGTGAAGCTTTGTTGATATGAGAGAAGAGGGCCACCAACGTTGAAAAGTCTGTCGATATGGAGTTGGAGTCTGAGTTAACGGCGAGCTCTCGCTGTTTGGAATTCTTTCAACGTATCAGCTTCCGAAACACCATACTCCATTTTTGCCTTCTCGGCGAACAACGTCTATCGGATAGACGATGGCTTAAAAGTAGCCAGATCCATCCATTGATGTCTGCTCCCTTGCGTCCCTCTCGAAGAAGGGTTCAAGTACCGTGTGTATTGGAGGGGCTAGAATTACCGCTTTGGGATATTCACCTTCCCCACCAATCTCGCGTGACTTTCCACTTGGCATGGAATGGAGGCATGAACTTATTTGGTTTATATCAATTACATGTTAATCAAAATGCTCTATATAGTGAGGAGAAGTGTTGGACTGCCCTCTGCACCAAAGTCGTGTTGACTACACCGTGGATCGACCCCAGATTGTGACCCGAGCGTTGACTTGGACAGCTTTTGGCCAATTCTATAAGTTCCCTCTGTCTAACCAACAAGCGTGTTCCTCCGACTCCTGTCTGGCCTTAGATCCTTTCTGCCTAGAATTGCCTCCAAAGCCTGTGTCAGGCCCTTCGCGTCGTATCTGCCCCCTTACCAGAACCCCCGAGGCTAGATTCCGACTAGGTCCGTATAGCCTAGTGGTTTCGATACTAAGGTTTTCGAACCGCTTCTTGTCGACAACGGGCGAAGAGGGGCCTTCGAGGTAAATCACGTGCGTGACGTAGAGGGAGTACTCGTCCTCGGAAGGAGGTGCTTTGCCACGGGAATATGAGCAAGCGCGCGCGATGGCGGCCACGAAGTCGAGGGCGGTGAAGGGGTCGGAGGAAGGACCAGTCTCGCGGTCGAGCGTGCCGTTGAGGATGAGCACCTTGCTCCGGATGGCGGGGTTGGTGGCGATGACGTCACCGACACCCTTGAGAACCAAGTTGGGGATGAGGGAGGTGAAGAGGGAGCCGATGCTGTAGACCACGCTGTCGCTCTGCTCCAGAGCCTGGACCACGCGGGGGTTGGCGGCGATACGGATCTCCTGGCCGTACGGGTTAATGTACCACACGCGCCCGATGCGGGCAGGGAGCTCCTCCTCCTGGTCCTTGGAGAAGCTGATGGCGGGTTTCCGGAGGGCCGGCAGCGTCCCCGGCAAGTTGGCGTCCTCGACCTTGTCGTGCTCCTCCGTGTCGCTCTGGCTCCGCAGCCAGGCCGGGTAGAGCGCGGCATTGGGGCTGGGGACGGCGGCCGTGGGGACGCTAGGGTGGGAAATGTCGTTTTGGCCCGTGATGACGTCCCCGTTGGCCAGCATGGCGGCGATGTGGTGGGCGAAATTGCTGTTGAGGGCCGGCAGGACCGTCACCTTGTCCGGCATGTTGCAGACGGAGCTGAAGAGGTGGATGGCGGCCTCGAAGCTGCCGGTGAAGAGCCGGGCCCCGTCAAAAAGAGGTTGCCGACGCTCGCGGCCGAGTAGTCGAAGCGGCTGCTCGGCCGCATGCGCTTGACGGCTTCTTGGTTGAAGCTGTTGAGAAAGGAGCGGATGAGCTCGCGCCGGGGGACGATATACCCTCCCACGACGGGTGCACGCCCTCTACGATGTCGGCCCACTCGGCCCGCGAGGCCTCGACCGACTTGGGCAGGCGGTGGTTGAAGAATTGGCGAATCGCTACCGTTTCATCGGACCCGTTCTCGGGGATGAGCCGGACGAGACGTGACCGCACGTCTCCGATGCCTGAGCGCCGCAGTCCCCCACCTCGTCAGCAACGACTCCTTTTGTGTGCTTTCTGCTCTAAGCTTTTGAATAAGCATGCATGCATGCAGAAAAACATACCTGGACCGCCAAATACACGAATCACCTCGCTCGTACTTCCACCATTATCGGAAATGGGAATCACATAGTTGAGCGTACACCGCTTTGCCTCGCGCACGTGCTCAAACACGTCGACGAGCGAGTTTGCCGCAGTGCCCCCGAGAAGACGACAATGTCGCCCCCAAACGGAAACGACTTGGAAAGACCTGGACTCTTGGTCGCATCTCCCAAACCTGGAGGCGGGGTTTGCGGCTGTGGTGGATCGCGAGACATGGTAGGCACGAGGGTTCCTTCTATCTTGTTCACTTCCAACAACTGGCTATGTCTTGGACTGCCCGAGGTCAACCGAGCCTCCTGTAGCAAGTCCTCAAGCCGGCCTTTTGTAGATGCCCCGGAGCGATGCGAGGAGATGGATTCCTAGTCGTCGAAACGTGGCCTGAAGGGGGTGCGTTGACGTGATGGGTCATCCCCTCCGCTCCTTGTTTCCAGGGGAAGGTATCCCCAAAGCAAGGTACCCGCACACACTCGGGTGAAATGTACGTAGTAGTAGGAATCAGGCAGCTCCGAAAATTCAAGAGGGAATCACGCCTCCCTTGGAAATATTCGGAAAAGGCCACAAAGCCTACGAAGCACAGCCTCAATTAGTGGTTTTTGCACACGTACACGTCAATGGTTAGATTGGAGTGTGACCCCTTTTTTGGGTTATGACACCTGATTACCCTAGGATTTCGTGTCCGGCAGCCGTGCCGAAGTGCCTTTACGATAAGAGGCAATAGCCCCTTTTCTTGTTTATATTCTTTCGCCTTTTTCGGCGTTTGTTTTCTTTCTTCCACCGGGCGCCTTGTAGCACTGCCGTTTGCGGAGGAGAGCGGCGTTGCAATTGGGAGGGCGGAGTTGGATATGGGAAGACGTCAATGGTTGTTTCAAGGTTCCGTGTAATGGATTCAATTGATCAATTGGGAAGCAATTCGGCTCCGGTCAATCTGAGCAATAGCGCACGCACAAGCCAATGGACTGATAGAGCCAAACTGTCGGGATTTATCCTACTGCCTGTCTTGTCTTGGAGCCCAGCTGAGCCCAGCTGCAACGTCGAGAGGGTTTGTGGATTGCCCAGTCAGTCCACTCGCACCTTCAGTTCTGACGTCAACTTGGATCCCCAAATCGGGCGATGCGCACGCCCGAGATATCGTGATGTTAGACGTCAGAGTGGACGAGTTTAAAACCTTGAAAAATTTCCACTCCACCTCCGGGAGTACCGGAACTCTTCGACCTGGAGATTCGGGAAAACAGAAACAAAAATGAAAACTAGCGGGAAGACATCGCGGAGAGTAAGTATGTTGCGTGAAGGTGAGGTAGGTCAAGCCTGGGCGCATTCTTCCCCCGCACTTAGCATGGCCTGTCACTGGCTGCGCCAGCTCTCGCGGAATTGTTGTGAACAAGAGGTTCCACAAATCTTGATCTTATCGAGCCCTTTGCCCTTTTCTCCTGATAAGATCGGGGGAGGGGGCGAGCGAAGGGCTTCTTTCAAGTCGTCATGGCTCACGCGCCAGCGAGATTTCTTTGCGCTGTCCAAAAATATATAGCATTTGCCCCCTCGATCAACATCCGTCTATCTTTAGTCGGTTTTTTTCTTTTTGCACGCCGCTTATTCCCCTTTTGAAACCTGTACTATTATTGATAATATCAACATAGAACCATTTTGTAACATTTACCGTCCCCAAGGCGAGAAGAAGGCGGCCTCCAGCGGGAATGCTAGCCTTTTCGATATGTCTCTTACATCGTTACCCGCCGAGATCGTCAAGAAAATAGCCGGCGAATGCTTGCTTGATGATATAACCTCTCTGGCACAATCGTGCCATCGACTGCGCGAAATTTGTCGCCAGACAGATATCTACATCCGTTCCTTTGCCAATCATGTAAAGAACCCCTCGTTTGATGTCCCCTCTGGTGTTTAAGAACAAAAAAAACCCCCAAAAAAAACGCTCCTTGCCGATGAAGTCCTGAAGGAAAGCTGACATGTGTATGTGCTTTTTTAACCCCCATCTATAGGTCGGACTACGAGGAGAAGGAGATCTGCATAAGCTCCGAGCTGCCATTTCGGAGCGAGGCCCGGACCTAGGCCACACCACGTGGCGTTGCTTCGCGGCGGCGGCCTCTTACTTGCCCCAGTTGAAGACCAAGCTGCTAGACACCATGGTGCCGTATGCGCTTGCTTTGAGCTCCGACGTCCCGCAAAACCTCGACTCGCGCCAGTTGGATAAGATCCAAGGCACCGTGGGCCTGTACAGCACCCTCGCCGTGATCGGCTGTACGATTGTCCCTCCTATGTTGATCCGGTCACACTTTCTTTTGCTTTTCTTCTTTTCTTTTCTACAGGTATTCTGACAGTAATGGCATCACACAGACAACTCGGCAATCGACGCCGCGTTTACCGAATCCATGGCCATCCTCGCCACCGAGGCCAATATCCTCCAATATCCCTACCCGCCGCACAACGCGCCCCTCGCGCACCTCTTTTCCACGCAAGTAGGCTTCTGCTTCGCCGCCGGCGCCCTGCTCCACGGCGTGCGCGCGAACCTCGACGAGCTGGCGTCCTGCGCCCTCAGCTGCCTCGACGACAACTCGGGCTTCGTGCCGACGGAGCACCGCACCTGGCAGGCCTATCAAGCAGCGGCCCTAACCTCCATCGGCGTCTTCGTGTGGATCGTGGACCGCGAAGACGACGGGTCCCGCCTCGCGACGCCCTCGCCGCGCAACATCCCCTTTCTCGACCGCGCTGTTGCTGCTGCCGCGCCGACTCCGCAGCGCCCCGCCGCTATCTACCCCTCCCGCGTGAGATGACGGGCGAGATCCCGCGGCTTACGCGGGACGGCGTCAACCTCGCGTTTTCCTCGCGCCATCGTGGAAGTTGTGGTACGAAGACTGCGTCCGGCGGTTCGTGCGGGACGTCACGGAGGGGCCTGGGAGGGCATCACGATGAATAGCACGCGCGCTAGCTACGTTCTGGGGCTCCGGCTCACGGACGTCGTCTTCAGCTCCCGGGCGACGACGGGGACGGCCACATCCGGCTAGAAGGTAGGGGCGCGAGCGACGCCGAGGGCCCCGTTGTGCTGGTGGGCGATATGGACAAGAGGACGGGCCAGTTCCGGCTCGTGCGGCAGCCGAGAGAGGCGTCGCCCGCCACGCTGCACTGGCTTCGCGGGGTGATGACGCCGCTCGGAATGGCCGGATACTGGGGGAGAAGGAGGAGGATGCGTTGAACGGGCTGGTGTGGTTATACAGGCGGGACTGGGTGCCGACTGAGAAGATTCAGCGGTGGGACTGAGCTGAAATCAGGGCGATGACATGGGGGAGGGCGAGGCAAGGGGTCTACACAGCTTACGTTTGCAACAGGGTTAGTAATGAGGCTGGACTTAAGCCAAGGGCGCCCGTTCAACTCATCGTGAGAAGTAAAAACCCCCAACAATAAAACGGCAAAAGAAATTTCCGGTCCGTTTTCGAGATGAGGGCGACGAGGGGGGCTCGGTGGATGCCGCCACCCCCAGAGTTCCGCACCTTGTGCTTTGCACTTTAAAGGACGTCTAAAGGGGTTTCCAGAGGACAGCCGAGGCCCCCTCGTCCTAGATGGTAGGTGCTCTCGTTATCAAGAACACAACACAGCAGGTTCTAGGGCCTTAACCACGCAACCCAGCTTTCGACGTTTTCTTTCTTCCCTTCACCCCACCGCCCCGTGCGCGTGTTCCCTGGCTTCGCTAGCTTGGGGCTTACCGGTTGCACCGGGCCCTGTCATCTGATTTCAGACAAGTCGCTAAATAGATCCGAAAAAACTCCTAAGCGTTGGCATACGTAACAGTAGCGTTCGTTTCGTCGTTTGTGGCTTCCAAAGTGATACCGGAGATTGTTCGTCCCATCGCCCGTGCTATCGAACCCTCGGACCATCCATACCCCCACCTCCTCCCAGCTTCTCTTTGCTCAAGTGCTTGCTGCAACCCCTCAGCTTGCTTGGTCCATCGTCAGCGTCATCGCAGCACAGGCAAGCACACAGACGAGACGGATTCATGGACTCGGAGGAACTGAGGGAGGGAGGGGGTGGCTATGAGCTAACACCTCGTCCCCAGCCTTCCCCTCCTCTCTGCGCGCGCGTTGTCCGGCGCCCGTTCCCCCTCCTCCTCTTTTGCTCCACCACCACCGAAACTTCCAAGGCTGTTGGCTTCCCGATGGAGTGATAGGATGTGTGAGCCAACCTCTCTTTCATCCCAATGTGATACGCGCCGAGGGTGTCCATGCGCTCTTCTCGATGGCTTTATCTTTTCTTTTTTCCTGTTCTGTGACAGGCTTCTTTCGTCCCGTCTTTCTTTTTTGTTTGTTTCCAGCTGCGTGCCTCGGCGCTCAGGTTCGGATTCTTTGTGGCCGTCGCTTTGACGTTGGCCCCCGACCCCTTCTCTTTCTCCGCTTTGGGCAATAGTGTGACCTTCGAGGTGAGCTGTCGAGGGGTCCGAGAGCCTATTCGGAAAAATAGCAAGAAGAAGAAAAAGAATGCGAGGTTTGCTTTGAAATCCGACTCCCGGCCCTATCACCTAGGTTTGGGAACGGAAAGAAAACCGCCAAAAAGAAATTCTGAGATAAAACTACCGAACACTGGGCGCGTCTGCCCTCGACTCCCTGTGTCATTCGGCGCAGCGGGGATGGTGGATGATGGTTGATCGATTCCGTGGATTGACGGATCCATCAATTGATCTGGTTGGAAGCGGGACCTCAACCCTAAATGCCAGCTCTTCAAGAGCCGTGATGCATGAATCGCTCTGCTCCTCCACCCGCGAGCTGGGTCGCTACCGAACTCGCTTCAGTGCGGGATTCAAGCGATTTCCCCAAATCCTGGGTGCAAGTCCCTCAATCACCTGCTCGTGACTGCCTCACTGCCGAGCTGAGCACCACTCGTGGCACATCCCTATATGTGCATCCCCTTTGTAATCTCTCGCGAACCTCATATTACTCCCCGCCCTGATCGACGTTTAGGAAAATCCGATGCCCCCTCCCCTGCGGCCGAGGCGAGGCATGAAAGAAAGAGAGACAGTCGACGGTTGCCGGCGAAGTGGCGGTATGTGCACAGCCCTGGGGGAAAATGACCCTCCCCTGAGGGGACGTGCTTTGGCTTGGCGACTCTAAACCGTCCATCGATGGATCATTGATCGTTCGTTGGGGGCGGATGAATCTTTTTCTTCTTCTTTCTTTGGGTCGTCGTGGGAGATCCAGGGGAAATCCCAAGACGCCATGATCGACCTCGCAATGGCATTGATGCCCTAGTCGCCAAACACACTCTGTCCCAGAGGGGCTCGTATCGTTGGAAATGGCACGCGGCATTGCGCGAAGGGATCGTGCCTTTCCGCTTTAGCTAGAATCGTGGGTGAATGAATGGATGCATGGCTTGGAACACCAAGCACGTATATAGAATGCCAGCCTTGGCTTGCTATGGTCGTCTGGCTAGATAAATACATCCAACGCTCATCAGTTGTGCCTTTTTTTCTCTTGTTGTCAGTTCGGTTCTTTTTTCCAGTCACTCATTCATCTCAATCCACTCGTTTTTTGCTAGCTGCTTGCCTGGTGCCCACGCTCGCTTTCACCAATCTTTAATCATGAAGTCTCTCCTATTCTGGCTCCTCCCGGCACTGGCGCTCTCCTCGCCCCTCCCGGACGCCGCATCCAACGGCGCCGCCTCACCCTCCCCACCATAAGAAACATCACCACCTCCGGCTCCGGCTGCCCCCAACACCGTCGCAACCATCCAGTCCACCGACCTCGGCACCCTCACCCTCGGCTTCGACGCCTACCAGACCTTCATCGGCCCAGGCGTCGACCCGGCCGCCGCGCGCCACGACTGCCTCATCCGCGTCGAGCTCGACAACGCGGCGCCGTCTCGAGGTCGGGGTCGGGGCGGCCGCGGCCGTGGCCGTCGGGGCGATGACGTCGTCGCCGAAGTCACCGTCCACGGCTTCGCCCAATTCGAGGCCGGGCTCGGCGGCGTCTTCACGACCCAGTACCAATTTCCGCGCGGCCGCGGCGCCGGCGCCGGCGGCAGGTCGATCCGGGGCATCTCGACCCGCAACGACGTCCCCGCCAACAGCGACCTCGCGGCCGGTCTAGTCTACACCAAGACGGACACCGTGCCCCTCGCGCAGGGCGCCGCCGGGCGTTGCGGCCGGAGACAGACTCTCCTGATCCGCACGTCTGTCCGGGTCTTCGCCTCCGCCGCCGCCGCCGGCGGTGCCGGTAGCGGCACGCTGACCGTGGATGATTTGACCATTTCTCTCAAGAGGCGAGGGTCGAGGGTGGGGTCGCAAGCACTAGCCGCTGTCGAGCAAGAGACGGAGGTCGCAGCTGATGAGGTCGTTCTGGAGCTCGGCGCCACAGGCGCGCTAGAATGAGATATTATTTGTTCTTCACGCCCTACGTTAGCTCTTGGGAGCAGAAACCGGCGCCCTCAGAGGGCCGCCATACAAACGGTAGGGCTTTCATCCCTTTCCCCCTTTCTTCTTTTTTTCTCGACACGGGGATTGTCCCACACTTGTGCGCTCTTTTGTCCTCCGCCCAATGCACTAACACGACACAACTAGGCCCAATACCCGTCATGTTCACCATGTACCGGGTAACCCCGATGGCCCGCTTCGGCTTTTGCTGAGCAGTGTATACATTGTACCATTACGGATGAGGAAGGTGTGTAAGAGATCGGCCAGGCACAGGTCTGCGGCAACTCCATTAGTTCAGGGGAGTCGTCAGTATCGAATCTTGGGGTTGACGGCGGCAAAAACTGGCATCATCGCGCTTGTCGATCTCATGCTATCGTGTATTCATGGGAATTTTTTGTTCTCTTTTTCGGTTCTCTCCTCTTTGAGACACGTGGTGTTGGGGACGGGGAATTCTAGGGCTGTTTAGCTGGAGTATTGGCGCTATCGACATTGGGGATTTGTTTGGTCTAGCTCAACATCGTTTGCATTGGTTGGACAACGGCGCAGGTGGGAGGCTCTAACCTTTTGCCCCTTTTCTTTTTGTTTGTTCAATATCCTTCTTTTGGATTAATTTTTCACCAAGTTAAGTGAAAGAGATAGTGTATGAGAACCAAGGAAAATTTTATTTGCGTGAGCGGTATCATGAGGGTTCGAGCTTCTCCCTCGATAAAGTAAGAAAAAGACCTATGTCAAACAAGTCATGAGCGGTACCTGAACGCCCATGCACACACATCCGTGGGTTCCCTTCCCAGGTTGACTAGTTAAAAAGAGTGTAATGAAAATCAACAAAGAAAAAAATGTGTCGCCAAGTCATGCGAGCACTCGGTATCGTGAACCCTCCACCCCTCCCCGCCCATCCTTGCGCCGGACCCGAAATGCAAACCAATTTGAAATCTCCCCCACATTCTTGACAGGTACCTCATATCGTTTGCTTCCAGATGGGCAGGAACAGGAAAACGAGGGTGAATATCGTGGCGAATACTGCACCACCAATCATGCTCTGGATAACAATCTTGTGCTGTAGCTGCCTTAGACTCGCGTCCTTGACTCGGAACTTGCGGTCAAAGATCATCAAGCGGGAGAGCGTCTTCACGATGGCGGACTTTTGCGAAACCATGGAAGCGGAGTCGTCGAAGCGTTCCCAAGGCAGGGGCTGGCGGCGGGTAAAGAGTAGGAGGAAGAAGCAACTTCCACGGAGACCCGACAGGATCAGGGTTATACCAAGCCACCACATGGGCCACGCGCCAAAGGCGTCCCACTGGCTGTGGGTCCCGATGTGAGGCGCGAGAGAGCGGGTGAGCATGTACAAGAAGCCGGCAATGGTGAGGACGATGCCTAGGCCAGTGGCGACGCACACCGTCTCGTAGGTTCCGTTCGAGACTCCGAGGCGGATGAAGTTGCGATGAGAGCAGTTCCTCAGGAGGAGGTAGACGTGATCGGCAATGGGGCGGAGGTGCTCTGGGTCGGTGGAGAGCTGGAGCTTGTTCAACGCCTGCTCCTCATCATGGGAGGGATATTCAGTTCCTTCTCGGCGCCGGGGGCCAGGAAGAGGCCAATGATAGCGGCAACTTCGCCCCGGTAATCCGGGTCAGCTTCGGTGGCGCTCGAGCTGCTGGAATCGGCGCCATTTTGTCCAGTGACATTGGCGGCGAAGGCCTTGACACGTTCGCCAAAGGTAGGTTTGCACCCGCTGGTTGTGCACATGGCAGCACTACCAATCAGGAGCTCAATCTGGCCGAGGGTTTCTTGGGCTGCACGAAGGCTGTCAGCGACATTGGCTCTTGACTATACACGCTAGATGGCACGGAACATACCAAGTTCGGGGTCAAAGACGGGCTCGGAACCCTCATGGGTCAGCTCAATTTCCGTGACGCGGGTCGACAAGAGAGCCTGAGCATCCTTTTCCTTGATGCTCATCGACTTCTTCGCCTTCTGGCATTTCTTTTCGTAGTTCTTGAACCTACAGACCGGGGACGCCAGGTTAGTCGAGGCATTCAAGACAAACTTTTGGTGAGCTATGTCACAAGGCAACTCACCAGATATAGAACTCAAGGTTCTCGGGAGAGTATTCGATATGCTTCAAGTACATGTAAAAGTCGTAAAGGGACATTGGGCTGCAAGTGGTGTTCTCTAGCACCTTTTCCAGGCTCAGTCGGCTAGGGATGGCCGTCTTGCCACGGCCATCGGGGCTAAGAGGTCGCCTGCCCGTGCCGACAGCGGTCGAGTACTCCTTGATATCCCGATAATCGGGCTTCTTGTACCACACGAGCCAAGAGGGAAGAGGCATCGTGACGGTTGGGTGGGTTGCACGGTGTTACCTGGGTACGCGAAGAGGGCCACAGCCGGCGTGAGTGTTCGACAGAGAGAGATAGAGGGCGTGAGATAGAGAGGATGCCAGAGAGGGGCAAAGTTAAACCGACGCCTTTGTTCCTCGGTCGATGTCGTCGAAGACGGGGACTAAGGAGGAGCAGGATGTGGTGGCGGTACTAGGAACGGGAATATATTGGAAGCAAAAACCAAGAACAGGGAGCCAGGCCGTGAGATGGAAGATGGGAAACGGCCACATTTAACTATATTTGCCCATCGTCCCTTCGCTCGACAGACTCAGACTGGTCAAGCCGAGCGCCACTCACTTGGCCCATACCCCACCCTCTCGACGAACCAGGGTTGTCAATGATAGACAAAGGTCAGAGAGGGATGAAGAGGGAGCTACACTAGAGAGGACGTGTAATGTGTCGTGGCGAGGGAGGGGGCGTGCAACTTACACCTCATGGATGGCAGAACGCTATGAACCTCGAATTAGTGGGAGGAGGGGAGGGGTGGAACTCCACCCTATGAACGGCGGGCGGGCAATGCAGGTCGGTAACTCGCGAATAGGGCAACTTTTTTTCTTTTCTTGTTCATTCGTTTTTCCCTATCCTATGTTTGGCTCTTTGACAAATACGGAATACATGAGCACCAACACGCGCGGCATCCGTCCCAGTTTGATATTTTGGGACCGGAGACTTGAGAGCGTGGGGATGGGGTGCAGGTTTCTGCGAGGCCGGTGACTCGAAATACAATACCGGATTGGTTCGGCGGTGGTGGCCTTGGCCCAGTCGTGAGCCCAGTTTGCTTTTCGTCAAGCAGACCATGGAAAATCCCGTCGATCCCTTGGCAGGAACCGACAGCGCAATCCGCCGTCACTCTCAGCGGCCAATGGCGGCGAGAGACGGAAAAATGGTGTCCGCTCGGAGTTCTCTGGCCCATGGGGATCAAAATGAGTTCAGCTAGGCACGCGGCCAGGACAAAAACGCCAACATGTTGTATCGGGCAGGCGGCTGAGAGAGAGATAGATGTTGCCAGTAAATTGGCCCTCATATTAATAAAACAGAAACAGAAAACGGGGATATTGTTCCATCAGCCGAGCCAGGATGATATGGTCTATTATCGGCAGACGCGCAAGGATTGAAGGGAACATTGAAAGTTTCCAGATTCTTTTTCATGCCACCACCCCGTTTATCCCACTTGGCCTCGCCGGTGCCTCTACGTGCGCTTTGCTTTACTCGAGCTAAGACGGATGAGAACGGAAGGCTTCTGGTGTGCCAAGGGCCGCAAAGGGGACTGATGTTCGCGACGGCGTTGCGCGACGGTGCTGGTTAGATTGGCCGAAAGGGCGTTAAGTGAGGAACCTCTCCAGCCTGCTTTTGCGCAGGGGCCGTCTGGGAAGAATTGGTTGACGAAGGCTGGTGTGTGTAAGCCGCCCTCGCAAATGCGCCTTTGGAGGTGTGTGTCGACCCTGGCGATAATACATTGAGCCCGGAGCGGCCTGGCCACGCGTGGCGTGCGGCTCGCAGGGGTCGTAGCGCAAAAGCTGCAAAGGTATTAGTGGACGGAGGAGGCTCGTGTCGAAATACTACCGAACAGGGGGAGCGACAAGAGCGACCCTAGCGCGAGCTTAGTAGGGCCCGCAGGCCCAAAAGGATACCAGGAACGACGAGAAAGGGTGGAGGGGAGAAGCGGTCTGCCTGAATGATTGCAGAATAGCCAGAAGGGTCCCAAGCAGGAAGGGTCCGGGCATCATCACATGGCTGGCGATGCCGCTGGCCCGTGGTCCGAGACCTCAATACCGCGCCTGTGCTCAAAACTGTACGAGTGCGACTCGCAGCGAAGTGGACGGAAGAGGGTATATGACTTGATGATCGTCCCTTCCCATTCTGAGAGACCCGCCACCTCTCCGCACCTTCCAGCAAGCAATGAGCAACGTGGGCTGGCATGAGCCGGATCGGCAGGACCAGGGAGCAGAAGGACAACTTGGGCACGGGCGGAGGGGAGCACTTGAGGTGAGGCAAGTGCAAGTAGCACTGGGAAGTAGGCAAGTAGGCAAGGAGGGTCGCAACATAGGTAGGAAAGGGCGTCAGCGGGTTGCACTTGCAGCGTCGCTCGCTGGCGATCCCTACCCATTTGGCCCACAAAGAGCAATGCTTAAATCGCGTCCACCTTGCAACTGCCCTACAGGGTAAAGGCCGATGGGCCATGCCCATGCATGATCACTGATCAAGGCAGGAAAGAGCAAGATCTGGGACTGGCCATCTGAGATTCAAACACGTCGTCTCAGTTAGTGGCCTTGGAAGGCAAGCTTGGAAAGCCATTGATCGACCAGTTCATCTTGCAAGTCCCCGAAAAGCGAAGAGGGGCGAAAGAGGAGCAGGAGATATTTCAGTCCAGACATGGACTGCTTGTAAATATGATGTGACCCATCCGCCCGTTCCTGCAACCGATGTGGGCAAGGCAAGGCAAGACCAAGTGGAGACGTCAAATCGCAATCTACAAGTATCTCAATATCGTGACGAACCTGCCTGAGCACGAGCCTCCTGCGCAAACCCCTCCCTCGGATTTTTATTCAATGGTGATCGCGGGGTTCAACGACCATCAGTTTTTAGCGTACCAAGAATTCATCTCTGCGAACGACTGGCTGGTGGCAAATGGTCACAAAGATTCACGTCAGCCATCTCTTTTTTTCTTTCTTTTTTCAAATCCGATTCCAGTGCGGCCAGATTGATATCCACAGATTCGTCGCGTTTGCTCTGCTCGCTTTCATCCATTCCATTCAATTGTTGTCCCCTCTGACCTGCTCCCCCTTCTTTCTTGCCCCCATCTCTCGTGCTTTTCCTTGCCCCCCTCCTCTTCCCTCACAGACTCGCATTCTTTCCTCTCTTCCCTTCTTCTTTCTTTTTCCCAGGGCCGGCGTCAAACGCGGCAGGATGGGGCAGCAAGAAGCACGATCAATCAATTGTCTGCTTTAACATGAGACCTAGCTCACGGGGAGGAACGGCATTTGGAGGCGACACCCAGGACCTTGGTGACGGTGGTTCAACCGACGAGTGGAGTCAATCTGGGTTGATTGGGAATGATAGCTGAGGCCAATGTCAATTTACCCATTGATTGAAGCTCCCATGTATCGACGATCCCCTGACCCAGCTGAACCATGGTGGAGGCATTGTGGAGGCGTTTGTCTCAGCCGACTAAAAAAGCACCAGAGACCCTAATGATGGGCCAATCTCACCATTGATCACATCGGACCATGGCCTCTAGCTCCTCCTTTTTTCCTCTGACAATAGATACCCTTTTGACGGGCGAGCCTGTAAGTCGGCTTGAACCTGGTGCCTGGGTTGTCTTCGGAAATTTTTGCAAGACCGGCCCCAATTTACAAGTCAAGGTTCCCGGACTAAATTACTTCTCTGACCCATGTAAACAATTGTCATCGAGCATATTCACACCAGCCTCGGTCCACAGTAGCCGGTGACGATAATTGATGGTGCAATCCATGTTGGGCATTGAGGTACAAGTGTTATTGGAAAACCACGAATAATTGCGCACATGGTAAAGGCCCGAGAAATGCGCCTACGAATATTTGAAAAGAATAAAAAGAAGACAAGAGGGAAAGAGGGAAAGAGTTGAAATTTCCGACGCAGTCACGTCTTCCGTCGAGGAAGGCGCAACAAGTCACTAGCCCACCCTCAAAGCTCAGAGAGACGAGTCGAGCCCTTAGATGGTGACTGAGAGAGTTTGTGTCGGTCCCGCCGACGAATGCCAAAAAGGAGGAGGAACATTTACAAAAGGAAGAAAAGGGGGAACAGAAAAGGTAGGAAGGCAGAAGGACGAAGGGAAACGAGGGAGAAAAAGAAGAAAAAAACTCGGATGTGCCTACTGAGAGAAGGCGCATTGGGAATTGAGCCCAATGCGGGGTCGAACCCGCAGCCTTGAGATTAAGAGTCTCACGCTCTACCGATTGAGCTAACCGGGCAGGTTATGTTTGTTGTTGATGGGAATTGCACTAACCTCAACTTTCTGACTTACTCAGATTTTGGGAACCGATCTCTAACAACGTACCACACAATTATAGGACTGATTCTCAATCCGCCAGACGGTAATATCAATAATATCAATTCGCATATCACTTCGCCTCTTTTCAGCTGAACATTTCTCATGGCTCGGACGAGCCGTTTTTGGGCCGCAAATTCTTCAGCAGAGGCGAAACCAGTCTCTTATGATATCTCAGCTGCGGCTCTGACGAAGATGAGCATAAAGAAGGAAAATAAAAAAGCCTCAGCTCAAGGCTTGGCACAAGGTACCACAGTATCACAGGGATGCAGCAGATATAACTCGCATAACACGCATAACACGCATAGTGCGACCAGGGCCCTCCACGCCACAGACAGCTGGGACCTCTACTATCTGTTGGATGTGACGCGGAGCGGCTGACCACATAGTGTATGTGACGAAAGTCGCACAATGAGTAGGTTGTCACTTCACCAGAGTATCTTGGCCGTTTTCGTCACTCGTTCTTCTGCCCTCAGCCGCTTGACTGCTCCTATATCTGGTCTCGGTCAGGCAGTGCGACCCAAGGAGCGGCAGGGTGCCGTCATTTGAGCGGCGCTCGTTGCAGGTTCGAGTTCCGGGGTCTTGGGAGTCTCTCCCGGCGAAAAAAGGAGATCCCGAAGCGGCGCCGGGCCGCGACTCTCATTGGCTTGCAGGTTTCCGGCTCCGGCAGTTGAAAAAGGGGCCTGCCTTGCTGCCTTGCCGCCATGTTATCTACGGATAATCACAACATAGTCAAGGAGGAAGCAAGTGGATGCGATAAATAGAGGAAGTGTGATGCTGAGCGAAGAGGGGCCACTGCATGCCATGTCTTGTCTCAGGACCAAGCCAAGTCTATTTCAGTGACTAGGGGCAGACCGCTGGTCATGACGAAAATAGGGGTCAGCGAACCTTTTCCGAGAATTCTGGCGGATAAATCGCATCCCCTTACGATAGTCATCACCCTCTAGATGCCTCTGCTGTGACGCGATCCGATTAGAGGTTGGTTTTCTGAAATGCCTCAAAGCTTGCAGACTATCAAACTGGTAAAATCGCGCGGGCTATGTAAGGGAGCATGTTTTCATTGTCACGCGGGGTTGAGGACATGTCCGATTTTCTGCCAGTCGATGAAGGTAACCATGGACACACGTGAAGGTGAACAAAGTACAGTACAGCGCGGACCCTACCTTTGCCTTATAAGCATTGGCCTCCATTGGCCTCGAATGAAAAAAGTTTTGTACGAAGCTCAGGGAGCCGGCCTACGCCCCCACCCGCGGATATCTCGCCGAGTCCTCCCAGAGGCGCTCGACCCGAAGAGCGGGCGGCGCCTGTTGGCAAGGGCGAGAACGCGTACAATCCAAGCGGGGAATACAGACTATTAAAAATGTCAACCACATACGAGTGCTGCAAAGGACAGGTGGATACCAACAATGCGCTTAGTGTGTTCAGAAAAATGAGACATGAAGCGACCTGCACCCTGCTGAGGTCGTTGATGATAAGGAAAGAAAAGAAGCAAGGCATCTAGGCGTCGAGGAGGGGCCACGGCCTCGCTCCTATCGTGGGTCTTCTGAACTCGCTGTTGAACCGGCATGCGAAATGTGTGGCCAGGCCCGTACACTCAGACAGAACGAGCAAAACTCTCGTGGGTGCGAGTGATCCCAGGGTCCCATGGGACCGGTTGCGCCTTCCTCACCTGTTCCTGGCCGAATGATACTTCCTGCATTGCATGCGGCAGGGAGAGAACATCAACCGCTCCTTCACTGGCCCCTACATCCGCTTGACCTAATCACCCGAGGGAGACATGGGGGCCCGACTGAGATCCCGCCTGGACCCGGAAAGCGCCGCGAAATAGTGAATCAACACACATGATAGAGCCAAGACTTCGTGCCGCGTGCCCGCTTAAATCGTGAGCCCTGGTTCTCCATGCACCAACGCCCTACCTCCCTCGCCAGGCCAGTCAGTCTCAAGTTATCCTAGATAGAATGAGCTACGCGGTGGGGTACAAAGCCCCAGCATCATTCCTCTCTTTCGTTTGATCGGGTGATTTGCGGCCCCGTCAGCGATTCACCTCTTCCACTCCCTCCCCCAAGTTAGCAGAGCGCGAGCCAAACCGATGGATCTTTCGAGTATTATTCTCTTTACGTGGCGAGCCCATTGGGGTGGTTATCTACTACTTCTCGCCGTGCTACCTATGGCATCTATCCTTACCTATGGCTTGACCTCTACAAGAGCACGACGTGTTCAGGTGGCCTCGAAATCGCTGGCCTCGACGTCTCTGCTCACCCCCACTGCTCCGTTTTGGGTGCCGGGAATCGCACATACTTTCGCTTTTACTCTTTGGCCAGTGTCATTTCTCAATAACCTCTTGTATGTTCAAGACCCAACTTGGAAACCAGATATCGCACATACATAGTTTGATAAGCCTGGCTGGGCTCCCATGTATCCCCGTGGTGGTTGACAATGATGTGATAGGGCCAAGTTTGGACGCGCTCCTGCTCTTCTCCGCGTGGCAGGAATGAACTTATACGTCATCCCTCACGGTGATGGCATTGTCGACATTTTCAAAAACTCTCGCGCTCTGTCCAAGTATTCGGTGGGTATCCTACTGAAACGGCTGTTTGGGATGCAGGAACGCGACTTGGCTATCTGGATTACCGACAAGTCTGGAATATATGCCAATCCTGCTCAAGGCACCAAAACCATGGAGCCGGAGCATCGCATGTGGCACATAATTCACAGAGATTTCAGGCGCACTTTTCGGGAAGAGCCCTGAATGACATGGCAACAAAATTTGCCGAGTTTTTGGCTCAGGGTGTCGCCGAGATGCCAGATATTGACCACGTAAAGTGGACGACGATGCCGGATCTCGACGAATTTTTACGGCGCATCATGCTTCGTGCTGCCGCTCAGGCATTATGTGGCCCGGGCCTTCTGGAAGTTTGTCCCTCCTTTGCCGAGGATTTTTGGGCTTACGACGTTGCCTTTCCAACCATCTTCAGAAGGATCCCCCGTGTTCTCGCCCCGAAGGCGTACGAAGCACGCAGAAAACTGCAGGAAAACATGAAGCGCTGGCATGTTTGGGCGATGGCCAACTTCGATTGGGAGAATCAAGCAGCTATCGAGGAGAGCTGGGAGCCGGTATATGGATCGCGCCTCATGCGAGCCCGTGTCGTGATGTTGCGAGACTCTGGGATGAGTCTTGACGGATGGGCAGCCCTAGACTCAGGTTTCATCTGGACGTAAGTTTGAGGGCTCCGTGATAGGCCAGGTAGAGAAGGGTTTGCCGACTAAAGTATTCTGTATAGGGCCAATGCCAACTCCATACCAGCCGGGATCTGGGCAGTACTCGATATCTTGCGGACCCAAGGCCTGAGAGAACGCATCATGGCGGAGATAGACCCGTGCTTCTGCCCCAACAGCCTCACTCTGGACATTCCCAAACTTTGTTCAAAGCCGTTGTTGAATTCCGTTTACATGGAAGGTTTACGCCTGCGAGCAGCGGCCACGGTGACGCGCCAGGTCACCTCGGACAACTTCCACATCGGCTCATGGAAGATTCCAAAGGGGGAACATGGCCCTATTTCCATGGTTTGCGGGAAGGGACGAGTATTTCTGGAACGAGGGCCGGGATGATGATACACACCCAGTATCTCGATTCTGGGCCGAGAGATTTCTTAGCTACCCGGATGATCCAACTAGCGGGCCTATACGGAAGCGTGATGACCCCGCTATATACCAAAGCAAGATGATGGGCAAGGAAAGCCGCTCGAGAAATGCCGAGGACGACGCGAAGGCCACGCTGATCACAACTGGCATACAGGGCCACTTTTACCCATTCGGAGGGGGCATCAAGATATGCCCGGGAAGGTACTTGGCCAAACAGGAAGTCATGATCATGGTCGCTATCCTACTGAGAGCCTATGAGGTTGAATTCGTTGACCCGATTGCCGCGGAGGGAGCAACAGAGGATTTGACCAGATTTCCCCTAGGAATCTTGCCACCTAAAGGCGAGTTTCCATTCAGGATTCGTCGAAGAAACATTTAGATCTTTGCCCCGCTGGTACAAGCAGGCCCCCTCCCCCAACCTAAAGGACGAATACTAGTCTAACCAAAAGTTATGACTGCTTCATCTGGCGCGCTTGCCGCCAGAGCCGACACACGGAGCAGTACAAGTATCTGACACGATATTACAGAAGATGGTGTAGAGGCTCTCGATGGGGTGAAGCCACAAGAGCAGAGGCGGTCATCGGTGTCAAGACGTTTAATACAGCTCTGGATTGGAATTAATTGGGAGAACGATGCTTGCCTTGCTCATCCACCATCTCGAACAGACGATGTTGGGCAAGGGGCTAACCCGGAATTTAGCCTCAACACAATGGATTCTGGCGGAGGTGACTTGGCATGGAATTGGCCTCACGCCTTCCATTCAACGTGAGAAATAGGGTAGAGCTGGGCTTCTTGAGACTGTGAGCAATAGGGGGAAGATGAAATTACACACACCCAAAAGAAAAAGAAGAAAAAGAAAGAAGAAAAAGAAAAGAAGGGCAGGAGCCTGTGCCATAATACGACCCCACGGCGAGTTTTCGAGTTTCGATTTTCGATTTTCGATTTCTTGAAGAGCGAAGTGAACACAAGCTCATCAGGCTATGCCCCTGACGCGATTAAACTTCTCACTCCATGTGATGGGGTGGCGCAGAGCGGGGACGCTTCTCTGAGACCGAGTCGGCCGCTTTGTGTCTTTCGGTGTTGGAGGAAGAAACAAACGACAAAAAGAAAATTCTCCATAAAAGGGGAGTACATCTTAGCGCGGGCTGAAGCTGAAGCTAGTGAGCCTTGCGCTCCTTGGATTTGGACATGGCTTCTCCATCATCAATCCTGGTTTCACGGCGTTGCCGCTTCTGCCTCGAATGGATATTACATGTTGATACTTTTACTCGTTTTCGGGATTTCTCACGTGCACGATGACATTGTGAAATCATTGCCCTTCGTCGCTTGACTTTTGGCTCGCGAGATTGCCGTCCGCATCTCGGTTCCGAGGTTGGGTTGTGTGAACCCACGCTGGGCCGGGCAGAAGTGAAGGATTCAGACTTGATGGCTCAGCCTCCCAGCCTAGAATTGCCCGATAGGAATTGGGTGAGGAGACGATGTTCAAGGTCGTGGCAGTGCTTGTGTGGCAGTTGGGAATGCCTATTGCTCACCTCACCCCGCTCGCCGACTCACCTTCTGACCTAGTTTTGTACTGTGTACGGAACTCGGTTGCATGCGCTACAGGCTTGGCAGGATCTCGAGCAATCAACCTTCTTCACAGACGGACAAGAAACAGAAACAGGGAAACATTGAAGGGTAGCATCGAGGGAGATGGATATGTTCCCTTGACCTTCCCGAGAAAATAGTAGAGCGGACCTCATTTTACCAATAATTGCAAGGGTCCTTGCCGATCTGCAATTTAACTGGCTGGTGCTGGTCAACACTTTCCTATTCTTGGAATCGTGGCGTTGGGGAGATTGGCCGGGAAGGGCTTGTGGAGCCTGACGCCAGGCGAGAGACGAGCTTCTTTCAGTGAGTGTGCGGCGATTCTGCTGTCGGGAGAGTACGAATTGGTTGGAAACAGATGCCACAGTTGTTTTTGTTTGGAAGCCTCTGTCTCTGTGGCTTAAGGTTGAAGATAAGGCTGGATTGATCTCAGTGTAGGAGGGATCTTCTCGTTCGGTACCATCGCCTCTTTCGCCAGTCTCAGCCTGAGAAGAAAAATGAAGAAAGAAGGAAATAAACCCAAGAAGAATCGCGAGGGGGCCAAGAGGATTGCCGGTCTGGTCCAGCCCCAGCCGACTTCTGACTACTGTCTCTTCCGTCTGTACGAAGTATGGATGGTGCATGTCGTGTACAAAGTCTGCGTGTGAGTGGGGGAGGAAGGGGAGGGGAGTTGTGAGCTAGCGGCGGTCAGCTAATGATATGAAGGAATACGCGGGGCTGGGCCGGGCTCGTTGTCAATCTGTGGGACATTACCGCTTTGAGGGCACCAGCCCGAGGCAATTTTCGACCGAGCTGACATGGACCAGGCCAGGACCCAAACGTTCGATGCATGCTCCCTGGTCGCGCGCCTTTTCCGCGAGATGCATGAGCCCTACCACCAGGACTTGTAGTACATATGATGGGCAACGCCTTCCAGTCGCCCTCTGGGGCTGAGGCCGTTGATCTTCCTCGCTTCTCTCCCTTCGACACCTCGTTCACCCCGATCCCCCGTAGGACGCGTCGCAGAGCTCGAAAAGACGTGCGGAGAACCCTTGGGACAGTCAACCACCACCAACTCACCCGGCAACGTATTTGACAAGATGGTGATGGGATTGAGGACAATTGTTCCCCTCGCCCTTTACTTGGGCGGGGCGGCCGCTTTCGACCCGGACTTCGCCTGGCACGAGGCGAGGCAGACCGACGGCGACTTGGCTAAGATGGCTGGCATCGTGCCTCTTGCGACTGCTGCTCCTGAGCCCGGTCTCCTTCAGAAGAGAGGCACCAACACTTGCGGTTTCATCGACGGAGATGCCAGTACGTTATTTCCCTTGTGTGACCGACTCTCTTCACTGTTATGGAAGCCTTGTTTTTTGTCACCCGTCTCATTTTTATTGAATTAATGTGCGCTTTGTATAAGCATTTTCCCCCTCTTTTGCCTTACAATTTTTGTTTCTTTTCGCGACCCTCGCTGCATCCCTCCTGTCGAGAGTCCGGTTTGGTGGCTAAAGGGCCGAGAGTCGAGGTGGCTGGAATGAGCTAACAATAACGTGTAGGGCAGGGAATCACTTGTCGAGCTGATCTCGGCGCTGAGTGTCTTTACGATTCGACAGCGTCTGCGATTGGATGCTGCGCGACAACCAGCTGCAGCATCTGGACCGCTTGCTTGCCCTTCACCTCCTCCGACGCTACTTCAACCGTCGATTTGGAGAGGACTCGTTATTGGTAAGTGCACATGAGCGCTTCGATGTGTGAGGCGCGCTTGCGACTAACACTGGACTTTTTCCCACCCTCTAGCTCCAACAGCGCCCTGCCCCATTGCGCTGTCTACAAATTCGAGGACCCCGTATGGACCGGTTACACGATCGCGGTTTGCGACTCCGTGTCCTCCACCTACTCCTTCTTCCCCTCGCCTCTCGGCGTCACCACCACGAGTTCGCGCGGACGCACGACTACGACTTCCACTACCAGTGAAACTTCGACGAGTTCGAGAACTTCAACCTCGCCTGGCCCGACCACAACGACGTCTGAGCCTAGCGGTGGGGGTGCACCCGTCGGCGCCATTGTGGGAGGTGTCATCGGTGGCCTTGGTAAGTTGAAAAACCGCGGGCCCATACCCGCCTCCAGAATATGACCGGAGTCACCTGCTAATGTATTTTATAGCTGTCTTGGCCCTGTTCGCCGTTGGTCTCTTTTTCATTCTCCGACGACTCAAGCAGAAGGGCAACAACAACGTCCCGCCTACTGGGCCTCCCATGATGGCCGCCGCCATCCCGCCGCCCGGCCCTCAGGCGCCTCCTCATCAACCCTACACGCCTGACCCCATGAAGCCGCAGATGTACGCCGGCGCTCCCTCGTCAGTGCCCTCGATGTACGGCCCCCAACCGGAGGACCCGACGGACAGGCTGGAGGCTTCTACTACAACCAACCCCCGGTAGACAACCGAATGAGCATGGCCTCCGCCACCCCGATCTCCCCACCTCGTACGCCCCTCCGTCGCGGGTGGTGCCATCGCTGGCGGTGCTGTCGGTCTCGGAGCAGGCTACGCCGCTGGTAACATGGTTCACCCCGGCCAAAGCCCTAGCCCCGTCGGCCCGGAATACAACAACTACGCGCAGCCCCCACCACCCGCAGCCATCTCCCCCGCTTAACCAACCTCAAGGACAGACCTCTCCGGTAATGAACACGTACGCGCCGCCGCCACAGCAGGGCGGTTACCCTCAGCAGGGTGGCTACCCCCGCTCCCTACCACCAGGGTGGCTATGCGCCAGGTCCCGGGCAGCACGCCCCAGCCGAACTGCCTACGAGCCGACCTGATGGCGAGCTTCGCGAGTTGGCGTAAACGAAGGAAGAAAAAGAGAAAATCAGCATATTTTGGTAGCTCTAGATTTGGTGTTTTGAACTTTTTTGGTACTGGAGGGCTGGGACAAGAAGGGGGACATTTCAATGTGAGGAGAGGGGACATGGAGAATGGCCTTCTCCTCCCCCAGCTCGCACCTTTTTCTCTTCTTTTGGGAGATGCAGGCAACTTTACGCCTATATTAAGCGGCTTGGCCGCGGACTAGAACGGGCTATGGTGATTTACGACGCTCGGCATCCTGATATCTTAATGAATAATACCACTCATTATCGCAAATCCGTTTTGATCTCAGTGACTTGGCAATCTTTAGATACTTGGTGCTTTCACCGAGAAACGGTCTTGTTCGTGGCATACTGCTTGGAGCATGGTCTTGTATTCTGGATATTATTATTTTATTTTTCTCCTGTCCTCATGGCTTTCATTTGTGTAGCCCCATGGGCGTAACGCAGGAAAGGCACGCCTCGATAGACATCGTACGAAGCTCGCATCTTGTTTCACCACACGTCCTCCTGCATGACTCGTTAACTCTTGGCTCCGAGAGGCGAGGTTTGCAAAGTTTCTTTTGGGGGCTGGATGCAAGACGTACCTGGTACCTGTTTGCGCCACGCATATGCACGATGCGGCGGTCGGCCTCGCCAGGTGTGATGCTCAGGCACCTGCACAGGATCTCGGCGAGGGTGGCCTGGACGCCGTGAGCCATGCGGACGTCGCCGCATACGTAGACGCGGCCGTGCTCGAGGATGTGCGAGACGAGTGCCGCTTGTTGGCGCAGGACGTCTTGCACGTAGACTTTGCGGCTGGATTGTCGCGAAAAGGCCGTGAGGAGGGTAAACCGGTCTCCGAGGGCCTGCTTATACGCCTACAAGACAGCTAAGTTAGTCGTCGACATTTTCGGTTCATGGCGTCCCCTTCAGCTGGCCCCTCGCGCTTCGCCCTTTTTGATCACTCACCTTCCATTCATCTTTGTAGAGAAAATCATCGGGGTCTCTCCTGCAGCCAAATACAAGAGTCATATTGCCTACGGGTTTACCCGCCTCGGCTAAGGCGGACCGTTCCTGCACAAAGGCCCTGAACGGGGCCACGCCGGTCCCCGGCCCGATCATGAGAATCGGGGAGGCATCGTCTGTGAGTCTAAAGCTTGACTTGCGAACATACACCCAGGCGGCGGGGCCCGATATCTGGTGCGAGACCAAGGAAGTCAAATTGGCACAATCTGTCTTGCCCTCGCCGAGGAACGGGCTACGTTGAGGAAGTAGCTGGTGGCCACGCCGCTAAACGTCCGATTTGTGTTGGGAACGGCTACTGATTCGACGACCGTCGTGATGGATAATTTTGCAGGGTCTACGCGAGGTGAGGAGGAGATGGAGTAGAACCTGTGCCGCAGCTTTGGGATTCCGTCGACGAGCGTGGCGAAGGGAACGGCGAGAACTGGATCTTCGGGAAACAGGTTCTCGATAAAGCTCGCTAGGTTGTAGTATTGGTCTTGGGTTGCCTTCGCAAAGACCTGCTTATCCTTGCCTAGAGTTGCGAGGGTGTTTCGCTTACGCTCATCAGAGACGAACCCGGCCAACGTACAGACGTGCTGCCGCGATACGGGGCGTTGATCTCAAGGTAGTAGCGGAGCGCGGCGTCGTACGTGGTTGGCGACGGTACGGGTGCCTGGCTGCCGCTAGCAGGGGAGATCTCGATGACGGTATGGCGCTTCTCGGTGAGGCCAAAGACGCGCAGGAAGCGGTCAACCTCTTGGTCTGCGTTGGGTGGGATGATGCCCAAATGGTCCCCCGTCTCGTATCGTAGACCGGTGGGGGAGAGATCGAGCTCCATGTGTAGACATGCGCGATCGCCGGTGGAGAGGCTGTAGGCTTTTGTGAAGGAAGCGAGGACCGGTGTGTATTGGCCCTGAACTCCGTGTTGGCCGTTGTGGCTCTGGCCGCTGAAGTTTGGTAGTTCAGAGACCTTGCAAGAGGTCTCCGGCGTCGTCTGCTTTTGCACGAGGCCCATCTCTTCCGCTACAGATGGCCACATTTCCTCCTTCCAGGTCAGAAAATCCTCTTCCATGTCGCCTTTTGCGTCGTCGAGGGCCCCGACCGGACCGAAGCACCGAGCTCCCATCTCACCAAGTGCGTTGTGGACCTTGACCATCACGGCGTTGAAATTTACGTAGTTTGTGTTCCCGAGGCCCAGGGCGGCGTACCGCATGCTCCGCAAGGGTGCGTCCCCGTCAAAGGGGGCTGCTGCTCGACGGCCATGAAGTCGAAGAAGCGCTGGGCGTTGTCTGTCGGTTCCCCGTCCCCGTACGAGGCGAGTACAAAAACGGCGAGGGCGTCGGCCGGCCAGGCGTGCAGGCCGTCGTAGTCGTAGTCGTCGAGATCCGCTACGAGAACAGTGAGTCCATACCGGGACTGCGCCTCCCGCGCGATCTTGGTGGCCATATCCTGGGCGTTGCCGGACTGGGAGCCGAAGAAGACGACGCAGTTGGCGCTTTGCAGCTGCATTCGGCGCACGATGCACCGGGAGTTGGCGAGGTCTTGCTTTGGGACTCTACACCCGGCATCGTTGTTTACGAGCCGGCGGAGGCTACAGGAGAGACTATCGCGGTAGAGGTAGGCTATCGTGCCGAGACCGATGGCTGCGAGAAAGAGCGAACCGTATTCTGCAGTGGTGCTAGACTAGAGTTGAAAAAAGAGATGATGTTAGTGAGGATCTGTTTGAGGCCAGGGGTAGTCGCAGGCTGCTTACTAGGTTTACGGCTTGCAGCATTCGGCTTGACGCCATTTTTCTAGGTCTTGAGCCAGTTCCATGGACGGTTTGGTGATATCCATGATCACGGCTCTTGGGCTGTTGTCCCTGGGCTGTCGCAAAGAGAAGCTCGAATGTCGCCACAGGCGTCTTGCAAAAGATCTTGATTTTACATCCAACTGTATTTCTTTTCTCCGATTCCCTAGGTTAAAACTGAAACTACACTACACGTTCCTGATCAATGATTTAAATCAAGAAGAGTCCGCACGATTATTTCCGCAAATCATTCACCCATCACATCAACCAGCTCATTCAGGCCGGGATCGGTCCATGAGGCCATCTGTGGATCCGGGTCATCACGATAATGGGTAGGTATCAGGGGCTTGCAACGGTTGCTCTGGCATAACCACCCCTCCTCTCACATCCTTCATGCGTGCGAGTAATTTCCTCCGTGCTATGGCCCGCCCCCATACAACATTAATGTTCCAGCGCTGGCTGGCCGGTGGTGGGAAGCGGTAAAGGAGAAATTCCGGCAATTCTTCGTGCAGAGTAGAGGTAGACCTCGCAAAACGGAAAGTTGGACTTCGGTATAAAGAGGGAGGGTTTCCCGGCTGAAAGGACGGGCACTCACACACCATCCCCCATCCCCCTAAACCTAGAACAAGGGGTGCCGGTAGAATCGGCGCCTCCCCGGAGTCGGGACCGAGACTCGTCGGGATATGCCGAGGATCCTCCGATCGAAGATGGCCCGAAGTGGGGAAAGGGAGCGGCCCCTTTTGGCCGAAAATCAACATGAGGGGAAAAGGAGAATGCGGGGACGGTGCACGGGGCTAGGACCCATCCGGACTTGGGGTGAGCGGCGGCCATTTTCTTCTGGTTGAGGGGTCCGACTGGGAAGGTGGAGGTAGCCCCGGACATGGACCAGGCACATAAGAGAGCCGGGGCCGTGGAGGGTTCATTAAGCGAGGACTTTCTTCAAGTTAATGAAACAATCTCTCAAGTAAACATCTTGATTTTTCTCATTCTATAGCAAGATCATCCTAGCCCAGTTCACATCGGGTGCCTCTACATACCCAAGACCAAAACCTTTTTAAAAACCCCAGTCCCCAAACCAACTCATCAGCATGTCGGACCTCCAGGCTCTCGAGAAGCGTCTCCGCATCCTCGAAGACAAGGACGCCATCACCTCTCTCCTCAACCGCTACTGCAACACGGCCGATGACCGAGATTGGGTCTCCTTCGGCCAATGCTTCACCGAAGACGGCGTGATGTGCTTCGAAAACTGGGGAGATGTCGTGGGACAGGAGAAGATCACGGCAGCGGCGGGCGGCGCCGAGGACCGGTTTGAGGGCTTGCAACACTCCATGACGAACCAGCAGGTGGACGTGGACGGAGACGAAGCCGCTTGCAGGTGCTACTTGTGGTTTGCGGCAACCATGGATCGCAGCAAGCCCCACGAATACCACGCCTTTGGTGGCCACTACAGGTTCAAATTTAGAAGGACGGCGGAGGGGTGGAGGATCTCGCAAATGCAACTTAAGAAGATGTGGGCTCAGAATGAAGATACTGAGGGCGTGTTTAGTTAGGTAACAAGCATGTTTGATTTGGAGAGAGTAGGGCAATGTCTCGTGTGTTTTTCTTTCCTTAGCTGGGCTATAGTGTACTGGGTAGTTACTCTTTTTCGTCCATTCAATCAATATGAAGGTTTTCTGCCATCACTCATACCATTGAAACGAAAGAGGCGGCAAAGAGTGAGATGCAATTCCCGGACATGCCAAGTTCACAGATGCGTACGAGGTACTGCGATGGAATAGGACGCGGAAGTTTCGTGTGCGGATCAAGATCAACGAGTTGAGCTCCTGCACTTGGCTTGGCCAGGGTTGAATTGAGGATCGAGTCGTCGTTCAAGCGGGGGCCCCAGGGAATCCCTCCCGGACTTGAATCTGGTGGAGAAAGCACTTGGGCACTAGGGAGGTTGGAAAATTGGAGTCTTAGTGCTTGGCTTGAACATTTGTGGTTAGCATCACACTCGCCTGGGCCCATATTTTCCCCATGGGGTTGCCCCATCTTTGTTCCCCGGAAAGTTGCTCTGGCGAACTCTGAGGTCAAGCCCAGCACATGATAAGCACGTCCTGTCCTTAGCGTCTTGGTATTAGATCCGGAGGATCTTCCAGGGCTGGGGGCGTACGTTACCGAGAAGCGAAGGGCCCCCGGGAAGGGGGTGGAGGCTCCCGGAGGAACAACAATACCAACATATGCATCCCACCCATCTATACTAGATGTACTACCGGCGAAAGGGAACCTTGGGGCTGTTGGGTAGCTCCGACAGCACGGTTACGACTACTTCTGAGCAGCAGCCTCGGACGAATTCACATTTGCTTCAAATCATATGGACAAATGATTGGCAAGGGCCTATGAATTCTGAAGAAGAAGAAGAAGATTAGTTCTTGCAGCAGCTGAAGAGACCAGGTGCTCATCAAGACGCTTGTTGCGGACTAGCCTTGCAGCGATCGAAGAGTGTGAGTCTTTGGCCGCCTTCCAGATAACCCCGAAGCAGTGTGTATACGGGGCAATTGCTCCAATCTTGTGCATCGACTATTCCTCACCTCGATTTCCTACAAATTTAACCCTCGCCGGCCCCCGTCCCCACCGAAAAAGGGCGGATCCACCAGAGCTCAACGCCTCCGTCTCTTGTCTTCATTCACCTTCAACTTTCTGTTGTTGGCAGGGCACTCTGAACCCCAACAGCGACGGCGTTTCCATAGGCCCATTTTCTTCCTCTTTTTCACTCTTCTTCCTGTCTTCTTACACTGGTTCGCACACATCTCAGTAACCTCCCGATCTCAGGAGTCGCCAGTCATCATGGCGCCCACCGACGAGATCCAGCCGGCCCCGGCCGTCATCACCGGTGACTTGGCCCAAGACCAGGCCGACGAGCTCCGTTCCAAGGCTCTCACGGCCGACAAGTCTACCCTCCCCGACGGGTACTACATGAGTCCGCGTGTCATCGGCACGTTTGTCGGTCTGGCGTTCAACCTCGCGGCGGCCTATTGGGTCATGCAAGCCGCGGCGGGATGCCTTGTCCAGATCGACCAGGACATCGGCCCCAGCGCCAACATCTACATGTTCACCACGGTATGGGTCATTTGCCAGTCCGTCTCCATGCTGCTCTTTGGCCGCAACTCGGACAAGTTTGGCCGCCGCAATCTCGCGCTGTACGCGCAGGCTCTCGGCATCGTTGGCGGCATTGTCGGTGCCACGGCCAAGGACCCCAACCAGCTCATCGGCGCCGCCGTCATCCTCGGCATCGCGGCTGGCGTGCCTGGATCATATCCCTTGCTCACGGGCGAGCTGATGACGAATAAGCTCAAGTATCTGGGTACTGTTATCGTCGTGGTCCCAAACATCATCGCTACCGGCTTCGGCCCTTATTTGGGAATTCGCCTGGCCACCATTGCTCACTGGAGGTGGATCTTTTACATCTACATCATCTTGATGGGTAAGGAAATATCCCTATTCGAGCTCCTTGTAGCCTAGAATACTTCTAACACATCATATTTGTAGTCATCGGAACCGTGATGTGGTACATCTGGTATCACCCTCCCTCGTACGTGCAACTTCATGGCGAAACTTCGTCCCCGTGGAAGCACGTTCGACAGATTGATTGGATCGGTACCTTTCTCCTCACATCTGGCTTGGTTCTTTTCATGTTGGGCATGTCGTGGGGTGGCCCGTATCCGTGGTCATCACCGCGCGTACTCGGCCTCCTCATCTCCGGAGGTGTGGTTCTCGTCTCGTTCGTCCTGTACGAGTGCTTCTTCAACATCAAGTTCCCCATCGTCCCCATGAAGATGTTCCTCGACGTTCGCGGATTCACGTGCGTCGTAGCAATCTCCGCTTTCACCGGATGCATCCAGCAGAGCATCTTCATCGTCTGGCCATCACAGATTCAGTACATCTTTGGAAGCACCTCTACCGGTGGGTGGGAGCAAACGGCGTGGATGGCCAGCGTTTCGGGCTTTGGCTCTTGGGCCGGCATCATCATGATTGGGCCTCTTTACCACATTGTCAAACGCCTCCGCCTACAGCTTCTGGTTGGCTCAGTCTTTATGACGGCCTTCCTGGGCGCCATGGTCTCAATCACGTATACCAACCGCGCGTCCGCGATTGCATTCTGCTTCTTGAGCACATTCCCCATGGGTTGGGGAGAGGTCTTCACTATGTTGATGGTGCAATATATCGTCTCTGAGACTGATCTCGGCATTGGCTTTGGTAAGCAAAACACAACCCCCTATCTCCCCTTCGACAAAATGATTGTGGAATGTGGCTAACACTAGAAAATTTCTTTTTCCAGCTATCGTTGCTGCCTCGCGACAAGTGCTAAGCGGCATCTTCGCGCCCATCTTCATCGCCCTTTACACCAACAAACTCCTGGAAAGCTGCAAGATATTGTAGTGCCCGCCGTCCTCGAGGCTGGGCTTCCGCAGTCTTCCCTCTCCCAGCTCCTCACCGCCGCCACCCAGGCGAGTCAGGCGGCCCTCCAAGCTGTCCCCGGGATGACCGACGAGATTCTCCGAGTGACCAATAACAGCGTTGCAGACGCATACGGGAAGGCATTTTCATACGTTTACTACTTTGCCCTGGCCCTTGGAGCGATCTGCATCATCGCCGCGGCTTGTCTTCGAGACTTTGACCAGTATCTTACGGATCATGTCTCGCGCATGGTATACCACAAGAAGGACACGAAGACGGATGTTCTCAGGGTCAAGAATGTAGATGGGGATGATGGAGACGGCGAAAAGCCCGTTAGTGAGACGAAGGAAGTGGCATGAGAGAAAAATAGTTAACATGAGTGTTCACGCGTGTGGCGTGGTTCAGGCAGAGTGGCCATCGCGTACTTGTAGCTTAGCTTAGTTTGGGTAGGACGGGACAGACACATAGTAATGACAACCCTAGTCACTTTCCTCGATTCTATCGCCGTCGATAAGCCCGACGGACAGTTCTATTCCGATGATACGCTGGTTGTCAAATGTTGCGCAGACGCATGCAAGCTATCCCCCAAGATGATGGCCAGCCTCGATCGATGGAGGACAGGAAGCATGGGAAGCTGTTCGCAGACCTCACAGTCTTGCTCGCCACCTCAAACACCCATGTCGCTAGTTTTAGCCCCCGGCGTTGCATTCACTCACCAGATCGGAGATTGTGGGGCAATCCCGGCAAGATTTCGCGCTCTCTCCGGAGTAGCACGGATCGTAGATCTCTGTCGGGGTTAAAATCATAAATCTCGATTCGGATTGCAATGGAGCTGCCACTAGAGGATTCGGTGGGTGTGCCACAACAATCCGGTGACCCCTTGCATTGACCCTCGGTGGTGGGTTGAGGTAGACAACAAGCAGCTAGAGGTGAGCGCAATATCCAAGCCTGATGCTACATGTAGGACATGAGTGAGGAATTGATGGATCAACGCATCCACGGATCAATTAATGGGTACATCGTCATACTTAGACCCATGAATGTATAGGTGTTTTTCGCCTTTACTCCCGTTTGAAGATGGACGGACGCTCTTGACTTTCCACAAAATGGAGGATGCAATAGGGGTATGTCTTACTCAAGTTTCCCTTCACATCTAATGGACCTTTCCAACACTGTCTGTCTGTCTTCTGCCCCTAGTCTAGTCAAGGAACTTTTGTGCAGCAAAACTATGAATGTCTTGACCAAGTTCTCCGCCGGTCCAAAGAGTAGATAGAACAGATTGGCCCCTCTATCCATCGGTGCAACACCTTGTTGAAGCAAAGAACGTCTAAGACCACGAGTTTACACATCCAATGATCCTTGATATTCGCCTCCAAATTTAGGTAGTGGATGGACTGGAGAGACATACCCATCGATGACCTTACAATGTATTTTTCTTGATGGAAATCTGAATCGCTAACTGGAATGACGGTTGGTGGCAGGTTGGCCCCACGCTTAAATTCTTCCTGGAAACGAAACCATCACACCTCAACAATGTCATAAACACGCGCCCTGCCACATCGAGACACAATAATAGGTATAATGAAGGAGGAAGCGGAGTGAAAATTAAGAATGACCCATCCCCATTGCATACTAATCGTACTGTGACAAAAATTCCATGGCGCCCGCAACTTCCTTCTTGATGATTTCCACATGGGTCTCACTCCTGGGCTTAATCCTCACCTTGAAAGGCAAGGGACACACGAGGTTGGACGATGTGTACGCGTCCGGGTCGAGGTGCTGAACCTTGCCCGTAGCGGGATCCAGCGGCTCCGCGAACTCAAAGGCCCATAGGAGCTTGGCCGCGATGCGCCACATGCTGCGCTCGGCGAGATGGATTCCGGGGCAGATGCGGCGACCGCCTCCGTAACCGTAGTGGTGTGGAGAGGCGAGAACAAGTGAATGTTAGTCCATTTCTCTTTTTCAATACGTAAATAAGGGGAAGGGGAGGAAGAGGGGCAGAGACAGGGAGAGAGACAATGTCGTGCTGTGATGGAGCCTGCTGGGGAATATGGAGGGACTTATCTCGATGGTCATAATCCGATCCTACCGCGTACTCATTGGCCAGTTTAGGGTGTTGGAGAAAACGGTCTGGGTCAAATCTGTCGTGGTCTGGATAGTACTGCTCATCTTTATGCATAGCCCACACCCCAACGAAGATTGTGCTCCCCTTCGGGATGAGCATGCCGTCATACCAATCGTCTAAGACATGAGGGTTAGACACTGAGAAAGAAAACGAAGGAGGATGATGGTGGGGGTGTGTGGTGAGTATTTGCCACGGAGGGTATACTCACCCTTGGTTACTGTGTGCGGTAGTCCTAGATCCGATCTGAAAACACCCAAAAATCAATTAGTATCTCACTCAAAACAAATAAATAAATAGAACGCCTTTGACGCGGGTAGGCAACTACACGCCCCCACCCGGGGACGGATTGGAAACAGCGGGAGGGGCTTGGCAATAAACGGGGGCGTAGAAGGGGGGTATGAAGGCGCTTCACATACGTTGGTCTCCACCGCAGACCTTCCTTCACGATGGCGTTGATGTACGGCAGCTTATCAAAGTCGGAGAAGAGCGGGGCGCGCTCCGTCCCGCACACGGCATCTAGCTCCGCGCGAGCCCGGACCTGGATCTGGGGATTCATGGCGAGCGCGAGGATGAGGGTGAGGATCTGGTTGGCCGTGGTGTCGGCGCCGGCCTCCATGAGCTCGCCAAAGAGGTTGTTGAAGGCGACGTCGCTCATGGGCCAGCCCTTCTTGGCGTACTCGTCGAGCTTGTCGTCGATCATGCAGGACCGGGCGTCGCCGCGCGATCGGCGCTCCTCGACCAGGCGCCGCGCGTTGCCCCAGGTGCGGTCCATGTAGTCGCGCATGTGGAAGGCACGCTTCTTCCATTGGCCGGGGAGGTACCATAGCCACGGCATGAGGTCTACGGGGGTTCGCACCGGGCTCGATGGCTTCGAGCCACTAAGAGGGTGGGGCGTTTCTTGTCAGATTTCGGACTCTGGCGCTGGCTGGGGGAGGAGGGCGTCTTTTGGTCTTTTACGTACCTGCTCAATCATGGCGTTGACTTCCTTGAACCAAAAGGATTCGGTATCTTTGGCGCGGAAGCCCCAGGCCAAGATGGCGGCTACTGAGTTGGCATAAAGTCTAGAGTAGGTATAAAAGTTCTCGGGTTCCTCCAAGAGTCGGTTCATGTATAGGACAGCCCTAGATACGAGTTAGCAAACGACCATGTATTTGTGGCTGTTGCGACTGGAAGATGGGAGACGATGACCGCAAGGGTGCCGAAAGAAAAATGGACAAACTAACTCGGCTTCTTGGACGCGAAAGTGTTTCTCGTCCAGACTCTTAGGGTTAAGGTTTCTTGTCACCACTGTGCGCTTCTCTCTCCAAGAAGGGCCTTGGCATTCCATCGTCATATGGTTTCCTCGAGTGATGAAGAGGGGAATGACATTGGGGGACGGTCCGAGTAGATGCTGCCCTTGCGGTCGATGAGCTCGTAGACAGCCTTTCTGTCACAGATGACAATCATGTTTCCGGGGCCGACCTTGAGTGAGAAGATCTTTCCGTATTGCTGAGACCACTCATAAAACCTGTGCCTTCTAGTGAGTAAACATCCTCGACGTGACAGCGTCGGGGAGGGATGGTATCTCTTACTTTTTCCCAAGCCGGTGGCCGGAATATCTAGCATATTTCCAAGCACAAGCTTGGTCGGCGGGCCAGGCGGCATACGAGGGTCCCTCTTGCCTACCTGCAACAGCTTGTAGATGCCATATGCTGTGATGGTAATGGCCGCAGCAGCAGCGATGCTGTGCTGGTTCTCCGCCAGCTTTTGGAGATCGACGAATTTGTCGAGGCCCTCCATTGTAAAATAGGGACGACGGGGGTGGGAGAGATCGGCTCGAGATGGAGTCGGGAGACCTCTTGAAAGGATTGAATAGAATTGGGGAACGGGAAATGAAAGCGAAAATGGGAATGCGAGGAGATCGTATAGTTGGGGATTCCTGTGTTCACGATAAGGATGCCATGGGAAGAGGCCAACATAGGCACCTTAAATGGCATCCGCCAGGAGCAGCGCGTGCAGCCCATACGGTGCCCGAGTACATTCTCCTTATCGAAACTAGGATACCAGAGCTCTCTGCAAACTCACTAGCGCTACGTTGCTCACGCTCACCGGACACCCTGCTTGCAGGCTGTTCATGACCTCTTGGACGACAGGACAGAACTGGTGGATATTCTCATGGGGTCTAGTTCCGATTGCAGCTAATGCATGCCCTGCTATTGGCCATCTCCGTTTGCCAGATGCCCCGAAATTGGCCCCTTCCAAGAGGGACGGGGAGGAAAGAGTCCGCTCTACCCCAAATAGGCGGGGATTTTCTGGGGATTTTCTGGCGCTAAGCAGATCATAGTTCCCCGCAAGCGCAAACCCCGGATTTCTGTTTGGGAATTCTTGGCTCGCTCATCTTGAGGCGCTTTTCGTTCTCAATAGTATTACGCCGGGTTTTCTAGTACATGTACAAAGGCGGCGGCCGCTCTTCAAGGGCCAAGCCCCTCACAAACTTGCAGCAACAAATATTTGGGTCGGGCTCGGAGTATCTCCGTGCAATCTCTTTCGTCGACTAACATACACCATTCTTGTTACATTGGCGGGGAAATGGAGAGGATAGAAGTGGCTGACCAAATTATGGATGTCATTCTTGTTGATGCGTACTATAAGCTGAAAACAGAACTTGGAAACAGATACACCTTGACGTTATGCTGCCCCCTACCCTGCCCCATACTTTCTTTCCCATCCTACGTTCCAGCACTCTCTAGAGCCCCACCATCCCTGGGCCTAGCCCTTATTCCAAGAATCCGGCTGGCACGTCGGGGCCCCAGATATGCAGGCTATCCGGAGAGGCGAGGGACTTGTTGGTCGCGTAGCTAGAATTGACTAGATCACCATCGACATAGTGCTCTAGTACGAACCTCGACGGGTCGAACCAGTAGTCGAAGATTTGGCTGCCCATGATGTGTCTTCCGACGCCCCAGCAGTTCTCGTAGCCCTTGGAACGCAGCCAATCGTGACCCAGAAGCTGGGTGTCAAAGTCGTAGGTTTCGTAGGAGGAGTGGTGGACGTGGTACTTGGGACCTTCGAAGAAGAAGAAGCAGTGGTGGTCCACGAGCTCCTCGCCGCGGTCGAGGTGGAGGAAGGTTGTGATGTTGCGGCCGGTGGGGTCGTGGATGAGCTTGAGCAGTGATATCTAATGTCAGCCTCTTGATTCTGGGCCTCCATGTACTTGGTTCATCTCCTTGAACGGACGCGCAGAAGATGTGCGTAACTTACATCGCTAGGGAAAAAGTTGAATCGGGTGGTGTAAAAATCGTACGCCTTTTCAAAATTCGTCACACACATTCCAAAGTGGCCGAGTTTATGTACCGGCGCAGGTCCTAAAAGAGAAGTCCCGGAGATTTAGTTTTTGGGACGGTTTTTCGTTGTCAAGAGAATATGATGACCCACCTTTTTGGAATCGTTGGAATTCATTGCCTGCCCGGGTTTTTACAGTTGGCTGTTGCTGCTAGTCAGAATGGTGATGCAGCCCAAAACGCAAGGTCAAGACATCAATTGATGGTGGCACGGGAAAGGCAAGTTGCGGAAAGCATAGCAAGTCACGGTTTACTCACAAAATTAAACCTTCTCTGCAGCAGTCCCGCGTCACTGGGGTCGACTTGCGCCTGTCCGTAGACCAAATGAAATGGGAACCCGTCAACGGGATCGTAAAACGTCACCCTGAACCCACCACCGGGTTCTTCCGTCATCTCATGCACCGCCGTGGCATTGGGCAAGGTCTGCGCCGCATAGTCCAGGTCTTCGCGGGACTCGACAACAAAGGCGGCGCCGCCGAAGAAATCCTCGTCGCCGGCCGTCAAGCGGTAGACAAAGGGCTCGCCGCTGGTGCCGCGGTAGTAGGTGTTGGCGCCGGCGCGGGACACTTCCTGGAAGCCAAAGTCGTCGAGGAAAGCCTTGGCGTTCGCCTCGTTCTTGTGGGTGTAGAGGACGTGGGCGATGCGCACGAGGTTGATCCTGCGCGGGGCTGAAGTTTCCGTCGCCATGGTCGGAGATGTGGAGCGCGAGGCTGAAGATGGCCGGGGGACGGAAGCAAAGGAGATGGGGTGCGGTTCGGGGAGAGGGGAGGGGAGCAGAGTCAATCTAGATAGATGTTGCGGCGAGGAGATGGGTTGGCGCAGTCTCGAGCAGGCATGAAGATATCTAGCAGTTCGCTTTTTCGCTTATCGTGGGAAATTCTCGCGATCACGTTCGGGGTCGCACCAGGGGATTCAGGAAGGATGATGAGTTGTTGGGCAAGGGATACAACTTCGCAAAGACTCTGTTGCTGGATGTTGATCCGGCTTCACAATTTCACAATCTTACGAGGAGCTTGATTATATCTATGAGGCCAGATGATGCAACTTGTCGTACGACACTGCGATACCGGCCATCACTCTCCCGTTACGAAGAGCCGACAACAACCATGATGGGGCTATTTGGCTTTTGCAAAGCCGGGAAGCTTTTTTTTTTTGGGGACTTGAAGTGAATCAACAGCGCGAATAGAGCGCGGTTCTTGAATGAAGTGTGACCGAAAAGCATCCGTCCCTCTGGGGGAACCCACTTTGGCATGGCAGCGGAGCCTCACTCCACTCGCCCCAGCATGTGTACACCAGAGCAAGTCGCTAGACCCAGCCAACTAGGCTGACCGAGCTGGCTAGGAGTGTTCTGCGTGTTATGGAGTTTTGTCTGGGGGTGCTAGGGGCGCGTGTCGGTAGTGGCAACGCTGTGCCAGATTTGCCATCACCGCCCTCTGTGCCAGTCAGCAGTGCGTTGTTAGTTACGAAGAAATTATTAAGAGTGGGCGCGGACAGCACTTCCATGCATTTGCTGCGCTTGGTGCATTTCCCGGGAATCGGCGGACCAACTTCGGACGATCCGGGTGGGGCTCCGGATGGGACCAGCCAATCACAGCGCGACCCACGCTGCTACCCCTTACAGCTAGTTGCCGCACCGAACCCATTCACTTCCTTCTCCCTCCACATGGTGTCGTTCGGCATCGAGCAACCTGTGGGAATATGCCCGCAGGACAAAGGTAGACTGAGGGAGCGAAAGCGAGACGAAGAAACACGCAGAAAAATGTGGGAGAGCGCGGCGGACGGTGGGCGGGTGGGCCGAAGTAGAGGATGCGCGAGAGACCGTGCTGGAATAATGCCGACATATTAAAGGAGTCCACCGAGGAAACGGGATGCTTTTCTGAACGGACACGAGAGCTTCCATTGAGTGGATCGAGTAGCACTTTGGAATAGGTCGCTCGGGTCAGGTCAGACCGCAAAAGGAGATACCTTGCATCCTAATAGAAGAAGACGAAAATCCACACACACACACACACACACGTCCCGCGGTAGCTCGGAAAGCTTTATTTCCCCTTTGAGCCCCATTCATCTGTTGGTTGTTCGTGTCTCGGTCCCTTACTCTACTTTCTTGTATCTTGAACCCCCTTCATACTCATTCGTGTCGCCTTCCTCCACATACACCTGCACCTCCTCCTCCTCCGCCCCCATCCCCTCCGCCACTGTATAGAAAGCGGAGGCAGCGCCGGCAATGTCCACCTTCCGCGCATTCCAGCTCTCGTATATTACCTCGTCACGAACGCTGCTCGCCCGCCCGTCTCCCGCGTACATGTCCCGGAAGCTCTTCACCAGCGCCATTGCGAAGTCACCGCGTCTTCGATCGATATTATCTTCCAAGAGAGCCACAATGTCCCCCACAGCACCACAGACCTAGCCGTCGACGGCGTAAACGGAGCCGGGGTTCCCGCGGCTGCTGCCAACGGATTTCACACTCAAGCGGAGACTACTAGCTCTTTCGCCGCTGTTCCCCAGCGTGCGGAGGTTCCAGGAGACTCTCCCCCGATAGAAACAGAGTTTCTCGTCGTGGGCTGCGGTCCCGCCGGTGCTGGTTTGGCGTGTTTCTTGGCTTCTCATGGTAAGATGGCCCAGGACTGGACTTGGCAGACGTCTTTTCTTGCGGGCCGGTCTTTGAAAGATTTGGCCTTTTTTGTTTCAATGTTTCTAACATACCCTATGTGCAAGGCCTCACTGGAATCATGATTGGAGCCGCTCCCGGTACCGCGAACACGCCCCGGGCGCACATCACAAATATGGCAGCAGTGGGTAAGTAGAAGTGAATACATCTTGTCACAATTTCCTGCGACCTCCGCTTCAGCCTTCCTTTCTACACACATGCACACTTCAACAAGGTGACCAGAAAAGTCTCAGGAAAGCTAATTATGGAATGGTGGAATGACAGAATGTCTTCGCGACATCGATCTCGAACGCGACATCAAGCAGGTCGCCTCCAAGGGCGACTCGCACATGGTCCACACACGATGGTGCCACAGCATGGCTGGGCAGGAGTTTGCGCGGTTATACTCGTGGGGTAATGACCCCAAGCGAAGGGTGAGTGAGACAAATATGAACACGGGGAACGGGAAAATGCATACCTACGGGCAAAAGAGCACCTTGCCCCCAAATAATCAAAGAAAAACGAGCAAAATAGCTTACGTGTTCCACTACCTCTAGGGCGACTACGAACTCGCGAGCCCCTGCGAACCCGCAGACCTCCCGCAGACCCTCCTCGAGCCCGTCCTAATCCGGTACGCCACCCTGCACGGCTTCAAGGTCCGCTTCGACACCGCGCTGGAGTCCTTCACCGAGGACCCGGAGACGAAGCGCATCACCGTCACCGTGCGCGACAAGGTGTCGGGCGCCGCGTACCGGATCCGCACAAAGTACCTCTTTGGCGCGGACGGCGCCCAGAGCCAGGTCGTCAAGCAGGTCGACCTCCCGCTCGACCGCAAGCCCGGCCAGGGCCTCGCCATCAACGTGCTCGTCAAGGCCAACCTGTCCCACCTCGTGGACTCGCGCCGCGGAAACTTGCACTGGGTCATGCAGCCCGACAAGGCGCACCCGGACTTTGGCTGGATGTGCATCGTGCGCATGGTCAAGCCGTGGGACGAGTGGATGTTTATCCTCTTCCCGAACCGGGATGCCGATCCCGATATGAAGCCTACTAATGAGCAGTACCTCGAGCGGGTGCGCGAGCTTATCGGCGACGATACGCCCGCCGAGATTCTCAACGTGTCCAAGTGGTTCGTCAACGAGACCGTAGCGCAAACCTACTCGGTCGGAGACAACGTGTAAGTCAAACTTGTTCAAGTCAATCATCCACCTACCTATCCTACAAAGAAAAAGAAAAGAAAAAGAAAAAGAAAAAGAAAAGAAAAGCTTCCGACTGACACTGGCACTAGCTTCTGCCTCGGTGACGCCGTCCACCGCCATCCACCCATGAACGGCCTCGGCTCCAACACCTGCATCCAAGACGCCTTCAACCTCGCATGGAAAGTCGCCTACGTACACAAGGGGCTCGCCTCGCCCTCCCTCCTCGACACCTACAGCACGGAGCGGCAGCCCGTCGGCCACAGCATCATCTCCCGCGCCAACCAAGCCTTCCGCGACCACTTCCACGTATGGGAGGCCATCGGCGCCCTGCCCGCCGACCTCGCCGAGCGCCAGCGCATCCACAGCGAGCTGCAAGAAGCCACGCCCGCCGGCCAGAGCGCCGCCGACAGTTCCGCGAGGCCATCGAGCGCACCTCGCACGAGTTCCACGGCCTCGGCGTGGAGATGAACCAGCACTACGCCGGCGCCGCCGTGTACGACGCCGACGAACCTCAGCCCTGGGCCCTCCCCGGCCGCGCCGCCGAGAACCCCGTCCTCTACCACGAGCCCAACACGTACCCGGGCTCGCGCCTGCCCCACGTCTGGCTCAACCGCTCCGTGCCCGAGGCCCCCACCTCTACCATCGACCTTGCCGGCCACGGTCGCTTCGTCCTCTTTACCGGCATCGGCGGCGAGGCGTGGAAGGAGGCGGCCCAAAAGGTCGCGGCCGAGCTCGGCGTGCCCCTCGACGCCCACTCTGTCGGCTTCCGCCAGGACTGGGAGGACTTTTACTTTGCGTGGGAAAAGGTCCGCGGCGTCGAGGAGTCGGGCGCGGTCCTCGTTCGGCCGGATCGCTTCGTCGCGTGGCGCGCCAATGAGGTGCTCGCCGGCGTGGATGAGTGTGCGACCAAGTTGTCTGGCGTGTTGAAGTCGGTTCTGGGGAGGAAGGAGTAAACAGATAGGGTTTCCTTTTGCTTTTCTTTTCTCTGTTTACTTTTTTCTCTCCACCCCCTTTCTCTGACATTGATTCATCTCTTTTCCTTCTGCTTCGTTTTTTTCGTCTTCTCTTTTGCGTCGCTTTTGAGGTCTCGTAAGCAAGTAGACTGTGATGCTAGCCAAGCCATTCTTCGAGTCATAGATAGTATATATACTTTCATCTTTGTTGTTCAATGTTCTCTCTTACAAGAGCACGTTCGAATAGTACCCCACGTCAGAGCCTCTTTGATTCTGCGTCATTCAAGCAGCGGATCTATTCTACGGCGGGACGAATCGCTACATCAAGAGTGTAGTTTCACAGATGCCATCTAGGTACATGTACTCGTATAATATAGTATTAATCTGCCCTTTGCCTTTTTTCCCTGCCTACCCACTAAGACGAAGAGCACGGTTGGCAAGGAATAGCACGATTAAACGGGATTAAAGACATGGAAATACGCATTGAAGATAGGATAAGTTATATTTTAAGGAAAGAAGAAACTAATTAGGTGACGCCTTGATATCCAAATGTCCTCCAAAAGAACTCGATTGATGCAGCTCCGTCTTCTCGCAAAGGCCTTTGACCTCGCCGAGTAGATCCGCCAGAAGTCCTGAGGCCTCGAGCGCCTTGAAGGCATCGCCGGTTTTTACCCTAGATCGCGGCAGATAGACCGCCGCCCAAAGTCAGAACAAATCCTTTGCCCACCTGGCGCAATTCAGCTCTCCCAGTGGGCAAGATGACAGTGGATCGAAGCGCAGAAGGAAACGCGTTGGGTGCCAAGGGGTCGCAAAAAGCAAAGAAAAGAACAAGACTTACCTGAGCCACAAAGTCGCCAGCTTGAGATCCCTGCACTCCTTAAGAACCAACGCGCTCTGAATCGACCCGCTAGCCCCCTGAGAGGTCTCGGCGTCGGTGGCGAACCGCGAGAGGGCCTCGAGAACACGGGTCCGGCCCGCCTCGTCGGCGGCCCAAAAGTGGTAGACCGCGACATGGCTGTCGGTGGAGTGCCTGTCCGGGTCGTCCTGGCGCTTGAGAAAGCCGGCTTCCTCGTCGTAGTGGTGCAAGTCGTAGTCGGGGCTACCGAGGCCCTGCTTGGTGCGCAGCAGCGCGTCGCTGTCGACGAGGGCCATTTCGCGCTTGAAGATTTCGGACGAGACGTGGTCGATGAAGAAGCCGATGGGGTGGGTGTAGCCCTCGAGGCCCCAGAGGGTATCGGGCTCGCCATCTAGGTCGCCGCCCCAGTAGTAGGAATCGCCGTAGGGCTCCGTGGCCGAGACACCGCAAAGATGGACAAGACGCTCTTTCCACTAGAGAGCGGGATGCGCGGGCAAAGGCTCCTCGTCAGTTCCTTCTCTAATTCCCTTTGAGCATAGTGAATGAGAGAATGGTGAGACTTACCAGAGGAAGGGCGCCATCTCGGCCGACGACGCGCGCGACAACGTAGAACCTCGGGGAGTCATATTATGTCGTCGTTTCCGGTATAGCAGGACTTTGTGATAATAATTCAAGGCAATATTTACAAAGATGCGTGTTCGACGGTCAATTGGAGACGTTACCTCAACTAGGCGCACGAAAAGATCTGCTACAGCAAAGGTCACTACAATGCGAGAGCGCTGGAGACAAAATATGTGAGATCGGAGGCCCACAAATAAGAAGGATGTGGGGAGCAAAAGGATGAACGGGCGCCTTCTTCTCCCCCGCGTTGGTCTTTTGAGAAAGCCAGCTAAGAGGGGACCCTCGGAGCCAAGCCGTGGGGATCCTCCTACTACCAAGGACGAGGGGAGGATGAGAGACGGGCCATTCTCGGGCTCGTCTGACACCCTTTAGAGAAGGTAACTAGATGCATTGCTTATCAATATCAAGTCGGCTGCTTCTCACTGCGCCCTTGAACCTGGGAAGGAGGAAGGGAGAGAGGGGACGGCTTCCCTCGCTGTATCCTTTCCCAAGGAATAGCCCATGGAATAGATCCATTGGAATAGTCCCTCCGTGGCACCACCCCCTCCCACTATCTAGGCCACCTTGTTCCACAGGAACCCTTCCATTCTATCACCAGCACACAGCCTGTTGAGCCCATTCCTACTCGCAGATTGTTCGTCCTAACCCTGAGCTCTCATTGCGTCACGGCGCCGGTGCCCTCCCCGCGCCGGTGTTCGGCTAGTCCGTTTGCGGCGCTAGTCGGTCTCCCACCCCGCACGCCACTCGAACCGCGCAACCCCAAACTATCGGCTCCCCCTTTTCGCTCCAAAGTCACTCCATGTATTTCGGAGACCAGGGCGCCGGAGGGATTTCGCTACGATTGATAATGCACTCCGGAGAGATTTCAACGCACCAGCACACCACCTTCGCTTCCACCCGGTCCACACCCTTACCTTTCTTCCTTCATCCTCTTCCCCCTTTTCTTTTCTGGTGTTTTCGAGGAAGGCCAACCAGTTCACATGTGGGAGTTCGGAGCACCCTGACCCCAAATTTTAGCGCGCGCGCCACCACCAGGTCAGGAAGTCCGGGGAATAGAGGGGTTTGATGACTCGGGTACCATGGGTAGCATGGCGACGGGAATGGACAAACAGAGCAAACTCGGCTTCTTCAGTCAAGGTACTGGACCCTTCTCGGAGCGTTGCAACAGCACTTCGCCTCGACTCGTTGACTCGAGCTAGAGAGAGACTAAGTGCGGGGATCAACAATCAATATATGTCTGTCGAGTTTCGCGACTGAAACGTACATCTTGGAAGGGAGAACCCCCAAAACTGCCTCCACGTCTAAGTGAAAAAGAAAAGAAAAAAGAAAGAAGAACAAATTCTGTGATTCTTTGAACTGCACGCCTCAGGGACCCAGAACACGTTTTAGACTTGTAAAGATTTGCGAGTCACCCACCATGCCGACGAAGCAGGTTATCCAACTTGTCATTGTGCCTCACAGGCCCGCGGTCCCCGATGAGATCGCAAAGGACCTCGCGCCGGCCTTTTCCATCCTACAAAAGTAAGAGATTCGCCTACTATAAAAACCCCTCTCCGCCATTTCAAACCACTAATTCAAACTTTTGACATAAAAAGGGCTCCCGGCCTCCAAAAACTCTGGAGGGGTAAAAGTTCGAGGACCGGTACACGCAAGTGGCGCTGTGCCTGTGGGAGAACCTCGAGGCCTCGCTCGCCTTCTTCACCAGCGAGGCCTACGCCGAATTCCACCGCGTCCTCCAGCCCGCCATGAACGGACGCTCCATCACGCGGACGGCCCACGCGCTCCTAGAGCACTCGCGCTTCAGCGACGCCGAGCACCTAGAGCAGACCTTGGCCTCGCCCGCCATCGAGATCGCCCTCACCAAGGTCGTGGAGGGCGGCGTGGCCGGGTACTACTCGCAGTTCGGCAAGGTGGTGTCTGGCATCCTCGACGCCGAGGAGGGCTGCGATGGATATTTCATCAGCCCTCTGATCGAGGAACCTCAGGACCAGCTCCTTCTAATTAACTGGAAGTCGGTTGATGTAAGTCAAGCGCTCTCAGCCCTCTGTCAATTTTTTCCCATACTCTGCCGCGCATCCGTGTCTAGTGGCGGCGCGTGTGTACGTCGTTTGAGAATCCATGCTAACCTAGCGGACGTTTGGGATAGGCGCACCACGAGGAATTCGAGAAGAAGCCTGGGTTTGCGGCGTGCATTGATGCGCTCAAGGAGTACTATCGCGTGTTTGTCGTCCCTTGGCATATTACTGAAATTTACAAGGTTGAGCTGTGAAGGCAGGGTTGTATATAATTACACGGATAACGAGCACTGGAATTGGACCACCGTATTTATTCTGCATTTTGAAATCGAGCTCTGCCTTGTACTTTGTGAAATTTGGCGTGTGAATGGATTGAGTAGTACTAGGAGTAACCGAATTGATCTATCTAAAGATTCAATATATGTACGTGGAGTGACTCTGCCGGCTGAGGAAGAAGTTTGACCTTGAATGTTGTCCATCTATCCGTCGTCCTTTGAACTTTAAACAGCCCATCTTCGCATGTCTATCTCGATCGATAGATGTCGATTTACGCTGATACCAGACTTTCCTTACAGAAAATCAGAAAAGAAAAAGCCGAGTAACCGATGATGACAGTCAACTGGGTTACCAATGTCACACAAGACAGTTTAAAGTAGTCAAAAAGATCTTTGCATACATAATTGATGCCTCGTACAAGTCCTGACAGCGAAGAACATTCTTGAAACCCACAACGCGCTCGTCATCCAATGATGATTGCACCCCCAAGCCATATACCGAACAATTCAACACCTAGCAAGCGCTGTACCCTCCATCAACGGTCCAATGGGCTGGAGTCTCCACGTTAGCGTCGCGTACATTGTAGTATAGCTTATCATCTGTGAACATACCTCCTGTGACATAGGACGCATCGTCGCTCAGCATGAAGCACAGCACCTTGGCCACCTCATGTGCTTGTCCCATGCGGCCCATACACGTGGCGGCGCTGGTCCTCTCGGAGCTGAAGAGCCCCTTGGCTTCGCCATCCCTAAAGATAGGAGTGTCGATGGGTCCCCTAGTTTGACCGATGTTAGTCAAGGTCCGATATAATATGGTGAACGACAGTTTCCGATGATAAACGGGAAGCGAATGGCAAGATGACAGTGGTTGACCTACGGCAGAATAGCGTTGACCCGGATTCCCTCCCGGCCAAACTCGCCGGCCGCAGACTCAGACAAGCCGATGACGCCAAACTTGCTCGACGCATACGCGGCATTGTTGGGGAGACCACGAAGGCCCGATGTGCTGGAAACGTTCACGATGGCACCTCCTGGCCTAGGCAGATGGGGGATTTGTGACCTCATGCAAAACATCACACCTGTGAGGTTGACGTTGATCATTCGATCCCAGTCTGATTGCCTCTGCGATAGAAGGATAGTAAGCACAAGTTCAAGTCAGACTTGTCGATTCCTACCCCGCATCCACCCCCAGGGGCAGAGCGAGGCGTGATCAAAAGAGTTGCTAGTGATAGTCACTGAGATTAGGGGAGAGGAACTCACGATGGTGGCGCATGTGGTGTCTCCGTCGCCGCCCGCCATGCCCGCAACGTTGGCGGCCCCATCCAGACGACCAAACTCCTTGACCGTTGCTTGGATCCACTCTTCTACCTGCTCCGGGTTACTGACATCCACCTTGGTCAGGGCGACCTTGACATCGCTTCTTATCTTCGTACCTGCGAAGGTGAGATGCAGACCCCAATGTCAGCTCGTCTCAATGTGCTTCCTATCCCACTGCTGAAGCAGGGGAGTTTGCAACCAGAAGGGGAGGAGAGCAGAGATAGAGGCTTCTCGCCTAAATTCAACTTACATAGATCCCTCGTCGTCTCTAGGCCGGCGAGATTAAGATCGCTGAGGGCGAGACCCGCCGCTCCCAGCTCGGTAAGGCGGACGGCGACAGCTTGCCCGATTCCGGACGCCGCACCCGTGACTGAGTATACCCTTCCGCTAAACGAAGACATGGTGGCTGTTTGTTTATACGTAATGTCTATTTCTTTCTTCTTTATTTTTTTCCTTTCGGCTGTCAAAGAGGGAAACTACGTGGAAACTGGAACTGGGAGCCTCCTTGGTTAGGGGTTGCTATCGTAGACTTGTAGTTTTGTATAGAATGCCTCCCTTCTAGCTTCCGTGTCTCATCCGCTGCCCCGGGTTTTACGTCTGACAGCTACGAGATAAATATCCACTTGTCGCTAGTCAACACCACATATGATTGAGCCGACTGACAAATTGTTCCAGCATCTCGCTCCCGCGACCTTCCCCTCCTGACCCCGAATGTTCGTGCGGCGGAGGAATACAAAGGCACCAGACTGCATTGGATGGATCAAATCCCCTCGATGAACGTAGATGTATTGGCCCGAAGCTGCTACCCCACACATTGGCTAATTCGTGATCGAACCAAGGCCAACGCTGTCGCACGCCTCCGGGATTAGTGCTCTCCGCAAAACCCAAGAAAAAGTCAAAGGAAAGCGCCGGATGGGTCCCCGGACTGTCGGATCAACATCGACACTAGGCGACTTAGCGCCGTGCGGGGAAAAAAGGCTGGTGGGGCACAACCAAGGGCACTCCGAGGGTCCTCTTCAACTGGACTGACGATCGCCATGTCCCCCTCCCTTCTCGATGACTTCTGGCGTTCGTTCTTCCGTGTCTCTAAAATGAGAAGCACACTAAAGAGTTAGTCTACAAGATCTGTCGAGTAGTGAGACACAGCCCAATGCCCCTCTTCTAACTACCATCACAAGGACCACGCGAAAAGAATCAAGGGTTTTATTCGCCCCGGAGTCGCGCACCGTCTTATACTCCGGCATGTCTTCGGCTGGATAGCTCCGGCAACCAAGACGAGGGTCCGCCCCCGCCCCCGCCCTGTACCATTTTTGCCCATTGATTGATCAGTACATCTTGGCGTGCGTAGCGGCGTGTGCCTCCTCAAGGATTTCTGTCTCCTCTCAGGGGCACTGGAGAGGCATCTCTCCCGCCGGAGGACGGGCACCTGGTCAGCGTCAATGATGCATCTGTATTTCAGGTGCGATTATCTGCGTAGAGGCGAATCCCATACTTTTAGAAAGGGTAACCAACTAAACCAATCCAATAATAGGGAGACGTAGGGAAGGCTTGGTGAGCAGACGAGGCGAGGTGGTTGCGGATGATCGAGCACGGCGGGCTATCTTCGTGTGGTATCCCCGAGCGCAATCTCGCCCTATAAACCTTGTGTAAATCTCCAACTCAACCTCTAAGAACCAATATTGATCCCTCTAAATCCAGGGACGTAAAAAAAGCGATCCCCAAAGCCAGACCAATACCAATTCTCACATTGATCCTTTTCCTTCTTATCCTCCTCCTACACAGCTGAAATCAGCCCTCTCACCACCGACACCCCACCAGCCCATCCGTTCTCACACCAATGTCCGTCAAAGACAGAGTCGCCATCGTCACCGGCGCCGGCGGCGGTCTCGGCCGCCTCTACGCCCTCCACCTCGCCCAATCCGGCGCCAAAGTCGTCGTCAACGACTACGGCGGCACCCTCGACGGCCAGCCCGGCGGCATCGCCCGCGCGCAGGCCGTCGCCGACGAAATCACCGCGGCGGGGTCTCGCCGTCGCCGACGGCCACGACGTCTCCGACAAGGCGAGCTGCCTGCGCATCGTCGCCCGCGCCGTCGACACGTGGGGCCGCCTCGACATCCTCATCAACAACGCCGGCATCTCGGGCAAGCCCAGCTCCCACGCCGACCTCGACCCGGAGGCCTTTATGCGCGTGCTCCAGATCGGCGTCCTCGGCTCCCAGCTCATGACGAGCGCCGCGTGGCCCGTCATGGAGGCCCAGCGCCACGGACGCATCGTCTACATTGCCTCGGACGCCATCTTTGGCTTCGGCGCCGGCGGCGACTGCGCCTACTCCGCCAGCAAGGGCGCGACTTTTGCCCTCGCCCGCGACCTCGGCCGCTTCTCTCCCACCTGCGGCATCCTCGTCAACGCCATCCTGCCCTCCGGCGCCTCCCGCATGGGCGACCTCTCCGATGCCTCCAAGCATATTACTCGCACCTACTTCGACGCATCCCCGCGCCCTCGTCGTTGCCCTCTGCTCCGACGAGTGTGAGACGTCGGGCGAGTGCTTCACCACCGGCGCGAACCGCTCCGCGCGTGTCACTTTTGCTACCTTTCCCGGTCATGTCAAGGAGACCACGCCCGAGGGATTCGTCAAGAATTGGGACAAGGTCATGGGCGACGCCAAGGATGTTTATCTACCAACCAGCACTATAGACCATGTGCGGTATGGTGTCTGGCATGCGTCGGGGATAGAAGTGCCGCCAATTGACGGTTTTGGGATCGTTCCTAGCTCGTCCTAGACGAAACATGCTGTGAGAAGATGATTGATAAATATTAAAAGACTTTAAAGCCACCTTCCTACAGACGTACACAAACGTCCATTACACATACTCTCGCACAGCCAAAGGGGCTTCGTAGATTATATTCCTCACCAACCCGTTACTTCGGTAGCTGTATCAATTGACGCAGATGTCTTAAGAAGGCCGACTTACAAGATTCACATACATCCGTACGTGTATCCATTGATGATTTATTCCGTCCCATTCCACACTCTGCGAATACAATGGATGGATGGATGGATATGTAAACAGTGAGGTTGCTGCCCGTTGATATTGGCCCCGTCGCTAAAATGCACTAATTACTCCCTAACCTGGGCAAGGTACAGACGCCATGCCACCATCCGTACCTCGTTGACCTACTTGACAAAAATCCAAGGAAGAAAAAAACGCCAGCCCTCGAATACCATGTCGTCCGGGAAATCATACATGGGCGCAAACATGAAAAAGAAATAAAAAAGCTTGCCAAAGATCGCGCTGTCCCATAGCACCAACGCCCCAGATAGAGAAAGCAACACTTTTCAGTACGTCGTCAAACCCGACAGTGCGTCGTGGATATCAATAGGAAGCTCCAGATTTCTCCAGTCCAATTCATGCTGCAAGTCCATCCCCGACAGCCCCTGCGAGTCAAAGAAGGCCGCACTCATCATCGACGACGGCACGCTCGGCGCTGTCCCGCCGGCGGTCGGTGTCGATGCGGACGCGCCCATCATCAGTCTCGCGTCGCCCCCACGCATGGCCATGTGCATGAAATCGAGCATGGGGATCGCGGACTCAGTCCCCTCGCCAGCGCCAAGCGGCGTGACGTGGTGCCTGAGATATTCCGCCCGGGAGGTGGACGTCGTCATGGAGCCGACGTGTTGTTGATCTACGATGACGGTAGCCGGGGGCTATTGGGGACGAACTGGGGCAAGGGAGGTGTTTCTGCGGTGTCGGGGAGGGTGCGGGCGGGATTGTGGGATGTTTGATCTTTGGAACCTATTGAGAAGAGTTAGTTATTTGATCATGGTTGTGGGTCGCAGAAATTGAAGATGGGAAAAGAAGCAAGGAAAAAGAAAGAGAGAAGAGGAAAAAGGAGGGGTAGGATATAGACAGAAGCGAGAAAACTGCACCTACGACTGCTTGTTCCAGGTCTCTCCTCGAGTCCTCGGTCAACACCTGCTTGCTCATCCGCACCTGCTAATCGTTTCGACGATCTCTCCCGGGACGGCGGCGGCCCCAGATCCGCCGGCCTCTCCTTCCCGGAGCTTAAAGCCCGCGCCTCCTGACGTGCCGATGACTCCTTCCCGCCGCCTGTTCTTGTCGGCTGCTGGCCCTCCAGCTGCATCTCTAGCGATTCCAAGTTCTGCTCCATGGCCGTCTTCGTGTCCCAAAACTCGACGCAGCGCTTGTATGTCAAGTAGAGCACGTCGAAGCGCGACTTGATGAGCCCTTGGTTGATCCCGGGGCCGCCAATGTACTTGCGCACGAGCTGGACAGCCGCCGCAAGCCAAATGGTGCTAGGCAGGAAGGGGTTGATGTGTTGGATGTGGTCCTCGCAGCTTCGATTGACCACCATCAAGATGTTATCGGCCGCTTCAAAGTATTGGCGTACGCAAGGATCATCCGGGTCTTGAAACCCCGGGGAGCGCTGGAGCTGGAGCCCCCGTCGCCCATTTGCTGCAGCTGACCCGCGTGGCCCGCCTGCCGGGACGCGGCGTGGGTGCCAAACATGTCGTATCGGTGGATCATGAGCCTCGCGAGCTGCGTCATGACGTAAATGTTGTATATCCCGCAGTGGAGCTGGCGAACGGACACGACCTGGCCGGGAACAGGCGGGTCAAACCCCAGGTACTGATTCCGGTACCGGAGATGCTGCGGCAACGCGAGGACAAAACACTGCACCGAGTTGGCCAGCATGGCGAGGCGCTGGCGGGCCTCCTCGACGGGACTCGGCCCCGCGCTGGTGCTGAGCCGCTTCGTCTTGCGGCAGAGCGATTTCGCGCGGCGTCGCTGGTCGAGATCGGGCTGGAACGGCACGCCGCGCGGGCTGGAGATGATTTGGGCGTCCTTCATGAGGGAGTTGATGACGAGGTACCACGCTTTCGGCGAGTGGTTCCCGGTCTCCTGGAGAACTTTCCACCGCTGGACGGGGTCCGGCTCCATGAACGTGCTCGGGGCCGGCTCGTTACGAAACCAGTCGGCGTCGTCCACCGGCAGCAGCGTCTCCATGTGCGCCCAATCGATGGCGGTCGGGGTCCGGCGCACGGTGCTGGCGAACACGTCCATCTCCCAGACGGCCCACCACGCTCTGCGCTTTTCCTCGGCGTCGCGCCACCGAATGGGGTCGGACGACCGCTGCCGCCCCCTCGCGGGCGGGCTCCAGCGCGTCGACGAGGTGCAGGTTGAGCTCGTAGGCGAGGCGCACGCACATGCCGAGGAGGCGCCAGGCCTTGCCGTGGACGCCCTTGGTGAGCTGGCAGTGCGTGGTGATGATGAGGGCCTGCACGAGGCAGATGGGGGCGGCTCGTCGTCGCATTCGACGAGGGCCTCGTCGACGAACTTGAGGGCCATGGCGATGAAGCGGTCCGGGGAGTGGGTCTCGGCTTCGGCGCGCAGGAGGTCGGCGGTGCCGGGGGCCGCGGATTCGAGGTCGGCGGCGTAGAATTTGGCGCTGAAGCTGCACATGGCGGCGACGAGGGCGCAGATGTGGACGGGGTTGGCGAAGTTGGCGACGGTTTCGTTGAAGGTGGGCTCGTGGAAGAGGTTGATGGCGACCATGTTGTTGAAGTAGACGCGGACCCTGCGGGAAATGAAAGTCGGTAAGCTCGCTGTAAAGGATGTCGTCGGAGGGGGTGGAAAAGGAAAAGGGAGAGTGGAGGTAGGAGGTGTGGTGTGTCGAGGCCAATACTCACATGAATCGAGCCATCTCCTGCGAGAGACCAAGCATTAGACAGGCCTGCTGTATCATGCCTTGCTTTTCATGCTCTGGCGTGTCCTTGGTAGTGGAGGATGAGTCCTTTTCGGGGTAGAGGCCTCGTGTGATGGGTGGAGAATGAAGGAGAGGCTGTTGATGTTCAGTTTCGAGTTGCGTCTCTTGGTAGTCCACTCGGGGTTCCGCACATTCCCCATCTGGGAATCGGAATCTTCGCCATCTAGGTCGATGGCGGAATGCATGTCTAGATCCTCGTCCGCAGGGCCCGGCGGTGACGTGGACTTGCGTGATAGTGGCTGGTCGCCATTCTGCTGCATCTGCCTCTCTTGGTACCGTCTCTTTTGCCGCTGGAGGGAACCTGAAGATAGAGAATCCCCATCTAATGTCAGCCGTGTTTTCATCACCTTGGAGGAGCTCGGATTCCTTTTCCGAATACTAACCTATCTTTGGACCGGGTTTCTTGGGTTTCAGAGGATAGTTGCAATCCTGGCCTGTCTGTTCGCAAACTTGACATGAAGGATATTCGCGATCGCTAGCGAACCAAGCCGGGGGCGAGGAGTCAGTCATCAGCTTGCGGGTGGGTTCTTCCAAGGATTATGTGGGGAGCACTCACCACTTTACTTTTCGTCTAGAGATTCGGGAGAGCAGCTGCGCGTTAGTCCACCGCCCGCACAAGTTGGTTTCGAAACAGCCGGGCTACATGCACTCACTTTCGGCAAGAATGGCAGGCAATGATGGATTTCCTCGAGCCCTCTTGAGGCTCGTCCCCCTCCTGCAGCATTGCGAAAAGCGCGCGAGGGAAACGAATTCGAGGGGAGAAGGGGACCACCTCCGACCTAGTTACAGACGAGAACCGGCGCGCGAGGTTGAAGTTGGTCGCACACGGAAAAAAGTAGCCAACAACTCTTTACAAGGAAGAACAATGAAATGTAGGGTTGGGGTGTGGAGAAGTGGAAATCGAGGCACAAAAGAAAACACGAGGAAAAGGGGGAGGAAGGAGGATCGGTGGTTGATGGAAGATGGGGAAAAGAGAAAGCAGACACAGGATGAGGAGCAAAGACAAGGGTCGAAAATAGCTTAACCTTTTTGTCAAACTCGTCGTCTCCATCGCAGCATGTGCAAGGAGGATCTAGTTTACTCTCTACAATAGATGTACGTCTATACGTCGCCAACTATCGGGGGCCAAGGGTCTGTCTACCTTTGTGCTCCACACACCCCAATGTATATCAGGCGTCCCCAAGTCCAGCGGAGTTTCCTACTCCAAACTTTTCTCGCCATCTCCTTTCGCGTCTAATACAGAGAGGCACCCAGCACCTCAACCATACCCAAGGGGTCGCATGAGCACAAGCCCTCGACGCACGGAGAGAGAGAGACCCGGTGCCGAGTGCTTGGGATCGAAGAAAGGCTGAGGCCTAGGTGGCCCATATGACCAACGCTAGTGATTTGCATCATGTCTTTTGAAGATTTTCGATATTCTCACGCTTCTGTCCCTTCCCTATCCGGAGTAGCCAAGACTGCACTGGGTGATGGGCGTGCTTACCCCAAGGGAGGAAAAAACATTCCTTGGTCGAGACCTTGCATCCGTCACAATGGGGAGGTACCGTTCGGTACAAGGACCAACTAAACAACCCCCAGAAGACACCACCAGACTAGCTTCCCCAGGAGTATTGACGGATTTCCCCACAGGAGGGATTGGGATCGATCACAGCACGAGAGTGCTCAAAGTGCTAAGTCTGGTGCTGCTGTGCGGGGAAGTGGGGTAATTACAGCGTGTGCCATTGGCTTTTGATTCTCTGAGCTTGGACAAGCCAAGACCTTTGAACAGTGACTGGTCTGTTCAAATGGCATTAGTTCTGCTCCTACTGCGTACATTCAAGAGACGACGGCTGCTCTCGGGGATCGCCTTGATGGAAGCCTGGGGCACGCGCTAGGATCGATGTAGACGAGAACCAATCCACCCCCATGGGCCCTAGCGACGCCCCTCGTTCTAGGGGGTTGCTGGCCTGGGAGTGTTTCTGAGCAATTCCTCCGAAATCAGTCCGTCCATGTCTATCCCACCAGCACCGACCGGCTGAGGCGTCCTGCAGCAGGAGAAAGAAAAACCAAAGAAACGTGCTTCAATACAAAGATGGCCGGTCTACAGGTCATGATTTGATATCCATTCATTCATTGGTCTATCGGAGTCTCGTTGCCCTTCAAATCCGATCTTCCGGGCGTCCAACATTTCCTCTCGAAATTTGGACAGACTCTGCTGCCCCCACCACCAGCCAACCCTTTCAGGTTCAGTGTTGTTCAAGCAGCAGCCAGCAAGACGCCCTCTCTCCCCGTTTTCCCCGCCATCTCCCCGTCCCCATCCCCATCCCCCACATTGATGGATCCATGGATAGATCCTGTTCCTGCTTTCCCCCTCACTGGCCCTGCACCCGCCCACTGCCGTGGTCTCCAGTCTATGATTCTATCAATTACCGTGCCGTCCGAATTCGTTGCAAAGGTGGGGTTGTGTACGGTTTTCTGTTTTGCGTGAACAATCACCCTAACAAAACAAGCATGTCGCCCGTTTTCGCACGATGGCTGGGCGAGTTTCGCTTGTCCTTTGTTTAAATGAGTTGCTTTTTTCTTTGATTTTTTGGGTTCCATTGACTTTTGTCATGTGCTGCTGCCTTTTGAGATTTCGCCTCAAGGCAGCTTAGTTTTTCGTAGAGAGTTACATGTAGATTTTAGTGACCAGAGTCGACGATTACTCGTAGTAGACCTTGTTGATGAGGGTACCAATCTCTTCAACCTCGACACGGATGTCGTCCTCGTTCTTGAGGTCGATCTTGGGGTTGCGCATGGCGCCGATGCCGGGGCCGGTACCGGTCATGATGATGGTGCCGCGCTCGAGAGTGGTGCCCTGAGAAAGGAAGGAGACAATGGTGGCAACATCAAAGATCATTTCCCTTGAAGAAGAAGAAGAAAAGTCAACAATCAGTACGAAAAAGGACGAGCGTGGTGCTTGGCTTACTTGGTGCTGGAATCCTGAACAGTCTCGCCGTTGAGGATCGCGCGAATGCGCAGGTTGTGGGGTCGGAGATGGCGGAAGGCGCGACCAAGACGGGGCCGATGGGGCAGGATCCATCGAGACCTAGAGTTCCTTGACGTTAGCATCGTTTCAACGACAGACAAAGGGAAAAATAAAAGGCGAATCTACGAACCCTTGGAGAAGCACCACTGGCTGTTCTTGAACTGCTGCGCGCGGGCGCTCACGTCGTTGCTGGCCGTGTAGCCGAGGACGTAGTCGAGAGCTTGCTCCTTGGGGATGTCGCGGCCCGTCTTGGAGATGACGAAGGAGAGCTCGGCCTCGTAGTCGCTGGTGCCGTCCTGGGCGACCTTGGGGACGTTGACCCTGGCGGGGTGGGGGCCGTTGAGGGCGGTTCGGGGCTTGATGAAGAGGACGGGCTCGTTGGGGATGGGCATGCTGGCCTCCTTGGCGTGGTCCCTGTAGTTGAGGCCCATGCAGCGGATGATGGGGACCTCGTCCATGGAGAGAGGCGCGAGGAGCTGGAGAAGAGAAAGAAAATGGACGTGTTAGCTGGGTCTGTCTACTGCCATTCGATTTTCTCCAGGGTACGGTACGGCAAAGAGGGACCGGCGCGCGCTGAGCGCATCGCATTGCGTTTGCGAACACGCGGCGCGTATCTATGCTCCCCGCTCCTTTTCTCCAATTTCTTTCCTTTCTTTCTTTTTTTTCAATTGGTGTCCATGATCTTTCTCCATCTTTGTGAGGTCATATCGAGTGGGGCAAGTGCAGACCGCGCACCACAACCAAACGCCGGAATTTCCACAAGTGCTTGTGGAAGTGCCGAGGCGGGTTGTCCGCACTCGTCCCGCCAAATCACCCCTCGGAGATTCGGCAACCCTCCAAAACCCAAAGACGGCCCGCGGGGAGAGAGAAAAACATTGGAGAAGAGGGGCAATGACGAATATGACGATACCAAAATCTGGCACGACGCGGAAGAAAATATAGAGAGAAGGCTTCTAATCTACAGCCAGAGGGTACTCACAGTAGAGATGGTCAAGGACTTGTCCGTGACGATGCCATCAAAGACATTGCCGGTCACGAGCTTCGCGGTGATGGTCTCGCCCTTTTCCAAAGCAAGGCCAAGGTCGGGAGTCTGTTTGGAGTCGATCTGGCCCAGGTGGACCTGGCCGTCCTCCTTGGCGAGGAAGCGTACGAGGTGAGTCCAGTTGCGAGTCATTGTGCTGAGGGTCCGGCGGGCGGCAAACATTCGCTGGGGGCGCGGGGTATCGAGGAAGAAAGGACGCACACGTTTGGCGTAAAAAGGAAGTAAGATGAGGCTTTGGATGGACGGGGACGAAAAGGTCAAGATTTGGGGGAGGGGAATCTAAGGTTTTGTAGAAAGAAAGATAAAAGGGTAGAGGGTTCAAGGTGCGCAAAGCTCGGCTGTGGTAAAAGGTGCGATCTGCTCTTATAAGAACTGGAGCTCAAGGAGCAACTAGTAAAAAGAAAAAAAAAAAGGGGATCTGCCCTCTCCTGGTTGACGCGGGTCGCTTCGGGGTATATTGGTCCGTGGATAAGCATCAATTGTGGATGTCTACTGGCTTCGTTGATCCGTGGAGGTGGAAAGACTTGATCCATTACAACGTCCGCCCACTGGACTTGCCCACCAAATGCGGTGCCGGAGCCCCCACTGCACTCTCCCGCGCGGTGCTAAAATGGGTTGGACTCGAAGCTTTAGCTTGCTTGGTCGCCCACATCTTGCGCTATCGGTGGGGAGAATGAGGAGAAGCGAGGGCGCGGCTTGTCCGCGAGGCTTGCCTAGCATAGCAGGCAAAGGCACAAGGGCAGGCACATCTGCCGGAAATACAACCCGCGGATATAGAATTCGAGAGGTATTCGAGGTGCGGGCCATTTTCGGAAGCACAGTTGAGAGCTTCCCACCCCCAAACCTCCCAGTCCCCTCCTCCAACCACGGATATATTCCTCTTCGATCGCCGGTTGCGTCCGAACAGCGAGCATGACGATCGATCAAGGCACAAGAGGTATCTCGAGATTCTCTGACCAAAAATTATAAATCCCGGTGGTTGTGTTTCTCATCTGGGCCACGACCTGTCTACGCGGTGCTAAATCACTGCAAGTACCTTGATTGCTCCAATGGCCCATAGGTCCGTTGGATGGGTACGGAGCTGGAGAGCTCCAACAGCTACGAAGTAATTCCCCATCCATCCCAAACTTGATGCATAATCAATTCATCATCATTGGCGCTCTTTGGAGAGAAAGAGCCAATCCCGCGCAGAACCAGCCCGACATGTGAGCGCTTTCGTCAGATTGTAGGATTGTGGGGAGCAAACCACTGGTACTGTGAGGTGAACGTGAAAAAGAAAAAGAGAAAAAAAAGATTCCCTCACCCTCACCTTTGCTCGCTGGCTCGCTCACTCTGCTCTGCCGTGCCCCGCCGCGGGAATTTCGCGGGGGTTCCATGTTCCCTCAGCCACCACTTCGGCAGAGCATCGGACTCCAAGTCGAGTATTGAAGCGAAAGGCCCACATTCACTTGTCACTCACCTTGCTCACTCACCATTAGTCACCAGTCATCAGTCACCACATCGTGACCACCCGGTCCGCCAAAGTGGCCGGGAAAGACGAAGTCGGAAGAATGCTTTGGTCCATCGATCCTTGATGACGGCGACAAACACGCCAATTATCAAGGATCAACGGGAGAAAATCCAAGTTCATCTTCAGGCCTCATTACGCCCAATTCAAGCCCCTTCTTTCCATGCCGAACTCGCCTCTACCCCTTCCCCCTCGGCTTCAGCTCCCGATGTTCGGGCCCACCACCCCCGAAGGCCAGTCCCAGCCCCGGAAAACCCGGGAATACAGCCCTGGCTGGCTCCACACCTCGCAAACAGCCCCTTTGCTCCATGCCACCATACGTCTTCCTTAAATCCGAACGGTCGAGCGCTTGAGCCGGGGCCGAACGGCATCAAACTATAGTTTTCCGCGGCTGGGTCTCTTGTGTCTTGTTGACAGCTCCTTGGGAGAGAATTTGCTCGTTTTGTTTCTTCGTCCTTTTTTCCCCCTCCAAAAATTAAATAGGAGGTAGACACACAGACTGTGGCTATAGGCGCGATGCCATCGAGCTTTTGCTTGGTGCATACAATTCGATGCGCGCCTCACGCTCCAGGCCAGTCACTACGTTGAACTTGAACTGTGTCTCTTCGCAATCTACGGTACGGAAGAGTTCGGCATCTATCTCCGCGCTAGATCCTACATATCATGAATATGGATGAAGAGTCTACAAAGGCGCTTTACGTAGCTTATAATTCACGGAGAAAAAGAATCCCCCGTTACCAAAAGCTGTGAATCAATTCAGACAAGGATCCCGAGCCCGGAAGACGACCGACGCAGCCCGCATCCGAACATGAACTCGTAGACGGTGCATGGAGGCGGGGTTACGGCGCCGACCGGCCCCGAAGAATCTCATCAAGTGCTACAGATAATTGATGGCGCCCTGGCATGGTATGGTGAGGCGGCCGCCCCAGATAGAGCCGTCCCGGGCAGAGCATATGGGTAATCATTTCATCCATCAGGGAGGAATGGTCCCCGTATCCCACTCCTTCTAGAAGAAGAGATAGCGCGATCTCGCAATTCGTTCGGGTCTCATCGAACCGCAGCCATCGTGGTGTCACAAAAACTTTAAAAAACTGCTCAGGCTAGAAGAGCAATACGACGGCGGGTAGGGATGAAAAGCCATCATCGCGCGCGGGTTAGTCCTCTCGCCAGCCGCAGAGCCCTCATCCATTTCTCCTCGTCCTCCTTCCTCTCCGCTCCTGCATACCGCAGAGAGGACATGGAACCGTGCCACTTTACTGCCCCCTCCGGGATATTAATTTGCTCTTCCCTCCTGGAAATGCACGGACGGGAGGAATCGACGTCAGGAACACTGAAGCCTCTGGGATTCCGTCCCCTCACCGGCCGGCCGAGAGTGGGAAGCAGCCTCAACCTTGATCCGGGTCCAGTGCGTTCATCATTTCTCTATTTTACCGGTACCTTGCGAGAGAGAAACGGCTGCCAACGCGGGGATGGATCCTACCCCGACAAAAAAGAAGGCCATTGCAAGACCAGAATATAGTGTAGAAGGGCGTATCGGGCATGGCTTATTTAAAGTACCTGCATAAGTAATATCCCGACGACCAAACATCGCGTCGAGAGCAGCAGGCCTCTAACCATCTCATTCAGAAGCTCTCCTCTTTCATTCTTCCGGGAATTGAGCGGAGATGAGGCACAGTCACACAACCTAAACACCCGTATGCTCTCTCTTTCTCTTTCGCCCTCTCTCCTTGTATTATAGACGAGTCTTGGCATCCGCCCAGAACACAAAACCATGACCATCCCCGCCGGGTTTCCCTCTCTAGGTTGTCATTCGATTTTCATGTAGGGGAACGACCAAGAGAAGCGAAAATAGAGAAAGCACAGAGAAGCATCTCGTTCCTTTCGCCGCAGTAACCTGTCCTAATCATGGCTCCGTGTAAGCCCCACACTCTCGCCTACGGCCTACTCGCCTTGGCCTCGCTCGCCGCAGCGTACCCGGCCTCGGTGGAACGCGCAACACTCCTAGGCAGACAAGAGGACGCCCTCGACGAGTATGACTACATCATTGTCGGTGGTGGCACCGCCGGCCTAACAGTCGGCGACCGCCTCAGCGAGGATGGAAAATGTAAGCTGCCCTGATACATCCTCCAGTGCCATGATTATCCCCGGCGCATAGTCTTCTAACCACACTCTTTCTTTTCTCTCCTTTCAGACAGCGTGCTAGCCATCGAGTACGGTTACCTAGGTAAGTCAGACAAGGAACCAAGCAGCTGAGGACCGAGGACCGGCTAACCCTCAAAACAGAGAGAGACGGCTACCGCCCGGGTCGCACCACGTACAACATCACCTCGCAGCCGAGCCCCGAGCTGAACAACCGCACCTTCAACGTCGGCATCGGCTGCATCGTCGGCGGAAGCTCCGCCGTCAACGGCCAAGTCTTCCAGCGAGGCACCGCCGGTGATTACGACATCTGGGGGAGCTCGGCGGACCCGACACCACCTGGAGCTGGGAAGATATCCGCGGCTACTTCAAAAGGTGAGCCTTGCTCAATATGTTTCGTTCGGTCCCCCGGACTTGCCCCCAATTCTCCCATCGCACACAAGACCAAAACAAAGACGCTAACCGCGATGCACGGCGGCGCAGGGCATCCATTTCAACCCGCCCCCGAGGACGTGGCAGAAGCCTTCAATATCACATACGACCTCGAGGGCTGGGGCCAGGACCCGGATACCCGCATCCACGCGACCTACGCCAGGGGCTTAGCACCCCCGTCAGTAAGTTTTTGGCAGTACTTTGCCCCCTCTCCCGGGGGCCCATGTGAGAGTTGGGGAGCGGGTTTACCCTAACCACGAGACCTCGCTTAGTCCCGCTCTACGACGCCATGAAGAACTTCCCCGGCGTCGACGTCCCCGTAGACGGCGCCAACGGCCAAAACGGCCTGTACTGGTTCACCACCTCGATGGACCCCGTCACCTTCAACCGGTCCTACGCCCGGACGGGCCACTGGGACGGGCTGGACCGCGACAACTACGAGCTCCTGCCCGCGACCAAGGTCAACAAGATCGTCTTCGACGGCGACCGCGCCGCCGGCGTCCAGCTCCACCCCGCGACCAGCGCGACGACGTCCGCGTCGTCAAGGCCCGCAAGGAGGTCATCCTCGCCGCCGGCGCCATCCACACCCGCAGGTCCTGCAGCTCAGCGGCATCGGGCCGAGGAAGCTGCTCAAGGCTGCCGATATCGAGGTCAAGGTCGACCTCCCTGGTGTGGGGTCCAATTTCCAGGATCACCACTACATCCCGGGCGTACGCTTCACGTGTGAGTAGTCCCGTACCTTGCGTCCCTCTTCATATCATGCCTTGTTCTTTTTCCTTTTTTTTTTTTTTTTTTTTTTTGGATTGCGTCTCAAGTCCTCCTTCCGCTAACCCAAACAAACACAGGGGGCAACGATCCCGAGGTCCCCGAGCTAGACCTCACCACCAACCTCACCGGCAACGGCATCGCGCTCGGCGCCTTCCTCGGACTCAAGGCCTTCTCCCCCGACCTCTTCGAAGACATCGCGTCGCGGTACGAGTCGCAGAACCCCGCCGACTTCCTACCCAAGGGCACCGACTGCACCGTGGTGGCGGGGTACCGCCGGCAGCAAAGGCCTACGCGCGCGCGATGCGGGACAACTCCATCAGCTTCCTCGAGTGCATGCTCGGCGGCTCGCCCTCGTGCAGCCCGCAGAACGTGCACCCCGTCAGCCGCGGCACCGTGACCCTCAACGCTACCGACCCCGAGGCCGAGGTCATCGTCGACTACAGGGCCGCCTCCAACCCCGTGGACATTGACATCATGGTCGAGGCCGTCAAGTTCTTCCGCCGCTTCATCACCACGGGCGACCTCGCGGTGTACGAGGCCGTCGAGGATACCCCGGCGCCGAGTACGAGTCCGATGAGGACCTCGCCGAGTGGGCCCGCCAGACCATTATCCCTAGCGTTTACCACCCCGTCGGCACCGCGGCCAAGATGCCTCGCAAGTGGGGCGGCGTCGTCGATGAGGAGCTCCTGGTGTATGGCGTCGAAGGCCTCAGCGTTGTCGATGCTAGCATCATGCCCACGCTCGTCGGAAGCACCACCAGCATGACGGTCTACGCTATTGCCGAAAAGGTTCGTGGGCCCCTCTTCCATTCTCATTTCTTTTTCTTTTTCGAACTTTTCGCTAACTTTTCCTCTCCGCTCGTCCTCTAGGCCGCCGACTTGATCAAGGCCCGCGCATAATACAGTGTAAACTGGACATATTCATTATTTTGGAAGGGGTTGCCTGCCTCTTTTCGCTTCGCTGTATATCGATTCGTATGTAGATGCTTTGTGTAGCGAGAATACAATCTCTATTGTGCTGAACGACAAGAAAATGCTACCCCCAGTGGAAGGGCCAGTGGGAATTCGAGGAAAAAGGCTCCAATTCTGGGTAAAGTTCAACCGCCTATTTGCAAACGTAATTATTTCATATGTTACTATTCCCACTTGCCCACCGTATACCCTGAGCGCTGCTGCGCTTAGATCAATGTCAACTTGAACCTGCAGCTCCCCTCGAATAGCATGACCCCGCGCGAACATGACAGTAAGACAAAGGTTCCCGGTGGGCCCACGCGACTGTGACCTTGCACCCGCGCCGTCGCTGCTTCAAGTGGGGTTAACCTAGTTGAGAGTTAATATTTGTCGGCTTTCTTTTTTTTTTTTTTTTCCCGTCGCACCTCGCTACAAACTCAATTGAGGGCCATTCCAGACCTGGGAAGAAACGAGAAAGAGCAAGGCTCGGCAAGAAACATGTCCGACCCGGCCCCTCCCCCGCCCGTACCGCTCCCGTCGGCGCCGGCCGTCCGCCTCGCACCCAACGCCACACTCCAACCTCCACTATCCCGTCGCGGGCACGGCCCGGGCTGATCATCATTGACCCGAACCACAGCGTGCCGGAAAAGCCTTCCGCCGAACCCCCTTCCGAGACCTTGGATCCGGCTCCGCAGTACAAATGGGCCGAGGAGGGTACGCCGTCGTTCGCTTGGCCGTGTCCAGCGGGGAGCGGCCGAAGGGTCATGGAGCGTGCAGGACGATGGCCTGGGAAAGCGATCGCGGCCCTCATTAAGCTCGAGACCTGCGATGTCAAGGACAAGGTCGCCCTCATTGGTATGTTTTAAGCCATGCGCGTGAACGGGGTTGGGCACCTCCCGAACTACGCTTAAAAGGGGCGAGGAAGAACCAAGCAAGTGAAGCGCACTGACGCAATGCATCTGCGTATCGCTAGTCTACGGCGATCCAAGCGAGTATCCTGCTGCCTTCAACGAGAATCTGGCCTCTGCCCTTGCCAACTGCTCCTTCATCGTCGCCACCGTCTTATTTTCCTCATCGTGGAACCTAGGGCCTGCTTCTCAGCCCATTCTCATCCACCACGCAGCGGACACGGGTCCGGCGCCATCCGAAACACCCGGCATTAAAGTCCACACTTATGCCCGTGCTCGGTCACCAAACTTCGTCGTGCCCGGTGCCGAGGGATTTTCCTACACAGCAGCTTCCGTCTCACACAGCCGGAGCCTCAAGTTCGTCAAGGACCACGTAGGCGGGCCGTTCTTTGATCTTGAGAAGATTTGGGATGAGCACACCTATTTCGAGTTCGCCGACAGATCGGTTGAGCAGACCATGGGAACCATGGTTTTAGAACCTTATGTGAACCACATACCCACGGTAAACACCCTCTTCTCCCTCTGCTTGCTAAACCGTGCTTTCGCTAAAGAGATGGGCCGTACCCGGTGTTTCTACAGATGACTGGCGGTATTGGGCGAGCCAGACTGACCAACTTCTACCGCCACCACTTCATCTTCAACAATCCCGAAGACACAGAACTCGAACTCGTTAGCCGCACCATCGGGGTCGACCGCATCGTTGATGAATTCGTTTTTGTGCTGACCCACAACAAAGTAGTGGACTGGCTGTAAGTCGAGACTCGTCTATCCATGATCGCCGCAGAGGGTAGATTATCCAGAGACGCCGGCCAAGCTGACAACGAGACTCCTCCTCTTAACAGCATACCCGGTATCCCGCCGACCGGCGTGACCCTTCGCATCCCCTTCGTCGCCGTCGTCAATGTCCGCGGCGACAGGCTCTATCACGAGCACATCACCTGGGACCAGGGAACCGTGCTAAAGCAGCTAGGCCTGCTCCCCGACTACCTCCCGTTTCCCTACCCTGTGGATGGACTCGAAGGCAAGAACCTAGAGGTTAGAGTCCCTGTTGCCGGGGTCGAAACGGCCACCAAGCTCCAAGACCAGCGAGCGGTGGAGAGTAACTTGATGGTGCTCCCCACTGAGGCTACCATCAGGGAAGTCAGGGTACAAGAGTCCTCCTCACAATAACGGCCACTTCTCGTGTGAAAGCAGGGATTGATGGGCGATTGCTGATATCAACGTCTCGGAACCCCGGTTGGCGGATAGTAGATGTAGGCGCATCCCCCTCTCCAAAATATCGACAATCATGCCAGCATTTCAACCTTTTTCCTAGACGTGCGCTTGCTCCTCCCTTTTTCGCCCTCCTTTTTTTTTTTTTTTGATTCTTTTCGGAGGGGAATATCGCAACTGACGTGGTTGCGGGGCTGGCTATGGAGCGCGTGCACGATATCGAAGAACAAATAATAAAAATAAAATACAAATCAAAAGGGGGCAATCTGGAAAACAAATGAGCGAGCATGAAAGCTGAAGGATGAAAGTAAGGGAGGAAAAACACTACAGAACACTAGTCTGCTCAGATCCTGGTCCTACGACACCTCGAGTACGCGGTCCTGGCCCAACTCAACGGAGGTCGGGGAAAAGGTAGAATCCAAGAAGCAAAATCCAACGCGCGAGACACGAGCTCACACAGCCTTCGTCTTGTCTCACCTTCCCGAACGCCACCCGCCCCAACCCCTAGATCTACCCAGTTCAGCCCACAACCTTCCCGTCATGTCTCAAGCCTGAATCGGGCCATGGGTCGGATTTTGAAGCTACTGCATAAGTGTATTCTCGCTCCCACAGAAAGCAACCCCGCATCCATCAAGGCCGAATACGGCGCAGGCCCAACGTCAAACAATCGATTGTCAAAAGCCAGACTCACGCCATGGGTTTGTCGAGATCAGCTGGCACGACTGAGCTATGATGACGCTTGGCGGCAGTCGAACCGGTAGGCTTATTATTTAGGGATTGGTAGCACAATGCGCCGCAAATGGAAGCATGGCGCGGAAAGAGGAGAGCATGTTGTGAAGGAGCAAAACGAATATATTAAATTAGGAGCATAAGTTCTTTACAAAGCAAGCGCGACATAAGTAACTATTCATACAAAGAAAACTTCCCCAAATCATGACACCACTGTTTTATCTCGCTTCTAGACAAAGCGAGGGGACTCGAACAAAAGGCGTGCATCTGTTCGGGTGAGGGGCGCGCGCTTGGGCGCAATCCTCATCTCGGCATCTTAAAATTGAAAGGCCTCGTTAAGGCAGTCAATGGCGCCTTGTCCGCTGGCAAAGCTGCCGGCAAGACACTGGGAGGCAATTCCAATGGCATGGGGACCGAGCTTGACGCCGCAAATTGCGAGGTTGGCAGGGAGTTGGATGAGGTTCGAGCTGGAGAGGGCAAGGCACTCGGGAGGGAGCTGGCTGATGCAGTGCGCCGAGTAAATGTTGGTGAGACAGTTGAACACATCTCGGGGATGATCTGGGCCACGCAGACAGCAGCACCTCCAGCACCAAACACACCGAGGGCGGCAGTACAGGCTGCAATCATGATCACGCGCTCAAAGATGTTGATGTTGCCATTCAGCGCCGAGCAAGCCGAAGGCATGGTCGGGCAACGCACGATGGGCGCCCTAGTAGTGGTGGCCACGGCGGTTGAGCTGGTGGTGGTCTGCGGCTCAGGCGTCACGGTAGTGGGAACATCGGTCGGGCTAGGTTCATCAGTCGACGATGGCTCCTCGGTCGGGCTAGGCTCATCAGTCGACGAGGGCTCCTCGGTCGGGCTAGGCTCATCAGTCGACGATGGCTCCTCGGTCGGGCTGGGCTCATCAGTGGAGCTGGGCTCATCGGTCGACGAGGGCTCGTCAGTGGAGCTGGGGGCATCAGTCGACGAGGGCTCATCAGTGGAGCTGGGGGCATCAGTGGAGCTGGGGGCATCAGTCGACGAGGGCTCGTCAGTGGAGCTGGGCTCGTCAGTGGAGCTGGGGGCATCAGTCGACGAGGGCTCGTCAGTGGAGCTGGGCTCGTCAGTGGAGCTGGGGGCATCAGTCGACGAGGGCTCGTCAGTGGAGCTGGGCTCGTCAGTGGAGCTGGGCTCGTCAGTGGAGCTGGGGGCATCAGTCGACGAGGGCTCGTCAGTGGAGCTGGGCTCGTCAGTGGAGCTGGGGGCATCAGTCGACGAGGGCTCGTCAGTAGAGCTGGGCTCGTCAGTGGAGCTGGGGGCATCAGTCGACGAGGGCTCGTCAGTGGAGCTGGGGGCATCAGTGGAGCTGGGCTCATCAGTCGACGAAGGCTCGTCAGTCGAGCTGGGCTCGTCAGTGGAGCTGGGGGCATCAGTCGACGAGGGCTCGTCAGTGGAGCTAGGCTCGTCGGTCGAGCTGGGTGGCGCGCTAGAAGAGGAGAAGGTAGCCGCAATATCGCTGGCAGAGGCATCGGTAGCGGAAGAGGCATCTGTGGCCGAAGACTCAGCAGAAGAAGCATCCGTAGCAGAGGCATCGGTGGAGGAAGCATCGGTGGCGGAAGAATCGCTGGCCGAGGTATCGGAGGAAGAGGTCGTGGGGGACGCGCCATCAGTAGCAGAAGAGGCATCAGTAGCAGAAGAGGCATCAGTAGCAGAGGACTCAGCAGAGGAGGCATCCGTGGAAGAGGCATCCGTGGCAGAAGAGGCATCGGTGGACGAAGCATCAGTAGCGGAAGCGTCGGTGGAAGAGGCATCGGTAGCGGAAGCATCAGTGGACGAAGCATCAGTAGCAGAGGAAGCATCGGTGGACGAAGCATCGGTAGCGGAAGCATCAGTGGAAGAGGCATCAGTCGCGGAAGCGTCGGTGGACGAAGCATCGGTGGCAGAGGCATCAGTAGACGAAGCATCAGTAGACGAAGCATCAGTGGCCGAGGCATCCGTAGAGGAAGCATCAGTAGCAGAGGAAGCATCGGTGGACGAAGCATCAGTAGCGGAAGCATCAGTGGAAGAGGCATCAGTAGCGGAAGCGTCGGTGGAAGAGGCATCAGTGGCAGAAGCGTCGGTGGACGAAGCATCGGTAGCGGAAGCATCAGTGGAAGAGGCATCAGTCGCGGAAGCGTCGGTGGACGAAGCATCGGTGGCAGAGGCATCAGTAGACGAAGCATCAGTAGACGAAGCATCAGTGGCCGAGGCATCCGTAGAGGAAGCAGTCGGCGGCGCGGAAGGAGTCAGGATGAGCACGGTGCCAGTGTCGGAGCCATCACCAGGGGGCAGGGTCAGGGTAGTCGCGCTAGGACCGGGCCAGCCACCACCAGTGACCGTAGTGTACGGGCCAGTGAAGGTGGACTGAGTGGTAGGGGTAGCAGGGCCAACAACGTACGCGGTGCCGGTCTCGTCGCCTTCGCCGGGGGGACGGTGAAAGTGGTGGAACCGGTGCCAGTGCCGGGGTAGGGCGCTGTGATGGTAACCACGGGTCCGGTGAACGAGGATGTAGTCTGGGCGGGGGCGGGGCCGACGATGAAGACAGTTCCGGTAGCGTCGCCATCCTGAGGAGGCACGGTGTACGTGGTTCCGCTGCCACCGGTACCCGCCGCACTAATGGTGGTGAAAGGACCATCGAACGGAGGGGTGGTGCTGGGTGCAGCCGAAGGGGTGAAGATGATCTTGGTGCCCTCGGTGTCAGTGCCGGTAGGAGCAAGCGTCAGAGTGCTCTCACCCTCTCCTGACCAGCCACCTCCAGTAAGAGTGGCATAGGGACCGGTGAAGGTGGTGGTGGGGACAATGGGGGTAAGGATGACCTGAGTACCGATCGTGTCAGTGCCCGAGGGAGGGAAGATCAGAGTGGTGGGGACCTCTCCTTCCCAGCCGCCACCAGTGAGCGTGGTGTAAGGACCAGTGAAGGTGGTAGGTTCAGCGCTCGGGGTGAAGATGACCAAGGTGCCAACGGTGCCAGTGCCAGTGGGGGATCGTCAGGGTGCTCTCGCCCTCGCCTTCCCAGACACCACCAGTAATAGTAGCATAGGGACCAGTGAAAGTGTTGGAGGCGCCGCCGTTAGGGGTAAGGATGATCTGGGTGCCAATGGTATCAGTGCCAGCAGGGGGACAACCGTGGTGGGACCTTCTCCATCCCAGCCGCCACCAGTGATAGTGCTGTAAGGACCGGTAAATGTGCTGCTAGGTAGACCACTAGGAGTGAAGATGATGACGGTTCCAACAGTGCCAGTGCCAGTAGGAGCCAGGGTCAAGCTGCTCTCGCCCTCTCCATCCCAGCCACCTCCAGTAAGAGTAGCATACGGACCAGTGAAGGTAGAGGTGGCTACATTGGGGGTAAGAATGACCTGAGTACCGATGGTGTCAGTGCCCGAGGGAGGGAAGATGAGGGTAGTGGGACCTTCTCCATCCCATCCACCGCCGGTGATAGTGCTGTAGGGGCCGGTGAATGTGCTTGTGGGCTGTCCGCTAGGAGTGAAGATGACCAAGGTGCCGACGGTGCCAGTACCAGTAGGAGGGATCGTCAAGGTGCTCTGGCCCTCTCCTTCCCAGGAGCCACCGGTCAAGGTAGCATAAGGTCCGGTGAAGGTGTTGGACGCGCCGCCGTTAGGGGTAAGGATGATCTGGGTGCCAATGGTATCAGTTCCAGCAGGGGAAGGACAACTGTGGTGGGAACCTCTCCATCCCAGCCTCCGCCGGTGATGGTGCTGTAAGGGCCGGTGAACGTGCTAGTGGGCTGGGCACTAGGGGTGAAGATGATGATGGTGCCAACAGTTCCAGTGCCGGTAGGAGCAAGCGTCAAGGTGCTTTCACCCTCTCCTTCCCAGCCACCGCCAGTATAAGTAGCATATGGACCAGTAAAGGTGCTCGACACACCTCCAGTGGGGGTAAGAATGATCTGAGTGCCAATAGTGTCTGTTCCAGCAGGGGTAGGACAATCGTGGTTGGGCCTTCGCCATCCCATCCACCACCAGTGATGGTATTGTAGGGACCGGTGAAGGTGGTAGGCTCAGCGCTCGGGGTGAAGATGACCACGGTGCCAACGGTGCCAGTGCCAGTGGGGGATCGTCAGGGTGCTTTCGCCCTCGCCTTCCCAAACACCACCAGTGATGGTGGCGTAGGGACCAGTGAAAGTGTTGGAGGCGCCGCCGTTAGGGGTAAGGATGATCTGAGTGCCGACAGTATCAGTTCCAGCAGGCGGGAGCACAACCGTGGTAGTACCCTCTCCATCCCAGCCACCACCAGTGATGGTGTTGTAAGGTCCAGTGAAGGGCTGACCGCTAGGAGTGAAGATAACCTCGGTGCCAATAGTATCAGTACCAGTAGGGGCAAGGGTCAAGGTGCTTTCGCCCTCTCCACCCCAAGCGCCACCAGTCAGGGTAGTGTAGGGACCAGTAAAGCTGCTCGACACACCCCAGTAGGGGTAAGAATGATCTGAGTGCCAACAGTATCGGTTCCACCAGGAGGCAGGACAATCGTGGTTGGTCCCTCACCATCCCATCCACCACCAGTGATGGTATTATAGGGACCGGTGAACGTGGTGGGCTCAGCGCTCGGGGTGAAGATGACCTTGGTTCCGACGGTGCCAGTACCAGTAGGAGGAATCGTCAAGGTGCTTTCGCCCTCGCCTTCCCAGGAGCCACCGGTCAAGGTAGCGTAAGGTCCGGTGAAAGTGTTGGAAGCGCCACCATTAGGAGTAAGGATGATCTGAGTACCGACAGTATCAGTTCCAGCGGGGAAGCACAACTGTGGTAGTACCCTCTCCATCCCAGCCGCCACCAGTGATGGTGTTGTAAGGTCCAGTGAAGGGCTGACCGCTAGGAGTGAAGATGACCTCAGTGCCAATAGTATCAGTACCAGTAGGGGCAAGGGTCAAGGTGCTTTCACCCTCTCCGCTCCAAGCACCACCGGTGAGGGTGGTGTAAGGACCAGTGAAGATGCTAGACACACCTCCCGTAGGGGTAAGGATGATCTGGGTGCCAACAGTGTCTGTTCCAGCAGGGGTAGGACAATCGTGGTTGGGCCTTCGCCATCCCATCCACCACCAGTGATGGTATTATAGGGACCGGTGAACGTGGTGGGTTCAACACTCGGGGTAAAGATCACCTTGGTTCCAATGGTACCAGTGCCAGTGGGAGGAATCGTCAAGGTGCTTTCACCTTCACCTTCCCAGACACCACCAGTAATGGTAGCATATGGACCAGTGAAAGTGTTGGAGGCGCCGCCATTAGGAGTGAGGATGATCTGAGTGCCGACAGTATCGGTTCCAGCAGGGAAGTACAACTGTGGTAGTACCCTCTCCATCCCAACCACCACCAGTGATGGTGTTGTAAGGCCCGGTGAAGGGCTGACCGCTGGGAGTGAAGATGACCTTGGTGCCAATAGTGCCAGTGCCAGTGGGAGGAATGGTCAGGGTGCTCTCACCCTCTCCACCCCAGCTACCGCCAGTCAAAGTCTCATACGGGCCGGTGAAAGTGTTGGGTGAACCGCCATTAGGTGTGAGAATAACCTGGGTACCAATCGTATCCGTGCCAGCAGGCTGGAAGAAGATGGTTGTGGGGACCGGGCCATCCCAGCCTCCGCCAGTGATGGTGCTGTAGGGACCAGTGAAGGGCTGACCGCTGGGGGTGAAGATGACCTTGGTGCCAACAGTGCCAGTGCCAGTCGGGGCAATGGTCAAGGTGCTTTCACCCTGACCCTCCCAGCTGCCGCCAGTCAAAGTAGCGTACGGGCCGGTGAAAGTATTGGGAGCTCCACCGTTAGGTGTCAATACCACTTGGGTGCCGATGGTATCAGTGCCAGTAGGAGGGAAAAAGATGGTGGTAAGACCAGGACCATCCCAGCCTCCACCGGTGATGGTGCTGTAAGGGCCAGTGAATGGCTGGCCACTTGGGGTGAAGATGACCTTGGTGCCAATAGTGCCAGTACCAGTAGGAGGAATCGTCAAGGTGCTTTCGCCAACGCCCTCCCAAGCGCCACCAGTGAGGGTGGCATAGGGCCCGGTGAAAGTATTGGGCGATCCACCATTGGGTGTCAGAACGACCTGGGTGCCGATGGTATCGGTACCAGTAGGCGGGAAGTAGATGGTCGTGGGAACGGGACCATCCCATCCACCACCAGTGATGGTGCTGTAAGGACCGGTAAAGGTTCGCGGGCCCTGGCCATTAGGCGTGAAGATGATCTTGGTACCAACCGTACCAGTGCCAGTGGGAGCAACGGTCAAGGTGCTTTCGCCGACGCCATCCCAACCGCCACCAGTGAGTGTGGCGTAAGGGCCGGTGAAGGTGTTGGGAGCGCCACCGTTAGGTGTGAGAACGATCTTGGTGCCCACGGTGGCGGTGCCCACAGGAGGCAGCGTGACAGTGGTGGGCTCAGATCCATCCCATGCACCAGTAGCAGTGGTGTAAGGTCCAGTAAAAGTGTTGGGAGACTGGCCGTTGGGGGTGAAGACGATCTTGGTTCCAACTGTGCCGGTGCCAGTAGGGGGACGGTCAAGGTGCTGGGAGTGGGGCCATCCCATCCACCTCCTGTCAGAGTGGCATAAGGCCCAGTGAAGGTGTTGGGAGCTCCTCCGTTGGGGGTGAGAACGACCTTGGTGCCAACGGTATCGGTGCCTCCGGGAGGAATGGTCATGGTAGTCGGGGTCGCGCCATCCCAACCGCCAGCAGTGACAGTGGTGAAGGGACCGGTAAAGGTGTTGCGGACGCCACCATTGGGAGTGAGAACGACCTTGGTCCCAACAGTATCAGTGCCAGAGGGGGCATGGTGAAAGTCGTGGGAGTCGGGCCATCCCAACCCCTCCAGTGACCGTGGTGTAGGGCCCACCAAAGGAAACTGGAGCGGGGGTGCCGCCGGTAGGCGTAAGAACAATCTTGGTGCCGACAGTTCCAGTACCAACAGGCGGGACGGTGATGGTGGTGGGAGTCGGACCAGCCCAGCCACCTCCAGTAACAGTCTCGTAAGGACCGGTGAACTGCGGCTGTCCAGCTGAGGTAGGGTTCAGAACATACTGAGTTCCAGTCTTATCCGTGCCCTTAGGGGCAGGTAAAGGGTGCTCGGAACGGTGCCAGTGTACTGTCCGATAACTGTCTCATACGGGCCGGTGAATAGTTTGGACGTGCTGGCAGGGATGACGATCAGGGTTCCGGTAGCTTGGCCACGACCAGGAGGTACACTGATGGTAATAGGCTCAGCTCCGCCACAGTTATCGCAAGCGTAGGTCACAGTCGAGTAGGGTCCGGTGAACGTGGTCTCGCCACCCTTAGTCGGCTCAACCCAGATGGTTCCGCGGTCACCTCCCCAGAGCGGAGGCACAGAGAAGCGGCCATTGGGACAGTGGTTGCAAGCAAGAGCAGTAGCGGTGGCCCAAGGACCGTTCCAGGACTTGCGACCGGGTCGAATACTAAGAGCGGGCGATGCCGTTTGAGTCAGCACTGAGTTCAAGGTATAGTGGCGTACTACTTGTTTGAAGCAGCCATATCGACGGACAAGAGGGTTTCAAAGACTTACCGGGTGTAGGTGGTGTAAACAGTCTCAACACAGGTCACCTGGGTTTTGATAGAGGTGGGCGCGTTGTTGACAGTCAAGGTCAGGTTGTCGTTGAGGGCGATCTTGGTGGGTTCAGGGCAGTAAGTGTTGACATCAATGGGCTGGCGGATAATATGCGCGGCGGGCTGAAGCTCGACCACGAAGTGACCATTGGGACAGACCGGCGGAGGCGACTTCAAAGATCCACCCAAGGCCGGACTACCCAGGGAGAGGGCAGCCCCAGCGATGAGGGAGAGGCGCGCGGAGAGCGACATCTCGTCACGCCAGAAAGTTCCTCTCGAGCCCAGTCAACACGGAGAGGGATTGGAGAGAGGAGAGGGGAAAAGGAGTGAACAAGCTAGAATAGCTATTAGAAGGAACGGCTGCAGTAAAGAAAGGAATGGAAGGAAGGAATGCCCTGGAGAGGAAAAGAAATAAACCGAAGGATGATGTGGTCCACGTCTACTTTTATATCCAAGACGAGGAGAGGCATCTCGGGGCGAATGGCATAGCAGAAGCGTAGAGGAAGAGTGCCCATCGACAAAGCACGCTACCCCTTCTCTCCATGCTCATGTCTCCCATTCCATTCAGCCTGTCTCTCTTGCAGTCAATGGATCATGTAGGATGTGAGGCATCTCATCTTCGGTCTCCATTCAACTTCGTCACCTAAGCTCAGCTCGCCAACAAGTGTCACTGCGGAACACCTCAAGGAGTCAATAGACCCAAGAACTAGCCCTTTGGATCACTCAGAACCATTTCCACCGAGACTCACCCTCTGCTTTCAGTCACTCGGAGATGTGCGCCCGCCAATAGCCTCTCAAGATCACGGCAGAAGGTGCCATCTCGGGCGGCCTAGCTTGGGACGAGAGCTGAGCTAGGGTGTTCAGAGGTGACTTTGGCATTGTCATTTCAGGGAGATGATGCATGTCTATGTTTATTTTTGTTTTTCGAGATTCTTCGCCCATCCGAGGACGAGGTCATTTGAAGCTTACCCTCAAACGCACCACATGTGGGTGTCGACAGTGCAGCCGCAGATATGTTTCGGTGGGGACGGCACTCTAAGAGAACGGAGCGGGCCGCGGAGGCTGAGGCTAAGGCAACGGCTGGCGCAGTCCCCATGGTTGCCATATGGTAAGGGTGCCTTGGACAACGAGTCAGCAACAGGACAGGAAAGTCAGAGCTGAAGAGGCTCTTGCGCAACAGTTTAAACGGGAGGGACGCGGCAGCCAAAGAACCAAAATGGCGTGCCTCACCAGTTCTACCACTTGTGGCACAGGGTACCCACCGAATTGAGCCTAGAAACAGACCAAATAGGAAGCGCATCGCTATCTGATGAAGTTTTCCATAATCCAAAGCGTCTATTCGCGCAGCCGAGGTCGGGTTGAAAGCTGCATCTGGGATGGCAGCAGTCAACACGTTGTCGAGATTGGTGTCGGGACATTATATTTCAGCCTCACTCAGCCTTCATTCTATCCGTGCCTGGAGCGTAGCGTGGCAGGCAACAAATCTGGAACAAGGCTGCAGAGCAAGATGGACTGACCTCGTGCACAGGAGTGGAGTTGGGCGAACCGATGTGGTGTATTCTGTCCACTTGGCAGGATATTCTACAAATGGACGCAGGAGTGTGACACCTGCATATGCCCTCCATTGCTCCAGAAAAGCAGAGAGGAAGGGGGAAAAGAAACTTGCGCTTCAATATTTGGAGGCCTTCGCCGCTCCTCCAGGAGTGCGTGCAGGACATTGAGCAACGAAAAAAATATTTAAAGGGGCCGATGAAGCACTTCTCTCGCGAGGGAGAGAAGATTCTGTTCCGCGGTCGTGCTGCTGCGTTTAGTGTTAGTCATCGAGCACTTGTGAGATCCATCAATGATGAGTGTTCTCTTAAAGTCACAGGCACCTCAAATGCACTTTCCCTCTTGCCATTGCACTGCGTCCGTCTCAATAGACATTGATTATGAAGTGCAATGTGCCGTCGCCGAATGATGTGTCGGCAGGCTATCGACGGTTCCATTCCAAGGATTCGTATCTGCTCAATTGACCTCCCATCATGACCACCGCGATACAATTCAAGTATGTCCTTGTGCGTCTTCTCTCTCTCTCTGTGACTCTCTCGTCCTCTTCCACTCCACGCTTCCAAGCAGCGCTCCTCGGGAGGCTTACACTTCAGTGACAGAGTGAACCCTTCACTCATGCCAGAAATATGTCATCACACGGCTGCACGGCAACGATGGTCTCATCGGTGCGTCGAGTGTCCGAGGTTGCCCACACGGCAAATTCTCCGAAGCTGACCCCTGCACTCCCGCGCCGGCGGCTTTTACACCTCCCCGTCACTGGCCACCTAAACATGAGCTCTCCATAATCTGATGCACCCTATTTTTATTTTATTTTCTTATTTCAGTTTAGAAAACAAACAAGAAACAGAAAAAGACCAAAGACCCAAGACATCACACATATAGAGAGGCAGAATTGGTGAGGGAAAGGGAAAGGGGGGCAACTGAGACAATCCTAGGTCCCAATCCCTGATCCTGCCCACGAGAGCAACACTAGATCCCTATGCCCACGCCCTGCACCCCACCCTCAAGTCTACTGCATGTCTTGTCCTCGCCGAGGCCCTTTTTCCAAGACACATGGCACAATGCTAGTATCCCAAGAGGCAAGATCGCATTTATTTTGTCTTTCAGCTGTGCTCAGCAAGCGTGCTAGTCTCACCGTCGCGTATCCGGTGTCGCGAGCCATCAAGCCTCATCGCCGTCCAGCGGCCGGTAATCAGGTCCCATCCCGCCTTAAACTCCCAATTAGACAACCTTGAAATGCTAGTTTCCCGTCTTAAACCTAGTGTCACTGCCCTATAACGAGACGCGGTTGAGCGCCGAAAACCTGCCCGTCCCATGTCCCTCGGTCGCGCGCGTGCCTGGTTTCGCCAGATATCTATATAAAGAATGTCTTCGGCGTCGATGAAGACAACTTTTTCTCACCCATTCTGAATCACAACAACCAGCCCCTTTCTGCCGTCTTACTCGTCTTTCCATCTTCGCTTCTTAATCCCCAGGCTCCCTCGCCTATTCCACTCTTTTTCTTGCCAGGCAGTCCATCAGCTTCTTGCTCCCACACAAGCCTTTACCCAAGCCAAGCATAAGCTTTTGCTCCCTCACGCTCGTTTCTCGCAGCCAGAAAGCCTCTCTTTTTCCGAGAAGAAGACTACCTTTCGCACACACACTCCTTTGCGCAACAACGCTCACGCCAGTCGTACAGAAGCAACACAGAAACTCACGCTCAAAATGTCTGCTCTTTCCAAGCTCTCGCTCTTCGTCCTTCCCGCGGTCGTCCTTGCCGGCGTCCCGGCCCCTCTCCCCGAGGAGGACTGCACCACCACCATCATCAACCCCCGTCGTCATCCCCACCGGGTTCCCCCGTCAAGGTCCACCCCGGCCCCAAGGGCGGCAGCTGGGTCAACGTCCACGACGTCGTCTATGACCGCTTCGGTGCCGACGGCGTTGAGCCCTGCACCTACGAGGTCACCAAGACCTGCGACAAGCCTTGGTGCGGTGGTCTCCCCACCGACGGCCCTGCTCCCGGCTTCACCGTCACCACTGCCGTCTGCAAGACCTGCGGTCCCCATCCCATCACCGCTACTTTGACCACTCCCTGCGAGGAGGAGACCGGTGCTCCCCGCCCCAAGCCCGGCGGTGGCAACGGTGGCAACGGTGGCAACGGCGGCAACGGAGGTAACGGCGGCAACGGTGGTGGCTCCAACGGCGGCGGTCCCCACGGTGGCGGTCCTCATGGCGGTCCCCACGGCGGCGGCAACGGTGGCGGCAACGGTGGCGGCAACGGTGGAAATGGTGGCAACGGCGGTAACGGCGGCAACGGTGGCTCCGGCTCCGGTGGTGGCAATGGTGGCAACGGTGGTAACGGCGGCAATGGCGGAAACGGTGGCTCCGGCAACGGTGGTGGCTCCGGCGGCAACGGTGGAAACGGCGGCAACGGAGGTAACGGTGGCTCTGGCTCCGGTGGTGGCTCCGGTGGCAATGGCGGCAACGGAGGCAACGGAGGCAACGGTGGATCTGGCTCTGGCTCTGGATCCGGCGGTAACGGAGGCAACGGCGGCAATGGAGGCAACGGTGGCAACGGTGGTGGCAATGGTCAGCCCGGCCAGCCTGGTACTCCCGGCCAGCCCGGTCAGCCTGGTCAACCTGGTCAGCCCGGCCAGCCTGGACAGCCCGGTGGTGGTCAGCCTGGTGAGCCCGGCCAGCCTGGCCAGCCTGGTACTCCCGGTGGTGGCAGCGGCGGCTCTGGTTCTGGCTCCGGTTCCGGTTCCGGTTCCGGCTCTGGTGGCAACGGTGGCCCTGTCCAGGTTGCCGGCAGCCCCAAGCTCATCGCCATCGGTGCCAGCATCTTCGTGGTTGCGCTCTCCACCCTCATGGCTCTCCCTTTGATGTAATCCCCTTTTAGTTGTTGACAAGAGAAAAGGCCAGGCGCCATCCGCCCAGCCAAGGCAGGGTATTCTTGGCGTGGCTCATACCAGCGGGCCCCATCTTGGGCCTAGCTCCGTAGACACGGTTTCGCTTTCTGTTCAATAGGGTTCATTTATAACGGCTAAAATCTATGATTATAATTCACAACTGCTCGTTGTCGTCGGTGCATTTTCATCAGTGACCTTACTCCTCTCAGTCGACGCTGGCTTGGGAATCCCACAAAGCTGGGCGCGGCGAGGAGATCGGCCCTGGATCTTCCAAAAGGGAACTGACATGGCCTGCCAGACGCAGCCCGCGAGACTTGCCCGCATATCTTAAACTCACTGGCCTACGTTTACCCTACTAATGACAGGAGCGATCAAGGGAATCTTAGAAAGGGGAGGGGAGGGGGATGGAGGTTACCGAGACAGGAAATAACAAGACCGGAGGAGGGCCACTCACAGGATGAGCGGATGAGGAATGTTTCTCCTGCTCTTACTTTTTCGCGCTGTTTTACATCCTACTTAATTTTTCCCCTTGCCAATTAAGAGATTGCTCCTTTCTTTCTTTTGGTGTCTTGAAAGCAAGCCTTGGTCATTAAAAGTATTTTTGGGCCCAACGCGAAAAAGCAATGGATCGATGGGTCCGTGGATGGATGGAGGTCTCTGGTTTGTGACCCTGATTTACACCAGCTTTACCGAGAGGTTAAAAGCAATTGCCCAAGCCGGCGTGCTTAGGATGGGTGCCTAGTCGTCCTCTAAACCCACCTAATGGATTGCAAGTCATTGAACTTTGAAGCTTCGCGAGGAAGCACTGGAGGCATTACACAATCATTTGATCCCGATTTTTCACTGCATCGGCGAAGTTGCCTCACTTCCCAAGACTCTATGGGATCAGAGCCTTTGTGCTCTAGGAAACCTCACACGTAGCACTTGAGGCCTACCAGCGCCAGTAACGTCTTTCTGTTAATTCATCGGGTATCCATCAACGTTAGATCAGGGGCAAGCCGACTATATTTATCCATCCACGAAATGGATCCTTCGAGCCCTGAACTAATACCTCAGAAGTAGCAATGTTCATTCCCAAAAACCCAACAACGTCCATCCCCGACATGCCGTGTTCCCGCTCACCACGGCTGGGACGTGTGTCTCACTCTTTCCAGCGAGAGTTGGCAGGAGATCCCGACAGTCAAGCAGAACACAGTGTGTTCAAATCAAATATGGTGCAGTCCCTTTAGGGGCGCGTCAAAAGGCACGTTGGGCCATTCTCCAGGTCTCACTTGAAGTTTGAAAACATGAGGCAGATCTTAATTTCCCAGCTGTAAATTATGAAGGCAAGGAGGTTGACGGTCACCCTACCTCCACCATTCTCTCCACCCTTCGATTTGGCGATAAAGAAACTGGATCGCGAGGCACGCGCCGCGCTCACTCATCCTGCGTTTTCATCAAGGAGAAACCACACTCACGCTTTCATATCCTTCAAAACCATGCGATGCCCACGTCCGCAGTCCCGAGCGTCGTGAGAAGTTCTAGCCAGGCTAGGGAGAAGAGGGCGGATTATCAGCCATCTGCATAGTGCCTCCGGGACGAGGACCGTGGCTCGCAGTGCTGGTTCACTCTATGCAAGGGGCTCTGGCATCGCCATTATGCATATGTCAATGCCAGTGAGTGGAGGCGGCAGTAATCACGGAAGTGTCAACGAGCCCAGGCGGTCGGAGTTTCAGGAGGGCCGGGAACGTACGTGAGGTTAATGGGCTATTCTAGTGTAGTGTAGGCGCGAGCACGAGTAAGGTTGGTCAGGAAGGCCTGCGTCTAAAAGCAAAGAACAAGGGGGAAAAGGAAAGAAGTACCGAGGTAGGATCCAATCTATTACCTCCAGCACCTAATGAGAGATTGAAGGTGGCTTGGGGCCCTCAAAAGGACACCCAGTGTTAGTCAGGCAGGGAGATGCCCCAGACATTGCCCCAGGCGTATAGATCCATCTATCCATGGATATATCCTGTTACTTCGGTATTGGACGACTTATCAACCCAGCCACAGAGGGCGTGGCTTGGCTTATCCGTCATCTACGCCACAAAATGCCGTTGCCGCCAACGATCATAGTCCAGAACAATCGTGGCGCCGAGCGAAGACGACCAACGACATCTTGTTCAGCCTTGCTTCACGTCACCAAGGAAAACATAACCTGACTCGATTCAATGCAGATCCTACCCTTTTTCTGCTCGAATATCGAGGCTGTAGGTCGATCGGCTTCGTCTGCAAGGAACGGAATGGTAATCGGTGCCTTCACCACGAGGAAATCAAGGCCATGGCTGCTACAAGCGATGACAAAAAACCCAGAGATGCGGCATGGTGGCTGGGGAGCTTCTTCGACCCACCCGCACATCAACGGGGCCGGAGATGGCGATGTCATTCGCCTTTTGTTTTTTGGTTTTTTGTCAGACGGAAGCGTACTGTAGAGAGGGGCAAAGGGATAGAGCGATGCTTTTCCCATCTGTAATATCCCCCTTGTGGAAATCATCATGAACGCCACCACAATTAAAAGACTAGCACGACGCTTCAGTCCCCATCACATCTTCATCTCGGATGCGAAGGGTCTGCAGAATCTGACATCACCGCCCCGCGGGTGATCTCGAGAGATGCGCGTCGATGGCTGACGGGAACTGAGTAATGTCATTAGGAGGAGGCGAAAGAGTCGCGATGTTACCAGGATGGCCAGGAAAGGATTTCGAATACTATGAGCAGCCATGAACCATAAAAGGGAACGCATCGGCGCCTCATCATGTCGACAAAAATAGTTTCCCATCATCAATCAAGCCTAGAACGGCATCTCCACACCCGTTCCTTTCACTCGTTTACCTCTAGGACTGGCCTTTGGTCACCGTACACTCGTTTTCCTTCAAACGCATCCACACATTCTTTCCACTTCCAACTTCACCTTCACTCTTTTACACCATCATGAGAGTCTCAACTCTGGGGGCTGCCGCCCTGGCATTCGCCGTGGCGAACGCCAAGACCTATCCTTACTGTGTAAGTCATTGCCCTATCAAGTTGTCAGGGAGTTTCAGCAACGGCATCTGGTGCTAACCCTTGTTCGCAAACAGGAGGAGGATAACTGTTACCGCAACCTGATTGATGAGCGGTTCGCCGAGGGAGCTCCGGACGCCTGTAACGAGTGGCTTGCCGGTACCACCACCGCCGCGTCCGCCATCCCTACCGACTTTGCCAACTGTCTCGACGTGGAGGCCTTTAGCTCCGCCTGTTCTTGCGTTACTTATGCCGCTACCGCGACGGACTATTCTTCCGCCAGCGCCACCAGCACAACCACTCCTTCGACCGGTCGGCCCATGACTAGGACCCGTCGTCCACCCTTTACTCGAAGGCCTACTCGACGGCCTACTCGCCGCCCCACTCCCACAGGGAGTGAAGAGCCCACGGAAACTGAGAAGCCTACTGAGACCGAGGCTTTCGAGACGGAGGAGCCCACAGAAACGGAAGAGCCTACTGAGACGGAGGAGCCCACTGAGACTGAAGAGCCTACCGAGACGGAGGAGCCCACAGAGACAGCAGAGCCTGCTGAAACCGAGGAGCCCACCGAGACTGAAGAGCCCACCGAGACTGAACCTGTTGAAACTGAGCCCGTCGAAACGGAAGAGTCTACTGAGACGGAGGAGCCTACTGAGACTGAGCCTGTCGAAACTGAAGAGCCTACGGAGACAGAAGAGCCCACCGAGACTGAACCTGTTGAAACTGAGCCCGTCGAAACGGAAGAGCCCACAGAGACAGCAGAGCCTACTGAAACCGAGGAGCCTACCGAGACTGAAGAGCCCACTGAGACTGAGCCCGTCGAGACGGAGGAGCCCACTGAAACTGAAGAGCCTACGGAGACTGAACCCGTGGAAACCGAGGAGCCTACTGAAACTGAAGAGCCCACCGAGACGGAGGAACCCATTGAGACGGAGGAGCCTACCGAAACCGAGCCCGTCGAGACTGAGGAGCCTACTGAGACGGAGGAGCCTACCGAGACTGAGCCTCTCGAGACTGAGGAGCCCACTGAGACTGAGCCTGTCGAAACTGAGGAGCCTACTGAGACGGAGGAGCCTACCGAAACCGAGCCCGTCGAGACTGAGGAGCCCACCGAGACGGAGGAGCCCACTGAGACTGAGCCTGTCGAAACTGAGGAGCCTACCGAGACGGAGGAACCCACCGAGACGGAGGAGCCCACCGAAACTGAGCCCGTCGAGACTGAGGAGCCTACTGAGACGGAAGAGCCTACTGAGACTGAACCTGTCGAAACTGAGGAGCCCACCGAGACTGAGCCTGTCGAGACTGAGGAACCCACTGAGACGGAGGAACCTACCGAGACGGAGGAGCCCACCGAGACTGAGCCTGTTGAGACGGAGGAGCCCACTGAAACAGACGAGCCTACCTCCACTGACGAAGTGACCGCCGCGACTGAGTCCGAGGAGCCCTCGGTCACCACCCCTGGTCCTCCGGCTACCACACTCAACCCACCGGACCCGTCAGCTCCCCCACGGGCTGGTACAACAACTCGACCCGCACCCGTACCCGCACCCGCCGCCCCCTGTGGACCACTTCGACCGCTTACTCCACGACGGTGCGCACAATCTACGCTTGCCCGACCGAGAAGCCTCACTGCCCCGTCCGAAACCCCGTCCTCGTCACCGAGGTTGTGCCGGTCCACACCGCCGTCGTCCCCGTTATTCCCGGGGTTCCCAACGATGCCGAGTACCCCGAGGCGACCCAGCCTGCCGGCAACGGCGGCCACGGCAGCCACGGCCATGGAAATGGCGGCGACGACGATGTCTACGGCGTTGAATTCGAGTTCCCCGGCGACTCCTCCAACGGTGGCGACGTAGATGTCCCTGCTTCTCCCAATGCCGGCTACGAGGGTGATGCTGCCGCTCCTGGCTCCCCAGGTGTCGTCAATCTCGGCGAAGATGGCGGCAACGGTGGCTCTGGCGTGTCGGGTGGTCCTGCTGGAACAGGCCACGTCGAGAGCAGCCCGGCTCAGCCTACGGGTGGTTTCCCGGTGACCGCGGGCGCTGGACGCGCCTCGACCTGCATCCTGGGCGCCATCCTCGGCGCCGCCCTCATCCTTTTGTAAGATTTTTCCAGCAAAATGTCATGTTTTCAATCACAAATGGCGATAGACGGGACTGTCCACGTTGCGCACCGCAGGTTTCTCTTGAACCCTGGCGAGATTCAAAGTGGGAGCCTCTAAAATGTTTTGTAACCAAGCACAGGCATGCACATGGGAGTTTCGCAACCTTTTTTTTTTCTTTCTCCTTTTTGTCGTCTTTTCTTTTTTGATCCATATAATGTCTTAGCTCTTCCTTTCCCACCAAGCAAAGCAACGAAGGGGGAATAAATGATGGCGGGTAACAAATCGCTACCAATAAAAAATTATCTTTCTTCCTCTACAATATTTGTCCTGCTTTGATGTGGACATGTAACCAATGTGCTTAATCAGCTACGAAGCTCATCGAATCCAACCGCCGCCATCAATCAGCTTCGTGATGATTTCGTGTGTGAGCACCCGGATCAATGCGAAGGAATGACCGCGTAGACCGCCGAGGTGGTGCCCAAGTGCAGTCTTGCAAGGTTAAATCAATTATTACACGTGCATGCACCCCAAGAGCCTCGTTTACCTGTAAAAAGGAATAATTTGCTCACTTGGGCTTGGCAGTGAGGTTTGGGCAGGATCTTGCGGGAATATCCCATGATGTCGACATGAATTGTTTGCCATCGTGGAGGTCAGCGCTACCAAGAATGTGTTCCTTCTTGGCTTCGCAAAGTCCTGAACTCATGCCGCCCTCTAATGCCGTTTGAGCCGCTCAGTCACGGGGCTCCGAAAACTAGCCCAGAGCAAGCCGATCCCGATAACCCACCTCTTCCACATGCAATGGATCTATGGATACTTGTATGCAATCCATGAGAAGAGGTTGACGATTCACTGCTCTCACCACCTTCTCGTCGAAGCAACGGAGCCAACGTCCCCGTCATATCAATCAACAAGTAGTCCCCTACGTAGATTCTAAAAAACCATTCCACGCGATGCTTCCATTAAAATAAAGCCAGCGTTATCCCAAATCCCAGAAACCAAGCAAAACCTTTCTTCTTTTCTTTTCCTTTGCATTTGGGCTCATATAAGCCACTATGGATAAATAGGCTCCCCACCTCCAACCCGCGCCAGCACGACCAACCAAGGTGACGTCTAGTCAAATTGGTGCGGGTTTCAAAATGAGCAGGCTTCAATATTTCCCACTGAGCGTGATCAAGTTGGGAAGGAGGAAAGACCTCCATTGGGAAGTCATCGTCCCCACGCCACCGAGTTCCCCATATCTTCCCCAAGACTTCCCCACCCTTTCCCACATATGCCATATCGTGTGCCCACCATCCAGTGTCACGACGGTCAGATCTTGAAATAAACAAAGGGGCCAAGCCTTTTTCTCTCTTCTCTGCTGGCATATCGCTGTAAGAATCGCTCATCAGTGGTCCTCGCCGTGAGGTATCCTGTCACCATGTCCCGTCCCCCTCTTCCGGTTGCCGCGCCCTCAACCCACCCTCGTCCTGGGCGCGTCTAGGCAATATCTCTTGCGCCGTCCCCTTCTATGTGGCAATGCGTCAGGTCTCTCTTACTTCCTATATCCCGTCCGCTCTGTGCCAGCATTTACAAATTGCCCAGGACGGAGTGAGCTTTGTCCGGCTCGGCCTTCTCTTCTGCTCACAGCGGCTCGCAGTCTCTACTCTAGATTATCTCAGGATCTAGATGTAGTTGCATCCGCATTGCTCCCTCTGATTAGCAGTACAGTAAAACCACGAGCACCGATGGGGCCGAATGTATCTCTTTGGCGGTCCGGGCTTCCGAATGATGATATCGCTCTATCCTCTTCTAGAAGAGCTTCCAGAGGGCAGCCAAGCCAATGGATGTTAAACGCCACTCAATCTGACAGGGTCACACTGGAGAGATGAGACGAATTTGATCATACGGGTCATTGGCGAGATAAATCAAGATGGGGGACTAGGGCATATCCTTCTCTGCTCTTACAATTGACGTATTTCTCTTGCATGGAGAGCGGAAAGTAGGGTGGGAATAAAGGGAGGGAAGGGAAGGGAATAGAGAGAGAGAGAGAAAAAAACCTGGGGCCAAGCATCCTTCCCATTCTCGCGATATTAACTCTTATTGAGGAGGGGTGGCCGAACATGGGGGAGGTGACTGGGATATGGGAGGGAACCATCATCTAGAAGATTAAGGGCCCGGGTAGGAGCCGAGAGCACTTCTCCACACGGTAAGGCGGATGCCGGTATAAATATGCGCGTCCTCGTCACCGAGATGAAGGCTTGCAAAAACCCATTCCTCTCGATCGTTCAAGGCACTTTCCCTCTTTCCTCAAGTCATACTCGGACACAATTATCTCCCATCCAGTCAGCGACTGCTACGAACCTTGCTCCCCCTCCCCTAACCCTTCGTACCTTTCCCCTACCTCCTCCCAACCCCCATCATCATGAAGCTCCTACGCCTCCTCGCCGCCACCGGCGCCGCCAGCGCACACACCATCTTCGTCTCCCTCGAAGTCGACGGCCAAAACCTCGGCATCTCCAACGGCGTCCGCACGCCCAGCTACGACGGCCCCATCATGGACGTCTCGTCCCAGTCCCTCGCGTGCAACGGCGACCCCAACCCCACCATGGCCACCGACACCGTCATCGACGTCAAGGCCGGCTCCACCGTGACCGCCATCTGGCGGCACACCCTCGACTCCGGCCCGGAGAACGTCATGGATGCCAGCCACGTCGGCCCCACCATCGCCTACCTCAAAAAGTCGACGACGCCAAGACGGCCGCCGGCCCCGGCGACGGCTGGTTCAAGATCCAGGAAGACGGCTACAGCGGCGGCGTGTGGGGCACGTCCAAGGTGATTCAGAACGGCGGCAAGCACGCCATCACCATTCCCGAGTGCATCGAGGAGGGCCAGTACCTGCTTCGCGCGGAGATGATTGCTCTTCACGGCGCTGGTACCTACCCCGGTGCTCAGTTCTACATGGAGTGCGCCCAGATCAACGTCGTCGGTGCGAGCGGCGCCAAGAAGCCCTCCACCGTCAGCCTACCCGGCGCCTACTCTGTAAGTTTATCTCATCATCGTCACCTTGTATCACCGCGCCTGTGGCTAACACGATTTGCGAATATCAGGGCTCCGACCCGGGCGTCCAAATTAGCGTCTATTACCCCCTATCGAGAACTATGTCGTCCCCGGCCCACAGGTATTCACCTGCTAAGCAGAGTGATGCTTAAATGATGAGACAATCACAGGGCGAGGAAGATGTTTTGCATAAGGATACAGTGGAGTTGAAATCATATAGACTGTAGGATGGACTTTATTATCTTCTTTGTTCCATTTTTTTTTCATTCAAATCCCCGGATATCGGATGTCCTCGGGCAAGTGGGGATCATTTTGGGAGCCGCTCTCTTGCGATGGAGCTGACGGCTGGAAAACGTCTGGCTCACCAATACAATGGATCTATCAAGTAGAGTCTGTCTATTATAAATAGACCCTTACCTTTCCAATCGCTTCAATGCAGTCCACCGTATCTACCTTGCCGTGCAGATTCGCAGCCCTTTTCGGGTATCGCTGACAATACCTACATGGTTGGCATTCCCCATTTTCTATCACATCCATTCCATCCGTCCATCCATGGATGAATGAATGGAACTCTTCTTCCCTTGCTCTACACGTAGCCCTTGTAGCCCACATGTAACCTCTGCATTACGCCTTGTCAAACGGCTCATTTCTAGTCCTGACCGGCCTTCTCCCGCCTCACCGGCCGGATAAATCGGTTCACCTGGTGCGATGCAGCCGCAATCGTGGTTCTGCAGGAGGCCACGGCCCCATGACGCAGACAAAGGAGATTAGAATAACGCTGCGTTTCATTCAAATATCAATCAAGTTCCCTCCGCCTAGCCTACCATGCTCCTCGATGCCCATACTCTGATATCGTTCCAGCTCGCCAGACGAGGAAAAACCACGGTGACTCACGACGCCCGTATGAAAGATGGGGAGCCTCTGCTCGACCATTAGCCTCCGGCTCCAACTACCATTTGCTTGAAGCATCCATGGATCTATCTTTCCGTAATCTATCAGATGGCGCCCAAAGTAAAAGCTCTTGCGTTCTCCTTCTTTTTCTTTCTTTCTAATTACAACCCGCCGCCACCCATATTTACAGTACAGCGTAGCGGTGGGTACCTAGTCTCTCCAAGTCTCATCATTTTCCCCATCGGGCTGTCTCGTCACCCTGTTCCCAGTCGCGCTCAACGTATCCGAGCTCCTCCTTGACTCTGTGAACAGTGTCCTTGTCGCCTGTATTCTTGCCAATATTATCACTAGAGCCGGGAGTTAGCGACAACGAGGCAAACATACGCGGAATTGGAGAGGGGCAGACCAACCTAATCTTGACAGCGGGCCTTCCGGCCGCGGAGCTAAGCTTGATGACGATGTTCAGGGAAGAGACTTTGTGCCGTCCGAAAGATGAAGGAAATCGTTGGTGAGGTAGGTTCCTACACCGAATGTCGGCTGGAATCCGTGATCCTCGGACAGTTTCTTGTATTCCAAGCAGCGATCAACGTCCAGAGAGTCCGAGAACACGATTGTCTTCTTACCAACCACGCCTGCTTTGTCATAGTAGTCACGAAGCAGCTTAACAAAAGACGCGGGGTTCCCGGAATCCTGCCTCACGCCGTTGAAGACCTCTGCGTAGGTCTGCACTCTGCCGCTGTCGTCCTTGAAGCGATCGACCGACAAGCCCTCTTCCGCCGGGGTCACGGGAAGACTAAAAGCCTTGAGGAACTCTTGCGTGCCAAAAGTGTCGGTCAGGGCGATGCCAAGCTTCCCACCAAAGGAATCGACCCACAAGCGGAGCGCGTGTTCTGTTGCGTTCTTGTAGTCACCCGTGATTGCGGCCACTCCCATGAACCATTCGTGAGCGACGGTGCCCACGGGGATGCCGAATCGCATCGCCAAATGGACGTTGCTCGTACCGGTTAGTTTACCAGAGAGACCCTTTGCCTCGGCTTCCTTGGAAGCCTTCACGAGACCGCGAAAGACAAGAGCCTGGGTGTGATAATCGCGTCGGCGGCGCGTGCCAAACTCGGAAACGACACAGCCAGCTTCTAGTAGGCGCATTCCCTTGTCGAACGCGGCTTCTTCCTGGCCGTCATAACTCCAATCGGTGTCCATGTAACGGAAATACGCCTCGGAAGTCAGTGCCAGCATAGGAATCTCGTAGAGAATAGTGCCGGCCCAACTACCCTTAATTTCCATAGCAACATCACCAATGTCCGATGCCGAGCCCGTGTCATCCCCGACGGGCGTAAAAGTCATCTTGACTTGGCGGCGAGGGTCAAGGCGGAACTCCTTGAGGAACGCCAGGTACTCAGCATTCAGATAATCGCAATGAGTCTTGAGAAACCGATACTCTTCATCGGAAAGGCTTATATTACCCAGCTCTAGTACCCGGGTAGATTAGCGATTGAGCACTTGACGCGCGTCTCGGCGGTGCAAAGGCGGGGAGGGGCGCGGCTATCAGCGCATACTTTGGACCTGCTTCTCCAGCCACTCGAAGGCTTCTCGCGAGAGTTTCTTTTCATGGGTGCGGTTGGTAAAAGAATACGTCACGGGTACATCTTTGAAATATTTCATGACGGCGCATTGCATTGTGAGTTTGTAAAGATCCGTATCCAGGAAGGATATGACCCCTCCGGGAACGGAGATGCGTTAGAAAAGTCCATTATTCCTGCGGAGCCGCGAGGCTTTGAAAAGGAGACGAATCCAGTGATATCAAAATTAAACCCTCGGGTTTCCAGCTCATTCGGCCTCAGCGAGGTGAGGTCTTGGGTAGGTTGTGTCAAGCAAGGGGTTAGTCTAGGAGTGGTGAGACAGTGAGAGGTTGTGGTGTGGGATATGGTAGGAGTCAGAGTAGTGCTGAGGTGAATGGGAAAACTGTGGATTCTTGGTGTTTATTAGCAAGATTAGGAGGAACTTGAGGAAACCAAAGTTTAGTCACAGCTTGAGGCGACAAGCATCTAGAAAAATATCCCGATATAGGAGAGGGATTTATAGTAGTCAAGGGAGGGAAAGCAGCAGGTTAAAAGATGAAATAAAAGATAAAAATACAGTCAGAAACATTCTCATCAATATTAACACTAAGATTTTCTCCAGGGTACTTTTCATCAAGAAATCAACAACCTAGAAGGCTCTTTGTAGTTTTGGAGGGAACCAAAGAGTAGAGGGAACTTTGTTTGGCTTGGGTACTCTTTGGCCTCGGTATGTGGTGCATGCGCCATCCATCTATGGACAGATCCCTTTGTTCATTGACTCAGAAAGGGGGATCAGTTGATGAGCTCATTTATCCTTCTACTTCCAGGTTCAACTATCTCATAATTTGACACAAAGCCAGAAATTTGACAACTCAGAGGTCAAGATGAAATGGAAAAAGCAAAGGAGCTATTGATTGGTATTTACAGATGATTCAATGTCCTGTTCTACTTCTCTATTACGTAGCCATATCGTCTATAGAAGAGACCATGTGAGGAAGCTTCTATATCTATATAGAGAGAGAGAAATCATCACCTTTAAAGAGTTAGAAACATGAGATGGGCTAGGTTAAAGTGAGAGAGCAAACCCTCAGTATTAAGTGAATGCTGAGTTGAGGGATTGAGATGGAAAGATCAATGGATCAATGTGGGGTGGAGGGGTAACTCGCGCACAGACCACTCCAACTGTGGCTGGCTTCATCACCAGCAGATGTACGAAGTAGATGCTCCCTAAGCAAAGCATACTCCACCGCCTTCCAGAATTTCTGGCAGAAAAAAAAATATTCTTTTGGCGGGAGCCAGGGTCGCAAGCATCACGGCAGCCAAGGAGCCGCACTTCACCCCTCCGTTGACCTTGAGCAATTCCTTTCCCCTCCGCCATTTCCCCTCCCCCTTGCGGAAACAGAGATCGAACTCCCCGATCTTGGGCTTCTAGTCAGAGTCCTCCAAAAGAAAAATCCAAGACTCGCTTTTGGGGGCATCGGCCGCCACAAGTCCTCCATCCCCATGGATATCCACCGTTGCCGTTTCCTGCCGTACCCTCCCTCCGCCATCAATGCCATCGCCTTCTCCCACCCGAACGCGCAGAACCCCGAGCAAGCATTGAGCTCGCGTCTTGCCATTGGACGCGAAAATGGCGACATCGAGATCTGGAACCCACTCAATGGCACGTGGCTCCAGGAAAAGGTCATCTACGGCGGCAGCAACCGAAGCATCGACGGTTTGGTGTGGGTGACGGATCCCGATCAGAAACTTCCCGACGGAAAGATTGCCGTTGGGCGTATGCGCCTCTTCAGCATTGGGTCGAGCTCCAGTATAACCGAATGGGACCTCGTCGAGGGCGCTACCAAGCGTCACGCTACCGGCAATCATGGCGAGATCTGGTGTCTCGCCGCACAGCCCGCCTCGTCTGGGAAGTCCGGCTCCCAAGTCAGCCGCCTCGTTGCCGGTACGATTAAGGAGAGCTCATCAGCTATTCTATAGAAGACGATACCTTGCGCTTCGATAGGGTCCTGGTCCGCTCGCAAGCCAAGAAGCATCAGGCCCTAAGCCTCGCCTTTGCGAACTCGCACACGGCCGTCGTCGGCTGCTCGGACAGCACTCTGCGCATATACGACACGAGGAAGGGTATGCTCATGCATACGATGACACTCGGATCCGATCTTGCTGGGGGGCTAGGGACATTATCGTGTGGTCTGTCAAGTGTCTGCCAGACGGCGATATCGTGTCCGCCGACTCCACTGGTCAGATCTGCATCTGGGACTCCAAGACGTATACCCAAACCCAAAGGCTTCAAAGTCACGACTCGGACGCCCTTTCGCTAGCTGTCAGTGCGGACGGGACCGTTATTGCGAGCGGTGGCATGGACAGGAGAACAATTTTCTACAAGAAGGTCGCTGGTAGCGATCGATGGGGCAAGGTCTGGGGGAGGCGCTATCACGAGCACGACGTCAAGGCCATGGCAGCTTTTGAAAGCGGAAACAAGAGCGTCGTTGTTTCTGGAGGTATGGTCTTGTTTCGCAGTATTCTTTCCATTGCCGCCAGTTGCTAACAATCCCATTAGGTCCCGACTCCGCTCCCGTCGTTCTGCCTATGAGGGAGCTCGGCCTCGAGAATCATCGAAAGCTAGCACACTTACCCCAGCAACCGCCAGTTGTCAGCGCGGCATCCGCACGGTTCATCGTGAGCTGGTGGAATCAAGAAATCCACGTCTGGTCGCTTCAGCGGCCGTTCGGTCCGCTGTTCAAACAGTCGTCCGGCTTGAGCGTCGATGGCAACCAGAAACTGCTCAAGACGATTGTGCTCAACACCGAGTCCAACATCTCATCCGCGGTGGTGAACTCAGCCGGCACCTTCCTCGCGGTTTCCTCCGCGGCGTCCGGCGTCAAGGCCTTTTCCCTCCGCCACAGCCAACCCGCGGCGCCTGCCGACGTTCAGGTCTCCCCATCCAGCTCCCCGCCGAGTTCTCTCAACTCGGAGCATCCAGCCTCACCCTGTCACCGGACTCACAATGGCTTTGCATTGTACAAGACGGAAAAACTGTCCTCTTGTCCAAGGTCAACCGCCAAAGTGGCTCAGGCGGCTCGGCTCCAGTATTCTCCTTGCTTAAACCCCAAAAATTGAAGCGTCTAAGGCGGGAAGTCCCTCGGCATAGGCTCCTTGGTGGTCTCGGCTCTTACGACCGGAGCATTACTAAAGTCTGCTTCTCTCCCGACAGCAAAATGTTGGCCACCGTGGATTTGGCTGGTTACATCGATACCTGGGTGTCACAGGGCGTCAAGAAGCTCAAGTCTGAAGCGGAGGAGGAACAGGATGAGGACGTCAATTCTTCATCCTCCTCGGATTCCGAGGCAGAGGTCCCCGAGGCAGAGACGAGGAATGGCCAAGGACACAAGAGGAGCAAGTGGACACGGAACCCTTCCTCCCGCAAACTTCCCAAGCTTTCGTCAACCCCCATCGTATTATCGTTTTCTCACGACGTTCCACGCACGACGATGACGAATGGTGACTCGGAAAAAGCTGCAGATGCGACGGTGCCCGATGACTATACTCTTATGGCAGTCACTGCACCCTTTGACGTTCTAGCCTTCCACCCTCTCAAAGGCTCGCTTACGAACTGGACAAGACGGACGAGGGGTGGCCTACTACCGCCCGAGATGCTCAACGTACGTGAAGTCGCCAAGGGAGTGGTATGGCAGGGATCACGTGCGTGGATCTATGGACCGAATTTCATCTTCATGCTCGACCTACACCTCGACCCCAAGATCTCGTCCTCGTACAGCAAGAAGCGCAAGAGGTTGGATGTCGATAGTGGAGCTGGTAACCGGATGCAAGTAGGCGCACTTGGCCCCCACAAGGTTTACAAGTTTGATGGCACCTCGAAAGAGTCACAGGCGCTGGTCAACGAGACCCGGAACGGGGATGAGATGGACGTCAGCGACGACGACGGCAATGACGAGGGCATCACTACGCAGAGCGGAGAGCTGATGGCGTTGAGGAAAAGGAAACGGGCGAGGAAAGAAAGGAGTCAGGACGAGGTGGTGGACGACCACCAAGTACCGGCCCATCCTGGGCATCGTGCCCTTGAGCAACGCGCCGTCCCTCGAACACCAGGTCGAGGTTGCCCTGATCGAAAGGCCGCACTGGGCCATCGACCTCCCGGAGCGCTACGTCTCGAACAAGGACCGGACGTACTACTAACCCTTCTCCTCCGTCTCTCTGCATTCTTCCATTAGTCGCGCTTTCCGCCGTCTGGCAGTCGAGGTTGACGTGGCCCCCTCCCTGCGGGCAACACCAATTGGGAGGGCGACGAGGCGCCCATACCCCGCTCGATCTGCGCATGCTTCTGCACTCATCGCATCGCATCGAACCCACAAGCTTGTTTCTGTTTAGTTTACGATGTCTAGTTTCGGTCAATATAGATCTAACTATCTTTGCGTGTGTCCAGGCGGTGAAGATTTCCAAGCGTTGAAGTATCGATTTGTCTCATACGAGTGCGACACGCCCTCTCCACGGACCAGGGTGCGCATACGTAGTGGATACTTGCTCCCTTTCTTGTCCAACACACATGCCGAGGGACAGCAACGAGTTTAGAGTGGGATAGGTTATGGCTCGACGCTCCGGAGGCGGACTCTGAAGCCGACCTAGGGCAAAGGTATCCATGGTAGTTTGTCCTTTGTCTATCTTAACATCACGACACTTTGGTTTATCGTTTCCCCTCCCTCCCTCCCTCTCTACCCCCTCTCTTCTCTACCGCTACTATGTGGATGTACAGTGAATCCGTGTACAGATGTGCGCTACGACTCTTACTACGTACACTCCGTCCTAGTAGACCTTGGCCGGGTACCATGGCCCATGATTCTGAAAACTGGACGCCGGCTCCAAAGCTTGCGTACCACTTGCCTCCAGACATGACGAAAACATATCCCTTTTTGGAAGATTTGAGTGATCCCGGGTCCAACCTAGATGTGGGGTGTAAGCAGGCAGAGAGGAGAGATATATGTAGGCAGATAGGAGAGATAGGGTTGATTCTCCAAGACCAACACGAATTAGGAAAAGAAAGGGAACCCGAAAAGAAGAAGAAACAGAAAAAAATAAAGAAAAAGGCCTCGATGACGGAACAACTACCAACATCGCCGGAGTTCGAGGTTGAGAAAAGGCCAATTACGCGCGTCCTGTTTCCCGCAAGGGTTCCTCGTGGCGCGGGGCGGGACCACTCGGCGTCACGAGGCCTTCGCCACGGCCACTGCTCTTTGAAGTTGGGACGAGGCAGAAACAAGTTTGGGGAAACTCGTCAATGTTGGTACCTAGTGTTCGCCTTCCCTTCAGGCTCCCGGTGTCGACGGTGTAAGGCTACGTATATTTCATGGATGTAGGCAGACATCAATCAGAGTGCGCACGGCGCAGAGGGAAGACATCGGGGAAACGAGGCATACGAATCGACACGCAATATCGAGGGCTCGCTGTTCCCAACGGTTTCTAGGCTCATCGAATTTCCAGAAAGCCGGCCAGTGCCTACGAAACCTGATGTTAGAAAGCATGGTAGACCGCCCACAATCCACTAGAATCCGGACCTGGTGCGCAACAATCGCTAGCCTGGAAGCTTTTGCCTTGTCTCTTCTTGGCCACATTGCCTTCCCCTTGTTATCGATCACCCCTTTTTCCATTTTGTTTTCCTTTTTCTTTTTCTTTTTCTTCCTTAGTTTTCTCTTCTTCATGCCTACTATACTTACGGTGTTCCGGATGTTTAGTTTTAGTGGAGGCTATTTGGTGGCGTGTTCCTCTGGCCGCAAAAGGCACTTGGTGGCCCTCGAAAGGAAATGGCGTCTTGGCAGGGACCAAAGGCCTCCATGTGCGTTGTTCAAAAAGGGAAAGATTGGAGATGCGGCACAAACCGATTCCAGAACACGGGAATGGGGCAAAAACCAACGACTGGCCAAGTGGAGATAAAGTGGAACAGAAAACTCGCCGTCTCTGACCAGACCTTCGATTCCAATCTATCTCGGAAGCGGTTGATCTTTTTCAGCATCTCGTTTCCCCCTGCTTTTCGACGTTTCCTTTGAATGAAACCTGCCATCCTCTCACATCCGCTTTCCCTTCGTAATCCCGTAATCGGGGCTCTTGCAATGCTGACGTGAAAGCCAAGGGCAGGGACGCAATGGGTGAAATCGGATAAAAGCCTAAACGCGGTAAATAAGGAACATAGGAAGAAGCAAAGGACGGGATGGAAGTATCCACAGGCTCAAGCTCAGGTTGACACGCCTACGGTCCCGCTTCTCTCCCCTCCCTACCCCCATCCACGGCTTGCAATCCTCCTCGCCCTCACCTCCGTGATCGAAAAGGTGGGGGAGGAGAGAGAAGAAGAGGGTATGGAAAGAAGCGAGATATTGGCAAGTTGAGTTGAGCGATCTCACCGCAAGTCAGTGCAAAGAAGAGCCTGGCCAGCCAGCAGCCGACAAGGCCTCACACTCCGATAACCAACAGCCGGGCATTGACATGCCTCAGACACAAATTAATGACCGTTGAGCCTCATAAACCGAGTCAAGTATATAGGCCGACAAGTTGTTTCGTTTTTAATAATCATAATTCATGATTCAGGCGTCCCGCCTTCCACGATCTTCATCGCGCACGCTCCCCAAACAAGTTGTCGTCCACGCAAGCTCGCCCCCGTCGTCTTGGTCGCAAACCCGTCCATAATATATGGGAGATGCGGGCTTGGCGATTGCAAATTGCTCGTAGCACCCTTTGCAAGTATTCTCTTAGGGCTGTCCTACACCAGCCGATCGCCGGCGGAAAACACTCGAAAAATAGCCATTTGATACAGGCCAAGATGTGTGAGGGGGCCAGACTGGCAAGGGTGCGAGGTAATACCCAAGGACAAAGACCAAAAAGGGGCAATGTCGAGATTCCAACGGAATGGATGACGCGTCACTCGGTGTCGTCGTCTTTTTCTGCCCTTTGCGTGGCTTCCCACACCCCCTCCGCCCCCAATGGGAAGGGAGGAAAAAGTCTTGGCGTCTGACCCAGCTCTTTCCGTCTTTGTCAACCATTGTCGTGTACTTTGGTACCTGTTCCATTTTTGTCATTCGCCATCTTCGATCCTCACTATTACTTTTTGGCTGGCCGGCGCCCCTTGAGAAAGTCGCGGCCATTGACTTGCGCTGCGGAAACCGAGCTTTCCTTTCAATACATTGACTGCCTAATGAAAAGCCTAGTAGGACTCGTTGGGGAACCCCTCTCATGGCTCTCACAGCACGGCCTAAGCTGCGCACACAGTGGACATGGTGGACATCTCCACATGGTCATGCCAAGAACTGTTGGGGAAGGGCCTTGATGAAGACGGGTCTTTCCCGCCATTGAGATACCAGATCGAACCTACGATCCATGGAATCGTTCAGTATCTTCATGGATGGCCCTGGTGCCTTCTTTCACCCTTTCCATTATCACCAACCTCTCTTCGTTGCCCTCAAGACCAAAGCATCATCTCATCTAATATGCCTTGCTGCTCTCGTTTGCTGTTGCCTAGGCACATCTCACTCTTTTCCCAGCTTCCCTGGGATGGATTGGAATCGTAGCTATCGGCGGGGGTAACTACAGCCCGGCATGTCACGAATCCGACCCTCATGATAATACCCAAGCTCCTCCGGAAGTAGACTACGGGAAGGATAAGGATAGAGGCAGAAACCTGGGATTCATATCTATCGAACCAAGATCTTCAAACACGCCTCCGAGTAGGCAGTCGATTCCAGTACGTACTTCCGTCCCCCTCGCAGAGTCGTATAAGTCTTGGGGTAGCCGCGTCATTCAGACCCTTAGCCGTTCTCGTCTTAAAACGGCATTCATTATCTGTTAGTGTACAGACCCGTCGATGGACCGCTGCCTGTCTTACTCCCAAATAGGTATAGGTACAAACGGAGGGGAACCCGGGGAACTCTTCAGTCCATCTCACATCGTCAAGGCACCCGTCTTCTTTTTGTTTCTTTTTCCTTTTGACATGGACGCACGCCACGAAGCAACGTTTTGTTGAGCAACGGCTCGCTTACACCTTGGGGGTCTTCTTGCATCTGTGGTCTTTACGTGTGTATATGTGGGTACGTGAATACCGGGAGTCGAAATCCCTGTTTCGGGGAGGCCGTAAACAGTCTTCTCAGGTCCACCCGCTGATGAGGGCATCGTCAACCTCACGAGGCTCGCCAAAGTCCACCAAGCAAGCAAGTTCTGATCACTCTCGTCCGGGAGGGGACTAGCTTCTAGACACAGACTGATACGCTCCACTCGAGACCGGGGAACGGTCATTGCCGGTGAAGCGCGACGGTTGATCGGCCTTCCTCCTTCCCCAGCAATGGCAAGCCTCACGGCTAGCCAGCAAACGAGGGAGCGAGCAAGTGAACAGGACATGAATCTGCCGGGATTCGGCCATATTACATTGCTGCATCGTTCAGTGCGCTTCGCTCCGGCTGAGGTCAGGACGCCTCAACCGTGAGGGCAGGATAGTAGGGTCCCCTCAGAGGCATCCTCATCTACGAATGCAGGTGTGACGTTCATTTACAAGCCGCTACAAACTCGGTCAATATACGTGACATCTACAACCTAGACTCGTAAGCAACGTGAGAGGAGACTCCCTCCAAAAACGCATCAGTGAGCGTCGGCGCCAAGGGGCGAACTATAACTCTTTCACGACCGAGCACGGGGACGTTACACGGTTCCGGGTGCTAGACTTTCCCCATGATCGACTGGAAGTGTATGCCACTTTTACCAGGAGATAAAAATAAGAGACTCCGTGATCGGGTGATGGGAGGACGGAAAGTCTAAACGATGGGCTGTTCCACTAACCTAATTTCTGTAATTGATGTTTTCTTCCTCTCTTTGGTCTATTTGCAAACCCTTCAAGGGACCCTCGTTGCATTGAACAAGAGGAGCATAAGATATGATGCCAGCCGGTGCTGGGCTTGGCAGTGGATCAGTGCATTGCGCCCAATTTGTTGCAAATCTGACGATTTGAGGTGTTGTCGACGTTATTTGATCGCGCAAGCCTTCCCGGAACTCAAGTTTCCGGCGACCGAGGAGGCGCAGATCTGAAACCCAACATTTCCATGTTCTTGAGAGGGAAGGACTAGCTAATTGAATGCCCCCCCAAGGAAACGGAAAGCCTACCCCACAAACACCCCTACAGCGGAATTACTTCGCTTTTCTCCAGCTCCAAAATCCTACTTAAACCAAAGTGCTTAGAGGTATAGAGAGAATTCAACGTCCAATGTGATCTACGACTGGCTAGAGCTGTGGTTCCGGATTGTTCGATGTCGAACTGCACAAATTTCCCAACATCGCTGTGTAGGCGAGGGGCGATGACTTGCAGCCTTGATCGAAGTACTGCTATACAATAATAATCAGAATAAGGAGACGGAAAGCATGATAAGAGATCAGTTTACGGGGACGTCATATCAGTCATGGCGATAGGGAGGTGACGGTGGAGGTGGCCAAAGGGAGTGGTGATCATGAGTCTGCCAGGAATACAAGCCTCAAGAGCCGTCGATCCACGGTCCAGCGCAATTGTCCTCTCGAATGTGTCCACTGCAATTGATGTTCAAGTTTCCTCCACGCCGCTGCTGAGACACTTACACTGTGGGTAGACCTCACCACCTCGCCATTCAGCTCGCAAAGAACATATGAAAGGAATCCAAGACAATGGTTCCTATTGTAATGAGCGTTCTTCCTTCTCCTCACAGAGGTAACGAGAACGCGTACACCAGCAGCGGATCAGTGGCGAGGGTGACGAACTCTCCATCCTGGGGCGCGACAATTTCCGTGCTTGGGGGCCCTCCATTGCTCGTCGCCGCCTCAGCCACCCCCAGAGGGTTTGAAAAACACCAGACGACAAGCAATTGTCGACAAAGTCATCAAGCCGGTCCAAGAAAGCCGTGGCCCCGAAAGGTTACAAGGGAGTACAACGAGTACAACCCACACAACGTGCGTCAGTGCCAGGTCAACAACCTTTTGACATCAAAAGTTCAATTTCTCAGGAACGGCGTCGAGGGGCTACACTAGATGACACTTCTTCTCGATCTTTTCCATCTTTGCCCCTTTTCCCTCCTCGGTGCTCCTCTTTGCCTCCCTGCAACTTTTGCTTTACTTTTTCTCTTTTCTTTGTCCTGTTTCCCTTGGGGGAAAGAAGAGAAATGGGGCGAAGCGGATCATCCGCAGTTACAAATCACATGGCCCTTCGCCCATCACCTAATGAAGTCGACTATTCGGTAACCTTTCTAGAAGTGATTTTTAGCGGGTGGCCTCTCAATTTTTGTCCTTTCTTCGATGACATCGAAAACCTTCTTTTCTTTCTCTCCATCCTGCGCGCTTCCGCTTCCGTTTCTTCCATCCTAAGACAGCAACGGGCTGATGTTATGTTTAGCCTCCAAGGCCCATTGGACCTTTCCCATCAATCGAACTTCGGGGTCTCACTTGTCCTTGGAGCCGCAAGAGAGGGACGGGCATGGCAGGGCAAATGCAGTGCCACTGGAGCTTCGGTCCAAAAAGGAAATCAACGCCTCGTCATCGCCCCTTCCACCCTCCAAAGCCCCCAGAGGCGAGCCGAAACGCTGGAGGGTGGGAGGCTAAAATGGAAACATGTCAAAAGTACATAGATCTGCTCGTTATCCGAGCTGGATGTTTGGTACTGTGAACTTTGTAGGTGGTGTGACGAGGGTCAGTGGGCTTGTCCCGCGCCAGGTACAGGTACTTCCTCATGCATCGGGTTCTCCAGACGGATCTGCCCACGACGTCCGTCCCAGTGCGTGCTCCTCTGCGTGCTGAGAGAGTTTGCCAGAGTAATCTTGTACGGGAAGGTTTTGCACCATGCGCCATGCGCCATCTATCAATGTTTGGTACCGTGAAAACCCTCATGCTGACCAAATCAGCAAGATCTATGATCCAGAAATGGATCGAACGGGCAGCGTAATACGCTCTTCCAGACTGCATCGTCGTACCGAGTGCGTGTCCCCTCCCCAAATGTATACTACTCCACCCGATCCTTTGATTTTATTGCCTGGTGTGAGTGTCCACGAATACAGCAATATCTGATAGTGGAAACACCCGACCTGTGGGTGCTTGACCACACCCCAATGGATTGAAAGAATTGTTCCGAAGAACCGGATGGCAATCATCATTCATGCCTGTTATCGGGGAGTATGGAGTGCGGAATTAAGCCAAGGGCCGAATTTGCGGGAAGCAAAGAGGAAATTCTAGGTCGATACAACGACGACGTCTTGAGGTACGGTACGAGAACAAAGGGACTCCAAGAGTTTGGGATTCTAGATGATGCTGAAGGCTTCGTTTAGTGACGACGCAAACCGCTTGCGACGAGCGGACAGATGATTTGAAATGGAGGAGTCCGGAGGGGATGGAAGCAATCGAGTTTTCCAGGAGGCGCAATTGGTGTGAGTAATGTAGGTAGGTGCCTTGCAAGAGAGAGCGCAACTCTCCCTGACGAAAACCATCCGAAATACGTTTAGAGGAATGGATGGATGTTGTGGGCCCTTCTTGGCTTGCAACGTGACTGACGACGACGACGACGAGATTTACGACACTTACGAGTGCCAATCCGACACCGTTCGGGGACTCGTTCCATCAAGCCAGAGTATTTAGAGAAGTGTGAGCCCTCTGTGGGCTGATAAGCCAGTCAAAAGAGTCCACCAACAAGTGGGCAAGCACTCCCGTCCACTCAGACAGCCAATACATTCATTCGATTTTTGAGCCAGGCGTGGTCTCCGATCCGTCCATTGTGTCCCTTTTCTTCTTCCATTCCCTTGCGGTATCGTTGTTTTTCGTCTTCTTTTGGTTTCCTTTTCCCATTCATTTTGCACTTGGATGCTCCGAGGAAGGAATACAGCTAGCATCGAACCTTTCCGCTTGGCAAAGGAGTGGCCGAAGGGAACAGAAGGCAAGGCAACAGTCGAGCGCGGATGCGGCTTTTGTGCTGCTACAACAAGGGCAAAGTACCTGTACCTGTACCTGTACCTTCGACGTGGAGGCCTTCGTCTTCGTACTTGCGCATCGGGTTCAAACAGCCAGTGTTAATGAGACACAGCTTCTGATTGGCTTTCCTCACGCAGCTTACGCGTATGCCTTCGACAACTTTGACCATTTCCCATCTTCCATGCGCTTTCCCCACAGGTCCACACTAGGCCCACCACACACAGAGGCGTCACTCCCCTGCCGATTTCTCTTAATTCCCCTTGGCTGGCCCGCCCTTCGTGCGCTGCCCTCCGCCCCAACATATACCCGACCCTCATACTTCCATCGCAAAACCCCCAAGGACAACCTACCTTGCCATCGACGACCCTCTCTTGACGGGACGACTCCCTCAACACCAGACAACACAACGTCCGAACCGCGGTGGAAACCCTTCCTCAAAAAAACATCACCACCCATGCCTTGACCAGTTCGCATCTCGATATCGCCACTCTTTCCAGCTGAGCGCTGCACCGCTTTCCGATCTTCGAACGTCGACGGACTCTTGATACGGAGAACGAGAAGTGCCGAGGCGGGACACGCCCATTAATATCAGCCGAGTACTTTTAAGCAGCCAAGAACAAACTCCAGTGGTGGTCAATTCGGGGAAAACAGAGGGCATCCTCTCGCCTCTCTAGCAGCGATTCCTGTTGCGAACCACTTCTCCAACCCACCTGTCTTCTTTTAATCTCGATTTCCATTCTTGACCCTTCGCATACGACTTGCGACTAATCCCAGTCCCCCTGCTCTCAACGACCGACCTTTGCCAGCGAATCTCGACTCGATTTCAACGATCTCGAGAAACTCTTTTTCCGGCATCTATTCCTACCAGTAGCGAGTCTTCGATCCCGCAAGCACTACGAATCCCAGTCTGCTGCGCCAGTCCTTCGGGCTCTCATCCTCCCGCAATCATGGCTGGCCAACGCCAGCCCAGTGCCGAACCTACCTCGGGCCAGAACTTCGACGAGGAATGGGCCCGAGATTTGAGGATACGGTTTGAATCTCTTCTGCGTGACAAGCGCATGAATGAGTTGCGATCACAGCCTCGTCGCTTCGGCTCCCCGGTCCCCGCGAGTGCACCTCAACCGCCAACCTGCGAGGGGCTTCGTCTGGTCCTTCAGGCAGGCCATCCACATCTCACGGCCATTCCACGCCACCCTCATACTCATCCATCCGACATCTGCCCAAGATCCCCACCCTCCTAATGCGGACGACCGTGAATCGCAAAAGTTCAGGAGCCTAATGATAAGCCTATCTCTGACCCCGACCAAGTACGAAAATCCAGGCCTTCTAGACGAGGCCCTGCAAATCATCCCCTCGACAGGATATACTCGGAGGCAGAGGAGGAGACGCAAGTCTTGCAAGCTCAAGCCGCCAGTCTGGGCCAGACCGAGCCTGAATGGGGTCACCAGGACTGTGTTATTCGAGCACTTCTCAGGTACGTTTCAATATTCATAAACTCCCAGTACTGTGTCAACTAATTTGATGCTAATCGCGGTGCTCCTTGCGGATAGGTGGTTCAAGCGAACCTTTTTCACCTGGGTGAACAACCCTCCTTGTCCAGTCTGCATGTCCCCAACGATCGCCCATGGCATGGCCGCCCCAACACCCGATGAGAGTGCCTGCGGTGCACTCCGAGTCGAGCTGTATCGTTGTTCTGCTGCCGACTGTGGTGCTTTTGAACGATTTCCTCGATACGGCGATGTGTGGAGGCTACTTCAAACGAGGCGTGGCCGCGTGGGTGAATGGGCCAACTGCTTCAGCATGCTCTGCCGTGCTGTTGGTGGCCGTGTTCGCTGGGTCTGGAATGCAGAGGACCACGTGTGGACTGAGGTCTATTCCGAGCACAAGAAACGATGGGTGCACGTCGACCCCGTTGAAGAGATCTGGGACAACCCTAGGCTCTATACCGAGGGTTGGGGCAAGAAGATGTCGTACTGCATCGCCTTCTCAATAGACGGCGCCACCGACGTAACTCGACGATATGTCCGGAAAACCGAGTACGCTATTGCTCGAAACCGATGCCCCGAAGAGGTCATGCTTTTCATTACTCAAGAAATCCGCAATATTCGTCGCGCCAACATGAGCAAGGAAGAAAGGTACCGACTCCAAAAGGAAGACGCCGCGGAGGATGCTGAACTTCGAGGGTTCGTCGTTGCATCCATCGCCATGGCTGTCACCAACTTGGTGCCCGTCATGCCCAACCAGTCTGGCGCGAGTGGAAACCCCAGCAGCTCTGGAGACGACACCAAGCGGCCGGCGGAGCAACCCGCCCAGGCGGGCAACGGCATGCAGTGGATATCGCCCAACCAAGACACAAGAGGCCAACAACAATATCCGGGTTACCCACCACAAGATCCGTCAGCTCGACGAGACCTCCCATAGTTCAAATGGATGATATTTCGGTCGCCCATCACCTCCTTTCCATCCGTTAACGTTCCGCCATGCTGAGATGACCATCAATCATGCCATCTCAAACGTTTTCCTCTCTTCACCAGAGAAACCGGTTCGGACTAGTCATCCCCTGGAGCCTATATTGTGGCTCGGGTTTGTCTAGTCCGCTCGAATCCTTTCAGTCCTCGTTCGCAAGCCTCATTCTCCACTACTTAATGCACCCACCAGCGAGCGCTTCGAGGCTGCTATTCTCCCCTCTTCGAGTCATAAACGATCTCGCTATGGCCACCTACGACACACCCAAGGGACCGGCCTCGTGCGTCATTTCTATCTAATTCCACGTTCGAATACCCCCTAGAACTTTTTTGCTACACTGGCAATCCTTGAATCATAACGAGCTCAATTTTTTGTTCACATCCATCACCTACCAATTACGCCACGCAGATTTTTTCCTTTGTCATCTACTCCTTGATCTATCCTTTTTCTCTGGATGACCTGATTCTGAATCGACCAGAGAAACCGGAACCGTCTATATACACTTTTCTTTTTCCTTTGTCTACTACGGATTGAAGATGACGGGAGAGACGCGGACACATAACGCGTTCTTTTTGGCATGCATCGTTTCGCGGCCGGGCGGTAAAAAGGCCGGGACCGGCGTTCAGGCTAACTCTTTTTGTTTTACATTTGATATTTTTCATCTGTTTGATGTATTCTACTGTTGAACTCACTTCCTTTTTTTCAAAAGGAGGTATTCTCATGACCAGCCAGGGGCGGAGGGGAGGGTGGGCAGGCAGGGACGGCAAGTGTTGCCTACATGTGCATCGGGAGGATGGTACAGGAACCTAGGTTAGGTCTCCTAGTAGCTTGAAGCATAATGGTTACAACATTGAACAGATCTACGGAGCAGCCTTGCTGTTTTGCCCAACGGCTTCCATCGCATTCAAGCTCGTTGCCACCTAGCCTGTTGAATCAAACCTTGAATCATCTAAATCCATCATCGCTCCCACCTAAGAATCACTTGAGAACGTGTCATGTTTGCCGACCCGCTGCCATCGCCAAGTGATTTACAACCGAAAAGCCGCTTCATTTCCCATTATCCAGCAGTACCGAGGTATCGTGCGTCCAAATCGCTTCAAGTTGACTATCCGTCTTTCATTCCCGATTTCCGGGCAAGAGGGCGAGGTGCAGTGGACTCTACACATCCACACCGAACCACGGTTCGTGCGGCGAGAAGCCAAGGCGGGGGTAGGGCGCGGGGGAGAAAGGAACAGACTTTTGCCGACATCAATCAATTGATATCGTCGTGAGCTGTTGACTTTGGGGGAGGGGAAGGCCATCGGCAGTCGTTGTTTGAGTGCAAGTTGAGCCCAGCACGTCAAGAGAGAGGTTGCGGCGGCGTGCTGTGATTCGTGGAAAATACCGGCGGCCGAGTCGAGTTCCCGTTCAATCTCCTACAGGCAATACAGTAAGTGTTTATATTGGACCATTGCTTTGCGGCCTTGGGGGGACGGTCCCCGCTCGTCTTATCCGGAAGAAACATCCAGTTGTTCTTTGTGGGGGACAACCCCATTCGAGTCGGTGGTTAGGCGAGGAGATTAATATTGCGGTCCCCCTCGATAATACGAGCTTGACACGCGCCCGTGTCCGTTTCCCCGGAGATTGGAGCAGTGAACTTGAAGCTGTTCTATTTTAGACATGGAGACGGTGGATGGAGAAACAGAACATTTTAAGCTGGGGGTGGGGGATACAGTTGACGGGTTCTGATTCATTTGAACTTGGTGCGTGTAGCGAGCAGCACCATCGTCTTATCTACCCGGCGAATGTTTAGTAGGGACGTCGCTCTGATATCATATTGCAATATTCGGAAAGAGGATTGAAGAATAGAAGGGAGAGGAAAAGGTGCGAGGATATATTTTCTCCCATTGGTCAAGAGTTTCTTTAGCACTTAGAAAGCCGCCTCGAGGTCCAGGGCAAAGTGAGCCAGCAAAACGCGATACCGGAATTGTTCAGTGGTTGAAACCCCAGATGAGATTCGACTCAAAGTACGCTGGTGCGAAGGTGGAGGAGACTTCTTTAAGGCTGTTGCTTCTAATCCTTACATCCAGCGAGCGTTCTATTCGGCCGTGCTGCTTTTCAATTGAAGTGCAAGCGCCGGTTTAACATCCAGTCTCGCGCTGACACACAAGGTCTCTCGTGTTAGAGACTCCCTGCATGTGGTCTGGCGTGGCCGGATGGTATTGTATTTCCTTTCAACATCAATGGGCTGGGACATGGAAAGAGAGGTCTGCCGTCCACAGAGCAAAAAGTGATAGATGTCTGCATCGAAACCAGCACCGGGGAGTGCTTGCCAGACAGACCTCCTAGAATAACAAATTAAACTGACGCTTCCCAGACCTTACTGTCCAGATGTTTCCCGGGTCGAGCAAATTTGAAGGTGTGTGCCGAATGCACAATACCATCGCGAGAAGCCGACCGGGCTCGAGCAAGTTGGATTAAAATTTCCATCCCATCTTGCATCTAGAAATCATTCCTTTCATCTTTTGATAAACTCTGAGTGTGTGCTGGGCAAGTGTTGTGTCGTTCAGCGCGCGATGACATGGGGATGGGATTGGGGACGAGGGGGCCCTGGCTGACGCGACCACTTTAAGTGTCCGCGCCTCTTGCGCGTCAGAGAAACGCGACACGCCCGTGCACAAAAGTGAAGAGGGGACTGATCATCCCTTCGCCAGCCTCCCTCGTACCTCTTCTCCAGAGATCCGTAATCACAGTCAAGAATACTTTTACCCTTCGACCTCACGACACTTTAGCTTTGGTTTTTGATCTACCTCGGTACTTCGAACCATTTCGCGTGCAGCATTGCCTTTCTTCTACATTAATATCTTCCGCCCAGGACCACATACCCTCCACTACGAAAATCACCATCTTCCTCAATAACTATTATCTCTCCCCACCGATTCATCCTCGCCACCTCGTTGCTCTTCTCGTCCGAAGAAGCCATTGGTTGCAATCAAGAAAGAAGAATTAAAATTCCAACGTCCCGTCAAAATGGTTATGAAAAGGAAGCGATCTATTTCGGAGTTCTCTAGCTCCCCTACGAGGCCCTCGAGCTCCTGCTTCACCTCTCCTTCTGGCAGCATCAACTTCACCTTCAGCCACGCCGGTCCCTCGTCGCCCTCTCCCATGCCTACAATGGATACAACTCCTTTACATCTCCACAGCCGCACTCTCAAGCGGTTCCGCGACAGCCGGCCATCGGAGCAACAAGTTCATCGTACGTCATATCCATCACCTGCTTCGCCTTCAGTCCCCCTTCCCATCACGTACTAACCATCCATTCCGCTCGTTTAGAACGTACCCTCGGCCTTTTATACTCGGCGCAGCGCCAACAACAGCTTCCCTTTGCGCAGAACCCACCCTCCGCCGTCTTCCCCGACGCTCACGCCGCCCCCATTCCCCAAGAAGCCGATCACGCCGTTGTGCATGCGAGTAGTAATGGCACGCAGCGATCCCTCCACAACTTTTGGGCTCTCCCCTCAGCCCCCGCGCCCTCTGTCGCGAGCCCCTCTCGACCACAACCTTGGCATCGTCAGCGGCGTGCGACGACTGCGGTGTCGACCTCCCCGTTTCCGACGACATGGGTTTGATGGAGGTGGATGGCTCCAGCCTTGCGGCAGCAGACTACGCGTGCACGCCCTGCAGCCGAAGGGTCTGCTCTCACTGCTCCGTCACAAATCTCGAGGGTCAGAGGACGTGTTTACACTGTTCCGGGAGGAAGACCTGGAACGGTAACCTGAGTTGGCCCACTGGGTCAGGAATGGCCATGTGCTAAGTGTTGGAGCCTAGTGCTTAGGTGAGGCTTTGGCGAAACTAGTCCAGGGGCGCATCGGGGAGGAGATTGGGGTTTTCCAATGGGTTTCTCTTTTCTTGCACGGGCAAGGGAGAATGCAACCGGCGTTTTTGTGGCAAAGGGAAACGGAGTTTCGGGGCATATTCCATACATCAACCATCCGATGTATTCACGGGCTGTCTATCATATTGGCCCCCGCACAGGGGCCCGCGTTAGGATTCCTCTTCCATTGCAGCAAATAAATGCAAATGATTTAAAAGAAGCCTGTACTTGATGGGCCAGTGCGTGTAATGAAGGGACTCGTCAACGTGCGCTCAGCTCCTTGCATAAATGCCACGCGGTATACTACTTGTCAACAAACAGTTAACGGATGCGGCTTTTCAGCTCATTCAACCTACCTCGAGGCCTCGAAATTGCATTCAGGTGCAACCGAACGAATCCGGACCAGGCAAGCACGCACTGAGCTAAATAAGAGGGCGACACTAACACAATTTGGTGCGTGCATCGACATGCGAGTCTTCGTCATATGCGCTGGCGGGTGCGGGGCAGCTCCCCGCGCCAGTGCGGTGCGGTGCTGAGTGCAAGTGCTCCCCTCTCCCTGCACGCGCCCGAACCCCCCAACCGTGACCATCCGCAGCTCCCCGCCTTATCACTACCTTTCCGTGCGTCGAATAGTTTGCTGGACAGCCCCTCCTTGTGAATTTCCGATAGCTTGCTCTTCTTCCCAGTAAGCTCGAAAAACAGGCCCCGGGCCAGCAATCTAAGAGATTCTTTTCGTTTTCCTGGCCCTTCTTTATCTCCAAACATATTTCACATCAACGAGACTACGATATGTCGACAGCTCGAGCCCGACCCGCGAGCCATGCTGATAGCTGGTACAAGGCAGATGCCCAGGACCTGTCTGAAGAGCTTGAGTCCAACCTCGACGAAGTTCCTAGCTCGCTCGACGAGAGCCAACTTCCGATCCCAAATGCTAGGATCATCATTGCACCGTACGATCCCTCCTTTCCTAAGGCCTGCCCGCTTGTCCCCCTCCTGCCTCCCCAAGAAAGGAGCGTGAGACCAAGAGGAAGAGAGAGAAAAAGAGAGAGAGAGAGAGTGAGGGAGGGAGAGAGACAGAAAGGCGAGGGGGATCCAGTCCAATGCTTCACTTGAGCACATGACAAGAATACTAGATGAGCAGTAGCTAATGTGCACATCATGAATATAGACATGCCGGCTACGACTACTCGGGGAGGTGTGCGGCTTGGGCCTACAAGTGCCTCGACCTAAGCAAGGCAAAAGGGTATTCGTGCTCGGCCCTTCCCACACGTACTACCTCGACGGCTGCGCCGCAACGACATGCAACATATACGAGACCCCGTTTGGCAACCTCAACGTGGACACGTCCACGCTCGCCAAGATCAAGCAGGACGGAGGCTTCAGGGACATCCCCTTCAAGAACGACGTCTCGGAGCACTCGCTCGAGATGCACCTACCCTACATCTACAAGCGCATGGAGCAGACGTTTGCCTCGCCCGACGAGTTCCCCGTCGTCGTCCCCTTACTCATCGGCGACAACGACAAGCGCGAGGAGAAGGAGGTGGGCAAGCTGCTCGCCCCGTACCTCGCCGACCCGGAAAACGCCTTTGTCATCAGCTCCGACTTTTGCCACTGGGGCCGCCGCTTCGACTACGCCGTATACTCGCCGACGGCCGAGCTCGGCAGTCTCAGGTCCTTGTCGCGATCCGACCGGAGGGTCGACGGCCGCCCGATACACGAGACCATCAAGATGGTGGACCAGCTCGCCATCGAGGCCATCGAGACGGGCCGGCACGACACCTTTTTCGATAACCTCCGGGAGACGAAGAACACGGTGTGCGGAAGACATCCCATTGGCGTTGCGATGGCTGCGTTGGAGGAGGTTGGTAAGTTGAGGGGGAAGGAGAGGGCAAGTATAAGTTCAAGTTCGTCCAGTATCAGCGCAGCGGTCTCGTAGAGGAACCGCATGACTCGAGCGTTAGCTATGGTTCTGCATATGCTATAGTATAGAGGGCTTTCTTTTTTTTTTTCTTGTTTTGCTACAATATTCGCTCCGCGTGTTATCCCGGATACCATTGGGGACATAGGAAGGCCGGTGGGCCGCCGTGCACGCAATCGCCCCATGCTAGGAAACCGGGAGAAGGGACGGACAGTAGCAAGGTACGCATTAGATATCTGTTGAGAATGATCGGGCCGCAAGTTTCGACTTCCAAGCCATCTCCCTCCTGCTCCCGTCAATGCCTGCACTCGAAAGGACCTTCGCGTAGTACTCTTTTTCCCCGTACGCTTTACAAGTTCGATATCGGATGAGGTGAAGGGTCAATGCCAAGCAAACGGCAAGAAAAGGCGGGTCCAGGGGTGAACGGGAGGATGAAGGCAGAAGGGGGAAAAGGGCGATGGAAAGAAAGGTAAAATAAGAAGAAGGGAGAGCAGGACGTGGGGCTTGGGGCTTCTTAGCGAAATCAAGGTTGGACGAAACGTCCGATTCTATTATCCGGCGTGGGAGCCTCATGCCGTGACAGCTCACCCGCGAGACTTCGGCGGTATTGGATAATACTGGCCTTGATAATGCTTTACAAAATGATTTCCTTTTTTTTTTCTCTTTTTGGTGGTTCCTCTCTCTCTCTTTCTCTTTTCGGGATGATGATCTCATATTTGAAAACTGTTAGCAGGCTTTAAGCCTGCCCCCTCTCCATGGCGCCTTGCTAGACAAAGCTGATGAGGAGCACGGGAAGGGGGTTTAAAGGGCGTGAGTGCCAAGCCTATAAAAACCTCTCCCTAGTGAAGGGAGAAGGGAAAGCCTAAGTAAGGTAAGGATTTGTGTATCTTGTCTGTGTGGAAGCAAGACAAAAATTATCCAGGTTGCCGACAGCAAAGTTCTCTGTGGCGGCATCGCAACACGGCGATCCTACGGAAATGTGGGGACTAGGGAGAGGTTCAGGGTAAGATGGGCGCGGTAACCAGCGAAGGAGGGGGAGGGAGACGGGAGGGGGAATAACTCGGTTGGAGAGGTCGAACCAAGCGCTGAACGGTCCTCCAAGATCGCCTTCTCCAACTCGGCTTCCGCGAGATACAATATCGCGGGGTTTCGCGGTGGGGCACCGCACCAAGCTTCCCACAAAGAGATGCTAAAATAGGAAGAAGAGGAAGGGAAGGAAGGGAGCTCCGGGGTTCCAGAGTGACGGAGAGTGGGTGTGCGCACGACGAATGCGTGTGCGTATGTGGCGGAGGGCACATCTGGATTGCGGCTGAGGAGTTGGCTAACGCGGGCGCGGCCGTTCGGAGACATCGGCTGGCTGCATGACATCGATAGTTCAAGCTTGATGAATTGGCGAGCCTTTTTTTTTTTTGTTCTTCCTTCCAGACTTTTCACACTGGCGCAGAGTCCATTCCAAGCGCCGGGGGCCGCATGGAAAAAGGTTCAGTCAGCCGACTCGCTTGCGGCCATACCTAGGACTGCTTGCGGGAAAACACCTCACTGGAGGACTCTCCACTTTGTCTCGAAGCGGCGGTCGCCGTTCGGGGAATCTTGTGTTTCTACTTTGGGAGGAGGGGGATTTCAATATGAGTAAGAACATTGAAGAGTAAGAAATGGGGGCTGCGTCAGTCGACATCACCGCACTCCACTGCACGTTGCCACAGCCTCATCTGCCCCAATAATGTGGCACCGCGCGCGCAACGTACTGGGGAATGGAGCCGTCCTGGTAGTACTTGTCATCATTGCAGCGAAATTGACGGTTGGGTGATGTAGTGTAGTAATAGTGTATTTTACTCTGCTGCTGATAAAAATGTGTAGCCTAACCGACTCGGGGGTCGCTGGGGTTATTTCTAGGATGAAACGTACTGAAGTGGTCCGGCAACATCGAACCCTGTTTTCCCGCAAAGAGCAAAGCTCCTGAAGCTCGGATTGCGTTAGGTTTGGTTGGTAAGGCACCGGTGCTGTAACAGGAGCCGGGCGCCGCATCAACCATGAGCGGCGCGGGGGACAAGTTCAAACAAGACATGGGGCCAGGCTAGCGGGACTGAGGACGGTGCAAGACTGAAAAAGTAGAGTCTATTCCTGCCTGAATGGATTGGATTGCAGAAATCAATCAAGAATGAAAACGAGGGCTGGTCCAGGCCAGGCTAGGCGTCAAGGGAGACAAGTAGCGACACGAGAGGGTGTGGAACTGCTTCGTGGGGAGGGGACTGATGATGGGTTAGATTCAAGACCTGGACCGAATCAATCAGTTGATGAGCAAAGAGATAGGTCGTGGCTACTTCGGCAAGCTTGGCCCATTCACGTACGGTCCGGCGTACCCAGTACTCCCGATCGCAGGCTTGATCACTCGTTCGCCGATGGGACCGGGTCCATGTTTGAGCCCCAGTGTTCGCCGTTGAACCAAGTCGAGGCCACTGATTCGATCAATGGAGAGTACCGGAGTTGTACCTGCTAGAGGATCACAGCCAATAATGGGGCTCGATTGCTTCAATCAAGTTGCTGCTGCGGAAATTGGTACTTTCAGGTCGGTACTTGTTCTCGATCCATTTTTATCATCAATCTCAGCCAGCGCCCCTCGTTTAACCTTTTTTACTCTAAAGCTGGGCCCAACAGCGCTCGTGCCTCACCCTCCAATTCTACTGGAATTGTCTCTCTACTGTCCCGAGAGCAGACTTGAGTTGAGCTTGGTATTTGTGGACCCGTCAAATGTCGCTTCTAGGCTGCCAGATAGAGTTCTGCGGCGTGCGCGGTGATCTTGGGGCTTTCTTCACAAGACGTCATCGGCGAGTGCTTCTCGACTGACGCAGCATTAATTTGTATTTCAATCAAATCATTGATCAAAATGGGCAAGAGGTTTTCGCATCAAGGAGTCGCCGCCAGTGAAACGGAATTGGACGAAGAGGGCAATACTTCAGAGCGGTCAATGCTGCACAAGGAGTATTAGTTTTGGGTCCTTTGTTTCTTCAATCGCTTCCGTTGCGTTACACCCCGACCTGGAACCCCTGGAGACATTTGAAGGGTAGATCATTCCAGCAGGGGAAGCTGTGCGGATTTTTTCTTGGCTCCCCAGGACCCCAGCCCAAGTTGGCTTGCTTGCCAGATTGGATTGGCACTTTTACGCCACCTCGAATAATATCGTGCATCCTTTTTGTGTCCATTGACCAGTTGAATGGAGGCGCCAAAACCATTGTGTTTTTGATGTGATCAATATTTCCTCATCCTGGTGTAGTGTCTTGGTGTTGGCATTCTAGCCCCCAAGCAGAACCTCTCTTGATTAGGCCGTCTCCTCCAGCAGCCCCCGATCCTGATGCTACTTTGAGGTGGAACATTGAAGGCGAAGTGACCGAGCATTCCACCACATGGAGAGCTGAGAAAAGTTGTGCTAGCAGAATCAATGATCACTACACCCCGTGCTGTGCAGAGTGTATATCGTGGGTCGGGATTGTCGATTCAGATGAACAATCTAACAGAAGCAGCCCAAATCGCCAGGGACTCTGGAAGAAATTGCTCTTTTTCAATCTCTTCAGTTGATGAGGGGCGAGGGTCCTGGTGGAATTGAACGAGATTTGAAGTAACCTCCAGGATGGGATCCGCCCCAATTGCTACTTGTAGGTTCAATGTTGGCAGGCTGGGCTGATGAAGTGCCCCCGGGCACGCACAGCGAACAAATTGACGAAGGGGAGGACCTCCACAGGACCTGGTGTACATGCCCAACACTACGCCGGGGACGACAGCAGCAAGTACTCAGCGCTGTATTATTGAACACGCCTGCACGCCAATTCTGGTCCTGCAACCTTTTAGTGTGGTCAAATCTCGTCAGCCGCCACACCACAGCCTCAACTGCTCCCTTTGGTGGCCAACGAAAATACTCCGTCGTAATATGGTACCCACTTCCCTCTCGGGGTACCTCGCATGTACCCCCATCCCTCGAAAATAACATTACAAGCTGCAGTTAGCGCATTTTCCGGTTCGCAATCCCACTCGTACCCTTTCCGAGCCATCCAAACTCCTGACAACGGCCGGGCTGCTGTGTCAAAATCTCACCTCCCTCTCTTCCAACGTCAGATCCGTAATATCTCTCCATCGACCCTCCGCTCTTCGAGAACCCCTACCTTTATCAGCATCGTATCCGAATCACCAGAATATTCAATCGCACGCACGACGACGACGACAACGGCAGCATAATTTCGCAGCTCCTGCGAGGCCCCCTTTGCCTGTCTTTTGGAACGTGAACGTCTTCCCTGACTCCGTCCTTCTTCAAGAACTAAGACACAGCTTCTCTTCACAACAACATGAGCAACGTGAGTGTTTTCATCGCCGTCCCGCCTCGAATCTGGCTTCTCAGTCCCACTTGCACCGGTGGTTATCGATAGAAAGAAAGCAGCACCCGCAATCGCCTATTGCGTGGCCGCCGCTTTCAACACCGCAAAGGGCCCGCCCGGTCGAGAAGGCTTTCACTTTTGACCTGAGTTGCTAACAGTCTTTTGCAGTACGGGTTAGTTTTCTACCGAAACCTCGCGATATCCATACCGAACCTAGGAGGACGGCGATTTTCCCGCCTCCTTTTTCCTTTTTCTTAATCTAACCAGATGAAACCCTTACAGTTACGGAAGGCCTAACCCCTTCGACCAGAGGGATTCGCCCTCTGGCGGAAACGGTGGCAACGGTGGCTATGGCGGCGGCGGCGCGGCCCAGAGGCCACCTCAAGCTTCGTTTGGCCAGGGCCCTTCTCCCTACGGCGGTGCTCAAAGGAACAATAACTATGGCGGTATGATTGAGATCTAGTGAAATGCGCCACAGCTAATCGCCGGATCGGCTGCTAACGACTGCAACGTACAGGAGGCAACAACGTAGAGATGTCCAACCTTCCTAGCAATAACAGCTACGGCGGCGGCGGTGGCTACGGTGGTGGTAACAACGGCGGATACGGTGGCGGCGCCAGCAATGGCGGCGGTGCGACGTCTATCCTTGACGAGTGCAGCGAGATTGATAGGGGCATCGAGGAGGTCGAGCAGAACCTTAACCAACTCCGAAACCTCCATCGCGCGGCCCTCAACGATACCGACACCAGCGGTGGCAGCCGCGTCAACCGCGAACTCGACGGCCTTTCGTCCGATACCATGACCCTTTACCGATCCCTCGTCGAGCGTGTCCGAAAGATCAAGTCGAACCCGGCGTCCCGCCAGGGAATGAACGCTAGGCAAGTCGAGCGCATAGACGGTCGCCTTAAGAACGCCATCCGCCAGTACCAGGAGATTGACGCCGACTTCCGACGAGAGACCCAGTCCCAGATTGCCCGACAGTACCGAATCGTCAAGCCCAACGCATCCGAGGATGAGGTCGCGGCGGCCGTTGACGGTTCCGACGGTGGCCAGGTCTTTGCCCAAGCTCTCATGCAGAGCAACCGCCAGGGCCAGGCCACCGCCGCTCTTAACAACGTTAGGGCCCGTCACGATCAGATTCTCAAGATCGAGCGCCAGATGACCGAGCTCGCTCAGCTCTTCCAGGACATGAACACCCTTGTCGTACAACAGGAAGTCGCCGTCACCCAGATCGAGCAGAAGGCCGAGGAGGTTGTCGAGAACCTCGACAAGGGCAACGAGGAAATCGGCGTCGCTGTCAAGACTGCGAGGGCTACCCGCCGCAAGAAGTGGTGGTGCCTTGGTATCACTGGTGAGTGGTTATCTCTATATCCTATTTTTATTTTCGTGCAGACGACCATGCGCCTTTAGATTGTATGAAACTAACCCGAGTTTGTAGTCCTCATCATCGTCATCGTCGTCGTGGCTATTCTCGCCTATCTCGGTGGTAAGTAGTCGTGTCTCACCATCAATCTGATCGCAGATCCACTAACGGAGAACTTTAGTCAACGGAAAGCTTGGCGGCGGTGGTGGTAACGATAACAACAACAATACCAAGCGTGGCCTCGTCAGCGCGAACGTCCAAGCTGTCAGCTCGACCCTATCCAGGACGGTTCCCAGCGTTTCCCGCCAATTCACCGAGACAATCTCCCGAGCGAGATCTCTGCAGCCAGGAGCCAAGTTCAGGAAGCTAGAATAGGAGCCCACTAGCATGCTGTCGTCGCTCTCATTATCCGGGCCGCCATCACAAAATTGGGGAGAGTAAACGCCGGGTTCTTTACGCAAAACGAAAAGCAAGAGCGACAAAGGGATCCCCATGGGGTTGTATAAAAATAAAACCACGATTACCGGCCTCCTGCGCCTGACGGACCATATATTAGTCTTCTTTCGCTCCCTTAAGCGAAAGCCCAACTTCCGCCCCGGTCCCTATTGACCCGGGGGTGGACATATTCACTGCTAGCATCTTTTTGTTGTTCAAATTTCGACATCGCGGGAGACTTTTCCATTCGAAAATTTGTCCTGTCTACACATCATTCTCGGTTTCTCGCTGTGTCTTTGTTTCCTTTTTTCTTTCTTTTGTTTGACCCTCCTTCTCTCTCTCTCTTTGCGTTGTTTTCGTTTCTGGGGCAGCAATATTTTCAGGATCATAGGTATAGTTTAGTCTCGTCCTTTCTGTTCAGTAGCAAAATCTTTGAGCTTTCTTCTTTTCCATTTCTCCACCTTTTCCTCCTCCCTGTCCCCGGTGTGCTACGTTGTAGGCCCACGGCCTATTCAAACTTTTCGACTTCTATCTAGCCATTTTTCAAAACTATGGCCGGTATTTCAAGGATTTAGACCTCGGTATGAGGATAGGTGACTACAAGCCCAGCGTTTCCCGTGAACTGTCGACGCCGGCATGATGACTTTGCTTGTCCGATCCTTGGTTACCGCACGATGGTCAAAATCTCCAACGTCGTAATTAGAAATGAAGAGAGGTGGATCAAATTAGACTACATCCTGAATCTACCCCCGTAGAGGGGAGGAAATAAGGTTGTGATGATTATAGAGTAGTATACAAGCCCCCTCGTTCCTGGTATAACCTTATGACCTAGCGAGGGGAGAGTGGGATGAGGGGAGGTGAAGGTGGGAGTGAGAATCTAATGAGGCCCTTTATCGCCTGTATATTGCAGCTCGTCGCCGCCGAATTCAATGAGAACGATTTATGGGAAGAATGATGAGAAGCTCGATTTGGCCCAGGAGGTCAGGGTCGGTCAATAGATCGGGAGGCCAAAGGTTTTGTAAATGGTCGTAGTGTATGTCAGATCAACCAACTCGAAGTGTCGGTACGCTGTCTCGCATCGATAGAAGGTAAAACGATCCTGGTCTCCAGTGTGGGGGTTGAAATCGCCTTGCGGGGCAGTGGAAGCGGTGCTCCAAGCGTAGATTGGGGAATAGTGGTGCGGCAGAAGAGTAGGCGCAGTAGGAGTTCAATCGCCCACTTTCGTTCCCGATTCAGCCTTCTCGTCGGCCTCTTCTAGGCCTGTGAGCCTATCATCGGTATCGGTCGGCTTCTTCTTTGACTGGCCAGACTCCACAACCCTCCGCATGACAACCATCTGTCTTTCAAACTCCTCGATAAGTGCATTATAGTCCTCTTTCACGTCAGTCTTGGCCCCGCTTCCTTCTTCGGAAAGCTCCAACCCGCCCTCGACGCCATCCACGCCCTCAATCTTGAGCATTAGGGCGCCAGCACCGCCCCTTGGCCCTCTCCGTCCTCCATTGTCCGGAGCCCCGCGTCGACGACGGCCCAGTCGGAGCTGAGGCTCGCGGCGTTGGCCACGGTCCAGGAGCCGTCGGCTCCCTTTTCCAAGTCTACTAGTACGGAGCGGCCGGGCTCGGAATCCGCCGAGGCGGGGTCGGCGGCTGATAGGGCCCGCGTGAGGATGTCTGGGTCATCGTCCGCAAAGATGTAGTGCACGTGCGGGTGGTGCGTCGTCTTGGACGTGGCGTTGTGTATCAAGGTGAAGAGCGGGGGCAGGGTGTGTTCGGGTTCGCCCGCGCCCGCCGCCTCGTTGTCGTCGTCATCGTCGTCGTCGTCGTCGTCGTGCAGGTGTTCGCCGACGGGTTGCGTTTCTGCCTGGGCGGAGGGCGGCTGCTGCTTTTGGGGCGGCGAGGCCGACCCGGGCCGTGGGGAGGCCGAGAGGGAGGGCTGCTGCGGGTCACGAGATGTCATGGCGGGGTGCTCGCTGGGGCAGTATGCACGGGCATCTGCTCTGTCAGTCGATCGGGGCCAGGAATTATCGAGAGGCGCCTCTGTCGAGGCATCGTCGCAAAAACTGGACGGGAAGGCTGGCTGGTTTTACCTATGCGGGCAAGGAACCTTGGGGGAGGGAGCTTTGGGGGAAAGGTGTGCTGCTTATCTTATCGGCACGTGAGTTAGGCGCTGTCGTCACGGCGGGTAGAATAGGCAGACAGCCGGTCACGGTGGGCTGTCCTCGCTACTAATTTGAACGGACTTGGCAGTGGACGACTCAGCCTTTCGGTACCTCGTCAGGAGCAGCCAAGGTTTTACAATATTTGACATGAAATGGCATGATGGATCCATCCATGTCTATAGAAACAGAGACATGACCTGTGCACACCACTTTACTGACTATGCGACCCTTTCCGGGCGCTCCTGGATCTGAGTCCCTTCAGCAAAGTATCTGCTACCTGAGTGGAAGGTTGACAAACGTTGGGATTCGGCCTGACAATCAACATCACCACTATTACTTTTAGGGTTGTTCTTTTTCAAAAAGAGGGTTGAAGTTTCAGAGATACGTTGAAGGGGGAAAAGAAAAATCAAATTGATATTGCTGTCATATTTGAAACTTTGAGAGGGGATAAGAAAAACAGCCCATTTTCTTGTACAACGCCTAACACCATTCGTAGCCTCGCCATTATCAGTTGAAATCATAACAAAGGTAGAGCCCGAGAGGCCCTCGGAATGAGCATTTACTCTTCTGCCTCCGAGGTAGTTTCGTTGGCAGGATCATGCCATTCAAATCCTGGGGGAAGTGAACAAAGAGGTTTCCCAGTTAGTATAGCACAAGCTGAAGAGGCTTTCCCAACAAGACAACATACTCTGGCGGCACATGGGGCACTGGCCTTTAGCAGCCTCTTGCTTGATCCATTCCAAAATGCAGTGCTAAAAGTTCCGACGAGGGGTTAGAGTAGGCCCTGATAACGGCACTCCAGTCTCACAAATCATCACACTCACCATATGGAAGTTGTGGCCACACTTCCCGGACACTTTCGAAAGGAAAGATTCCATGAGCTATTAGTTACATATAGAGCTGGTGGGAGTAAAGAAAAGAAAATCATTGAAAACACTAACAGATGCTACAATCGTCCCGGGATATTTGCAGGTGGGACAGGTTCCGTCAAAGTGAACCTGGCAAATACCACAGACATCGTCTTCGGGGAGATCCCATCTCCAAGTTGCCACTGTTTTCCACTGCGTGATCTTGACCTTCATCCTGTGAGTGTCTTCAAGAACCTGTGGTCGTGGGTGGCTCGCGTCGCGACATGTGCATTTCACGGCCTGCTGGGTGCAGTCGCGACATTTGCTTCCTCCAGTCGGGTCACTCCGCTGAATAATCGGACATTCTTGGAGCGAGCGGTGGCGTGAAATAACCCCGGCTGCAGGCAACTGTCCTGGTGCGTATCAAGAATGGTCCGAGCTCAAGCTCCACTTGTCTCTCTCGCCAAGCAATTCTCCAACCCCATTAGCGAATTTCTCACGATAACCTGTGACAAAGGGCCCATGCCTCTCTTCCCTCTCTTCGCCCTTGACCCGCTAGCTACCACGACGATTCAGATTTAGGCAGGAATAGTCCCTCTCGCGAAATACCCCTGGGATGCACCGGATTACAACCAAATTGCATTGGTATCATTTGCTCTGGTCCTCTTGAGAGGTCTCCAGGCGAATTCCACTCCTCAGAGCGGAACCTCGATCCCCTCGCTTTGGCGATCGCCTGACGACCGGATACCCGCAAGGTCAACTCTTGACTTTCTTTCATAGCGATTCCTCGATACCCCCGATATACCCTCCGATACAATGCCTGCTTCTGCTCTATTTCGGTCCCAACGGGTGGGCCTCCAACACCTGGCCTCGCGAGCCGGTACCCGTGCTCACCTTCCAGTGTCGGCCCGGTACTTCTCCAATTTCCTCGTCACCCCCAGGAACTCGCGGACGCGTTAGAAAAGAACCCTCCCAAGATCAGCCCTGAGCCCAAGACTGTGGCCGTCTGCGCCTCTTGGTTCCTACCTAACGATGAACGCACCGGAATCCAAGTCTTCCGGGATATGCGCATCCCGAAAGCAAGATTCTTCGATCTTGACAAGGTCATTGATAAGCGGTCCCCTTACCCTCACATGCTCCCCGGGGCAAAGGAGTTCGCCCTCGCAATGAGCGAGATTGGTGTTCGTCGAGACGACACCGTCGTCGTGTACGACAGCAAGGAGCTTGGCATCTTTAGCGCACCAAGGGTTGCCTGGACCATGAAACTTTTGGCCACCCCAAGGTTCACCTTCTCAACAACTTCAAGCTATGGGTAGAAGGCGGGTTTCCTACCGAATCTGGTGAATTGTACAGCGTAGACTGCTGCACCTATCCTATCCATGCCATTGAAGAGGCCAAGGTTGCCTCCTTTGAAGAGGTCAAGGAACTCGCCCTTAACCACGGAAAGGAGGGCTCAGAGGGTGTTCAGATCCTCGATGCTCGACCCACCGGGCGCTGGACCGGGAAGGACCCTGAGCCACGGCCTGGCCTCTCCTCCGGACACATGCCCGGCTCCATCAGCATGCCCTTCAATGCGCTCCTGGACCCTGAAACCAAGGCTTTCCTCGAGCCAGAGAAGCTTCGACAAATCTTCGAACAAAAGGGCGTGGACCCAGAAAAGCCCATCCTCTCTAGCTGCGGCACTGGTGTAACCGCCTGCGTCATCGAAACCGCTCTCGACATTGCGGGCTATGGTACTCCTGAATCTAGGAGGGTGTATGATGGCAGCTGGACGTAAGTTTCATACCTCTTTTCTGCCGAGTTCTTTCATCCTAGCTCAAGCACTAACACCATTTCCAGAGAATGGGCCCAACGAGTCCAGCCGGACGAAAATCTCATCATTAAAACTGAGGGTGAAACCTCGACTTAGAAAGATGGTAAAAGCGCAGCTTGCTTTGGTACTCCATCCCCCTTCCCTAAACTTGCCCATTCCACTTTATAGGTTCTGCCCAAGGGGCATTTATCCATGTATGATACTTCTCATCTCTATTATGATTTCAAGTGCCTTGATATAGTCATAATCCATCAACAATCTAGCGCCGTCTTGGTCATTGTTACATTCTTCCGTGATATCATGCAACTCCATTCAAGAAAACATGTCCTCTCCTAAACCAAAAAAGAGTCGTAATAGAAGAATAAGAAGAAGGAAAAGAAGAGGATCGAGAGCGTGAGAAGGAAGGCAAGGACATCGTCGATTTATGGTCTCAATTCTAAAGAGAGTCTAGCCCCCAAATCAGTCAATCGCCCAAACCTCGAGGGATCCATAGATGCATGGATTGATTGAGAATTAGCTTCCAAAGGCCATCTTTACAGTGGCCGAAGCCATTTTCGGTGTGGTGGTCTCCACAGGAGGAGTGGTTGTCCATTCACCGAGAATTGCGATTTCGGTGAAGGGAGCTTTTTCGCCTTTCTGCCTGAAAATTAAGGTCTCACACCAACTTAGGGCTCGCGACTCGACCACACCAAAATTACCATTGGCTGCCCCGCCAAATCCATCACAAAAAAGTTGCACTGAGCGGACCTTGAATCCAGCAACCTCCCCAACACCGATCTCTTCGACCCCCTCAGCCCACTCACGAATTTCCTCACCCAACGCCCATTCGAATTTTCCGAATTTCGAACGACTTTAATCGACACAATGGCTGACCGAGGCGGTGCTCCCGTGGCGGCGGTTTCGGATCCCGAGGTGGTGACCGTGGTCGTGGTCGCGGTCGTGGCCGTGGCCGTGGTCGTGGCAAGAGCGAGGAGAAGGAGTGGCAGCCCGTCACCAAGCTCGGCCGTCTCGTGAAGGCTGGCAAGATCAACAGCATGGAGGAGATCTACCTCCACTCTCTCCCCATCAAGGAGTACCAGATCGTCGATACCTTCCTCCCCAAGCTCAAGGATGAGGTTATGAAGGTGCGATATATCCCGGGATTCCCAATCTGCCCAATCTGAGGTGGAGGCATAGAGGAGATGGTGTACAATCTTCCTTGGGTCTCAGCGTAGCTAACTGTATGGTTTCCTTTTTCCCCCGAACAGATCAAGCCCGTCCAGAAGCAGACCCGTGCCGGTCAGCGCACCCGTTTCAAGGCCATCGTCATCATTGGTGACGCCGAGGGCCACGTCGGTCTCGGTATCAAGACCTCCAAGGAAGTCGCTACCGCCATCCGCGCCGCCATCATCATCGCTAAGCTCAGCGTCATCCCCGTCCGTCGTGGTTACTGGGGTGCCAACCTCGGTCAACCCCACTCTCTTCCCTGCAAGCAGAGCGGCAAGTGCGGTTCCGTCACCGTTCGTGTACGTACAACCCTCACCCTTCCCAAAGGAGACATGGAAATTGGTTTTGGAAAAACCACATGCCAACTCGGGCTACGGATCCCTTTATCATCATTACTAACTATCCCGTGCCTTGCAGCTCATTCCCGCCCCCGCGGTACCGGCCTCGTTGCCTCCCCGCTGTCAAGCGATTCCTCCAGCTCGCTGGTGTCGACGATGCCTACACCTCGTCCGCCGGTTCTACCAAGACTCTCGAGAACACTCTCAAGGCCACCTTCACCGCCGTCTCCAACACCTACGCCTTCCTCACGCCCAACCTGTGGCAGGAGACCAAGCTCGTCAGGAGTCCTCTGGAGGAGTTTGCCGACACTCTCCGGGAAAAGCGTTTCTAAGTGGTTACGAGACGGACCTTTGGCGTTTCCTCCTCTGTTATTTGTTTCTCATCGCGGCGCACACACATAAACTCTTCCCACCCGTTTTGTCTCAGTTCAGTGTTGCATGGGCGGCTGGTTAGGGCATCAGGTTGAGGTCAAGGCAGAATAGCTTCAGTCTGAAGAAAAAGAAAAGAATACACTCGGAAAAGAGATGTTCCAACTCTATACCTCGTCCCGTTCCAATACTCCCCTCTTATGACATGTTCCCATTAGCCGGCTACTGGTGTATGTCGGTTGATAGCTTGATACCGAATTACTTCCTCTCTAGCGGCACAAAGCGTAGGCATCTGTGAAGGCATTTATACAAACAACACTAAGCACTAACGATATCAAAGAACCTCGAAATATCCGTCCAACGCCGCTAACCGAAACCACAGCTCCTCGCGTGGCCCCTTTCCACAACACCCGTTCCTTTCCCCTCCGGAACTTCAAAGCATTCATCTCCCTACCCTATTTTAGAGCGAAAGGGTGTCCTTCGCCTGTCTTTTCAATCCTAAGTACCCCCATCTCGACATCTTCATCACCTGCTGGTGGAGTACCCAGACTTTGCTCTCTAGCCTTACGGCCCACTCGCCGGTTCCCGCCAATATGCCCCTACCGTTCCCCGCGCCTTGCCGATCCTCCTTGGCCACCACTGGCCACCTGTCAATACTAAAGTATCGCGGTGCAATGCCACGCACGCTGCTTGCCGCCCAGTTCCATATTTTCTGTCGTCGAGAGTACACCTGATGCGTCCCGTCGGGTGTGGAAGTCGTCGTCAGTGTTCGCGGCCACAGCGGGTTCAGGTACTCGTTGCACTCGCGGACCATATTCTCCGCCACGTAGGCATTGATCAACTCTTGGCAGCCCTCTCGCTCGTTACCGGCCCACTCGCTCTGATACCGGGCAGGGTCGGCCCACTGAATAATATCCCCCTTTTCATGGGCGGGTTGACGGGTGGTTCGTCGGTCTCCGCGACAGCCTTCTTGAAGGTGGACTCCATCATCCATGACATCTCCCGGTAAAAGTCTGCCAATTTACTTCTCTGGGCATCGGTCAGTGCCTGATCAACTACACTAAGCTTCTCCTCAAGATCCATGATGCTGTATCCGAGGCGCCAGGCCAGACCCCGCGCTACAAGTAGCGCGTTGTCCCGCCACTTTCTTACTTCGACCGGGGTGGATTCAGCGGCCTGTTGATAGGTTTGCGCCTTAGGGGCCAAAGGAGTAGGATATCTCGGGAACAAGAGCGTGTCCTCGGGGTAGAGCGTCATATCTGGGCGCCGATAGCAGCGACCTGCGTTGGTCGAATGAATCCTACCAGGTGATGTGTTAGCACTTCTTGACTTGACGGGCACAACGGCACAGAGGAAACTCTTGCACCACACGTTTTTCCTTTCCCAATCGCCTCCTCTTCGCCTCTTCTCTCTTTTCCGCTCTTGGTACGGGATTGAACTTACTCGACTCTGCCCATTTTCCAGAGCTCTACAAGGAAACCTTGGGCCTCCGCAGCCTTAAATTTTATTCGGCGGAATGAGTTTCCAGAATTACACCGGTTAATCGACTTGAGAAGCGTGTCGAATTCCAGAGAGTCCTCCTCGAAGCAGCTCTTTTCGCTAAGCTCATGAACCAGCGCGTTTAAGCGGTCAGCAAAGATGCGCTTCCTCATGGGCCATTGCGCGGGTAGCGGCTCGAGCAGCTTGTGGCTGGTTGGTCTGTGAGAATACATAGATAGGACGCAGAGCTCCCACTCATCGCCCTCCGTAAGCGCGGTGCGGAGTGCTTCGTGTTCAGGCTGCCCTGCGCTGCCCACCCTGCATTGTCGAGCGGGGAGCGCGTCGCGCTCGCCATTTTCAAGGTAGTTTAGAACCTCGTCTAGGAACCTGCGTGGATACAGTCGTTGAGCCGTCAACAGGTCGCGCTTGATTGTGTTGAGCTTGCCGAGTAACTTGAAATTGGCGTACTGTTCCTCGTACATACCCACCGCGATCAAGGGAGCCCAAAGGCCGTTGTCCGGAAGCGGAGGCCGCTGACTCGGATCTTTGCCGAACTTATTTTCCCAGTATTGCCGCAGCTCGCCTAGGATATTCGGCAACCATTTCTCATTCTCCTCAACAAACCGCTTGTGCCAGAAGATGTACCCCGTCATGGAATCGACCTCCGGCTTGGGGTTTTGGTACGTTATCGGATCCCATATGATGCCAGGCTCGGGTCCTCTCGCCTTGCGCCGCCGCCTCTCCCTTCGTTCTCGCGCTGTCTCCAAAATTAGTTTCCTGTAAGGGCTTTCGAGCGCCCGTATCTCTTTCGTCTGCGACCCAAACGCGCGTAGGACCATGGTCAGCCCAGCGCGGTTGGCACCCCGAAACCGACACCAATCCCATCGCAACCTTTCCATCCCCTCCCCTTGGGTCTCGCGTGGGTTCCAGTTCAAAGAGCACGCTGTCTTCAGAGACTTGAGCGCACGCAGAGGTCCAAGGCGCATGCACGCCATAAAGGTCTCATCCTCAGTCTCGACCATGTTGAAGCCTCCCGGTAGAAATTTCACCTTGTCCATGTTGTTCCAATAGCTGGTCTTGCGATTCCACTCTAGCCTCGGAATTTCGTAACTCCATAGGAACTGCTCGTCCTCGAGGTACTTGGCCATGCAACTCTTGAAAGCTTCCCTAGACATGACGTACATGCCGTCCACAACGCCCCGCGGGAGTCTGTGCAAGAGGTTCCTGGGACTATCTGGCTCATGGATTTGCCTATCCGTGCCCTCTAATAACGTGAAACGAGGTCTCGGCGTGTTCAAAATACTCTTGCGGGCCAGGGCCACGGTATTCCCACCAAGGTTGGGAGTATCAAGGGAGTAATGGTACCGCTCGTAAACGTCGTGGACTTTCATCATGTGTATCGCGTCGTTGAGTTCGTATCCCCAACTTCCGCCTTTTTCCACATATCGAACGGCCAGGAAGGCCAGATACTCGGCTATCTCGCCAATTTTGGCATGCCAGTTCTCCGTGCGGTCAACGTCCTCATCGGCGAGAAAGTTGGCTATCCGAATTAGCGTGATGCGGGTGGAGGGCATCTCCCAGCCTTTGTAAGTGGTCTTGCCGGTGTCCTCAAGTTTTTCGATCCCGAGTGTTTCTAGAAAAGACTCTAGCCAGCCTCGCATCACTGCTGGTTTTGTGAGCCTCACCTGCTCGCCCCCATCAGTCTCAAATTGCTTGAGCAACTCGCTGACCATCCCGGGTGCAGCCACGCCACTCTCGTTAAGTATGTTTGGATGGCCAGAAGCCCGCATGAGAGTGGGTGATTGGTCGGGACTGTCATCGGTGGGTGATTGATCTCGATCATCATCTCTATAGTCCGCCATCTCGTCGTCGGAGTCGTCAATGCGTATCGCCCTCTTGATAGTTTCCCCAGGTACCGAAATTACGTCTTCCTCCTCGCTCAACTCCTCCACGTTAGACTGGTATTCTATCACGAACGGCCTCAACCAAGCGTCCTTTCCATGCATGGGTGTCGTATCTGGTTCGCCGGGCTTCAGGACTCCAAACTTTTCCAGTAACTTCCTTCTCGCCAACCTCAGGCCAGATTCACTCAGGGGAGCTGGTCGCCGCGCAGTTGGGCGCCTCTCTGGAGATCCTCCCATGTGAGCCCTTCTTTTCCCAGCTCCTTCGTAATCCACTCTTCCTGGTAATCGTTCGACGGGTCACCCATCCAAGCCCTTTCTTTCGCCTTTCTGATGGCAGCTTTCCTGGCCAGCGCCTCAGGAGTGTACTCGTCCGGCACGAGCAAGCGGTTCCTCAGCCAACAAAACCTCTCGCTATATATATCCCGGACAATCTCCCAGAGCTTTTCGTATCGTTTCAACAGGTCATCAATGGCATGTCGAGCGACCAGGTCCTCTACGAAACGAAAAACTCGTAAGGGGGTCAGTCTCAATATGTTTGATAAGATTGTGCCAAAGAACCTGAGGCGCATCATACTTCACTCGATCGAGATAATCTCGGAGTTCGACTGCGTTTTCCATTAGCTTGAGAAAGGGACAAAAAGGGGACAAGTGGTGTTCAAAACCCACGCAGTCTTCCATTAATCGCCTCGAATTGCGATGCGCCTCCTCCATTCCCAGCTACCGCACCCGACCCTATAGGGGAGGAGGATCATCATCACTGCTGTCGCTGCCGAAAGGGTCAGGACCATCCCCTTGGGCTACACCACCCCTCGGGCTCTCGCTAGATCCAGCAGACGGGTCTTCTACAGGGTCGTCACTCATCGTCAAGTCAACTGCCTCCTCCTCAGATGACACCCCTCCTCCTTGGGCCGCCGGCGACTGACCAGTAGTGCCTTGTTTACTAGGAGAACCGACACGGGGGCGGTTTCCGCCGGTCTCCGGACTAGTGTCCCCTGAAGATATGCTCACAACTGCCGCTCGTTGATAGCTAGAGCGGGCACCTGGAGGTTCAGGAGAGGGCTCCCGCGGGAGAAGAGGGCCGGTCCGCGGCGACGCTAACTCATTACGGGCAATATTTATCGGCAAGAAACTGGAACCTCGTGTTTGCTGGGTTTCCGGAGGGTGTTGAGATTCCGGCGGTTGTGAAGTTCTTGGTGGATGATGTGCTTCCTGGCGCAATTGAGGTAAAGGACGCTGGGCTGTAGCCGGTTGTCGAGGTGCTTCCCGGCGTTCCGGAGGTGGAGGAGGAGGTGGAGGAGGATGAGATGCCAGAGGAAGCCGCGGCGGCGTAATTTGTTGAATTGTGGTGGGCTGCTGAGGCCCCAAGCCCGGAGGCGCGGCCACCGGGCGCAACGGAGGGGCGGGGGATGAGATGCCAGAGGGCTCTGCGCTGCGGTAGACTGCTGAGCTACGTTAAACTGTTGTCCCAGGGCCTGAAGTGTTGCCTGGCGTAGCAGAGACGATGAAGTAGAACGGGATCTCGGAGGACGCTGGGCAGTGGCAAGCTGTCGAGGCAAAGGAGGCTGCTGGGCTGCGGTGGTTTGCTGAGGCCCTGTGGTCTGAGATGTTGCCTGGCGTGGCTGAGAACGGAACGCCGGGGAAAGTTGGGCTGTGGCAGACTGCGGAGGTCCCAAAAATGAGGTGCTATCCGGCGCTGTGGAGATGCCGACGACGGGTGGGATGCTAGGGAAGGCGAGCCTACGGTAGGTAGCCGAGGCTCAGAGGTTTGAGAGGTCGCCCGGCTCGGTGGAGGTGGTGGAGGAGGTGGCGGACGAGGTGGCGGAGGAGGATGAGATGCCATGGATGGCGGGACTGCAGTAGGCTGCTGTGCCATGGTAGGTGGATGGGGTGCGGAGACCTGAGGTGCTCTCTGATGTGGTGGGGGTGGTGGAGGAGGATGGGATGTTAGAGGACGTTGGGCCGCAAAGGTTTGCTGGGCTATGGTAGGTTGCTGTGATCCCAAGCTCCGAGGTGATGCTGCAGGTAGTGGAGGTGGCGGGGGAGGATGGGATGCCAGAGAAAGCTGGGCCGTGGTAGATTGCTGAGCTACGGCAGGCTGCTGGCCCGGAGCGGGCTCGGGTGATCCAAAAGATTGAGATGACATCGGGCGCAGCCGAGGTTGCGGACGACGCGGAGATGCTGGATCGCCCTGAGTTGCCGCAAGCTGCCGAGCCCTCAATCGCAATTCGGAGCGGGAAATTGTCTGCCACCCCGGTGAGCCGCCATCTCCCTGCCCTGACGGCTCCGCCGGAGGGTCGTCCTCTGGAGCCATGGATGATGGGAACGCGAAAGGTCGATGCGGCTAGAGATAGAGGCGGAGGCTTGGGAGTGGATGACCCGTGACTGGAAAATGAAGGAAAAAGGAAGATATTATAAGGTAGTGTGAGGGATAGAAAAGGTATTCAATAGGGCAACACAAACAATGATAGCAAGAAAAAAACGGTGGTGGTGGGGGACGAGAGTGGGAGAGCAATGTTGGAGGACGGGCGAGACTGCTCTCCTCGCGGGCAAGGTTGATCAGACTCTTAGCAATGGCATAACGTGAAAAATAGAGGAGAGAAAGCCACCGGGCATAGTGGGCATTTGAGTCTCTTTGATATCGTCTTCCGTGTCTCCGGCTTGGGAAGAATATCTTCGGCTAAAGATAGACACTTCGTCATACGTAGGAATTCCAGATGTCATTTTGAAAGCGTGTATGAGGCACGAGCTGGAGGTTAATACATTCCTCAGCCTGGAGCATAGTGTTTCAACACAGAAAGCAGCATTTTGGCTTTTGGAATGTTACCTTTTGGAGATTCCTCCGGATAGAGATCATGGATGTCCCATCTCATGCTGGGCTTTTTACTCTCTAAGGAAAACAAAGGCTCTTCGTTGACTTGCACGCTCTTCACGGGCAGTCACGTTGCGGAAAATAAGGCAAAGACACCACCATCGCCGCATTCGCCGACGAGGAGGGGAACGATTCGTTTTGGCGGCCAAGGTTGTCAAAGACCAAAAGGAATGACATGATCAAAGAAGCAAATGCTTTGTTGCCAGCCAGATAGCTTCACAAAGAGGGACGGAACCGAGAGGTGACCGACTGTTTCAAAATGTCGTTCGGGGCCGTAGTGATAAGAAGACGATGGGCCGCGAGAAGAAACAAAAATCCATGATCCAGGCAACTCTCCGTGGTGACATCTCCAAACTACCCATCAAGTCCAGAAAAAGAACCGAAGAACCGAAGAACCGAACAAGATGTTTGAGCCATCACAGGACCCTAACCCCAAGCATGAGGCGCGCGGAGCCGAGCGGAGATGGGGCGATGGCCCCCGAGCATCAACGCTCCTACATGCGCGGCTCTCTGTATGCCAATGCACCAAACGCCAAGTATCCCCCTCCATCCACGGCCGTCCCATCAACCGCCCCACCACCCTCGGACGAGGACGACTTCGAGGTGGCATCGCAATCCGGTATGGAAACGCACACCCCGGAGGGAGCAAGAAGTCCCGAGCTACGCGGGGACGAGAACCCCCTTCCAACGGCTGGTGGCAGCTCTACGAGAGGCAGCGAAGGGAGGACGCGATCTGGGAACCGCCCTTGGTCATCGGCCGGTCACTGGGCGAGAATCTGAGTGAATGGCAGGTGGCGTGTCGCACAGTAAAGCAGTGGGAAGCCATTCTCGAACATCACATTGCCCAAAATGTCGACCGGGCTGCGTTGACAGCGGTGTTGGAGGAGCTTAAGCTCGCTCGTACGAGGCTTCATGAGCTACCCGTCAATGAGAAAACTGTCACGCCAATGTAAGTGGAGACCAAGCTTGAATCTAAAGAGAAGCGAGAGAGAGGTAGAAAAGGGGAACTGTTGATATGGCACACCCGAAAAGAAAAGCACACACGTTCCGGGGAAACGAAGAGCCTGACCTAACACCCATTCTTTTTCATATAGGTACGAACTCGAAGCAACATCGAATCAGGCGATACAAGACCGGTTGGAAATTCTCCACCGCGCTCACAGCTCAAGCCGCTTCCCTCCCGAAGCGCGCAACATCGCCGCAGCCATCCACGCCTACGAGAGCGGCGAGATCCAGTACTGGGACAAGTACACGGTCATCTGGAACGGCGAGATCGCCGGGTACTTCCCAAAGTACCGCTCCTTCAGCGAGAACCGAGCCCGTCTCGTCGCAGACTTTGCCGAGAGCTATGGCCCGGGCTGGCTGTGGTACGAGGAACCTCTTCAGCCAAGCTCGATGCCGACCACGCTCGAGGGGACCGGACCCACTGCTCCCGCAACGGCTATGAGGGCAACAGCAACCGTCATGGAGGACCGCTTGGGCTACGGCTTCGGATCCTGGACCATCACCATGGGATTTCGGCGGCTCAAACCCTACGTCTCCAAGGGGGCGACGGGCGAGGATGCGGCGGAAGGACAAGACTGCAACGAGGGTCGCGTCCCTTACAAGTCTCGGTTCGCCGAGGATTTGCACCTGGAGCCAGACGAGACCGTTCCCCAGATTCATTTTGACGTCCTTCTCGACTCCGGGTCAACCTACCCAATCCTATACCAGAGTGATCTAGTCCACTTAGGCATCAGCCCAGACTCGTACGCCGCGCAGTCCGTGACAAGAGTGGCCACCGTGAACGGCAACATCGACATGGCCCTCTACGAGATGCTGGCCTCCGTCACCGACATAAACTGCAGCTCCCTCGTGGACGAGAACCGCGCCGTGTGGCCGTCGGAACCCGCCATGCTCGGCAACGTGGTGCCGGTGGGGACGATACGCGGGACGCGCAAATCCCATCAGAGCATGCCCGTGACTCTCTGCCTCGGGAGAGCGGAGCCCCGTTAGAAACCGGGCAAACGGGTGCGGTAGGCTCTCGGGGATGCTGCCCTTCATCTCGTGCTACCTCACGGCCGCGCCAGGGACCGGCGTCATCTGGATGGGCGAAGACAGGGGCGAGGTCCTGGGCGTTGACAAGTTCCCCGGCCAGCTGTCTTACAGTTCCAAGACCAAACCCGCGGCGGCCGAAAGGCTACGAAGGTTGGCGGAAGGCGGGGCGATGATTGGTGTCCACTTTGAACAAACGGTGCCCCAAGGTGGTAGCATCACTGACCAGGACACCGAGTTCGGGTCGAGCACGCTCACGAGGTACGATGCCAACGGCGAGGTGATGGAGACGGTCATTGTCGATCCAACAGGCCGGGGCGAGGCAGAACGTGGCCATATTTGATGACAACGGCTACATCTCCACAAGACTCAGAAGACTCACAAGACTCAAGACACGGATGACGTAGGGCTAGCTAGCACAGACTCGGTAGTTTGTAAATAAAGAAAGCGTGTTCCCCCAATACAGGAGGCTGTCTATCCCTTCGTTCTCCACAGTATTCATTTTATATGGGACAGAGTGTTCGCTAAGAATCTATCCAACAAATTTAGTGTACTAGATAGTCAGGGGCAAAATCATATCGTCCACAGCTTCAATGAGTCGCTGTCGTCTAGAACATCTGGAACATGTCGAAAAAGGGTTGACACAAAGGACAAAGGTACAAAGTACTCGTCTCGGTGGGTTACTAAGCAAGATCTAATTTAGGAAGGTTTGACCAACCCAATGTGGAATTTGAACCGAACCCAGCGGAGACTCGAATTCTCAGGGGAATCGACGATGGACAATCCTCATTCGAAAAATGCAGCACCAAATGTAGTGGTATAATTTTAGAAGAGGATAAATGAAAAAGAAGAAGGGGAAAAAGAAAAGAAACATCCATTTGCTCAATCTCACCGGTTCCCGAATGCGCGTCTTGAGGTTCAATCTTCCATCTCCAAAATTAAATGCAGACAATGGCCAGTCAAGAGAGCAGAAAGCCCTCTCTGCTCCGAAAAGGGGACATGTTCGCGTCCTGCAAACCCCGGTCCTTTGGGCACCGAGAGACAGCCCGAAATGGCACCCCTTTTTAATACTCCCCAAGTATGCATTCCCAGCAGAAACGGAACAGATAAAAGGAAAAGGGAAGGAAGAGGAAGATAGACAAGCGAAAAAAAAAGGGGTTGCATCCGTTCCCAAATCGCCCCTCTTCTCCAAAATTATGCGTCGACGCAGGCGGATGCACCTCGGGTAGGTCTGTCGCTGCTGCTTGGAACAGAACATTGGCAATCGGTTGGGAGTGTTCCCGTCCCATGCTGCTGCTGCTGCCACCCCCATGTCCATCACCCATGTTCGCCGCTCCATGTCGCCATGCCTCGAGCCCTCTCTGACTTGGCATGGACCATTGTGCGCGCCCCTCTGCGCTGCGAGGGAAATTGGATCATGACAACTGCACGTGAAATTAGGAACTCGCACACGAACCAAGGCTTCGAATGATGCTTCCCGTTCCTCCTCCAGTTTCCCACCGCGCCTGGCTGGCGGGACCCGCCATGACAAGTACTTGCATTTCGTGGACAGGAGAATACTGTGTGAACATGTAAGATTGAATATTACATGTACGGAAAACGGAGGACGGTGGGGATGGGGGCATGGGGCCAAGTTTCCAACACGGAATTTGGAGACATAGATACTGCACAACTTCCATCATACCTGGTCACATCGGCCGCATAGGGTCCCTCGTTGATGCACGGCTGATGTTCGATCCAAAATTGACTGATGATTCGCTTCAGACGCCAGCCAATCCATCCATATCGGCCTCCTCGTTTGGTGACCGACTAAAACCGTAAGAAAAATGGCCCTCGCTGGCCACCCACATGGGCCCAGCTTTTCCCCTTTCGCCTCATGGCGTGTCTGTCCAGTCATGGCAGGTCCCGCTGGGTTCTGCAAAGGCGACTGGAACACCATCCGGCCCTAAAATTCGACCATCAGATGCACGTAATAGGAGCAACTAGCACCCGCATCTAGCAAATCCTCGCCGAGATTGACTGGTGGGCTACCCTATTGGACCATGGGCCTGCTCCGTGAAGAGGCATCCGTAAGGCCGTCTCCGCATCAATCAATCACGTAGTGTACATATCTTCAAATATTACCAGAGTCTCGGATTCGTTCTTCGTTGGATGTTACGTTGGCTGGCCTCGAAGTCCATGCATGGATTGAAGGGGCCATCCTAGCACTTGAAGCGATAGGCTTTCGAGCTGCCTAGGGGCAATGCATGTCCGTCACTATCAATGGGCAAGAGAAAAAGTGTGGTTTTTTTGTCATTTTACTTTATTCATTGTAAAACTAAGCTACCTACTGAGGCCATTGGCGTCGGTAGCGGTAGGGTTGGTACCCAACAATTTCATGCTCGTGGAATTTTGAAGCTGCGGCCTTCTCCATGCCGAACGACTTTCATCTATTCGACGACTCGTGAGTAGTCACACAGCTCATTAGTTCATTATAGAACCAGCTCTCTCTTCTCTCGCCAGGGTGCCGTCCTTGCTTCGCCGAATCGGAAAAACAAGGAATAAAGAAAACAAACGTCACCCTCCTTTCGTGATACCGAATGCTCTGCTCACTCGCCTTCCAATTATAATGTACATCCTGCTAGGGCCGCGCTGGGCCCGGCGCATAAGGGTATCGGAATGAGAAAGTCGGGTGAACCAGAGTATTGCGTTAAAAAAGTTTTGGCTTTCGGAAATGCTGAATTCCAGCCAGTGCGTTATTGAATATGTCGTTGCCTTCCTCTTCCTGATACATCATTATGGTGGGAGGGAGGAGCATCGAGGAAAAAGGGGGCGGGCGACACCAAACAGGGGCCAACCTGTCCACTGCCAAACGGATCCAAGGCACTGTGCCTTTTTGTGGGGTGGGAGGGGAGGGGTGAATATTGGCCTTGTTCGTCCTCTCGGAGCTCTTGGTCGTCTGACTAGGCTTCGAGACCACCCGACCATCCTTGCCCCCGAGATGTCGAGTGTCTGCCTCTGCGCTTCTTTGCCGCCCTCGTCTCCCGGAGGAGAAACCGAAGTCCGGTTCGGCGGCCTTCCGGGAACGTCTCTCTCAAGCAAAACATACAAGTGATGAGATAATTGAGAAACGCAAAGAAAAAAGAGAAACCACTCAGTTAAGGAAAAGAAATAGGAATCGAATCGACGCGTGCCGTGCTGTGCTGTTGAAAAAAGCTGAATGCTGAAGTAGAAATAAGAACGATACAGGGGTATGAACTCTCCGACTTTTGGTTGGGGTCGACTTTGAGAAAGGAGGAATCAAAAGAGAAATACAAATCGGAAAAAGGTGGTGTCTTGGCGCTCTTTGGAATCAATGCCATGCCGTATATTTGGGGGTTTTCCATCGCTACGAAAATTCATTCTGTATGCAGACTAGGGTTGTGTTTTTAGTTCGCTTGTCGACGTGCCCCATATCTTGGTGTATAAAAGAGAGGGGGGAGAGAGGCGGAGTTGGTTGAGTTAGAGAGGATGTATGGTCAAGGTCAAGGTTGCCAAGACTCAGTCGTGCTGGCCATTGGCACAGTCACGACCGTTCCTCATCTCATTATTGGTAGTCCATTGCCATGGGATAATGCCTCGATTGCGAATGACCTTGGGGAGTTGGGGTCGCTGGACATCGGGGAGGAACGGCGTATTCCCTTCCCATGCCATTATCGAAGCAAGCGCCGTCGGGTGTGATGGGAGGCGTCATGTAACCGTCGAAGCCCTTCACCGCAGCGCCCTTGCCGTGAGGTGTAGCATAGATGCTGGACTCCTCGACGACGGCGGGCACCGGCTGAGGTCCGGGCTGAGAAGCCGCCCTCCTTGAGATAGCCGCCTGTTGCCTCATGAACTCGGAGAGCTTGTGGGTTACGCGCGAAAACTGAGTCGAAGAGTACTTCTTAGCGAGGGAGATGGAGGGCTGGTGCAAGTGTTGAGACAGGGAGATGAGGGTAACGTTCTCAACGTGTCCCATCTCGCTATCCGCAACCTCTGGCCGTCCGAGAATAGCACGTGCCAAGGCCAAGGAAGATCGGGCCATTACTGAAGGCTTGGTCGAAACGAAGTCTCGGTGGTATAGGGCAATCTCGCTGATGTAGGCAGCCATATGCTCCACTTCAGTGTCATCCCTCTCGACGGCGACCAAAAGCTGGGTGAAGAAGTCGACGGTGGGGTGGCCAATGGTCCAGTCCAGGGTGTTGAGAACGTGCATCTCCATCTGCGTGAACATGCCGGGATCATAGAGGCCACAGCACATGTTGTTGAGCTCGTGAATTTGCGGAACGCGCTCTTTCTTGTCGCCGTACTTGGCCGCAATCAGCAACGCGGCGCAGCCGACAAGCTGGTAGTGCTGCTTGTAGACCACGCGCTTCGAGCAGTAACGGTCGAGCAGGTTGACGGTGAGGAAGAGGGTTTCGGGGAGCAGGTTGAAGCACGCATGGGCCTCGATGAGGAAGTCAATGAGATATGGCCTCATGAACCACTGGATCTCGCGCTGCAAGTCAATAAGATTGGCATCGGGCAACGTCTCATCCTGCATAGGGTCACGCATGTTAGCCTTTGTGGGGAAGCATGGTCGCGAAGACTGTGGAATCCTGGCAGAAACCGTACCTCCATCTGTTTAAGATGCTGCATGATGTCTTCCAAGTACTCATCGCTCGCTAGCCGTGACAGTTCGTTGCCAATAAGCTCTTGTCGGTTCCAGGCCAACAGCTTGGCTGTTTCCTTCGCGTCCAACCACGGGCGGGTGGGTTGATCAGGCTCGTAAAACATGTCGTCGTCTTCGACAAACCGTTGGTACGCCATGTTGGGTGGTGAGGAGCGTAGGGTGGATATGTGTGAATGTAAGAGTAGAGTCTAGATAGGATAGAATCGTTGAGTCTATGCTTTCGAACTGCCTTGCGTGAAGAGTGAGTGTCGGGCGATCGTTTTCTCCGGGAAACTCGGCGTTGGTAATGATTACTCGCAAAAACAAAGAATGAATGTCGTGTCTAAAAAGACCAAAAAGTTGACTTCGGGCTTCCGTGAAGAGGTAGGCCGAGGCGATTAAACTATCATTAGGATTATTTAAAGGAGTGTGTCGAAAAATAAGTCTGAAAGAGTGACAACTGGTTGGGATGAAAAACACAAAGAAAGAGTGAACTACGTCGAGTCCAAATGGTGATTCTCGTCGACTAATCAAGTCTTCGTCCTCTCGATTGATGGAAGGGGGTCGAAAAAGAAGCCGCTCAAGTAGGGGCTGTCGACTGAGAGACTCTGAATTGATAGACAGGGTTAGTTTAGTTCAATGGAAGACAGTGGTGCAGAGTAGATGAGATGTTTCAGGGGGTTTCTCAGTTGACAAGGTGAGGGGGTCTAGGGTGGATTGATGGGGGAATTGTTTTGTGTTCAGGAACAGGTAATTGACAAGTTAAGTTCCGGGAAAACAGATTCAGAATAGACGTAATCAAATTTGTCTCCCTCCTGTCAAAAGGAAGTCTGAATTCTAGGATTGGGAGGGGATGTGAAAAAAGAAAGGCACGCTGGATTGAGGCTCTCACATACCCTCACGATTGAAGCTTAAAAAGCTGGTCTGAGTCGAAATCGAGCTGGTGATCAAGGAAGGTGGGAACAACGAGCTAACGTCTCCCACAAGTCAAACCTCGACAGCTAGGTGCCTGCTTCGCAACCCCACAAATGCAGGCCTCTTTACTTCCAAAGTCTCAAAGAGGCAATCGAAGTCATGTATCCTCGATGGCCAACTCGTCGGGACGGGTGATCGAGAAATCGGAATTTCAATCGAGTCGGTTCGTAATGAGACAGACTCGGGTCAAGTTCGATGGTAGCCGAACTAGACGGGAAGAAGGTGTGGAAAAAGGAAACCAACACTAGACGGAATGGTGTGAGTTGGTTCGGTTGTTGGTGTTCTCGAGTGGTCGAAGAACAAGAGAATGGTGGATAGGAAAGAAAAGAAAAATTGCCTCGTTCTGTTCTCTCCCCTTCTTTTCCCTCGTGATCGCTCGGTGGTCGTTCTCCTGGCCTTTATATACGGTAAAGGTAGGGAAGCCGGGTCCAAGGTTGGCCTCAACCGTGGATCGTGGAGATCTGCGGGTGAGACTACAAGTCGACACAGCTGTGAACTGAGAGGTTCTCCGCCTTCCTAATCTCTGCGCTTTGATGCGAGAGTAAGGGTCGCCCTTCTGAGATAGAAGGTCTGGAAGGAATGGACGGGGAAGGGGAATGAATGGATGCGGGAGGAGGAGAAGAGGGGGAGGGAGGGTGAGGTTGGAGGAGGATGGATGAGATAAAAAGGATTGGAAGAGAAGCGTTTTAATGGGCAGCACTTGCCATAAGTAGCACCCACCAGGGAAAGATGGCAACGACTGAGTGTGCACAAGAGAACCGTGGGCACCACTGGGCTGGGGGTGGGTTTGGAAGGGCTAGGGGCGAGTGGGGTGTGGATGTGGGCGTGGAAGTCGCCTGTGGGGTGTGGGTTTAAGGTACTGAGGTACGCTGGAAGACGTGACGGACGTGGGAGCGAACGCCCCGGGGCTCGCTCCGTTTAATTCGATGGGATGGCGTAGTGGACGTGTTGGTGTCTGTGGGCGTGTCGCAGTGGGCGCGTTCAGTGTCGGAATTGAGTTGACGCACCCAAGGGGCCTTCTGTCAAGTCGAGTGGACCGTTTCCTTAGCGCGTTCTGGGCGACTGGAGGAGAAGCCAGGGGGCGGGAGATTGGGCGGTGCCGGTAATACGGAGGTACCTTAATCCTCAAACTATTATGAAGTACCTCGAAGCTGGATCTGGGGGCTTTTTTTCTGGGCTGGCTGGCTGCTCTGACCTTGGCTGAGCACACCCAAAGCGGATTGATTTGCTACCTCTTATGCACCCTCCCTTCCTGCTCCCATCCAAGCAGGTCCTTGTATGACTGGACAGACACGGCTCCGTTCTTTGGTTCGCCTCTCGTCGTTTAACCCCTGTCGAGCGTGCCAGCTAAAGAGGTGCACAGGATCGGGGCACAGTGCCGCAGCCGTCGTAATATGGTAGATTGGCTTGCTTCCAGTTCCGCCCGCGCACTGCAATGGTAGATTAAAATGTCGTGTGGCCTTGTCGCCCTGTCGCTTGTCAAAGAGCAGCAGGCAACGCAAGACCATGGGCGGATTTCTTCGTCGATTTTCTTCTCCCAAAAAGAACAATCGGGATCAGCCCAACGTGCAATTTAACGTGCGTCTTCAAATGTCTTGCTGATGAGTTGATGGCGGGTTCGATGGGTTCTTTGCAGAGCCCTCGCACAATGAGTGACAACGGCGCCTCGGGTGAATTGATGGGGGCGTTTCTCTCCGTTTGTCTGAGTCCCAGCCAACCTGAGAGGGGAAGGAGGTCCGGTTCCGTCAGAGGTGATCTCGAGCTTTGACTGGCTTGGACTGGCTTGGACGGTGGGTAACCGGCCTCGTTCGATAAGCGGGGGTTCCAACTGTGGCCGGTGCCCTGTTTTTGGGGAGTTGGTTTTTCCGTTCTCCCAATCTTGGCGAGTTGCTTTTCCCAAAGCAGATTTGGCCAGAATAGCAATGTGTGCAATTCAGGATATCAACCTTGTCGCTAAACCCTTTTAAGGGAGCTTGCTTTCTCCCAAGGAAATTCGAATGGCCGGAAGAGGCCAGTCTCTACTATTCGTAGCTCCTCAACAGGGAATCGCAAGTGTTCTCGAGGTGACCGGCGAAACTCCGTTTTTGTGCTGGTCAGCCGTCCAACCCAGCGTCGCAGAAAAGCAGTTCCGCCCGGGGTCGTTCCTAGGTTCGCCAAAGAACAGGGATGCTGGCGAGCCTCTCTGTGTGAGCTGCCAAGGTCAAACGACCGTCAGTTCCTCGAATGCTCCTCTAGTGTGGTCTTTTTGCTGGTTCCTCTTCTCCACAAGTCTCGAGGATCCAGCTAATAAAAGAAGATGCCTCTGAGGGGAGTGGTAATGGTGGATGTGACCGTCAGTCGCCGTCCTAACGTAGGACGGAGCACCGTAATTTTCGAGCACCACCGAACAAACTCAGGGTGCGGATGTGGGGGCCGAACATAAAATTACTATGAAGCGGATAGGTTTATGCCTTGAGCCACAATCAAATGGGATGGATTCTTTTTCTTTCGACTCGAGCGAGGGCCGAAATCTTGGCAACAATGCTGTCCTACTCTCAAGTGAAAAGAGAGGGTATTAGTAGTAATGGAAACTCAAGTAGGTTGCTCTTGGCTTTTGAAGAACAAGGAGGTCTATATAATCGCACAGGGACGAAAAATTTGAAGATTGGGGTGTTGAGGATGGGCCAGTTTTGACGGCCCTCTGCTTCTTCAGCCCCTAGCTTCACCGACCCGTCTGAGCTTAATTGGCCTACGACAAGACCTCATGTTTGTTTAGATTTTTCTTGCTTCGCATGAATGCGGTCTCTGGGCCTTGACGGCCATGGCCTGCGTGAGGGTGTCGCGGTGCTGTACAAAAACCAGATCATATCAAAATAACATTACAACATAGGGCACAATGATTGCTTCGTCAGCAGCTGGGGACTTCTTTCTCGCCAGTGCAATGCGCATGTAGGCGGGCTATCAACTGAAGTGCTCCATTCAATGTTATGTTGCTTCAATTGTCCTTCGGGTGCTCGCTGCTGAGGCCAAACAAGCAAAACCGGACGTCCCTCGTATAAAGCCTTTTTTGTCTCCTTTCTTCCACAACCCAGACATATGAGAGTTGAGAGTTGAGAAGAGTCCCTCGAAAGCTTCTAGTAATAGGCAATATCTTCGATCCATCCGCAACGGCTCGTTTCGATGGGTTGTCAGTTCAACGAGATCGAAAGGTGGATAAGCAGACAAAAAGTCTCCAATCCGGACTAAGAAACAGCAAGTGTCCTACGGCAAAGGCCTCGATTATAGGATGGCACAGGAATGTTTGGGGCTATAAACTATACTGGGCGACAACGATGTGGACTCTTTCCATCATTATCCCCATAACCGCACATTTCCGGTTGGGTTGGATAAAAGGGGGCGCCCTTGTAGTCTGGAAGCCACGACAATGGAAGAGACTACCCAGGTATAACTGATAATACAAGCCGTCTAATAATTATGTATCTCCGATGAAAGATCCCCCTTTTGCATCGTTTGAGGCGGGCTTTGTGGAGGGGACTCAAGGGTTTAGTCGAGGGTAGTTTGTCCTCCACCTTGAGAGCGGCATGGGCATGGAAGCAAAGCAAGCTTCGGGAAGGTATAAAAGTTGTCACAACTCGTCTAATAAATTTGTCTCCGCAATTGTCCCGGTTGTGCTTGCTGAGATTGAGCGCTTGCGGGGTTGATCTCGTTTGTCTCCGTCCTCGTTTTTTTCTTCTTCGTCCTTCAGGTATTGCTCCGTATTAAACTCGCCCCAATTCTCGACGATCTGATTTCGTGGGTCAACCTGGTCATGAAGAGCTAGGCCTGGCGATCGTTGCACTGGTTTCGGGAAAAGGAGCAAGCGCTCCCTCGTCTCCGTGTGAAGAGAAAAACCACCCCATCCGTTTTAGGTTGAAGACAGAGATACGGTATGGGATTGGTCGGCTACTATTTGAACAGTCCAAGGTACCCAGTATTATGTGTACAATAGGTGCGTACCTCAGGTCCACCCAAAATTGTCAATGGCTCCTTGATACTGCGCAGTTGGTCTGAATACGTCCACAGGTGCTGCATTGATCAATCAGACAAGCTACCGCCCCTTGTCAGCATTGTCCAAGCCCACTGGCTGCCCTGTCGCCGTGATCATCCCTTGAAAGTCATTCTCGAACTTCTATGGGCAGCATCGGCAGGCTCGGCGTTCGTCAGT